CTTACCTACAGTACAACTAGCTTATAATATAGTAAAATAAGAGATAATAGAGATAACTCTCTATTAGGCATGTTATAGCTATAAAGCTAGAATATATAGATTCTTAATACATATAGCTATAATCTCTCTAAAGGTAGAAGAAAAAGAATACTAAATAAGAATAATCTATAATAGACTATAGAAAATAGTAGAAAGAATAACTTAACAAGTAAATAAGAAAAGAATTAAGAGACTAACCTTTAAGAAGAGAGGTAAAGTTTTTATTCTACAAAAAAACCTACGTACTAAACAACCTAGTAAAAAACTTAACTACCTAAGAATTAGACTATTTAAGATTAATAGGTAACTTAGACCTATTAACTATAGGTTAAAACTACTACTAATAATATAAATACACCCTATATTTTATAAATCTAAACTTAAGCTAGCGCCTAATAACGTACTACTTAATAAATAAATAGAGGTAGAACTAGACTAAGACTTTAAGGTTAAAAAGATACTAGATAGAAAGCGCATATAAGGTTAGTAGAAGTACTAGGTTAGATAGAAAGAATATCTACTAGAGAAAGACACCTAGAAACTACTAGAAAACCTTAAGAACTACTCTAAGAAACTTAAGAAATTTTGTTAGCAGCACTAACCCTAAGACTAGAAGACTAGAAGCCTAGATCCTCTAAACAACTCTAGTTAAACAACTAAAGAGAATTAACTAAAGAGATAAAAGGTTATAGCTGTAAGAGTTGCTATACCTTACGCTCTAACTACTCTAACTTCTTAATATTAGCTAGATCTTTTAAAAGCAACGTATTACAATAACGCTATACTAGCTCTAGCTACTTTTATAAGCGCTCGCTACGCGTATCCGCGAACCGCTAAGACTTGCGTAAGAACGCCTTCTAGCAACCTAGCTTAATATAAGAATAATCTATCTTTGTATAAAGGCGAGCCTCTATACGCGCTAACTCTACCCGCTAAGTCTTAGCAAGACGCTCTGCCTTAAGACTAGCCTTAGACTACTAAGAACGTAAATTAGTAGCTAGCTAATCTAGCTTCTCTATCTCTTTCTAATTTAATACCTTGTTGTAAGAGCAACTCTTTATAATATACTTAGAGTAATAACTAGAAGACACCTCTATAACGCAACGCAGGTTATAGAAATAGTAAGTACTATAGAGGTTGTTAGATATATTAGCGCTAGTGCGTAGAATAAGGTTAGCATAATAGTAGTAATAAACTGTTAAAGACTTAGTATAAGCAGGCGGCATAGTAGAGAAAGAAAGAAAAGAGAGAGTATAATACTATAGAACTATAGGTAGTACTACTCTTATATAGAAATAGTATAGAATAATAAAATACTATACCTAGAAATAGAATAGAGCTTTAGAATAACGCTTTAGAAGGAGAGGTAGGTGTTATAATTATAGAATTAGTAACAAGGTAGGCTAGCTAGGTTAAAGAAACTAGCAAGCTAAGCCTAAGGTTACGAGATAAGGAATTACGTGTAGAGTTATAGGAATAATTAGAGTTACATAACGTAGATTAGATAGATTAGATAGATTAGAACCTAATCTAGAGAAGTAGACTCTAATCTAGGCAATCTATAGAAGCTAGAGTCTTAGCACCTAATCTAGCTAAGACAGCATATATATATAACTAGAAGGAGCTTGCTTCTTATAGCTTCTTATAGTTATTACTTTATTTATTAAATTACTATAGAGACTTGCGATTTATAGTATTATTACCTCTACTTCTTTATTACTAAAGATCTATAGCCTAACGTATACCCCTTACCTTCTCTTACAAAAGTAAGCATTAATCTTAGTTAAGAGAATAGCTTGTAACACTTTCTATCTTTCTATACTATAGTACTAAAAACACTTTACTTTTAAATAACTATATAAAGCTACTATATTATTAGGTAATAGGCTCTATATAGTTAAAGTCTACTATAATTTATATAATAATAAGTTTATATAGCTAGATTAACTATATATATATATAGTTAGAAGAGAAAACTCTAAAGAAGATATTTTTCTAACTTCTACCTCTTATTACGCTATACTTAGAAGAGCTAGCGCTATAGAAGTTTTCTAGAAACCTTTATTAGGTTATAAATACTATATACTATAAGTTTTATAGATTATTATAGAGATATAATAGTACTAACTAGAAGAAAACTAGATTTTTTCTAAAAGTTAGTTAAATACGTATAGCTTTTTAATTACGTAATATATCTTAGTATAACTTTACTATAAGGTGTAATATACTATAAAGAATATATATATAAATTTTTATAGAAAAATCTTAAGGTTTCCCTTAGTTATTTAAGAAAAACGAGTTGGTTTTCGTTAATTTTCGTTGCCAAGAAATCGTGAGGGATTCGATAATATAGGAGATTCGATAATAAAGTACGTTAGTAGCTATAGTAACTATCTTTAAATTACTAATATATTAGTATAATACTATAAATACCTTTCTAAACGTAAAGCTTTTATAAAAGCTCTACTACTATACTCTAGAAGGTTTTACTAGTTAGTTTAGTAAGCTCTTAGAGTTATATTAAGCTCTATATAGACTAAAGAAAGTACCTTTACTATAGTATAAGAATCTTATAGAGACTCTTAAGAAGTTAGAACTTATTAAAATAAGTATTATACTATACCTATAGGCTAGTAATAAGCTTATAGTTTTCTTCTTTATTAATAATATTATTATACTTATCTACCTAGATAATATAGACGTTTACATAGAGTTTAAATACTACCTACTTAAAAAGTATAAGATTAGAAAGATAGGTTAACTTAATTAGTTTCTAGATATATAAGTTATAAGAGATATAAAAGTAGCGTTAACCTAGCTAATCTAGAATTTCTTTATTAATAAGATTACTAATAAGTTTAACCTACTTTTAAAACTAGATACTAAGTATCTATAATTCTCTATAAGAGAGAATAACCTTACGAAATCTATAGAGGTACCTAATAGAGAGTAAATAAAGCTTTTCTAGTAGCTAGTTAGCTTACTAGTATATATTTTCTACTTTATACGTCTAGATATATTAAGAGCTTACTTAGTATTAGCTTAATACTTAATTAACTTAGGTTAATAATATCTCTACGCTACTATACACGTATAGTAATACCTTATAGAGTTAAAAACTCTTATACTTAAAGTATTATAATACGCTATAGAGAAGAAATACTTCTAGAAAGTTAATTTTAAAGAGTCTATCTTCTATAGAGCCTTAGATACTTTATTTAGTAATAACCTAGATACTAGAGTAAGCTCTAAAGACTATATCTTTAAGCTATATAGATTATCTATAGATTAGAAGCTATAAAATATAAATAGTAACTAAATTAATAATTAAGGTAGAGCTTCTAGCGCTTTTAAAGATAGCTTTAGAAATAGAGTAGTAGAATCTACTTTTCTACTACCTAAAGCTAAACCTTAATATTAAACTAAAGCTTTAGTATAATAATTAGTAGACTATAGATATAGTAACTAAGGCTATAGAGAAGCTTTAGATAAAGCTTAAACACGTTAACGTATACTAAATATAGCTCTACTAGAAAGTTAAGAACTAAAGAATTAACGTTAAATAGATTTCTATAAGTTAAATACTAGCTAATAGACTTATAAAGATTCTATTACCTTAGAAACACGCCTACTTTATTTAATAGTTAGAGCTTAAGAATATTTCTAGTAAGTTAAAGCTTCTACTATTCTTAGTAGAGTAGTAGAAGCTATCTAAGAATCTCTTACGCTAGTACTAGATTAGATAGTAAACCTAACCTAAGTAATATATACCTAATTTACTAGTATTTTAGAATCTTTAAGGTAACTATTTACTCTTATTTTACTTCTAGCTCTACTATAGAAGCGTCTACTATACTTATTTAACTATTTTTTATTAATTTTAACGTATATATATACTAGTTTTATACGTAATTCTATTATATCTTAACTAGCTATATTTATTATAATTTATTAGATTAACTATAAAATTAATAGGCTATATTTATTATAATAAGTCTAGTCTTAATAAAATATATAGTAATATATTAACGTCTACTTAATAATCTACTCTATAAGATTACTATAAGCTATAGAGAGCTATAGTAACTATAAAAATACTCTAAAAGCTATTAGATAAGATATTCTTTCTTTTTACTCTCTACTCTTAAGTTTAATTTACGCCTTTAATATTACTCTATCTCTTTTTACCTACGTAGAAGCTATAGAGATAGTAGTATAGAGGTATTATACTATTACTTAAATACTTAAATACTCTACTATCTAAACCTAACCTCTAGATTCTATATTAGACTTTCTAATTAGAAATAGAGTTAACCTTATATATAAAGCTCTTATCTTTCTTAAGTATATACTCTTTTTACTTATTTTAAGTTTTCTATACTTTATAGAAGTAAACTAGTTTTTAAATTTTATATATATATTATTTCTTTCTTAACTACTATTACCTAAAAGTTAACGTTTACTACTATAGCTAGGTAGGCTAAAGGTATAATAGTATATACCTTCTCTAATATTATTAAGGCTTTTAAGCTATTTAGCAAAGCCTCTAGAGGTAAATAGAATAATTTTACTTTTTACTTCTAGGTTTAAGCTACTGTCTAGACAATAACGCGGTTCTTCTACTTTCTATACTTCTTTTTAACTCTATAGAGTTCTCTTATAAGAGAGATAGCTCTTATAAAATACTATAGTACTAAGAGGTGTATTTATAGAAGATAATTATTAATTACCTTTTTAGGTATAGTTAAAAGTCTTACCTTCTTAGACAGCTTTCTATATACACTTTAAGCTAGAGAGGTGTGTTGCTAGATATAGTTACTACTTTACGTAACCTGGTCATGTATATATATAGTCATATTCCTCGTATTCTCAATCAATTAACTCATGTCTTAATACTCTGCAATTCATCCAATATTTACACACTAAATGTAAGCCACGCTGTATATGCCCCAAATCCGCCTCTAACATGCTTTAACAGTTCCAGCCTTTTTATACCATCCGCTTCCAACAGCATTATACTTCGCATCCCCAGTATACTTCTTCGCCCATGAATCATACATTTGACCTGCGGTGCCACTCACATCCAGGAAGCTAATCTTGCACCCGAGCGCCTTGTACCCCGGAGCAAGCGTGCTGCTGAGGAAATTTACCACCGTCTCGACCAAGACGACTGTGTTGACGAGCTCGGACGGGAAGTTGGCATACATGGCGTTGTACAGGAAGCAACCAAAGGACTGAGGATTATTGGGGACGTCGAGAGGACCCGCCACCCATGAGTGGTCGCCACCGCCGCCACCAATGGCAGGCTTCACGTAGAGGTACACGTCGAGGATGCCGCCAATGGCTTCGGCGACAGTCATGGGCGTCGCGCGGCGGTACCAGCCTTGCTCTGGGATGCGCTCGGGCACATGTGTGTAGGTGAGTTCCGGGTCGTTCCAAGCGCCCTGTCGAGTGGGTTTTGCTCCGTAGAAGCTGGTGATGGATGCCCCGTTCGCGACACCGCCGGCACCAATTGTGCCATTGGAGAAGAATCCGGGGATGAAGTAGTATGCGGCCATTACGACTCCAGCTGATGGCAAGTTGAAGTAGAACTGCTTGTTCGCTGCTTTAGACGCCGCATACCGATTCTTGAAGTGCTCCTTGATCGCTTCGACGCTGTATGTGCCATTGCCCCTCGCAAGCGCTTGCTGGTGCATTTGCTTGAAGAGGTCGGGCTCGAAGGAGATGTTGTCCCCTTCGAGGTAGAAGTCGAGCCGGGTGGCGGAGGCATCGCCCTCGTTGAACTCGCCGTGGCCGGCAATGCCGGAGGGCGTGCTGAGGATGGAGTTCAGTGCGCCGTTGAGAACGCCCACGCGGTTGTCTGGGCCGCCGATGCTCATCTTTTGGGCGATGATGTCGCCGCCATCAATGGCACCTCCAGCTGCGAGGAGAGAAGAAAGGTCGGCACCCACGTTGAAGAGCGCTGCGGCGCCGGCGTCGATCCGGCCGATCGCGGCAATACCGTTTCGTGGGATGTCTGAACGGTCGTTAGTAGCTTGTTCGTTGGGGAGGAGCGGAGATAGCATACATCCATGGTTCGCGAGAGTGTTCAGACTGGGGCATGGGCCGCGCTGGTCCGTCGCACGTGGAGCCTTGAAGGGATAGTTTGCTGACCACAGGTAAATGAGTATGTAATGATCCGGATGATGGTGGGAGGCGTACACTCAGGGAACTTTCTCAGTCCCTTTACGGCATCGTCGGTGGGTATGAGGCCTAGGATCGGATCAACTACTGCTTTCAAGGTGCCGTCAAGCAGAGCCACAACGCCGTTCAAGAGCCCCGTGTTCAGCTGATGGCGGACATGCTGACCTTCCTGAGCTCCTTGATGTTCCTCTAGACGGCGCACCATCTCTGCCCGCGCCTCGGGATGGTTCAAAAGAGCCACCATTCCCTCCGGTCTCAGCCACGGAAAAGCGAGCGCCGAGTGCGCCGCGAGGGCGAAGATTAGCGAGAAGCGCATGCTGATAGGAAGAAAAGCCTGAAGTGAAGCATCAAGCGACGAGAACTTCCAAGGGCTGGTTTCGGTAGTCCATTTCATTCCCTCGCCTTTATACCGATAATCCTAAACGACATCATAGCCCAGCACGAAAGCCGTAGCCTCATTTCGTCGGGAGTCGCACAGCAAGCGCCACCAAGCTTTCCAACACCTCCCACAAGCCAACCTTATTTACCTTCTCCGCGCACCGTTCTCGCCCAATTGCCATCCCCACAGGCTCCATCGAGTCTCGGAATTGCATTTCGAGCACGAGGCTGTTGCGTGGGTGGCTGCACCGTCAATATCAGGATTCGCAAGCCCTGCTTGGATCTGGGGGTTGTACAATTAGCCGCAAAGCCCGGCGTAGTGGGAGCGGTGCAGTAGCGTGAGTAGCCCAATTCTGACAGTCAGGGGTCCTTCCTAGTTGGGGAATACCGAAGAAGGATCACCATTCGCTTATCCTAGACCCGGGAAGAGGCGATCCACTAGGAATTTGCCATTACCAAGATCTAGTCTCGGTGCCCCGAAATTAGCATCGGTATCTGAGCATCCACGGTGGCTCGTGATATAGCCAAGGCGTGACGGTTGGCCTCAGCAACTTTGTCCGCCTTTTCATAGGTCGGGAAGGGATGCCGTACGACCAAGTTATCTTGCAAATGCTCCTCGCGAACACGAGAATAATGCAAGCTTTCAGCGCATGTACTGTTCTTCCACGGAGAGCTCTTCACAATCCGAGGCACCTATTGTAACCGATTCATATAAGCGCATCTGAGGCGAAGAGCCTCTTATTGCCATGACATCTTTATCGGCGAGAATTTTTTAGATACCGTTACGTGGAAAGGGTTGAGGTTCGGGTCGACTGGGCAACATGGGCCGGAAAGAAGGGGAGCTTGCAAGTATATGTTACCGTGTAGGACAAGAGGAGCAGGTATACACTTCGATGGCATTCTGTGAAGAACTACCCCAAAATCTTGCATACGTTGAAATCAAAATGGCAAGCCGCCCTAGAACTGGACCCTGAATTGACTCAGAATAAATCATGTACAAGAAATACAGGAGTGTATATCAGCCCTTATATTCTCCGAGATTATCTAACCATGGAATCTGTCGACAATACCAGATCCCACCGCCTGGTCTATCCAACTGCGGCATGCTCTGCCAAAAGTCAAAAGCCTAGGAACGCCATGGATACATCTTCTTGATTCCCTCATAATCCAAGTCGCTGGGCTCCTCATTTTGCGCTTGAAATTCCGCATTGTCCCTTGTCGGCTTTGAAGGAGGCTCGTATTCCTTGCCGCCATTCTTCCACTTGTACAGTGTGAACTCTTCAAAATCCGCCGTTGTCTTCGCAAAACTCCGCGAATGGTAGTGCATGATGGACTTGTAATCGTATTCGGTTGATGCCTCCTTCTCAAAGGGGTCCTCACCGCTAGGGTCAACGTCCCGGTCATACGCATTGTCCGTGGAGAATTGCTGGGCCGATCTCCAACCGTACATCATGGACTTGTGCCAGTCTCGACACACATCCTCAGGGGGGCCGTACCCAGGATAGTCTTCAATCCTCTTCTTGAAGAACTCCCAGTCTCTCAAGTTCTTGCACTCGAAGTGGACATAGTGATCACCTAGAAGTTCGTCAGCAATGTGTAGCACAGACAGGGTGTATACTGCTCACGATCTGCTCGCTGATGCTCATGCTCCAGGCCAAATATATGCCCGAACTCATGGGCCACCGTGACTGTGGGGTCCCAATCCAGAGGCGGATTGATGTTTAGGTGATAGCTGTGGCGACCTGCGTTGTTCCGACTAGAAAGCGAGGTAACGCGTGAGCAAAGCTGTATCGAATCGGGATGGCACACACACTCACAAGCTATCGGGAAAATACCCCATAGTACCCGAACCTCCAGCCAATGAAGTGTCGCGATTCCCATCTTTGTCTTCGTCCCATCGGACCTCGAGCACATCGTGGGGCACCTGTTATAATGTGTCAATACCGGCGAGCCTCTCTGCAAGGGACTCTTCGTACCTGTGGGTTCCTAAAGATGAAGAAACCTCAGTCAGAAAGGCTCTGTAAAGAAAGAATGTAAAAGGAAGTTCGGCACCGAGAATGAAAAGATACAATGCTATGTCTGAAGTAGGGGGTCATAGGCACTTTGTGCCACTGCTTTACGTACCAGGTATGCAATGGCTCGTTGCAGTACAGCGGAGTGCCATCCTTCGTGTACTCCACCGGAGTTGCAAGCGAATGTCCATTCTCGGCATTTGCGTCGCCAATCTTCTTGTGCCAGATCTCCCAACCCTTGTCAAACCATGGCTTTAGATGCTCTTTCTCCTCTTTGCTCCGGTAGCAGTACTTGATCCGCGTAATCCCGTCATCATCGGCTGGCCACGGCTTGAGGGGTGTATACGGGTGCGTGACAGCGTTAACCCAGCGCCTGGCGATCGTCTTGTTATACAAGTACTGCTCGCGGAGCTCACCGAGTAGCGTGGTGTTGAGGTATTTGAAGTCGTTGAATGGCGGCGGGCAGGACGCAACCAAGCCCATAAGGGAGAGGAGCAGGATTGCTACCAGCTCCATCGCGAACAGGACCGGAATTTGGGGTCTTTGAGGGTTGAATCAGATCCCAGGAGAAATTGCGAGGGTAGGTCTAGTCGAATGAAGAGACCATTAGAGTGGGCAGGGGGAGGGGGTGCTTTATAGGTAAGGCCTTCACAGAGAGCCTGCCGGGCTTCAGAGTCCGAGAAGGCTCGAGCGCGGTGCGGGGCTCCGTTCGGGCTAAAATTGAAGATAGGGGTGAAAGTGAAGCTGGGGCTGCGGCGCCTCATGCAGGTAATACCTAGGTACAATGAGCGTGGATAAGCACGATAGAGTCTGTTCTCTCTGTTGATAGGGGATTATTTGCGTGCCGGTGACGTAGAATGAGAGCGGTGAGGCATCTTCGCTTTCTCATCCATCACCCGATGGTGCCCAGGTGGGCCTCTGACGTGAATGCCGAATCGGGATACCCGATAGAGGGACAGAGTGTGACTTTCCCCTTTCTAACCCATGGTATCATCCTGCCATTCTGAGCCAATGACCTCCGCGACTGCAGGTTCAGGAAAATGACCTTGAGAGCGTTCCCTTCTCCTTAGACCCATACTACAACCTTGTCGAGCTCCCGCTAGTCCCCGTCTTCTCCTTCTCATTCCTCACTTCCTCCACCTCCTCAACAGGGCCCTTATATCCAATCGCCTGCAGCCACTTCGGATCGATATTCTCTACCTGCAAATACGGGCTCACATCCGCACCCTCCGTAACATCCGCCATCGTGTACCCCATGCCCAGATGTGCCCAAGGGTTCTTGTGCATGTACTCGATATGTAAGTCCTCATAGCGCGGTGTCTCAATAACTTGGCAGTATTGCAAGGAGGAGCCGCACCAGATGGCTACGTGTCAAGTCAGATACTGAAGTTTAGATGGAGGATGGGGCATTTACACTTACCATTCACGCGACCGGTGTCATTGTTCCTATACCAGGCTCTGCAGTCGTCCTTCCACACAGTGTGTTTGATCCACTCTTGTGCATGTTCGTTGAACAGATCGGTCATATCCTGGCGCGGGACCCAAGATTTGATATGATCGCGCTGCATCTTCTTTATGATCTGGATTGCATACTCAGAGACTGAAAGCAACGGTCCGGCGACCGAGCCGTTCTCCACCGGCCTGGCGATCTATCAGTAAGCATGGGCCACGTGCAGGAAGACAACGAACCATGTAGGGCCGATGAACATGAGCCAGTTCGGCATGTCGGGGCATGCGAGTCCAAGATAACTTTCCGGCGCCCCTCTCCACTTATCGGAGAGGTCCACTCCGTTCTTGCCGATGACAGGGAAGCGGGGACGATAGGTCACGTCGAAGCCGGTCGCGCAGACAATCGTATCGACTTGTCGCTCGATGCCGTCTTGGCCGATGACGCCGTTCTCGGTGATTTCTCCCACTGCAGTGAAATGGACGTCGACATTGTCCTTTTGGATAGCTTCCATATAAGGATCTCCTGGAGTGACACGGCGGCCTGGTCGTGTTAGTATGACTATAACGTAGGTGCGGCGATTAAAAGCGTACAACCAACTTCAAACTTGGGCGTGAAGCCCTCCAGCAGCCTCTCGTCCTTGATAAACTCCTTCATCCTAGCCTTGAACATCTCCTGGGCACCCTTTTGCTTCTCACTCCCCGTGTAGAACACGCCCCAAAGGCCGTTGACCTGGGTCTCCATGTCCTTGGCATGTGCAACAAGGTTCTTGGGATTGTTCGGAAAGGCCGCCTTTTCCTCCTCGGTGTAAATCTTGTTCTGGCCGGCATTATTTGCCATCGAGACGAACCAGACGCCGGTGCGGACAAAAACGTCCAGATGCTTGACGTATGGCTGCATACCCGGGACCGTCTGGATCGACGACGCGCCGGATCCGATGACAGCGACGCAGTCATTCTTCCATTGCTCTTTCTGATAGTCGTCCGGCCAGGACGCCGTATGCGCTATCCGGCCTTTGAACTTATTCATTCCCGGAATATCCGGCCACTTGAAGCTGTTCAAGACGCCCGTGGCATGGAGCAGCATATACACTCCTCTTCTAGCTCCTTGGTCTCACCGGACGACGTCTTGTGCTGTAGCGTGACTTTCCACTTTCCAACATCGTCCTGCCACTCTGCGCGAATAACCTCGGTGTTGAAAGTCATATATTTGCGAAGCCCGAATACGTCACAAACCTTGCCGAGGTACTCGTGAATGTCGGTTGCATATGAGAAGTAACGCGGCCAGTCGGGGTTCAGAGCGAAGTTCAGGGTGTACGCGTGGGAGGGCACGTCGCAAGCACAGCTGTCCCGTGTGAGTTCAGCCACACCCCACGGATTTAGGGAGCACACTTGGGATATCTATTCTCCAACCATGTCCCACCAATATCCGCGTTCTTTTCGTAAATGACATGCTCAACGTTTTGACAATACTTTTGGATCTAGTATGCCATGAGAATGCCCGAAAAGCCGGCACCAATGGTCAGGACTCTGAGTTTCCTGGATGATGGATCCTGAAAGCAAAGTTAGCAAAGATGGTAGAGACAGGACTATAACGACGGACATTGTATATGATGTCCGGGATGTTATAGCCGCCGGATCCGGGCGTCGAGTAGTCCCATTTGCCATTTGAGCTCGGAGAGTTCAAATTCGGTGCCATTACTGCCATTGGTGGGCGATGAAGGACGGTGGGTGAAAGTGTCGGACGGAACGATGAGGTGGAGTAGAAGGCCTTCAAGTACTTCTCGCGTGGTACTTCTCGCGCGACACAAAGCCCGATCAGTCCGACCACCCAACCACGCCAATGACGAGCTCGTCACCTCTGAGGGAATGAAAGATAAGATGACTGCGCAATTGGCGGCTTTCTGTGCTACCAACTCCCGAGATCTGCGAGACCGAAAACCCGACGCACAGGAAATGAAAACCAGGAAACAATACTGAAACAGCTCGTCCATTAAGCAGCCTCCCCATCTCTTGTCTTACGGCAGCAGTGTAACCTTCCGTGCATACGTGATAGAACCGTGTACTGATTCTCGTACGAGTGGTCAACGCTAACGCCTCAGCAGAGTGACGGAATCTCACTAGCGCAGTGTCGGGATGTACGCCTAATTCTGCAGGGTATTTCGAGTAGCGTAGCGTACCTGGCACGTTCTGAGGTCTGCGCAGAGCACCGGGCTGGCATTCATGCTTGATCTGGCTCAGTAACCATGTACCAACACTGTTTGCGCAAGCGCAACTTTCTAAGGTTACCGCGAACTGAGCGCAGCCACCTTGAAGATTTATGGGCTCCACAAGCTCTCGTATAATTACCTTGTCCGGCAAAGATCATCTCCTTTTTCAGGATGCTGGAGTAGCAGCACGGGATAGTCGTCCTACCTTGGTTAGATCTCAGCGCGATGCAGAGAGTTCGGGGTCGTTCCACTGCGTAAGAGCTGTATTAGCCTTCGTTTGGACCTTACTCGAGATCTTCGTCTCATGTTCAGAATGCAACCACAGAATATCCGCCGTTGTGCGGGATCCATGAATGACGTCATTAAAATCCCGAATCCATTCATTGGCTTGGCGCCAAGCAGGCGTGCTGAGCTTTTTGCGTAGGTATCCAACTAGCAAAGACGTGCGATGACAAGATACCTTCTTGATATCCGCTGAGAAAGGATCACGCAACAGGTCCGCCCTTTGTCCTCATCCTCCCTCCATACACTTGCAGAAGAGCGATGATGACCATGGCCACTGCAACGATAATAGCTTGAATACCAAAGGAGAGGCCGAAACCGCTCTTCGCTCCCCAGGGTTCCTGAAAGTAACCCACTGCGAAGCCCGCAATAACTGCTTCTCGTCAGCGATGGTTCCATACTAGAGTTTGGACGACAGGAGCACTGACCTCTAGCAAAGTTCAACAGTCCCGAAACTTCCGAACTGGCATTGCCATATGAATCAAGCGCGTACGCGGTGATGGCGACCGTGGCAAGCATAACGCCAAAGACGTACATGCCCCAGCCCATGATTATACCGGCGTAGCTCAAATGCTTCTCTAGGGTCTGGCCAACGATTATCAAGCCGGGGATCATGAACGCAGCGGCCACGTAGTTGGTCACGAGTCGCGCCTCGGGCTTGAAGATGCCATCGTGCTTTCGTACGTAGCGGTTCGCGATCCAGTCGTTGAAGAAGTGGCCGAAGGCTTCGCCAATGGTGACTGCGACAAGAGGAGTAAAGTAAAGGAAGCCGACCGCCTTAGCATCGAAGCCATAGCCGCCTTGTGCGATGGGGGTTTCGAGGAGGATGGTGGAGGTAATATTGATGCCAACAGCCCACATGAAGCTCATGGCGCTGCACATATTAGTGACAAAAGAGGGTGGGGTAAAGTAGGAGAACATACTAGTAGAACATAGCCGGAATAATAATGGGTTTGAAGAAGGTAGATAACAGGCGCTTGCAACAATGCCACCACGTCTTGAAATACCCCTTGTGATGCTGAATCTGCCATATTCCGATGATGCGCGAAAGCCGGGCGGCCAGGGCCTGGGATCGTGGAGGTTGTTGATCCATAGGAATGCTTCGCTCGTAGTACGTTTCGTCGCAAACGGCCAGGATGAAGACCAGGTCGGCGACGCCCATTGCGAAAACCAGCCACATGACTGCTCGCCAATCACCAGTCCCCGCAATAATGAAGTTGGCGAAAAAGGGCCCAAGGTATGGCGACAGGATGAATAGCGCCACCCAGATGCCAATTTTCCTAGCATGTTCATGAAAGTAGAACATGTCCTTAACACAAGCCAGCCCGACGACTTGATAGGCCGTCAATGTAAGTCCCATCAGGGCACGGAAGCCGTAGAAGACGGGGAAGCTGCCTGTGACGGCGCACGCGAGCGTGAAGAGGGTTCCTGTGAGAGTCGACCAAAACATGACGGGTGCTCGGCCCCACCAGGAAGAGACCACGATCCAGAAGAGGCCACCAATGCCCCTGGGCAAGTCAGTACGCACAAGCGCAAGGGTCGTAGCATAGCTTACAACATGACCACGTTTAAATTGCCGGCTTCATTGACCTTTGCGGGTGACATGCCCCATTCCTCGCCCTGGAGGACAATAAGCGGAATACCAGAGCCGCTGCCATAGTCTCCCAAAAAGGCAGTCGTAGAGACGACCGCTAGCATCAAATGCTTGCGCGTCCATGACCAATTCAGAGGGTCGTTTGGATCAGCAGTCGGCTGTGGGACGAGGACGGTGTGGCCGTCTTTGGCGAGCTTCAGGTGGCCATATTGGCCCTTTTCGAGGTGAGCAGCGCCGGTGTCGAGCAAGACGACATCTGGCTCGTGTCCAATCTCTTGCTCATGGATTTGCGCACGGGTGCTGGTATTGATATGCGATATCTCGGCCTTGTCTTCCGCCATGTCGAACGAGTTGTTTGCAGAAGCAGATGAAAAGAAGAGAAAGAGAAGACGTCTTGAGGATGGAGCACGGTATTGAAGAGTCGATGCAGGGATGCAGTCAGCAATATATTGTCATTCCCTCGGGCCAGGCTCATCAGACAGGGCATGTCAGAAGTGCCGACGTTGTGGCGCATATGTAGCACAGTATGCGCTTCCAGGAGCAGAGAGCACTGATTGGTCCCATGGAGCCCCACGGGGAAGCCGTCGCAGTTTAGCACTGAGACGGCCAGAATGTTGGGGTCGTGTAGGAGAGATCTGCCCCGGCAAAAGGCTTCGCTCAACTGCCGAGAGACGAGCGCGGAATAACGCCGAACAGCCGATGAGGAAACATGTCCTGGAATAGGGCCTCAACCGGGTCATGGGAGTTTAGATCGGGCTGTTCCTGGGTCGTTGGACTCGTCACATAGTACGATCTAGTGCTTGAGAAGACGGGGACTATAATGGGGCGGGGCTCCGAGATGATCCTCTTTGTCTTCCGCAGGCTGGAGTGAACCCCTGTAGCCGAGGTACCGTTCAACCAGGTGCCCCAGGTGGTAAGAGGCCGACTGCGGGAGTAGTGTATGTTGTAGTCTGTAACGATTTGAGTGCTTTCGTGTCGCGCGGGTAGTTGAGCTCAGTCCGAGCTTGAAAAGGCTCCGAAGCCATGACACGTGTTAGCGTGAGCAACTCGCGCGACGCGGCATTTTCTCCCGTCCGAAATACTATTGGAGGGGATTGCGCAACTACATTTGTTGAATTCAAGCCTTCCTCTTGCACTTATCGCTAGTCTTTTTGGTTTATTTTTCCGAAGGAAAATATGGAACACAGCGACTATAGCACACGCCGTCCATCCGTACCCTTGCGGTAAGCCCTTCACTTCTCCCAGCTTCATGGAAATCCCATTGGGCACTACATGCACCGCGCGCAGTGAGTGCGATATGTTGAAGCTTCCCAGTCGAAGCTTCCGGACAAACGTCGTGGTGGAGACCGAAATTTGTAGATGGGGCCGACGGTAACGAGTAGACCCCAAAGCACTGCGACGCCATGTCGTTTGTGTTCGGGACTTCAGGGTTGTGCGCTACAAACATCATATTCGTACTGTGACCTCAATTGCATCGCGCACTGCCCGCATGCAGGCGTTCACATAGCCCTGGCTTCATATCATTGCCTTCTCGAGGCCTTCTCCCCCTCCATCAAGACTACAGGATTGTCTCTGTCTACTCTCCACTTCGCAGGCGGCAGTCCTTCGTTGGCGAGACCAGGCCGCTCATGCGGAAAGATTGGTAATAGGCCCGACCGAGGCGGCCATCGTTCTGCCGCTCCGGGTCACTCGGCGAGAGCACGTCGAAAGCTGTAGGAATATTTGCCGAACTTGTCGCAAGAGATAGCGTTCAATCCGAATCGTAATCGACGAGTAGCGCGGGCCGCACAGGCTTCTTTGGCGGAGGTTCCGCTGCCGTCGCATCAGGTGTGTCTAGCGTTTGAAGAATGGCAGCCGGTGGTTTCTGCAATGAGGGTCCGTCCCTCTTGCGCTTCAGTATTCCGAGATTTTGCTTTGAGCTGGTCTTCGCATCGGTGGTTAGGAACGGGTCGATGGATGCTCTGGTGTTGCCAACCAGCGTCCGTTGCAGACTTTGCCGACTCTTCTCCGCCAGTATCTCTGATTTGAGTTTCTTCAATCTAGCGGGTGTCTCGACAGTCGTACTCGTCTCTTGGCTCACGAAGAGCGGCTTCCTCGACGCCTCCTCGACCTTACGGTCGCTTGTCCCCGCAGCAGCAAACTCGACAAGGCTCGCGCGAACACGATCAGCGTCCGTCGCATCCGCAATATCGATCCCCAGACCGAACTTCTCCTGCACGCCCTCCTTGTATCTCTCCTCCCTGCGTAGCACCTTTCTCTGCGCGCGAAAGTCGCGCCTCAGCCTCGCATTCACATCATACGGATCCCTCCACACCTCCGCCTTCTCGTACAGCTCCTCCACCCGCTCCATATTCTTCTTCTCCAGCCCCTTCTCATCCATCTTACCCTCCAAGTTCGCAAACGCATCCACCCGCCTCCTCTCCCTCTCCTCCTCGGTCAAAAACTTCAGCTCGCCCTCCTCCTCGCCAGCCTTCTGCTCTCCATAGTCTCTCCTGCGTGCGCCCTCGACGACCACATACTCAGCGTTCTTCGGGTCCGTCCTGATTTCCCACCACCCGCCGCACGCGGAGTGCTTCATGCGGAAGCTCCATATCGGCGTTGAGTAGTAGTTTCCGACCTTCTTCTTCTCGGCGTTGAAGCGCACGCCCTGGCCGACGATGGCGGGCGGGTTGCAGTGGTCGCACCATACGGCGAAGGGGAGCTCGAAGCGCACGGTGAGGATGCCTTGGTTGATCTTCTTTGCGCGGTGGCCGAGTGGGTGCGACGTGTTGAAGCGGGGCGCGTTTTCGGCGTCGGGCGGGTAGTATCTGCCCATGTTGAAGCCCTGCATATTGAGGGCTGGTAAGGGGGTGCGAGCGCGTCGTGCGCAGAAGGTGGCATGTAGTGGTTGAGCTCGAGAGCGCTAGAGGTTCGTGGGTGTGGGGTTGGGGTGTTGGATCGGGGTGCTAATAATCGTTGCGCCGATCCGGACCGAGAAACCACGACGCCCAACGCCTTCACGTCACTATGGAGAATTTCACCCATCCACGGTAGATACATACCGCACGTCAACCTCGCGCAGCTAGGCGAGTCTTTACGAAGCGCAGACATTTGTCATCTGATTCCAAAGGCGTAAATCACGTGCCCCTCCTGCGTCCGAGTGTCCCTTCAGAGCTGCAAAGCTCCACCGACGTGCGCTGCCTCTCGAACGCCAACATTTGCTACACTTTCTGCCTCGCAAACGCTCTGCTTTATGGAACACGCGAGTAAGACCTTCCCAGACAGGAAGGTGAAATAAGGTTGTCCGTTGATTGCGGCACTAAAAGGCTTGTCTCGTCGCCCTTTTGCCGCGGGAGATCGCCGAATCAGCGAAGCTTCTTTTCTGTACGGACTATCGCGATACATGGTTTCACAGAGAGCAGAATCAACAACCAAGCAGCTGATGAAGCAGAGATACGCATCCATATTCTTTTGGTCTATGTGTCGGATCGCTACAATCCGATCGTCGTTGTGCTACGAACGCTGACGTCGCCACCAAGAGCCCTCTGTCTACCGATTCAATCCATGCAAGGCTCTTTTGGCTTGTTTAAGAAACTGTCGACGGATCCGTGATGAGCTTGGTAATCTTTCCAATGGCGATTGTCTGGCCTTGGTCTCGCAGTGTGAACCTGGTTGTGTGCGAATTAGCAAATCATCGTGATGCCGGTAGCCGTGATCGCCTACCGTCCCAACTGTGGATAATCCTCAAAACGCTCCACGCAAATCGCTCCTGCGGTGCCCTATGCGCTTGTTAGCGATGCTCCGTAGACTGTATGGCTGAATGCTTACTGTGACCTGCAACCGTGCGATGATGCTCATTCCTAGTCCCTATCAGCACGTTTTATCGTACGACTGCGGCGACTGAAGACGGACCCTTTGTGGCGAAGCCCGGGGGCTTCTTACTCTTACGCCCAGTGCCCTTTTCTAATTTGTGGAGGAGCGCAGAGAATGTCTGTTTGATATAAGCTAAGGTTCCATTTAGCCGTGAATTTGGGAGTGCTCACGACTTCTTCCTGAGCAGCATGCACGTGCAAAACGCAATTAAACCCTAAAGAAACGCAAAGTCAGTACTGTGTATCAGAATGGGCATGGGCAAGGGGAGAGGGGGACGCGACTGAGTACTCCCGGTGCGAGACGTGTCTGCACTTGGGGCTTACTTACCTGCAGTCAGGATCGACCGGAGTTCGAGCAGAACGATTTGTGCTTCAAACGCCGAGACACAGTGTACCGGTCTCTTGGGAGAGCACAGGACGAATCCTGGTAGAATATCCTCCTCTTCGACGCCTCGCAAACGAATTCGGACCTGGTCTCCGCATGTCGCTGCCTGAATCTCATCTTCCTGCTCTCCATATAAGGCAGCAATGGAGATGGTCTCTCTGTTGGGCATCATCAAGTACTTGCTATCCTTTTTGAGGACTCCCGACTCGATTTTACCCCTAGGGTTGGCGTTAGCGAGCGTTCTAGTTGATGGAAAGGGAAGCATACTCGACCATTGTTCCTAGGTCGCGATACTTAGCAGCGATAGGCATCATGAAGGGCGCGTTGACCTTGCGTTCCTACAGTGGATTAGAGTTGGTTGGCACAGGTCATAAGACATATTGCACGCAGTTCGAGGGGACGTACGAGAGCTTTCATGTTGTCCAAATCTAGCGTAGTTAGCAAAGTGTGCCAAATTATAGGACGGAGTTAAAAGCCGGTCGCGTAGCGGGGCCTAAGAGCTCCGCCAAGCGCCACGCATGTGTTCGCTCATGAACTCTGTCGCCGAAGCTACACACGTGTTGCTCTCCGTCTTTCGTCTATACTTACATTCGAGGAGTGACGGTCCACCATACCAGGGAGCAAGATCCTTCGACACTCGATCCTTGATGCCGACGGTGGTTTGTGCGCTAATGGGCATGACTGGCTTGTCAGCAAGGGGCTGAATCTAGAGGTAGTATCGAGCTTACACGCAAGGTCTGTCTTTGGGTTGTATCCTACGCTGTGAGACGTTAGCGCCCCTACTTTAGCACACGAGTACGGTCAATGCTCACCCCTTGAGAAAGGCCATCAACTTGGTCGTGCACTCCTTGTACCGGTCTTCGGACCATTCGACGGTCGGGTCGTCCATCTTGTTGACCACTACGACCAGCTTGTTGACGCCCTGAGTCTTGGCCAACATAGCATGCTCACGTGTCTGTCCGCCTTTTTCAAATCCAGTCTCGTACTCTCCCTTTCGTGCTAAATGCAAGAGTCAATAGAAGTGATGCTGAGGCGAGCCAGAAGGGTCGTACCTGAAATAACCAAAATACCCACGTCGGCCTGAGCCGCGCCACCAATCATGTTTGGTACATACGTCTTGTGGCCCGGAGCGTCTAGGATGGAGTAGCGGCGTTTATCAGTCTCAAAGAAGCCTCTGCCGACTTCCACCGTCTTGCCCTTGGACCGCTCCTCCTTGGTGAGATCTAGCGCCCATGACAGGTACCACGTCTCTCGTCCAGCGTCCTTAGCTTCCTTTTTGTATTTGTCCATAGTCCGCTCGTCTACCATGCCGGTGGCGTAGAGAATGCTACCTCCGAGCGTTGACTTGCCGGCATCAACGTGGCCCAGGAAAATGATGTTGACGTGCTCCTTGCCATACATTTCTTCCAAGAGCTCCTCATCGACGTCTTCGGCCTGCTCCTTTTCCACGTCTGCTGCCCGAGCCGCAGCCTTGGCATCGCTGGCACGAGAGGGGCTGCTCCGTCCAGTGGATGGGGTTGGTGAAGTCTTGCCAGACGCGCTAGGAGACGCCTTGGTCGGCTCGCCCGTCTTCTCGATGGCTTTTGCGGCGGCGACCTTTGCGCCGGCCTCGGGCGCCTTTGGGTCTACACCGTCCTTGACGGAGGACGGCGCCGGGGCGGTCGAGCCTATGGAGAGGACTTTAGTCTGGCCTGCCTTTTCAACCTTGGGCGCGGCGGCCTCGGCGCCTATAGACAGAACCTTTGCCTTGGGCGCAGCATCTCCACCGATGCTCAACACCTTTGCCTTCGGTTGAGCCTCCTGTTTTTGTTCAGACGCAGGAGCAGGTACGGGGGATTCCGAGCCACTGCCGCCGGCTGCTGGCCTCTTCGCAATCTGCACCGGCGCCTGACGTTGCTGCTGTTGTTGGGGCTGAAATTGCTGTTGCTGCTGCTGGTACTGGTAACCGTATTGCGGATAGCCTTGCTGGCCCCCATACTGCTGTTGGCCGTACTGTGGATAGCCCTGTTGTCCTCCGTATTGCTGGTAGCCTCCGTATGCCTGCTGGTTGTAATAGTTGCCGTATCCCCCGCCATATTGCTGGTACCCCTGGCCAGGGGTGAAGCTTTGTGCGCCGGGCGTGAAGGACGACGCGCCGGGGCGGAAACCCCCTTGCGCTTGCGAATTGTTGATATTGAGGTTCTACAGACATTAGCATCTCGCACTAGAGCAGACAGACGCCGGTCTCCTACTTGGGCTTGCTCAGCGAGCCTCTCCTCCTCTTGCTCCCACGAGTCGGCCATTGTGAGAGACGCGGTCGGCCAGAGCACGCCGGGGTGTTCGACGTGGGTGAAGCGGGGCTGCGCGGTGGTCGAAAGTCAAGAACGGCGGGCCGACGGCGGGGCTGCGTGCGAGGGAGCAGGAACGCGGATTCGATGGGTTGAGCAGTGGGGATTAAGGAGCGGCTCGGTGCCTTTGTACGCACGTTGGGACGAGGCAGTCGCGCGGGCGAAAAGTGAGAATTGACGGGCGGTGATTTTGGTGGGGCGCTGAGCAGCGAGGCGCAGAGTGGCTGGTGACGTTTGACTCCCAGCGACCTGACTCAGCGCTCGCGCCACAAACACTGTCGCCTGCAACGGGCAACACCGCCGTGAATGTCTGCTCAAACATGCCTATTTCTTCCCGCTCGCACCCCGCCTCAGTTCCTCTCTGTAGGACGCCACACATTGCTCGTCTGATGAGGTTGAGTCTCTCGCCTTAAAAGAAAGGTGGCACTCAACATGGAGGTTCTACTCTCCAAGGTATACCCACCCTTCTTCGTATAACACATTTGGCGAGCTTCCTGGCCCTGATTCCCATTGGTTTTAGAGCATGACTAACATCAGCAAAGGTGACTCAACAGGCTATGAACTATGCCATCCGAACCGGCATCACCATTACCAGCGGGTACGCCATTCGGCAATGCGGTCGCCTACTCAAGGTTCGTGCATGACACCGACCCTCTTAAACTATTCGTGCACTAATGAGCACCAGACCGTGGAGGGCCGCGAGAAGGAGGAGCTGGCTGCCTTGCAGCTACGCCTCGAGGGCAAGATCCGAGTGAGTCCTTCCAGCCCTAGCTCGGCGCCCCTGTCTGACCCGCTAGATCATCTCGCCTGCAATCGACATGATTGAGCTCATTGCAGCACGAGGAAACACGTCATTAGAGTCAGCCGTGACTCTTACCAAGTCTCTTCGCTGGGACATCCAGTCTCTCGGCGTCCGGCTTGCAAAGGCCGTCGGAGAAGAAGAGCTCGCGCGAAGGGGTAGCTCAAAGAGCAAGTCGCGTGCCCAAAACGACCTGGAGCTGAAGCTCATCATTTCCGAGATCAAGAAGCTGCTCACCCGGATTGAAGATGCGGTGCCGCTAATCAACCTCGCTATTACGACCTCTGGCGTCAACCTATCCACGAGTCTCCCGGCCACAGTATCACCATCAAGGCTCTTACAGGCCAGCACATTTCTCACCGCGGGCGACGCGCAGTACAATGTGTCAATGCCCAGGGCGCAGCAAATTGGCCCTGCATTCACCCTATCCGTATACATGCTCTTTGCCGGCCATGCCTACAGGCCTCATGATGAAGGCATTCGAGAGACGACGTGGAAAGAGGTCATGCACAAGGCGCGCGTTGTCCTTTTGCGGGTGCCGCTAGACCATGTCTATGACTATCCTACCCCCTTTGGACCCAACACTCGGCAATCTGACGAAGGCGCTCATCGCCACATACCGGCTGAAGGACGACCGCACGAGTTTGCCTACCAGTTATTGATTGTGGAGGATCTCAATGACGACCGTGTCCACACTTTCGACGACGACGAACCCCAACCAGGTCCATACGAAGGAGTCGAACTTGCCGGCGTACGCGAGATTGTCCCCATTCATGAAATCTCCAAAATCTTTTACGCAGACACAGGAAAGATTCTAAACATTGGCACAGAGGGCGAGACAAACAACCCTATTCTCCTCCTGAAGCGCGATGTCAATGCTGTTCCTCCAAGGCGCATGATGGAGCAAAGTGCTCTTGAAACAGAATACGAGTCGGACAGTTCGCATACCGTGGGCGGCTCTGACGATGAAGCTGAGCAGTCTGAGCTAGATGACCAGCTCCGGCGCGAATCTACAGCCGATCTGTCCGATGCACCCCCGCAACAAGGAGAGCCAGACGCGCATCCGTGGCGTCTTCCCCCAAATCTGGACCTTGAATGGATGGCCTTTGAGGTCTATACAGAAGAGCCCTCGACGGATTCTGATGTCGACGAGTCCGAAGCAGATCTCTCGTCCCCTTCACCGGCCGATTCCACACCGCAGCGCGCCGACTCTATATCTGCCGGCCTCGCACCCCCCTTTTCCAAGCTGAACCTACGTCCGTCGACGCCGTCACATACGCCTCCCCCGCAGAACACGCAACTGATACCTTCGCCGCAAAAAGCCTCTGTTCCCATCCCTCAATACGCTCCCAAACCTACCTCGCTCCCAGCAATCAAGTCGTCTCTCTCCCTCCTGGAAATGCTCATCCGCCTGACAGCCCTCCAGCAATTCCAACAAACCTCACACCTTGCCATCCCCGACGAACTCCTCACCTTCTTCTTGTCGGAGAGCAGCACTGTGGGCGCAGGTGGCGACGGTGAACTCCGACGACGCGTGCGCCGCGAGGCACGCATGAGGGTTGGCTTCGATCCGTACGACGAGAGCCCGATCAAGCGGCGCGGAGAAGACTATCTCGAGCACGAGTTCCACAACGACGAGCATGGTTACGACGACATCTCCCACGGAGAAGGCAGGCCCTTTGACTACGAGGGCTATCCGCACGGTAAGGCGTCGACAATCTACTCGCGCTCCAATTCCGCTACTCCGATGCGCTCACCTTCACTCCCAGGCTCGTCGCCCACGTCCGGTAGCCGGTCCAAGTCGTCTGCGGATATTCCACTTCCGTCTCGAGAAGGGCGACCATCGCTCTCGAATCTGTCGTCTGCGAGCCCGCTGCTTAGACGGGCAACTACCCAGCCGAATCAGTACAAGGGGATGAAGCAGCCCAGCTTTCGCGGCCCGCCCACGGCGCCTCCGTCGTCTAGCTCCCCGGGGGTGAGCCAGGCTGCGGTAGGCGCACAGCGGATGGGGAGCAACAGTGTGGCGCCGGATACGCCGCCGAGCAGCACCGGCAAGCGGGGATGAAGTGCACAAGGGTGTGGGTGCGGAAAGATGAACGATGAAAGCAGGACATGCATAGTAGGTGTTTGATACCAATTACGGTCTGATATTTATGTCTTTTACAAATAGCACAACACGGCATAGCGAACTTAGGGTACTTAGGGTCCGCGCAAAATACCCGCACAGGTATATAGATGAATAGAAATCGAGTAATATTCACTCAAGCCCACTCAAAGCGTTCCAACGCCTACAAACTCCATCCAAGCCCATGCCCGCTCACTCCCAGTCCTCCTCGTCGCTCTCTTCGGCAACAACCTCCTTCTTTTTGTCCTGCGGCGAGCCCGGCGCCCGGCTCGTCGCTCCACTGACCAGATCGTAGCTCGCGTCGCTATCCGCTACAGACTTCTCGTCGTTTGAGCGGCGTGGCTGCGCCGGCTTGAGTGTATCCTCGGCAGCGGGCTTCAGCGTTTCTTTCGAGGCGGCGAGACTGGTAGCGGATTTGTTGGTGGGGGTGGGCTTGCTGGGAGTCTTTGCCGCGTCGGCTTCGGAGTCAGAGTCCTCGTCCCACGCTACTTCCTCCTCTGCCGGAGCGGATGCTACTCAGACATTAGTCCCAGCTCAATCATGATGCGAGCAATGTATACACGTACCCTTCAGCATCTCCCTCCTCCGCTGCTCCTCGCTCTCAATCACATGCCGCAGGAAATAATACCTGCACCAAAAATCCCTATACTCTGTCTTCTCAGGCACACACGTCTCCATAGCCGTCCGTAGCTCCACATGCCTCTCCAGATCTCTCGCAATCGCCTCCGTCTTCTTGTCCACATCAAACCCCTTCTTCCAGCTCTCCCACTCGGGGCTCACGGGGTCCCTGAGGAACGAGTCCAGCGACGAGTGGATGACGTGCAGCTGGGCGTCGAAGCGGGTGGCATGCACGACCTTCTTGCCGCTGCTGTCCTTGGACTCGAAGAGCACTTTCCCGGTGGCGGCGCCGTGGGCGTCGGTTTCGGGGGGCGCGATGGTGACGGCGTCGCGCAGGAAGGCGCGGATGTTGGTGCCGAATTTGAGCAGCGCTTCGTCGGCTGCGTCTTCGGCTTTCTCGATGTCTTTGAGGCGCTTGGCCGCTTCGGCGCGGAAGCGGCTCAGCATGCCCTCGGCTTCTTTGACGATGTCTGCGGGGAGCGATTCGGGGCGGTCGGGGTGCGCGCCGGAGGAGGCGGGGTCGGTTGTGGTTGCGGTCGAGGGGCCGTCTTTGGCGGCTGATGGGGAGGTCGGCGAGTCGCCGGCGCTGACAGAGAGGTTGCGCGTGTGTTTTATGAGGTTGGAGAGGCCGGCTGTCGCGCTCGAGCTTGCGCCTTCGTAGTAGTGCTCGCCCTGCGCAATTGGATGTGGTCAGGAGAGCGTTGATGAGCGCGCGGATTTGGAGCGCTTACCTGCTTCTTCACGGATCCGAGGAAGCCCCCCAGGCGTGCTGCCCATGGGCTGCTGGATATGGCTTTGTAGGCATCTTGGATCTCGCTGTTGAAGTTGTTCGCGCCCGGCTTGGAGCTGTCTTTGCCGGCCTGTTGCTGCGGGGCTGGGTCTTCTGGGTAGCTCTCCTCTTGGATGTGGTCGTATGCGGAGTCCATAGTTTTTGATAACAGTACCGGGATATTTGAGGGAACCTTGGAATGCCGTGTGCGACAATGGGTCGGTGCTGGTGGAGAGCTTGCGCTGCCGGAGGTGCGGTTGCGTGAGATCACTGGACAAGCTCGTGCCGACGGATTGGTTCACTTGAAAGAACGGACTGGTATAAGATCAAAGTAGACAAGGACGGCACAACAGATGCTACTGTTCCGAAATTTGTGGAGCAGCTACCAGATACTTCTGCATCTATCGAGCTGTGGGTGAGCTTCGAGGTTGCTGGGTGGGGCCAGGCACAGTTCTTGGCATCCGTTTCAGTGTCCGAGGCTCGCGCGCCTCTGGGATATCAACCTTTGTAGCCCATGCAGCCATTCATGATCCTACATCGTTGGCTCTCGTGAACTGATCCACGTAACCTCGATATCCTCATTTCCTCCGCTTCCCCACCACTTTCGTGAAACCCTCCTCATCCACTTCCGGCGCAGGCTTCGGCTTCGCAAGCACGAGCGGCGGCGCATCATCCATATCCACATCGCCATCCTCGTCCTCGTCCTCGTCCGTCTCCTCATCCACGCTGTCCCAATCGGCCTCTTGGTTGCGCTCGCTGACCTGCACATTCCCGGTGTTGACCTCCTTGCCTTTCCTGGCCTCCCACCTGCTCTGCAGCCCGTCCACCGTCGCAAAGTTGCCCTCGCCGACCTCGTCCCGTATTGCCATGATATCCTTTGCGACGGCGACTTCGGTTTCGTCCTCTAACCGCACGCCGAATTCGTCCTCGAGAACCTGGAGCAGCATCACCTCGACATCTTCGGCGTCCGTGGCGGGCTCGTTCGTGAAGAGCTCGGAAATTTGGCCGGCGAGCCAGTCGCGCTTGTCTGAGCTATCGGCGCCGCCCCACTGACTTGTTACCGCGACCGTGAGGATGGGCCAGTTGAAGAGGGTATGCCAGATTCCAAGGTCGAGTTTCGCCTGCGCTTTCTCTTGGTTCCGTTAGAAATGCGACTAGAGAAGACCGGACGGCAGTGCGCACCTGACAATGATCTGGTAGCTGAAGATGCGGTCATCTTGACTTGTGAATCCGAGCCTGAAGTGTCGTGGGGTTTTCGAAGCTTTTGAGCCTGGATTTTGCCAGCGTCTTATCGATATGGGATGCGCTTAACCCTTTTTGGAATCGCACAGCATCCGAAGACCATCATGGAGAAAGCTACCAGGTACTTTGAAACTGCGCCACACTTGAGACGTTCTACAACCCATAAATCCACCGCCGAGGCTTTGGCCCATTCCGGATCCTGAGAGAAGTAGACGGCTCTCGTCGACAGGCTTCATCGGCGAACCACTTTACGCTCGAACCGGAGACTTCCAACTACAAAACTAGCTATAACTAACTACCTAGCACCGGGTCACTCTTTCGATACCGATTCGACAAGTCCATTTCCATTCCAGGCCTAGCCTGCGAATTACTCGATTGCGGCAGCACTACGGTAAGGCTATTGACTTTTAGTCACCAAAAGCATCCAGGATTACTTTAACGGAATCAGTAAAGACCAGAGCGGCTTTGCTACATCAAATTGATTCGCCTAGCATTGAATCTCCGGACGTCGGCTTGCGGTTCGTACGACAGCTCCGAAAGGACTGTCCCACCCTTTGGATTGCCCTAGAAGAACTACAAGCACATCGCACATTCTTCTTTCAACCGTGCAGAAGGTCCACTGCGTAGTACATCCTCTTTGAAGGGAGTATCAGCTCCACTCTCATGAGTACACAGGCAGCTGGAAGAGAAGCGTGAATGTGAAAGCACGTGACGCGCTAGGCCGTCTTCGGCTCGATCTAACGATGGACGCGTCGTCTGCTCCACCAGAGACATGAGCCGTCTCCGCTCTCCCAGCAGAAATCAACCGGTCTCTCTTGAGCCGCGCACCGGGTGGAGCCATTCGTGGCAGTTGCGACGCACGACGTGTGGCTCGTGGGGTTTCTTATCATGGCTGTTGCGTCGTGTTTCTCTAGAGGAGTAGTTGCCATTTCCATCCTCAAACTAGGAGCATTCCTCTTTCTCGTTGTACTACGATAGCTTTGTGCAGAAACTACTAGCAGATTCTCGATTCGGGTCATTACATTCCTTACGTTGTCGAGTCGATCATCGCACTTCCAGCCAGAATCCAGCCCAAACAGAATACGTCTCTTTAGATATCTAGGCCGCTCATTTCTCTCTCAAAGCCACCCTGCGCAATAGCGCAAACGCCGCCATGTCTTCATCATATCCACCGGAGAAGCAGTCAATATCATCGACGTCAAGAGCAATACCAAGCTCATCGGCACTGCCAGCTCGACATGACACTGCACAGCGAACTTCAACACTGAACCCCAAGTGCTGGACACGGAGAACATGGCTCATTGTTGGTACGGTGACTGTGCTCGTCATCACTGCCGCGGTTGCAGGAGGAGTGCTCGGCGCCAGGGCGAACGCATATCCAAATTACTCCAAGATCGACTATACACTACGGGATACATGTGAGTCTCCCCTAGAGTTTTTATGCAATTCTCCGCTTACTCAACGCCATAGATGCCGGAGCCACATTCTTCGATAACTTCGACTACTTCACCGGGTACGATCCCACGCACGGTTTCGTCCATTACGTAGATGCCGCAGGCTCCGCAGCCCAGAACCTCACCTCCACCAGCAACACCACCGAAGCAGATTCGCTCGCCAGCAGCGGCACAACGGCCGTCCTGCGCGTCGACACAAGCGACCAAAACGCCACCACCGGCCGCCGCAGCGTCCGCATCACCTCCAAGCAAACATACAGCTCTGGCCTCTTCATCTTCGACGTCCTGCACTCGCCCTTTGGCTGCGCCACCTGGCCGTCCCTCTGGCTCTCAGACCCCTCGTCCTGGCCCGCCCACGGTGAGATCGACGTCATGGAAGCCGTTAACGTAGGCGACACGGGCAACCAAATGACGCTGCACACGACCTCGGGCTGCAAGATCGGCAAGAACAGACGCAGGAAGCAGACCGGCGAGGCACTCTCGTACGACTGCTACAACGGCACGAACAGCAACGAGGGCTGCGGCGTGCAAGGCCCCGCCGACTCCTACGGCGAGCTATTTAACGCCAACGGCGGCGGCGTGTACGCCATGGAGCTACGCGACGAGGGCATCCGCATATGGATGTTTGGGCGCGACGGCATCCCGCAGGACGTCGAGGACAAGGCGCCCGATCCGTCGACGTGGGGGACTGCGCTGGCGGATTTCCCGAACTTGGAGTGCGATATCGGGTCGCATTTCAAGAATATGTCGATTATTGCGAATATCGACTTGTGCGGCGATTGGGCGGGCCAACAGAGCGTTTTCGGCGAGAATGCGTTGTGCACGGGGACGTGCTCGGATTGGGTGGCGTCTCAAGCCAGTAGCTTTGATGAGGCGTATTGGGAGTTTGGCGGGTTTTGGGTGTATGAGGGGGCATGAGGAGGTCGAGGTTGCTGTGCTAAGGGTTTGAGAAGTGGAGAGGCTCGACCCCGAATTGAATAGGGTTTTGACGGGTGCCTTGACTTTGATGGCATGATTTGGTTAGAGTTAGTATAGTTATGCATCATCCTACACAATAGGCACTCCTAGCCCGAAGCAGTGCCAGCATCTTCACAGCCACGAAAAGAACGGAGAGGATACATGGACAGCTCGGGACATATTCGCACTGCAGGGCGAGACCAGAGTAGCCCACTTTCTAACCAACATCTGGGCCTCCTCCTTTGAAACGTCATAAACCTCAAGATGCTGTAAACCACACTCACCACATTCAAAAGATCTGCGCCTCTCCTCCAGTTCCAGGCGCACAAATTTTTCGACCCTGTGGACAAATGGAATAATGGTGTCGGTGTGAATGAGCTCGTACTCGCATTTGCATCGGCGATTCCACGCCTCGATGCGGCGGCGTGGATCTGGATGGTGGGTAAGTCCGATCTTTAGGAGGCTGCGCGGTGTGTCGCTTTGCCATGCGATGTATATCAGCCCAGCGCGTTGTTCGTCTGGCCGATTTGGCTCGTCGTCCAGCCGTTGCAGGAGCGCAGCGGTTCTTTCGTCTGTGGTCTGGTCGGGCTGGAAGATTGAGAATTCGTCATCATGTGTGTCTTGAACTGGATCACTTTCTACAGAAGGTCCAAACTGCGGATCGAGAGTAGGGGGTAGTAGGGTAGCTGCACAATGTCGATGTTGGCCGTATTGGCTATGGATATTAACTTGTTAACGGTGCCCTCCAGCACAGAGAAGGAGAGCTGTCCTTACCATTCGAGAGTGGTGGTGTGCGTGCCGTATGATCGCGCTGTTCGGCAGCCGGAATGCGGCCAGCCGAGATGGGGTCTAAGATGCGTGACATTTCGGGCCGTCGCGACCTAGTAGAACGATATTCGGTGAGAATTGTTCTTCGAAAGCCACCAAAATCCTCGTGGAAGATCGCAATGGAATCGAAGGCGCGCGTCTCGTTGAAGGGAGCTGTTTTGGATTTTAGTGGAAGGTTCAAATAGGCGGCAAGCTGTGAGGCGAGAACTGCGGATCGAGAGTGGCTTAGCGCGCTGTGCCTCTTCAAGCGGTTCCAAGGTTATATCCGAAGATCCAAGTCAAGGTGGACATGCGCAACGATTAAAGTTCATGCCTTAATTCCGAGTAGCGTTCCGTGTTCCGCGAAAGAGAAGTGGAGATGGCCGCCATAATCCCTTAGTATGCTATGTGATTCCGTATGCCCGCCGCCCTGCTCTTAAGTCTAGATATCCCCGAAGTAAATATGTACATGGAGGTGCCTCTCTTCCAATGTCTCATCTCCTTACTTTAGCAGCTTCCTTGTCGCCGTCTCCATCCACAGCTTCGTATATAACCGATGCGCAAACTGAAATCTCCACGGCAGCGGTTCCGCATCCTTGCCGTCCGGCGTCGTATTCACAAACACGCTCTTGAGATGGAACGTCGCCGTCTGCGCCTCCTCGTCCTTTGTGACTTCGATCGAAAACAGGCCGTCGCTCGGCCGGGGCTCCGTATTCAGCGGCGAGTCGCCGCAACGCACAATCACCTATCGATGCATCAGCAAACCAATCCGTCAATCCTACGCCTAACCCCTCCAATTATATAGAAAGTCGACGCACCTTTTCCGGCGTACGCTCCATAACCTCAAAATGATCCGTAATCTTCGTCCCCACCCGATACTCATCCTCCGCCAACTCGCTCCGATCCCACAACTGCTCCTGCCGGCCCGGCAGCGCGCGGTACTTCCGCTCCAAATAGCGCCGCTGGTACGCATACCCCAGGCCGCTCCACACGCCCCTGCAGAAGTCGGTTGTCAGCTGCGCCTGGTCCTGCGTCTTCAGCTTCGCCAGCGGGATCGTCTTGACGGCATGGTCGATGCACACGGGCGGATTGCCGCCGGGGTTGTGCTTCTTCGCCAGCGGCGTGGACAGGTCGGCGTGCGACGCGTCGTAGGGCACGAACTTTGTGGAGCGCGCGTAGAAGGAGAAACCGGCGTAGCCGATGGCGAGGTTGGTTATGCCGCCGCCGACGAGGCCGAGGAAGATGCCGAGGGCGCGTTTGGAGGGCGGGAGTCGCTTTATTTGCGGCGGGGGCGCGATGGTGTTCATTTTGGCGGCGTGTTGGGGTGAATTGGCGCGGTCGGAAAATGTTGGAGTTTTGAGGAAGTATGAGATGGAGCTTGGGCCGTGTCGGCGGAATTAGGCCGAGGTTCGGGATGGCGGATCAGGGAATCCCGGGCCATCGTCAGTATCAAAAAGCAACGTTGAAGCTTCTAATATCCCCTCATGAGCTACTAGATAACTAGAGAGGGAGCGAGGAATGAGCCGCCGTCTATACACAAAAAAAAACACGGCACGTGCGGCGACTCGGTACCTAGGCACCACAACCTTGGGTCAAGGGCGACGACACTCGTGGATTAAGAGCTACAGAAAGAATGTAATGATCGTAGTGTAGGGCGCATCCTGGTAGCTAGAAGCTTTGCCCGAAGACCAGCGTTCAAAGAATAATCCGCCTTCAAATTGACCAACCCATCTCCGTAGCAACTGTCACTAGCTGTCTTCTCCTCAGCTCCACTACATTGGAGTACTGACGGTGTCATCTTCTGCTCGCAAATCCTCCTCTTCATTCGGCTGCGGGTTTCCTTCGCTCTGCGCTACGTCGTCGCTCGCAATTTCCGGCGGTGCGTGCGTAGAGGCGGTATCTCCTTCAATATCTGGCGTAGACTCTGCATCAGAGTCGTCAGATTCCAACACTTGGAATCCTTCTCTGTCAGTGTCTGAAACACCAAGCTCCCTACCCACGCTGCCTCTCCGTTTGCTGGCTTGGACTTCCGGTATCAATGAAAGTAAGTTTTCCACTAGATCTCGAATGATCGCCCGAGGGTCAAACGGACTCTCTAGTTGGGCGTCTTTGTCGCGATTCTGCTGTGGTCTCTTCCTTCTATACGTTTCTGTGCGTGTGAAAGCTTAGCGATGGCGATTACCAGCAAAAGAGTTTGGCTTACCAGGATAGTCCTTGAGCAGACATCGTGGAAACCCGCTGATTGGGATCAATCCTCTCTTTCGTACGTGCAACACCATCAAGATATTGGTCTCGGCGGCCGCACTTGAGATCGTGATATCGAAAGGCGGCATATTGAACTTCCCGGACTTTCGCATCTCGAGAATAGTCTCCTCCTCTATTTGGTGAATGTCATCTTTGTTGATGTCACCTACATGCGTTTCGGTCACGCAAAAGCTTAGCCCCGGAGTTCCTTCATTCTTGATATCTTGTGACAATTCCAACAAGATCTCACCGAATTGTCTACTGATGTCATCACCTGGCGGAAGCCGGCATTCAATGCGGCCTTTAATATAGGTCAGTGAAACTGCGTCGCGAGCAAGAGCAACTAAAGGGAGACTGTACCGCTACATGTCGGCCCGCGAAGATCTTTCTTCTCGAAACGGTAGTAGAAGCAAGAGGCAATCAACTGGTTCACAATGTCGCTGATGTCGTCTTTCTTGGTATCCAGATATGTCTCGGTCAGAGACTCGTACATTTCAATCTCGTCTACCCGATCCATTCGAGGTTCGTGATCTAAAGGAACATTGATCCTTCGGTACCGGCTGACGTGTCCTTCTAGGGGCATTTTAGTATCGATCCAGTCTTGCCATGCTCGTTCAGAGGCCAACTGAGTCTTGAAGACATCTTTTCCCAAGTCAAAAATTGTCGCCACCAATGCTGTGACGCCACTTGCGCTGTTGGCTGGGGGCGGAACCGTAGGAGCCATTAACTCCTCGTTGAAGCCGGTACCAATAGAGAGTAGAATGTCCGGATGACGGTATTTTGTCGCGGGCCAGATCAGTTTCTGTTCAGAGTCTGCGATCCTGATCGGGTTGTTGTGGTAGACACCGCCATCCAGATAGACCTGCTCCGAGGCTTCATGACTGTATACTCGCCAAAACCCAGGTACAGCCGAAGTGGCCCGAGCACTTGTGCATCGTAAGCAGCAATCTGATCACAACAATGGTGCCACATACCCCTCCCACGCCTTGAACTCCTTGCTCTCATCTGCACCTCGGAAGAAATGATAACGCTCTATTCGGCTGTGAGTAAAGCGCGCAGCATAGGGACAACAGAGAGTGGGTTGCAACAGTACTTACGGCCATCTGATGCCTCGCGATTGTAGTTGCTGAGCAGCGTCACCGGACCTGATGGCGTTGTAGTGACGACTGCGGTTTTGGTGCGTAGCCAGTCAACCTTCCTCGGATCGCCGAACATGGTGCTGGAAAAGACACCTCTTAGAGTCTCTTCAAAGATAGATGTACTGTATACTGTCCCCGTGGCTACTTTGGTGATGGTTCGTGTTCCGGGTAGAGCTCGGTGAGGTGTGAAGGCATCTTTTGCCATCTCTTTGAATGTGTCTGTGCATTTTGTAACCGTCCAGCCTTCATGGCCTAGGCCCAACGCTACGATACCTCCAGTGCTAGAAACAGTTAGGAGGTTATTGAGTACGCAGATAAGGAGTAATCGTTCACCTTGTGCCAACGATGAGATCAAAGAAGGCTTGAATAGGGATTTTGTCTCCCAACTCCAGTTCAATGCGCCGGAGTATCGTCAGCTCGACTATACCGCGTATGCCTCCTCTGCAAGGAATGAAATTAGCGTTTAACAATATTAAATGGACTTTGTCCGAGATACGTACCCATCAAGCGTCAAGATACGCGCACCAGCCTGCGCTGGCTTAACGGCGGCCAGATACGGCGTGGTTCCCCATTTGTCATCGCACAACGGGCATATTTCAATCTTGATGAAGCCGGAACCAAGTGACTCTCCAGCCGCCGTGATGCAAGGTGTGCAGATGGTATGTCCGCAGGGGAGAGTGTGCTCGGGGGCCTCCATGAGACAGGAAAGGCAGGTGACATGATTCTTGAAAGAGCCGCTGTTACCAAGTTCTCGATACAGAGAGCTGATAACCTTCCGATGGCAGTCGAACACGCTCCGTAGTTTTGGTCGCTCTGGGAATTCTTTGGCGACATCATGAAAGGCCCGCTCCAGATGAAGTCTTGCGCTGCCTTTCATTTGACTGTCCTTTTCGCTGCATCTCCAAGGTCCACCTTCCACGCTGCCATCCTCAGACTGGTGGCCTTTCCGATGCGTATTCCTGAAATTTACGCAGCGTGGAATCTTCTTGCTCGTGTATGCGCAAGGCGTGTGCTTGTCGTTGAACTCCTGAATAGCGTCCTCGCAGTATGGCCAGTATTGCGTGAAGATTCCCTCAAGGTCTCCTACGCATGACTATCAATGCAGGCACATAACAAAGGGCGCTTTGCTCACCTAGGCCTATTACGTCCCTCTGATATGCGCTTAAGAGAATGCAAGAAGCAATCGCACGACTGATTCGCTCCCAGACTTGCAAACCAATGTCTCCAGTGCATGTTCTCACGATCTGTGCCAGTCTCGATATCCCGCTGCGCAGGCTAAAATTGGCGGAAATCGGATTGATCTCGAAGGACGCTTTGACGAAATCAAATGGTTTGTCGGCATGATCGGCAAAATGGTTGAAAGCGTTCCGCAGGTAGTGATGGAGATTGACTGCATCGAGTTGCATATGCTCTTGCTGTCGCCGCTGCTGTGATGTCTTGCATTTCCCTTTGATGGCCTCGTATAAAGTAGTAATTTGCTGCTCGAGGAGAACGGGAGAGCGAAATAGCGGGATGCGGATGACTTGTGTGCTGGCGTAGTAGCAATTCAAAAGGTCGTCAACGGTTTCAATCTTCACCTTGCGCTCGTCCCAGAACTGGACCATGCCCCGGAGGTAGTCATTTTTTGTCAGGGACGACTGGACGGCCTTCAACAACGCCTGTGTGGTGGATTTCGACTCCCACTTCTCCGCATTTTGGCCATTCGATTGGGTGCGGTTGAGGGCGACGACCGCGTGTGGGAGTACTGATTGATTGCAAGCCTTCTCAATCGCCTGGTGAGCCCATTTGACCAGCTGGATGAGAACACTTTCAAACTTCCTGACCGAAGCATTAATATAGATAATGTGATGACCATGGCCTTCGACATACCTCGGGTTGTCCAGAACAAAGACCACTACGTCGGAGAATGAGTAAAGCAAACGAGGGTAGAGTTCCCGGACCAGAGCTTGTCGCCCTTGCTCAGCCCAGGTGATCTGCTTTGGTGTATATCCATCGACACCTTCGAGGTATGGCCGAATTCTTTTATTGAGTTCATCACCGTCACCTTCTACGTTGATGCATTTTCCAGCAAATTGAACGGCGACGGGGTCTCTATCTCCGCCGTCTAGCCCTTCGCAGTCTGCGTAGAGCATCGCAATTTTCCCAAACTTGTGATTGAAGAGAGATCTAGGATCGGCGTACAGGTGAACATCTGCGGAGGTCGGAGTAGTGTCATCTTCTACACTCCCAACGATAGGAGAGGATCGCTGAAGGGATTGTGCCGTAAAGATCGACGAGTGTTGCTTGGAGAAAGGGCCGGCATAATCTTCTTCAGCCCAAACTCCACTGTCAATCAAGAGTTTGATCAACGCACTCTTGCCCGCACCTTTAAGAATCAGCAAGGTTCAGGAGGGAGTTGCTTGGGGGAAATTTACCTGTTTCTCCAACGAAAGTAACGAGTCCAGGATAGATGCCCCATGGTTGTACAGCTGGGTTCTCGAATATCAGATCTTCGTAGACCGGTCCTTCATGGATAAACTGGCTCCCGTCGCTCTCGGTAATGCCGAACCAGAGATTCCGCGCATCTTTCTGATGCAGTTCGCGCTGCTGCTCTTCGGTCTTTGTCGGAGGATGGAGAATCTCCGTCAATAGATGGTTGAGCATGGGATCACATTTGGTGTGCGTGGTGATGGACCTTTGTGCCTGGTCCCGATGACGCTCGACGGTCTTCCAACACTCTTGACAATAATTCGCGTCGCACTCCACACAGCGTTGGACGTCTGGCGTAAATCTGTCGTCGCAGTCCGCATGGTCGCATCGGTACGCATCCCAAAGGTGGTTTAGATTCGCTATCGTCCTTGCCGCTACTTGGCTGAAACTGTCCATCTTAATGGCTGTTGACGGGGTTGCGTATAGGGGAGAAAGACCCACGGTGGCGAGCAATTGAAGTACCGTGTGTCATTTACAGTTGGTAAGAATATGTTCTGACCTGGGTGACTACGGTCTTATATGCATCTTGAGGCAGACGAGTACCAGCTGTCCAGTGCACAGAGTAGGTGCACATCTGAGCTATCCACGCTGCAGCCCAGAGAGCTCAAAGTTTTTTTTAGGATCCTGAAGCAACGCCCAGCTGGAATAGAATACGTGGAACGGTCCAGAATTAGGGTCTTTACCGATGGGGCTGCAGGATGGAGGTGGGCATTCTACGCCTCGATTGGTGGTCGCTAGACATTTCTGATTCCGGCTTCTCTGGACTAGGCGCTCAACAGCCCGTCAGCAAAGGTGTTCTGGCATGGCCATGGCGGGGTTTCAGCCTTGCGATTAGAAGCGCCATGGCGCCTGGTTGAAGTCGACATTGGACATATCGGCGGCACGCGATCAAGGGTTTGCGGCATTTTTGTCGTGAAGCTGATATCAAGGTTGTGCAGCGCAAACCTAGAGGTTGAAGCGAATAGGCTTCTGGATTGAAACCGGTGTGCGGGAAGATGAAGGTCGCCTTGGAATACATGTTGTTTGCTCGCTGCTGCCGACCAGCCGCCATCAGCCGCACATCGCCCGCTGTCGCGAATTTGGGGGCCTGGCCGGCATTGAGGATTGACGAAGGGTAGTAGTAGAGTAGCTCGAGGATGCAGAGAAGGAACACGAGGCATACCCGAGGGATGACGTCGTCTTCGTTAATAATGTGTTAGATGGTGAAGAACAGGCCTCCTTCTGCCTTGTTACCGCAGAGGTGGTTCACACCGTTTACTTTGTGTTGGCGCAATGCTTCGGTTAGCGTGGATTGGAGAAGTATTCCGTCAGTGACGGGGGCAAAGCCAGAAGTCCCGAAGCTGGAGATCAGCGCAGAGACTTCTGTAATGCCTCACTGGCTTTGGATACGAGACACTGGAAGATGGTCTACGAGCTTCTTCCGTAGACCCATTGCAGCGGGAATTCAGCGGCGCTGGCGAAGGCGTAGTAGGCCTGCGAAGTTATCCAGTCTTTGTCGCCGTGCTCCTGTGACAGGTGTGATGAAGAGGATATTGGCTTCCAAATATTAGCTTGTGGTATCGATGCGTGGGGATTCTTACATTGACAAACGACGGCGTGCCCAGGATAACTCCATAGGCAATGTCCCGCAGCATGACGAATCTGCCAAGCGCTGAAACGCCGGCGATGGTAACCCGGGTTGGATCGCCTCCAAAGCTATCAATGTAGCCCTGCACCCCGCGTGATGCAAAGTGCTCGTCCAGCAGCCCAGCGTCCATAACGCCATTTCTGAATACTTCCTCACCGGCCAGGGAACCAAAAACGCCAAGCTTATATAAGCAACCAGCCTCTCTTCGACTTTCTTCGGATGCGCGGTACTCACGCGGTACTGTATGGCTACCCCTATGAGCATCGTCATTGGTAGTAAGGAAGTTCAGTATGTCCAGAGTGTCATCGCCCTTGCCATGCCTGCCGGCCTGGATCCAGACAAGACTGGTAGGCCTCATGCATTCCGTGGGGCGCATATGTTCAGAATCAGGCAACCGTCGGTAGTAGAAGGGGATGGTAACCCCAAAGGGACCGGACTTTTGACTCTGCAGACAGGCCGGGGCGAAGGAAGCCGCTGGAGTCACACCGCTGCGGTGTGCAGTCAGAGGCACAGGCGCTTGTCATCGCAGAGCACCAATGGGAAAAGCGGCATATCGAATCCTGTTCCACCTCAGGGGTGGAATTCTCGGACGAAGTCGCAGGATCAGCACACCCTTTGAAAGTATCGAGTCCTGTTGACGAGTTTGCAACTCCTTCATTTAGGGCATACCCGAGATCCACCCTGAGCGTCTCGGGTTGAGACCTGCTGGCCTGCTGTGCTAGCCCTGGAAATGGGTTTGCGTGTGGCGCGGCAGTGATGGCTTGGATTGTGGTGGTGATGGCGACAAAAAGTGGAAGGGCTCCGATGAGGAGGGTGACAATTCGAACACTAGTGTTCCAAGCAGCTTCCAAAGACGAGAGTAAGGCAGTGAGCTCTTGTAAGCGCAGTGAAGATATCTTCGGCCTCTATCGCGCTTCGCCGAGTAGGGTGCTTGCATGAGCGTCCCACTGTTCCCATAGCATACAGTTGTCTGCCAGCCCGTTTGCTTCGACCAACCTCGGCTTGCAGGTGAGCAAGTCGGGTGGGTGATCCGGTGGTCGGGCTTGCGTCGTTCCTGATGCGGACACCAGGCTGTCTCAAAATGGAGCGGGGACAGCGCCTGGGGCAGAAAAGGCTGAAAGTGGGTGTCTGACGAGAAGGGTCCGGCTCGTCAATCGGAGGAGAGAAACGTCGCAGGCTGCAGGCGCCAGCGGAAAGCGACGATTGGCCACGAAAGCTGTGCGACTGGGACGATGCAAGATGGTTGAACGTAGCACGTACAGTATTCATGCGCAGAGCCGTTATCGGAATGGCGATTGCCGTTTTCCGGGGTTTGACCAGCAATAAGAGTCAACGAAAAGCGCCAATATGAAGCGTTTTACAATCTAGGCTGCAGTGGGAGATACATGCCAGAGGCGCCCTCACTATCCTCACAGCTATAACCGATCTTGGGAGGCAAAGGAGGCTTCATGCCGTGGAACCAGAAACGGGGCACAGCCTTGCCGCCTGAGTCTATATCGCACCAGCCCGACCAAAGACAGTATACCGGTAGAATAGTGGGCGCCATTTCCATGCAGTGCGGAGCAGGTCGTTGGCATATCATATCGAAGGAGGAGGTGGCACACAAGAAGCAGGCGTCTTGACGTCTTCGAGGCAGCGAGGTCCGTGCGTTCGGCGTTTAGTCGCAAGTGCTTCGTGACACCTCACGACTCCCCTCCTGTCCACCATTCTGCACCCCATTCGGCGCGTTGCACCCAGAAGCACCCGATTAAACGCGTCGCAGTGCTACCTGCTCAATAGCCGAGAAACACCACTGTCCGTACAGTAAGCTCAGTCTTCAGCCTCGCACACGCCTCGTCGTGGGCGTGTCCGACGCGAGCGCCAGAAACACAAAACTCGCTCCATGATACTCCGGCGGGTGCACTATCAATTTCTGGAAACAGCGCCACTGAGAGGACTGAGAGAAAACTTGGCTTCTGCGGGCCGCTCGAACAAGCTCCGGGTAGGCGCCGGGTCGTCGCATCGAGGCTGGATAGGCAGCGATGAACGTTCTCGGACATGCCAACGTCGCGGGCGTATGAGAACCAAGCACCGTCGCCCCGATGTTGGACTTCGATTTACCTGTCGAGCCCCGGCCGCATACAACTCTTAGCGGCGATCGGCTCGCTGTGCCATTGGTATGTCTTTCCACACCGATGGTTGGCCGCCTCAGGGAACGGGACGATCCTTCGGGGTCCACGTTTCTTGGGAACGCGGAAATCGAACTCACACCTGACGTTCTGTGCCGTATATCTGTCCCATCCCACAATCCCGCCCAATGGTTGTTCTTCTTGCGGAAGAGGTGGCTGAGTGAATATTGGTATTCAGTAAGCGCTGCCGCAGTAAAAATCACGCCCCACTACGCCTGTCGAAGCGTGGGGGAAGAGCAGATATGACCGCAGTCCAAACCGTTGGCCCTGGTCCATGGCGTCGATATCATTGTCCGTTCACCGATTCGCGCGTTGCGCATGCCAGATTCCGGTCCATCCTGCACGCAGATGGTCCCGCTCTTGATAATGTGTAAGCGTGCAGATCAAACGTCTCCGCGCATCGCACCTGCAGTCCGTTCTCCATCAAACACTCAGAACCTAATCTGTACTGTGATGACATTTCCGCCGAGCAGGAGGTTGGACTTGACCGCTTCGTGACTGTTCCGGTATGAGGGTGTCGCCACGTGCCTTGTCCCTGGGCCGCAGCCTTGCACATCCACCGACCGGACACGTTTGGGGCAACCATCTCGTATCCCTACGCCGCAAATACTTAACTGCCGGAGACCCAGCAGGTCTTTTTTAGGCTTCCATAAAGTATTGACTGAGGCCTTTACGCTGGAGATGAGCCCATGGAGTCTCCTTTGCGCCCACCACCTCCGGTATTTTTATCCATCCCCGCGCCGAAAGTGTACTGACTATCCCAGGGTGCCTCGTCCAACTTTCACAATCCGGATTTCCTGGGCATGCCAGTGATAATCGCCGCGAGTGGTTGCATTCCACTGATTCTTCTCTTCGCAACCGTTCGCATTTATGCGAGGAGGGTTATAGTTCAGAAGTGGAAATTTCAAGATTGTAAGCGCATTCGTGATGTTATCATCCAGATGTCTGACTCGTAGCAGATGCCTTTTGCCTCGGCTGCGTATGCTTTTACAACCCCAATGGGTTTCGTTGTCTCTCTAACCACTGAGTAGCTCGTCGGATTAGCTTTCATTGCATTCTCGATTCCGCGTAAGTCGGTACATGCCACACAACTACTGACTTTCACTAACCTTCTTTAGTCACTCTGGCCAAGCCGTATGGCTACCATGTCTGGGACATAAACGTCCAGGAGTTGACCAAGGCATCGATGCTCGTATGCCAGACCTCGTTCGTGATGAATGCGCTTGCTGATTCCTACCACAGCGTCTCCAAATCTCCGCAATCGTCTTGGGCCCCGTGCTCTGGCTTACGAAGATGACCTTGTTTTGCTTCCTGATTCACATTTTTGGTTCCGCTCGTTGGTTCAAGAACAGCGCCTATATTGGCATTGTCGCAACCGGGCTCGTCTTTTCACTCTACACCTGCACAGTCACCATGGCGTGCGCACCGCGCCCCGGATCCGACGTGCAGTCATACATATCCGGTTTCCGACGGGATGCGTGCTCTTCGCCGAAAGGGCTGAATATGATTGTGAGCGTCATCGCAAGCATTGTCAACGGCATTACCGACTTGTTCCTCTTGACGGCTGCAATTCTCTTGAACTCTTCGTTGAACCTACCTATCGAGGAGATGCGCGGCATCTATCTAATGCACTTAAGCGGAGTCATGTAAGCAACCCCCAATCTTCGCCTTGTCGTATGCATTACTGACTTTTCTAGCGCTAGCGTCTGTGGGTTCTTGGGTGTCGCCTACCGTATCAAGTCTTTCGTCTCGGCAGACATTACTGGGTACCAAATCCCTCTTAGCGTAGCCATGTGAGATACAGTCTTTTCCATGTCAACGACGACATAACTAACCATTTCCAGCATCCTAGAGGTGGCTCTTAGCCTGATGATTCCGTGCATGCCATCCTTTTACACCATCTGGCACCACTACACCCACATTGAGATCAACGAAAAGACCACCATCGGGTCGCCCAGAACACGCTTCGACAGCGCAATGTCCAACTATCACCGCCCTCCAACGCCTCCTGCAGCGGTAAAGTCAACATGGCGCAAAACCCATCTCAGCATCGAAGATCTCCCCTACCGAAGAGCATCGTCAGAGTATGTCCAAGGTACGAGCATGTCTACACGCGACTCCCGGATGAAGGCGCTCCCGTGTACTCCGCTGCCCTTTAGCGTCCCAATGTCGTCAAAGACACCCAAATCGCCGAACAGCGTCCGGAGCATGCAACTTCCCATCATGCTAGATGGGTCGTATCGTTGACACCGTCGTTGTGCCGTACGAGAACCCGTTCGTTTTTTCCTCATCCATCGTTATTCGAAACGGACCTGGTTATTACGGGCGTCTAGAGGGATGGACGTCTCGGATGTCGTTTGGTTTCTTTTCTAGGGATCACTGGAGAGGCGGCAGGAGTGCTTTCAGCGGCGTTGCGCAACATATATGGGATGTTTGCTTGATACCCCGGGAATACAGCAGGGCTTTTTATCGAGATATATATAATGGCGAACTGAGTAATACTAGACTGAGTTAATGTGGTTAACCACATCACATCACTGAACTGAGATCACATTTTCCGACGAACACGACTGACCTCTTTCGCACACAAAATTTTCCCCACTCCCTTGACCGTCATCCAATTCTCCGTATTTACGCCTTAACAGCGAACATACTCCGATGATCCGCTTCGGGGATAAACGACGAGCGGGGTCTAACGTCATCATCCAACCACAACCTCACCTCGTCTCCAACCCCCAACACGAACACGAAGTCTACATCCCCGATAAAGGTCGCCATCCCTTCCCCTCGCACTTTAGCCACTCGCTTTCTCTCTGTTAACGCCCGACCTCCAACACGAACCTCCATTCGCATACGGACAATTCACCAACGCAGGGGCCAAGTAAGTCTGCACCTTCCTCATCCGGCACGGCCCGGCACACTACACTCTGCTCTGCGCAACATTCTGGAAACGCATCGCACACCCCTTGAAGCCGCCCCGTGCGTGCGCCACATCTCAGAACCTTCGCAGTAACCTTAGGTGGAAGCTTGTTTTTTTCTTTTTCCCGTTTGATCTTCCCGTCCCGTGCCCGTCCATCCGTTTGCCGCCAAATCTGAAACACTCCCCCTAACGAACCGCAGTTCCCCCACCCAAAACGGTGACCTCCTAGTTTCACATCCCACACACATCGCAAAATGTCCGTGTTTCGCGCCGGCGCCCGCGCGCTCATCACAGGCGGCGCGTCCGGCATCGGGCTCGCGGTCGCGGAGCTGTGCCTTGGCCGCGGCATGCGTGTCGCCGTCGTCGACTTCAACGAGCAGACTCTAGATCTTGCGAAGAAGAATTTGAGTGCCAAGGGGGAAGTGCAGTGCGTAAAGGCGGATGTGGGTAAGGAGGAGGACTGGAAGCGTGTTAGGGAGGAGATGGGGGATGTGGATTTCTTGATGCTGAATGCCGGGGTCGGGGGCAGGGGGTCGTGGGGGGATGAAGAGTATTTCCAGAAGGTGAGTGGTTGGTGGTTGTCTTTGTGTGAGGTTGGATTTTGTGTCCAGAGGGATTTTGAGGGGCGTTTGGGCGGAGCGCTTCAGGATATGCGGGGATGAGAGGGCAAGAGATGGAATGGGAAGGCCGATATTGGGCATTCGTCTGCGTGGTGACGTCCGCCGTTGCGTCGACTGCATGCAGGCATGGGACAGAAGTCCGAAGCACGTGGGATTTGGCATCACCATCGCGACTACGGTCAAACGGCTTTGAGTCGATGATGCAGAGTTGCCATACCCGCATCCGCATCTCGACCCCCCAACCCCGTTCCGACTCCCTGGCGCACGCTCTCCACGCATCCTGGAACCCTCCAGCAGCGAATCGCACCCCCCTCCAACCTCCGCCCAACCTAGCTAACCAAACCCTCCTCACAGATCCTCTCCACGAACCTCTACGGCGTCCTCCACGGGCTCAACACCTACATCCCGTCCTTCCAATCGCGCGCCCCCAGCGCGCCCCCCGCCGCCATCGTCATCACAGGCAGCAAGCAAGGCATCACCAACCCGCCGGGCAACCCTGCCTACAACGCCAGCAAAGCGGCCGTCAAGACACTAGCGGAGCATCTGAGCTGGGACCTGCGCGAGAAGGAGAACGTTGGCGTGCATTTGTTGGTGCCGGGGTGGACGTTTACGGGGCTGGTGAGTTGCTTTTACTCTGCGTTGAAGTTGGCCCCCTGAATTCGCTGCTGGGCTGGGCAGGGCTGGGCAGGGCAAGGCGGGGGATGTATGGCTCCTTGGCTTAAGCTTCCCACTCCTCAGCAGCTGCCCTGGAGTGCCACAATACCTTCCTCCTATCCTCCTACCCTCCCGTCCTCCAGTCCCCCCCCCCCAACCCACCATCCAACTAACAAACCACCCACCCCCACAGTCCGGCAACACGCCCGGCTCCTCAGCCTCCAAACCCGCCGGCGCCTGGACCCCCGCCCAAGTAACAGCCTACATGCAGCAAAAGATGGAAGCCGGCAAGTTCTACATCATCTGCCCGGACAACGACGTCTCGGCGCAGACCGACAAGAAGCGCATGCTGTGGAGCGTGGGGGACATCGTCAAGGAGCGGCCGCCGCTGACGCGGTGGAGGGAGGAGTATAAGCGCGAGGCGGAGGAGTGGATGGCGGGGGTGGAGGATGTGGAGAAGGTGTTGTGAGAACCTCTTGCGGTAGGGAATTCTCCAGATCTAAGGGCTCGCCGGATAAGAAAGTAAAATTAGCTTGTGTATTGTACGCACCTACGGAGGCCTCTAAGGTAGCTATTGCGCACGTCGATCTATCCGGAAAATTCCACACCGTAAGAGGAACGCTGCGTGTATTGTATTAAGGCTAGGCTATGGTAGGAAGGTAAGAATGCAAAAGCGAGTGGGTATCGAGCTGCTTCCTGAATGCAAGTTATCCAAACCCCGCCGGTCTCTCACGCCTTGCCGTTCGCAAGCGTACTCAGATCTTCCTGCGCAGTTTCGAATCGCTCCACCCCAGGTCTTCCGGCAGTATTTCCACCCTCCTCCGCGTCGCTCTTGAGCTCTCCCGCCCCAGCAGTAACAAACCTCTCCACACCGGGTCGATCTTGCTTCTCCTCTTTCTCCATCTGCTTCGGCCCTTCCCCATCCAATCCACCCAACTCCTTGTCCTCCTTATCAAATTCCTCAACACCCGGCGACGCAACACTAAAGCTCTGCAGCGTTAGAGTACTCGCATTCACATCCCCTTCCTCATTCCCATCAACCTTTAGCCGGAATGGATACGCGACACCGCCCCTCGTCGGTCGCGTACTCAGGGTATCCGTAGCAGGTATCAGCGTCTCTGGGCTCTGGGGCCTCTCTGGGTCGCCATCTTGAGAGACGATAATATTTGGGGTGAGGACACTCGGACCGCTCAACTCGCTCGTCGGCGAGGGCAGAGGAGAGGCCTTGCGCTCTGGTGCGATGACTGTGGCTTCCGCAAGGCCCGGGGTCGGAGGCGCAAGGTGCGCGAGGTCGTCCATTGAGGTACCGATTTGGCCTTTGTCTGTCACTGCGGAGTGCCGCGAGCGCGAGCGGGACCTTGAAAGTGCTGGGGCGCCGAGAGTGGAAGCGCGCGTGCGCGTAAGTGTCCTACGGCGCGCTTTTGGTGGCAGCTTGCGTGCAGCGAGTTTGGAGTCTGTGGCCCCGTCTGCTGGTGGCTGATCGGGCGCCTGGTCGGCTTGCTCTTCGCGTTCAATCTGTTGCAGGGCCTGTTAGTCTGCTGCTACTACACCAAACAGATCTTACATACCGTCATCTCATCATGCTTGCTGCCCCACAGACTCCACATAGCCATGCCCCAACTCTTCTTCTTCGCCTTTTCAGCCTTCATGCCCTTGACCCGTCGTCCCGCAAGCGCGGTTGGCGGCGGGGTCTCGCCATCAAAGTCCTCGAATCCCTTTTCCATATCCCTCATCCGCCGCTTCTGAATTTTGAGCTTCTGCTTCGCAAACTTGCCGTTCCATTGCTGCTGTGCCTTCATCCATTTGCCAATGGGCCCTGGTTTCGGAACGCCAATGTCGGCAGTAGGCATATTAAGCGCTTCAAGCTCTTTCGGCGGAGGAAGCGGTTTGATATGGCCGTTCCGATCAATTTGCTGTCGAATCATGTGGCGTTCGAAGTCTGGAAGAGGGTCGCCCGCTCGGCCAACTTTAGCCTTCCTTTCTTCCATCTTTCCCACGCTCTCGAATCCGACATGCTGTACACCCTGGGGCATGCTGAGCTTGATGTCTTCGGGCGAAGGATTGCTGTCTGAGGCTGTGGTGCTCTTGGAGGTGGACGAATCGGAGCTGACAATGGAAATCCTGTCGTCCTCCAAGATATAAATGGAAGTCTTTTGTGCTCTTGCGAGGGCCCAAGCACCAAACTGCGCAATACTGCGATACATGTGTTTTGCCGGCCTCGTAAAGCTGAGTGTCGGCGCCACGTGGCAGAGGTCATCCCAAAGCTGCAACTGGACGTTTGTGGGCCGGTAGCATGCCGCTTGGGCCTGTATGGCCTCGGCGGTTTGGTGATTTGACGGCGGTGGAGGATAAGCTAGCGGTTGGGCGGCCTTGTGCGCAAGATACAGCTGCTCGTCCCGAAGTAATTCTCCACCTCCGACCTGTATTAGAAGGGGAGGCAGCCCACCGAGCGATGGCTGTAGTACTGGCGATACCAGTGGATGGGTGAGCATATGGTTGGGGGCATACAACTGAATCTGATCTTTGATCTCAATTCGCGCCTCCTCGAGCTGCACGGAAAGTATCGACTTTGGACCGATGCTGTATTTGCCGTCTGGAGACACGAAGAGGTCCACGGCTTCTCGTTCCTCATCGGCTGCTGGCGGTTTGAGCAAGTCGTCGGCAACTTGTCGGTCGCTAGACTTGAGCGAGAAGCCCCTGACACGTTCTGCCTTTTCTTCCTTTTGCGCTTCTCGCCCCTCTCTGCTGGACCGTGATAGGGAAATTTGAGGGGATCGCTTCTCTTTTTGCTGGGAGTTTCGGGGATTTCTCTCGAATGTGAGTAGATCGTCGGCGTTGGGAGGTGCTGTTTGGATTTAGCACCGGATATCAGCGACTTTTGAGGTACTCACGCCAATTCATGCTAGGCCTGTGGACGAAGCCATGCGCCGGGATATAGTCCAGCTTGCCGTCTCCACCCAGGCTAGGGAAGCTGTGCGTCAGATCGACCCACGGGGATATCAACACGGCTCCCGCGGGTAATGGAATGCCTTGATCGCGCATGGTGACTAGCATGCTCAGGATCATGCCCCCACCTGCCGAGTCTCCTGCCAGTATAATAGTCGACGGATCGTGCTTCTCCTCAAGGAGGTGCAGGTACGCAGCCAAACCTATAACCCATAAGCGCCGAGATGCCAACTACTGTCGGGGCTACGTACAGTCCAGGAGTCCGCAAGGGAATGGAAATTGCGGTGCCAGGCGATATCGTGGCGCCAGGACCCTCGCCTTCAATTTGCGCGCGTGTCTTTGCATCTGATAGCGGTGCTCGTCCACGCTGCCGAAGAAGTAGGCGCCGCCATGCACGTACAACATGACCCGCTGTCCCCTTGTGTTCTGCGACCTCTTCCGCTGCTCCATGTCCTTGCGCATTTCTATCCACTCTGCCTTCAAGCTAGTCCCTTCTCGCCGCCATTCCCACCACGTCCGCCCGCCAACCGCCTTTATCCCAGCCGGACCGAGCTGCGCGCGAATATATTCGGCCGACCGCGACAGTTGGCCCTGTGGAATCTCGACCTGCTCCACGTGGACCCACGTCGGCACGGGGACCCATTGCGACGTGAAGGCCTGCAGCTCCTCGACGGTGTGGAAGGAGGCATAGTGCAGGAAGCGGCGGATGAGCTCGAGGCCCTCGTGGTATGAGATGTGCGCCGTGGGCTTCTGGCGCAGTGGGCGGCGGTTGAGGTAGTGCGAGATGTATGTCTCAATCACCGTGGGCGTAACCGCGGCGCTGACGGTGATGGTGTTGACGGGCATTGCGGCCGAAGTAAGCCGGGAGAGCAGAGGACGGGCGAACTTAGGACTGGGGCGCGAAGGGTCACTTCTCCGCGAAGAGTGGCCAGCTCCGGGGAAGAGTAGACATGCTGACGTCCGACGGGAGAAGCGGAGGTTGAGGAGAGCATTGCTCGGTGCTAGCGCCGGGCGGTTGTGGAGCTGTCCAGCTGCCCCAGATCTTCATGCAGGGGTCATTAAGGAGCTCGAGCCAATTACGTCATTTTATCGCGTCTTTTGGCCGTTCACACCTCCATACGGCAACGTAAGACCAAAGCAAGCCATGCCCCGATCTCTCTAGACTCTATTCAGTGCGTCTGCCGCGCCGCAGACCTGGTTTATCATAGGCAGAATAGCCAGCCAACCATATGACCATCATGATCATGCGCGTGTTCGTATCCGCCCAGCCTCTCCATTCATCGCGTCTTGCATAGGAGCAAAATAAAGTAGGAACCAAGCTCGTTTGATACCTCTGAAATACTAGCTTCTAAATAGCATTAGACCGTCCTCTTCGGCATCAATTCCATCTTCCTGCTCGCTCTCGACCTCGTCATGCTCGCCGAGCCCGAGTCGTTGACCAAACAGGCTTGAGAACAGTTCCTCTCGTTGACGGTCACCCCAAAGTCCCCTGTCCTCTGGGGCCATGAAGTTCTCCAATTTCTCGTGAGTCGTGTAGCGCAGCTTACGACCTTTACTCGCCTTGGTATCCACGTTTCTCTTGGTCTTTGCCTGCCTCCAGGGCGCTTCCAAGACAAACGCCGCCCCGTTGCTTGAGAGATCAGATGAGCGATTTTCGAGCAGCTCCTTGAGGAGAAGGCCGTAGAAATCCGCTGTGAAGTGTTAGTAGGGTGGCATGGGAGAAGTGGGCAGAGGGCGACTACTAAGGCCACCTTGAATGCTGCATCCAAGCACGTACCATCATCATATATATTCAGATCCGAAGCAGATCCAGCGGCAAGTTGCTGCGGAGCGCAAGAGCGAGGGACCGTGGTGCGCTCGACGAGCCGTTGCGAGTTCGAGATTTGGGAGCTAAGGACGTCCGTAAGGCTCTGCTGCGCTCCGGCATTCAGACGCCCTTTGGCAGATGCAAGAGAGGCTCCGCGCGTCTTTGCGGACCATCGTTCCAGAATGGCTTTCCGGTGAGGCAAAGCTCTGGATTCCGATGCACGGATGGATTCCCAGATCTCGGAGGGTGGCGTGCTGGATATGAAGGATGTTCGCTTCCGCTTCTGTCCCGTACGTGCTTCATCGAGTGAAGCTCTTAGATCTGTAAGATTGCTGAGAAGTCGCAGTGCAGATGCCTCTGCGGCCTCGGAAGCGTCTGGTGCTGTCTCTTCCCGGTATGCATCCACAGCGACAGAATTTATGCTGACGAGCGCTTTCTGCAATTTGATACGGGTGTTGAGAAGGGCATCAAAAGTTTTTCGCTGCATCTTAATTGCCGCAGCTTTGCTCAGATCGGTCTGATGTGCAGCGGCGAGGCTTGTGGTCAGCGACCTCGAGTCTTGCATCAGTTCGCGAACCTTGGCTGACTGGGTTGCGGATTCGTCTTCAGATTCATCGTCTTCCTCGTCTTCGTCCTCGTTCTCGTCCTCGTCCTCTTCATTCTCCCCTCCTGCGCTTTGCGCACTCTCCAGCTCTTCATCGGAGTCCTCGTCGCCGTCTTCATCCAATTCGTCATGCTCGCCTTCGCTCTGTCTGATCTCCCCATCATCTGCAATGCCGTTCACATAGGCATCCTCCTCCTCGCTATCAGGCTCCTCGTCGAAGGCCCTCGCAAATGGATCATCGCTATCGTCGTCCCCTACGACATCGCGAGTTATCCGGCTCGACGTGTATTTTGGGCCCAGCGGTGCAACCCCCGGCTTTCGCAACTTGCTTCGCCCGACGTCGACGTAGTGTTCGCGGCCCGCATTTGTGTCTTCGGCGCCAGAAAGATCAGATTCTTCCCCTTCGCTGGAGCTGGACGGCGCGGGATCGAGGAGCGCTTCTGGGTCAAAGTCTGCACCGCAGTATTAGCAGACGTGGGCAGGAATCACTGAAGTTCCGACTTACCACTAAGCTTCGACTTCCCCATTGTGGCTGAAATTGAGCTTCTTGTGAGGTTCCGAAAGTTTCGAAGAAAAGTGCCCAAGTGCTCCGCAGAAATTGGCAGGCGAGATGATTATGTAAGCCGTCTTAAGCCCTTGGTGCCCTCCAATGGGCGGCTTGCTTCGCCGAAGCACCTCCGACACCCCAACACTATGCGACAATGAAGCCACGGTTATTCTCTACACTCAGGTGCTTGTGCCATGAAAATCCCCTGGTAAATCTCCATTGTGGTTTAGCTGTCCGCGATTCTGACTATCTGGATAGGGTCTTCCGCGTTCCGGCGCGCCCCCGCAAATCCCGCGTATGCAACGAGGACTGCCACAAAAGCGGCACATAAGGGATGTAAAGAAGGTGGTAGCCGTATCATCAGCCAAGGGCGGCGTGGGCAAGAGCACAATTGCAGGTATGCTGCCCCGCTTCTCTCTTGCAATGCCCCATCGCTAAGACGCCATAGTAAATCTAGCTCTAAGCTTTGCACGGGGTGGATACAGAGCCGGCATCCTCGACACGGACATCTTCGGTCCATCGATCCCCACCCTCCTGAATCTCTCCGGCGAGCCCAGACTATCCTCCAGTCAGTCTGTTCCCCCGGTGCGACCCGCTCCACCTCCGCGACTCTATACCTGACCGAAGAGCTAGATAACCAGCTAATACCGCTTTCCAACTATGGGCTTAAGAGCATGTCGATGGGCTACCTCGTACCAGAATCATCGCCGGTGGCGTGGCGTGGGCTAATGGTGATGAAAGCCCTCCAGCAGCTGCTCCACGAAGTTGATTGGGGCGGCCTCGACATTCTCGTGCTGGACCTTCCGCCCGGTACCGGCGACGTCCAATTGACCATCACGCAGCAGCTAATTCTCGACGGCGCCATCATCGTATCCACGCCTCAAGACCTCTCACTCAAAGACGCTGTAAAAGGCGTCCAGTTGTTTCGCAAGGTGGACACGAAGCTCTTGGGCCTGGTGTGCAATATGAGCGGTTTCAAGTGTCCCGGCTGTGGAGACACACACAACATCTTTGGCAGTATGGACAAGATCAGAGATATGTGCAAAAGGTACGATCTGAACTTGCTGGGCGAAATCCCTTTGCATGCGAGCATCTGCGAAGATGCGGATCGTGGGAAGCCCACCGTGGTCGCGGAACCGCTGGGGGAGAGAGCGAAGCTCTTCGGCGCGATCGCGGACGAGGTGGCAACGTTGATAGGATTGGAGAAGGAGCAATGAGGCCGACCTGCGCCTCTAGACAGTCTTCCAGGGCACTGTTGCGCAAGCTTGCGCGGAAAAGAAGCCACATAATTAAGAGACACTCGTCACCGTTGCATGGCGCGACTGTTCGTTCCTGTCCTCCAGACCGACATACAAAACCGTTGCAATAGAGTGCTCCGCTATATGAGTTCCGATCCCGCAGGCCCGATAGCACGGCGCACCTCTAACCAGTCGTGAGAAATCGGACTGCTTTCTTCATCATTGAAAGTCAGGCCGCGAAGCTTCCGAATCTTCACAGTAGCTAGAAGCGCTGCACCCTTGAGGCGCGCAACTTCTACGTCAGCTTCCGCATGTCTCCTTCTCTTCATCCAATTCCACGGCGAAAGGCATCCGCCCCGCTTTCTCTTTCTCTAGCGCCATTTCCGTAGCGAGTAACCGGTCAGTTTCCTTCTTGAGTTTGCTCTTCAGCTCGCGGATGTCCTGCTGCACGTTATATTGCTCGTCGTAGAGGGTATCTCGGGCTGTGGACTCTGCTTATTATCGCTTGTCGGCCTTCTTCGCTCGTTGCCTTCCCATATGCCAGACTACACTCTCGTCGCTCTCCCCGGGTTCGATATGACCGAATGGCGTCTTATTCACAGCCTTCCTCCCGGATGTCACTTCAGGGTGGACATCTGCAAACAATCTGAATCGCCCGGAATTGGAGTTTAGTGTTGAGTACCTTCTATAGCTTACCTTTCGTCTCGCCATGACCAGTGAGAACGAAATACCATTTGATTCCACACATGTTGATCCATCCGTCACCACACAAGCCCTCCTTACTCGCCCTGTCCAAGATACCTTGGAACTTATCCCGCCCGTTCACACCGACCGTAATCGACACTAAGCCTTCGGGCTCCCCTTCTCTTCCCGATATGAACCCTAGCCTGGCATTTGTGAACGCTAGAAGATCTCTGCTCCGCGCTACCCCAAATATCTCCTCCCATTGTCGCGCTGCGGCTTCGTGGCCTAGCTCGCCGGGCGCGAGCCGCAACACGCAGCCTTCGAGCGTGAGGTGCGACGAGCGCTTCATGCCCTCAGAATACGCTTTGTAGTCGGATCCGCAGGCGTGCCAGGGAGAAAAGCGCGATTTGAGAGGGGTGGGATTGTCTGGATTCGGGGCGTGCGAGTCCAATTCGGGCATCATGCCGCCTGTGATGGTCGAATCAGCCTCGACTTGGGCGCCATTCGAGGCAAATGGAGAGCTACCTTTGATGCCTTTGGGATGATACTGCGCGCAGACTACATCGTCATGCTCGTATCCCCATATAACTTTCGACAGCCCCTTCGACTCGATGTATTCGCGCCGCTTCTTTGCATCCTCGGTCTGCATTATGATCATATATCCGCCATCGCCGCGCTTCTCGAGTAATCGGCCCGCTGTCGTGTTCTCTTTGATTGGTGATACGACCTGCTGGGGTCAACACGGTAGAGGTGGCGAGGGAGGGACAAGTACTTCGATGATATCGCCTCCGAGGGGAACTATGAAGGACGTCAGCTTGCTCGCGCATACGGGGAAAGAAAGCGTACTGAGGAAGTTTTTGAGCCCGAATTGAGCGACCGCCGGGTCCTCAAATATTACTTCTGTGCCTATGACATGTGTCTAAATATATATCAGCTCCTATACCCTTCAAAGTATGCATCGCAGCTGTACCAAAAGGTATTTCGCGCGTTCAAGATCCTTAGTGACCAGCGCGATCTGTCGCAACCGCGTCGGTACAGGCCCGAAGCTCGATTTGGGGCCGACGTTGTTTGCTCTAGACATCTTGAACCGCTGTACGGGGGCTTACGAGTGTCTCATCGTGTTAGAGAAGCCGTTGGTGTTGTAGCACGCTTACTCGATCTGCATGAGCGAAGCGCCTCGGTTCCGTGGAGATTTCCCCGCATTGAAGATGTGAGTAAGAACTGTGTGAAGGCTGCATTGTAAGTCCGGTTCTTGTCAGCTGCGATCAACTTGAGGGTTTCTATATGAACGGTTGAGCATGATATTTGTTCGATGCTGATATGAGAGAGGGTGGTTAGGACGCCACCCATTGAAGACGCGTTCTCCAAGGCTCGGCGCGTCGCGAAGAGCACGTGATACAGCCATGACTGGATGGCTACACAGATTTTGTTGAAGCGGGTGAGTGGCGTGGAAGAATGAAGGTGTCTGATCGCTTAGAAAGACAAGATCACAGCTTTTGCCAGTTCAAATCGCGTTTGAAAGCTGGGGTGGGCATGCCCTATTTCGGAAAGGTGTTGGTTCCACTTTTCTTTGACCTCAAGTCTCGTCCCCATCTTTCACTCTTCATCCATCACTCTAGCTTCTTCACACATTCGCCACTGCCAGCAATCAAGATGCTATCTTCGTAGACATATTCCCTTTATCGTCGGACTCACCCAACCCACCGAGAGGCGTTCGATCGTGTCCAAAAGCCAAAAGGAGCCCGGGGGTACTTCCGATGGTCTCAAAATGGTTCCTACACATCGCTGCCACCTCCCCCCGTTCAGTCCTGGAGCTAGTAAACACCAACTTCGAGACAGACAGGTTGCAAGACCGGTTTGAAAGAGCGAGAACGTGTGCGCAAATTATGGAGCCAGACCCCACCGTTCCAGCTCCGTACTTCAGTTATCCCTCAGGACAAATCTGTGGAAAGCACCCGGCCACCACTTTAGGGCCCTTCTTTCGCGCCAGACTTTGGACCCCACAAATGCCTGACTCCCACAACATATCAGTTCTGTTGAGGAAGAAAGAGTTATGTTTTGGGCGGCACCTCCGGAGCCTTGCGCTGGTATCCCAGTATGCTTGCATGACGTCTCCAACCCATCCAACGGTTGCAGTATCGAGCTGCTTCGCCCCACGCGGACATCTTGAGCCATTTGTATCCCATAATGATGGGGTTCTACGTGCTACAATGGAAAGCTTTTGGCTCCTGTTGCTCTGCCCTATCACCTGGAATTTAAAATCTGGCATTTGACAAGTTGCTCTACCCTCGTTCCGTTCTCCCTACCAGTCGGCTCATTCACTCTTCCCCCACTTCTTTTGGTACGCACCAAGCTCTGAGGAGTGGATACGAGAACGTCACCACTGCCTCATCACGTCGTTTGCAGCAGCGCGTCGCGGGCGCGGTTTTACGCGTGAAACGCGGTCTACCAACGTCTTCACCACGACGGCGGGAGTTTTTCCGGTGGCCGCACAGACACGCCAAACGGATGTTCACCTCGAGTTCAAAAAAGCTTTACAGGCCGGTCTTTGTTCCATTCGTGTCTTCGTTTCTGTCGACCACCGTTCAGTCTTTCGTACGTCTTGTACGATCCTTCAGTGATCCTACGACCTTGTCTGTCTCTATCGGAACGATATTGTTCCATTCCACACGCTTGTATCGATCGAAATGGATGCTTCTACGATGACGGACGAGACCACGAAGACGTACGATGCCGATGAAGCTGTTCTGAAGCTTGCTTGTGCTACGCCCCTACCAGAGGATACCCCAGTCCATACCACCCCATCCGCTTGCCCGCCGGAAGCGGTCCATACTTCATCTCACGAAGATAGCTCCGGTCAGCCTAGCGCATCCTCTCCGCCTGCACGACCAGAACAGCCCACTCCGCAGCCGCCGAGACGGGCTCGCCGCACTCGACCCCCGTCTCTGGACATCTTCGTTGATGCTGATCCTGCACACCGTCCACCGCAGCCAAAGAAGCCATTCGGTAGAAAGGATGGTCGCATTCCTTTGGGCGTCAGGAAAGACTCAGGCAACGCTTCACCGTCGCCGTCCCCACGCGACCCGACGACGCCGTTCCGGTTCCGCGCCGATGATCCCTTCTGGCAGGCGACTGAGAATTACTATTCTCCACCACCTTCTCCATTCACGCGTTCGCCTGGCCCTAGCCCGACATTCGGGGTGCCTCTACCTGGCAATGCGCATCTGCCCCGCTCTAACCGGCCGCGCGTGTCTCACTCTCGTCTCGGACCGAAGTCTATGGTCCTCTACAACCTCCTAGAGCTGTCAGATTGGCGAGCTTGCAGCGAGGAAATCAGGGCGGCCTACCGCCGGGTCGCTATGAAGTTCCACCCGGACAAGGTTGTCGGCGAAGAGATGGAGGCAGCAACTTTGAAGATGCAGCAAATCAATGCTGCCAAGGAGGTGCTCTTGGACGCGGCCGCTCGCAAGAAGTACCACAAGACCGGCAAGCTACCATGGAGCGTTTGAGCACCGTGGCGCTGAGGACGCAGGCAAGTCTCCGCGATACCAGTACCGAACATTTGCTAATCCTATTTCTGACTTGGGTAGTGTTGCTGCCATGTGGTCACCTGTCGGGAGGACCTTTTACGACGATACGGCAACTACAGTTTCGCAACGCTGCGCTCATCCAGAACAGCAAAGGTTAGTGAAAAGCTCTTCCCTTTCTGTATCAGGCGGCGGTGTCTGCCAGCATTGCCGTCTGTACAGTCACCTGCACTGCCAAACTTGTTTGGAGGAAAAAGTTATTGTCTTTCATGGTTCGAGAGGAGGAAGGAGGAATGGTGGATTTTCCTTCATTGTTTAGAGATGGTTTAGTGGGAAACGGGCATTATGTATGATACAAACCTTGGAAGTCTCATGTATTGGGCCAAGCACTCCGATGTTTTAGCGCTGGAAGTACATCAGGTGTATGTAGGAGTGCGGGGAACCCCACATGAAACCAACTGGAGCGTCATGCGATGATCCTTCCCGATTCGGACATTAGGCAGCAGCCACAATTATAAACAGCACGCCACTCCCCCTCGTCCACACATAACACCCTTCTCTTTACTCACCATGCCTTGCTACACGCGCGAAGATTTCTTGCGAGAGTACAAGTTCCCTCTGCAACCCGTGCACGATTTCGAGGTCCTCGGCAGCCCCGCGGAGTACGCCTCCGGCCACCCGAAAGAATGGGGTCAAGAGAACGAGTCGTTCGACTTTGCGGATGTTATAAAGGGAACTGCTGAAACTGCGTATAGCAGCTACGGGAGTGCAATCAGTCCAGACAAGAAGTTGCTAGCGATCAGTTCGAAGAATGAGCGCGTCCTGATTTACGACGTCAACACGAAAGAGCTGCGTCAAGTGCTCGAGGGCACCGGGACGATATTTTTCAGACCTCGGCCCAACAGGAAACAGAATGCGAGGAAGGATGAGGATGAGACAGCTGATGAAAATGAGGGCCCGGTTTATACTTTGATATGCAACGTTCCCACGGAAAACCGCCGCCGCCAGAGTTCCGTCCTCGTTTTCTGGGATCTTGACCAACACGGGCGTCTCCTGGACGAAGAAGAACCCATCGATCCCGCCGCTCTCGCAAAACAGGCCATCGACGCTATTCTCCCGGACCTCGAGACGAAACACGAGTGGTCCCGGGACTTCGTCACTGCTTCCACTTTGCATGCGGATTTTGAGAAGGCACTAGGCAAAGCCGCTGCGGATCACCGTCGGAGGCACAATATCATCCTTGAGAAGGCGTCGTTGGGCGGTTTCGGCTCCACGCCGTTCAGCAGCGATGGGAATCTGATGCTGCATCGCAGCGAGGGCGAGTCTAGAAAACAGCAGAAGGTCACTGTCTACGACATCGATGCAGGTCGAGAAGTGTACAATCTCTTCGGCCACACGGACTCGATCATGTGGATGAGTTTCAGTCCCGACGATCAACACATTGCCACTATAGCCTGGGACGGGACTATGCGCATGTACTCAGCTGCCACTGGTGAGCTCTCATGGGTGGAGAACGCTGGCGGGCAATGTTGGTCCGGCGCATTCTCCCCGGATTCCAAACACATCATATGGAGCTCAAAGAACGGTAACAGCATCTCCGTCCACGCCGTGGAAGACGGACGGCTCATTTCCAAATTCTCGGGGACCCTCCAGAATTGGTGTCGGTGCTTTGCCTGGCATCCCGATGGAAAAGAAGTTGCGTTCTGTGCGAGTATGAGCGCATGGGTCTGGCGCCCTTTCGAAGGACCTGAGGGCACGATAGCACAACACTTGGATCTCTCAAAGGACAACAATTGGAGCATGGCGTCTATTCGATCTGTTTCCTGGCTTGAGCACGGACGGCTGCTGTGCGTCCAAATCGAAGAAGGCACTACACTCATTTACGACACGATCACGAACGCCAAGGAGTTGTTCAAACGGCCGGACGGAGTAGTGGCTTCCTGGGTTGACGGTAGCTTCTACGGTGTTTTCGAGAAAGAGGGAGAGAAGGATTTCTACATCAACGTAGATGGTGACGGGAAGGTGCGCTATTGGAGGACCAGTGTCGCAGCGTATCCGTCATGGTGGGAGAAGGAGAAAGAGAAGGAAGAAAGTCAACCCAAGAAAGTATTTCCTGAGACCAGGAAGTACGTCAAAGTCACGAAGCCTGTGAAGCAGGAGGAAGCCCCCAAAGATGGAGGAAGAGATGATTGGGCTGACAAAGGGGCCAGACTTTGGACGGCAGAGTAATTAGGCTATCAGGCCACTAGACGCTTGCTTAGATTGTCAGTTGCGGACGCATTTCGACCGAGCGAGATTGCGGAATAGGAAAAGTAGCATAATTCGGGCGAAATGGATGTGTCACACGAACTCTACCCTTTCCGCAGGACGCCTACTCCTTCCCCGCAGCCCTTGATCTTGCTTTTCCGCTGGTGTTGCGAATCCAGCCGGGTTGGGTATGGCTTTCAGCGTGCTTCACCAATCACCATGCTCCAAGGCTTATGTCACCGGTTTGGGTGGCCGATGCATATTGCGGCTGAAGTTCGATAAGAACATAAGATATGGAAACTCAGCCTTCCCCTTCCTTCTTCACAATCCCTCTCAAGTTCGGGCTCATACCTAGAGGAGCATTATTCGCCCAATATGAGCACTATATCTGACGGTCTTGACGATCTACACATTGTGTGCGAGCCGCGCGATGTTGTAGCGAAGTAGGGGACAGGTCGCAATGCGCAAGTCACCGCTAATAATGCATAGTATTATCGCCATACATGGATACAATGGGGATTGGAAGTCAACGTGGACTAGCTCATCCGCACCGGTTTTCTTCTGGCTGAAAGATGGCCTCGTCGTCGACCTCCCACATCACCGAGTTTTGAGCTTCGCGTACGACCCCACTGTTTCGAAAATTGAGGCCGCCTCGTCGAGACTACTGTGGGCCCTCGACGTCAAATTTGTATGTGGTAAATCATCTAGCGTACACGCCATGACTGACTTGGTGCAAAAGCAATCTCGAGAGTCTCGCTCCCTACCGATCATTTTCATCGCAGAAGGGTTGGGCGGGATAGTCGCCAAGTTAGCAAGTGCAACCAAACCAACTTACCAGGAGGTCATAGTAACCTGATGGTAGGCAATTCTTAAAAGTCCTGTCAGTGAGAGGTACCAGTTCGTTGGATCCAATACTCGCGCAACATGCTTCTTCGGTAAGGCAGTACGAATGCCGGCCTGATAAAGTATTTTATCTAAACTTGAACTAGGAACTCCTCATCACGGCTTATCGAAGGCCAAAACTCTTCAGTTATCGGTGACGTCGAAAGACTCTGTTTTAGTAGACAGCATCAATGAGCAATTCAGCCATTTTGTTCCACATCAACGGTTGATAAGCTTCTACGAGACGCGCCCAACGCAGCCCTCGAATTCCGTAGTAGGTTAAAACAGGCCAAGAGGCTATGATCCTGCTGAGCAAGGAGAACAGGTTTTAGATAAAGCATCATCGACGCTCAATACGCTTGAGTCGCACAATATCGCTATGCCTTCAAACCATATCGATCTGACCAAGTTTCACGGCAGAGATGATGTCTCATATCAGATGGTGCTACGAGTCTTGCAATACATAGACATCTCTCCTCGAGATCAAATTCCGTCTCCATCAGCAGGGCCTCCCACTGCCCGCCCTGGGCTGGAACGGCCCCTGAACTTCGAAGGGCATATCCACGTATTCCGGCAAGACGGAACACTCAGAAACACGAAAATTTCCATTCCAGACCTCCAGGCGAACTTGTCAACCCCTCCGGCGAGCAAGGGTCAGGACGATGATGCGCGGTTGACTTGGCTACATATTAGTATCACGGATTCATCCTGGGTCCAGGTATGCTCTTCACATCAAGCAAGTCTTTTGAACACTAAAATATGCCCAGTTCTGCCTCAGGCGCTTGCTATGGCTGCTTCTCGGTGATGATAGTGTCGACATACCAATTATGGAGGGACAATACTGGTCAGACAACGAGCGACGCAGTCGTACGATTCCACACGCCAGATATATGGAACCAGGGTATCATGTTGCTTATGCGCCTGGTGAGAGCTATATCTGGAGGTTCTTCCTCACGTTAGCTGACATTTTCAATAGATGTGGGAAGCAGTGAAGTGCCTGGCCGAACGGAGATGGCGCTCTATGTAAGTGAAACCAAACCTAGTTAATATACCTTCTTGGTAGCATTATTCACAATGTTTTAGATGCCATACATTCATTGGGATACCGTCTCTGCTTTCAAGCAACGTAACGACTTCGTCATGCGGTGTCTCGATAAGAAGCCCTCATCTATTCCAGGCACGCTTCCGCAGTCGACGAAACGCCTTTATCAGGCCATAAAGAACGATATCAACGGGCCCAATTCAATGCATCCCCGACGAAGCCTTGATCAGTACTTCTACCCCAGCCTTACCGATACGTCATCTCGAGACAATGACCAAGTGGTATCCAAGCGTACAAAAGACTCTCCTGGCGGACCGACCATGGTCATGGTGGATCAACTATGGCTGTGGCTGATCTCATTGAACGACGGTTCGAAGTCAGTCATCTTGACATGTTTTCCCCAGAAAGAAGTAGAGGAAGGGCATGCCACAACGGGTATAGAAAACGACACGGACTTATATCACGCCATTCTAAGTGAAATGCAGAGCCATTATCATAGCACTGCACTTCAATATCCGTACGGCGTAGGTCCGCACCGCGTAGGTATATATATGGTCAGTATAATCATCGAACATGCCATAAATAAGATGCTCGGCTACAGAGGGGAGTCGTTGGATTTTCTCTCCATATTTCAGGGTGCCATTAGGCAGGCTGTAAGTCGAAGTTACTTCCACAAAGAGGAATAACCCTAACGAACACGTTTGTACAAAGGCAGAAGATACCACGAATCATTTCCGGGAATTCCGTGATGCGCTTCGGAAGAAAGAGTCTGAACCTAGCGATCTCGCAGACAAACGAAAGGAAGTAAAATTGGCTTTGGAAGTTCTTGACATCATGGACGAATTGAACAGCGTAAAGCGCCTTCTCGAGACTCAACTAGAGACGCTCGCACATGCCGTAGGGGCGATAGAGGCTTTTGCGATTCCTGCGGGAGATTCGTTATTGTCTCAACTCCACGTGAGGCAACAAGACCTAGAACGCTACCGGACTCAGATCTCGAGGATGATCGAAGACGCGGATAGAACTTGGAAGTCGGTAAGCTATAAACCATGTCATAGCCCCAGGGCCTCTCACTTATTATCACGCAGTTGATGAACCTGCTCGACCTTCAGCAGAAGGAAGAAAGCCTCAATAAGGTCCGCTCTTCTAACGAGCTGGCCCGCCTTGCAAGGAAACAAGCCGACGAGACTGAAGCCCAGTCACAAATCTTGCTGCTGTTCACTATCGTAACGATCGTATTTGTAAGTCACACCCAGGCATCAACAGCGCTAGCTCTGACATGTCCCCAGCTCCCACTATCCTTCTTCACATCATACTTCGGAATGAATGTAGTAGAGTTTACGGGAGAATCCGGCAACACGAACCAGAAGGAAGTGTGGAAAGTGACAGGGCCGGCATCTTCCGGCATAATCGCCATTCTTCTAATCATTGCCTGGATGTTGTACAATAACGCGAAGAAAAGGAGGGCTACAAGGAGCGGTGGAACATCCCGCTAAAAGCCTCGTACGCCGAGACACACTGAAGCAGAAGCTCGGCATGTGGATCTCCTAGACTTCCTCCACCGTTGACGTCTTCATGCGTTCGAGACCCGCTCATGCATGGTGACACTTCATTGACCCAAACGTGTCAAACCCCGCAACAGCCAAATTCCCCAGAGGGCTAGTGCTAGTGATGGTATAGCTCTTAGACTTTGCAGGCGGTAGACAATCTTCCTCACTGTCTTGGAGTCAGCTTCGAGATGTGTAACCCTTAACATGTTCCCACAAGACTCACTTAAACAGGACACAACTCCACTTCTCCGGCGGATCCGGTAAATGAACAGACTTGGAATGCCAAGCGATGCTGCGATCCACGGTTAGTACCTGGACATGCGCCTTGTGCAAGATGGGAGGGATGGCACTCACCTTTTGTCCTGTGCCAATCTAATGCAGCTGTCGCGAGTGACCTTGACCTCTTCGGAGGGTCCGGCAAAGTCTGGTAGCTTGAAAAAGCGCATCTGGTGTGTATTTAGCCACTGTACTTGCTGGGAGGTATCCGTTCGCTTACCGTCTCGCCATCTCGAGCTGCTAGCTGCACGGCTCTGTCCTCTGGAGGAGAGGATGGCGAGGCATAGACTGCTAGTGATGTCGTAGATATAACGACGAATGAGGCAATAATCTCGAGGATATGCATTTTGAAAGATAGGTCGGCTGGACCGTGACTCTGGACTTGAAATATGCAGTGAGTGATGTGGGTGGAAGATCGAACTGGCGTCCTGAAGACGAATATATAGTTAATAGTAATATATTATGTGTCATGATCTTCGCTTCTAGACAGAGTGGCATTTGGTGAGGCGCACCGACCTGTTGTTCCATCCTCTGCGGCGCCGTCTCCGAGGCGCAACATCTGTGGCGTAGCGAACGTTGTTTCGCTTCCCACGTCTCGACCTGACTTAAGTACGTTGTAAAACGTGGATATTCCTACCCCGCCACCACAAGGCCCCGTCGATTCGCAAACGTCATTGAGGCGCTCAGCTACGAGACGCCAGATGAGACAAGGAATCCCACTCTCTCCTACCTACAACCTCGGTTTCAGTGCCTCCTTCGCTACGCGCCGGGGCTCCTTCTCCCCAACGAGCACGCTCTTGTTCCGCTTCTGCGTTGAGATCGGGATACCCAAGCCCGGATTCTTGTCGAAGAAGTTAACTGGCTTCAAGCCTACTATCATTTTCTCGCACGGCATGACGGGCCAGTCTTCAATGCGCGGATTGTGCGTCGAGCCGAACGTGTGCCAAACCACGATATCCTCATCCCGAACAGAAGATGATGCATGGTCCTCGCGAGCCTTGATCCATGAGGCGATCCCTTCGCCGCCGAGAGATTGCATCGTGTGCGTGCCAGCGGCGTAGAGCTCGGAGTCGTGGTGCCGCGTTATCCACACGGCGCGCGCGCCGAATTCAGAGCGCTTGGAGTGGTAGGAGGAGGGGTGTGCGAGGAGGAGCTGGCTGTAGCAGGGGAGAAGCTTGAAGCCTACAGGCGTGCCTGACGTTTTGTTGATGCTGCTTTCGTTTATGATCTTGAAGACGCGATTTTTGCTGTGGTTGAGATCGAGGCCTTGCTCTTTCTCGACGATTTTGTCCTTTGTGATGTAGCCCACGCCGAAAGGGTTTGAAGCATGCAGGAAGGGCATCGGGAAGGATTCTTCGACTACGAGTGAGTTCTTGTGGCCGTCTAGCGCGGGGTCGATACGCAGGCAGAAGAGGTGTTGGTGATATGGCGCAAGGACGCCCGGAGCCACGACCGTCCCGTATGGCACTTTATCGCCGATATCGATGGGAGCCGTAGAGAGAATCCCCGTAGCTCGCACCTCGTAGTGAATTGATGCATCCTGGCCAAAGTAAAACACAAACACGTACTCATAGTTGCTGACTGTAATAATCGTCTGCAGGACCAGAACCCGCGAGCGCGTCACCACCGCATTCCCCGTCCGGAAATTCGTATGCTTCCATAGTATCCCGTCATCTTGTTCATGGCAGCATACCACATTTGGCATCTTCAACGGTTCGCCGGAAGAAGTGACGTGCCAGAAGTCGAAGTACTTGATGTGGCCCAGGCAGTCACACCCAAGCTTCAAGTTGTTCGCGTTCACGCCAGCGCCGTCGTTGCCGAGATCAAAGGCGCCTTTCCGGGGATAGGGAGCGCGCGGATCGCCGTATGGAACAAACATCTCAGAGAGCGAAAGTCGGTAGAAGAGGCTGCGGCCGTCGTACCGAATATCGTGCAGTGTCATGCCTTCGCGGTAGTTGAAGCCGAGACGCATGGTCCACTTCTCCCAGGTGATGTGGTTGCCGTTGATCTGGAAAGAAGGGCCTTCTGGTTGGATGACCTGCAGAGGACGTGTGGTCGTTCTCCGATCGGGGCTGAGGTCTGGATGGTACTCGCTGGAAGAGTGGATCTTGCGACGATCGAACACTCCAGCGTTGTTAGCGTCGATCGTCTCATTTCCGCCAGAGGGTAGCCGGTGGATTTTGATGACTTCGAGAGCCTCGGAGACTTCCGCCACGATGTCAAGCGGGTAGGCGTAATAGTTCGCATCGATGTGATTGGACAGCCGCATGTAGAACCAGCACTGGAACGCGCCAGTCAGTCGTGGATCTTTCCCGCAAAGCAACACGTACCATTGTGAGAGCTCATACTATTCACTCCATCTGTAGCATACGTCCAAGGCTCAACTATGACCGTCGCTCCCTTCGGAAGCTTCAGCGCTTCAATCTCGGCCTGAACTCGGGGGTCCAGCAAACAGGCTTCTTCCACTTTCTTCATGTACGCTGAATCCACATGCGAGTGCCTTCCTTTCAGGATCTCATGTGAGAGTATTATTCTCTCTTTCAGGCTGACCAGAAGCTCGTGGAAGGCCCCATCAACATAGGCATGGACTCTGGCTATTCGCTGCGGTGCAGTTGTCTTCTTCCCCGCGTGTTCAGTGTCGAGGAAAGCAACCATTTCTTTCTTCGGCGGCTCGGCCAGAGTGATGACGCGGAATAATGGTTCATGTCGAAGGCTGGAGCGTACGATATTCGCGGTCTGAGGAATGTGAGCTGAATGCGCCCTGGAGTAGTTGTCGCGTGACAAACTTCTGCGATCTCCTCAGGCGAAAGAGGATCGAACGGATGTGGCTCAGCAGTCATTGCGATTGAACTAATCTCTTTTCTCAATGAGTACGAAAGGATGCTTCCAAAGCCCAGGAAGCGACTTGAAGTCGCCCGCGAAATCCATTGACTAAATACGTACCATGACAGGATATGCACCCACCGCACGCTTCATACCGCCCAATACCCAATCAATAGCACCGATCTTCGGACGCTATAGACGCCGCACATCTCCGCTGCTAGCCCTAATGGCAATCCTATCCGTAGTCAATGTGGATATATAAGTGCCGTTCCCCTAAAGTTAAGACGTATCGCGAATGCCCAGGACGCTGCGACTCTAAAGGCAGGAGACTGCCGGCTACCATGCTGGTGACGTAATGCGGGTTGGACCTGCCTTTAGAGGTGCGAAAATCCTGACTTTACCCGCTGCGATAGCGCAACAAAGTCGCTAGAGTTGTTGCGAAGCACTTCAGACGTCAGGGGCTCGTAACGCGCACGTGATGGGCTTCCGCCAGAGCTCAAACTCCCCTTGGACTGCTACCACGCGATTCTACGTCCCAACTTTCCGAGCTTCTCGTATAGAAGAGCCTCAGGAGGCTAATCCCTCCCCGGTCGCAGTGAGTTCGGCGACACGCAAGGCTCTTGTTGGTTTCACTCAAAGCCCGAGCGCGGCGCTAAACGAGGCGCGTATGCGTGCCACCCACAACTTTAACACCTGTTCGACTAACAATTGGCCACAAAGCTATGCCCTATCGGCCTTGTCTAATCTGAAGGAGGCACAGTCGAATGCGCCTCGTCTGCCTTGAATCCACGGCTCCAGCTGTCCATCATCTCCAATGGAGTTGAGAGGAATGGAAATTTGCGAAAAACGAACGTGCTTGGAACTTTTGGGGTATTTGGGAGAAATGGACGGATCCAGAGAGAAAAGTAGGTATATAGCAGGCAAGAGAGCATCAAGGTAGACCAAACTCAACGAGCAAGACCGTTCGCTCCTAGCGGACCGGTCATCCAATCATTCCCATCACGTTCCAGCATAATTACTCTTTTCGACCAACCAAATTATTTTCCGAGTCACTCTCTTATCCCGGAAAGTTATACCAACCCTCATCCAGTGCCGGTCACTCCTTCACTTCTGCCGGCGAACATCATGCGTCCATCTTCGCCACTCGCTTTCCTCTTCGCCTCTCTATTCGCCTTCTCCTCTGCATATCCAACGCCGACAATCCAACTCCAAGCGAGGGGCTTCTTCAGCGATCTCAAAGACACGGTTGTAGGCGCGGCTGAAGAGGTGAAGGAGGCCGGCGAGGATGCCGTCGATCAAGCCAGAGAAGGGGTTGACCAAATCACGGAAGTCAGTACTGGTATCATGTTGAGTTAGTGGTAATGCTGACGATTTGCCCAGGCTGTCTCATAAGGCTTTGATACACGGGGCCTTGGGCCGGCGAAACGTACAGGCTAGCTGGGCTAATTGCGATGAGCAAGACCATCTCAAAGAACGCCGTAAAGGAAGCGGGTCCTATTCGTTCAATGTACATTACACATAGCATACCTAAAGCCGACTCTGAATCTTCTCCAAAGTATCTCCAAGCGCATACTCGTTCCTGACAGTCTTCGATCTAACCTTGTCTCCATCTTCCTTAGTCACATATCGTGCCTCAACCGCGGGATTGTAGTCGAACTGGCTACTCTTCCTCACCTCTTCGTCAGTGACTTTTGCGTTCTTCGCCCCATCCGCTCTCTTATAAACGGTGATGACTACAGCGCCTCCTAACCCCAGATTATGCTGCAGCGCAACATCGGCGTCTCCTACCAGCCTGTTGTTCGCCCATCCTCGAAGCTGCCAGGTCAGCTCTGCGCACTGTGCAAGACCCGTTGCGCCGAGGGGATGGCCCTTGCTGATGAGGCCGCCAGAAGGGTTTACGATCGGTCCTTTGCCGCCGTATGTAATGTCGCCGTTTCGAACCATGTGGTGCGCTTTGCCTAGTTCACTAAAGCCGAGGCCTTCAAGCAGGATGAGTTCGTTGGCCGAGAAGCAGTCGTGTAGCTCGCAGACTTTAATATCTTTTGGCGATACACCGGCTTCTTTGAGAGCCGCCTGTGCCGCGCGACGCGTCATGTCGTAGCCAACAAGGTCCATCGACGATTTGGAGTACAGTTGCGGAGAGTCGGTGAGCAAGGCCTGGCCAGCCATAAGAATCGCCTGGGATTTCAGATGTGGCCTTGCATCCAGAAACTTCTGCGATACTATAACAGCAGCGCCCGCTCCATCGCTGGTAGGCGAGCACTGCAGCTTCGTCAGTGGCCAGGAGATCATGGGCGCCTTCTCGATCTGCTCGAGCGTGTAAACGTCCCGGAACTGCGCGTACGGATTCCGTTGACTGTGCTCGTGGCTTATTCTTGCAATCTCAGCGAAATCTCGAGCCTCGGCCCCGTACTTCTCCATGTATTCTTTCCCGGCGTTGGCGAAGTACTGAGCATTGGGTGGCGACTTATCGACACCGCGAGTATCGGCCATCATGCGCATGCTGAGGCCCATGGGCGAGGGGCGGTCGCTCCAGACGCTTTTGATAGATCCAGGCTGCATCTGCTCGAAGCCAATGACGAGGGCGCAGTCTACGGCGCCATTCTTGACGAGTGTGCGCGCGAGGTGCAGTCCAGTGGATCCAGTAGCGCAAGCGTTGTTTGTGTTGTATATTGGGATCCTAAACACTTATCAGCCATCTGAAGTGCAGCTGCTCTGGCATAGCAAGCGCCGTACGAGCTCATTCCGAATTGATAGAAGATCCGCTGGCCAGACGTGGTGTCTCCGTAACAGTAGCACGCAACACCAGTCTCCACATCGTCGTAGTTGATCTGCGCATCGAGCATTGCCTTCACACCAGCTTCATATCCCATCTCCGGATACGCGCGCTGTGCACGCGGTTTGATGAACTTGGTGAGGCCGACGCCTAGGACGTAGGCGGGGATGTCGTTCTTCGGAGCCATTGCGAGGAAATCTCGAACTGATAGTGCAACAGAACTAGGACGAGGGGAGAATTGAGAAACAAAACGGATTCGACACGACAGAAACACCTATATGCTGAAAGGTGAGGTTCAGCGTAAGCACAGAGGAACCGAGGTTGAGTTTCCGGGGCGCTACCCCGCCTTACCTCGCCTCCTCCTCACACCTCCGGGCGTTCGACTCGTCTCATTGACAGAAGCCAACACCTCATATTACTGATCACTCGAGAACCCCTTCGCGAATGCGGGAACCGACTTCCTGCAGCCGAAACCTCACGCCTTCGATAGCCGTCTTAGTTTGCCCTCAGCTTCGCTTGAGCAGCCGCGACTTCGTCCTCCGCCTATCGTCCATTGTCAGAGACGTTTCGCGGTCCAGGCATCCCGTTAACCTTGCAGGACCATTGTCGCGTTCAAAGTTCCGTTCTCGCTTTTGAGGAATCGTCGGGAGTGCGTGTAAGTTCTGCCACGTCCGGATTCATGGCGCCTCTGCCGTCGGATCGCGCGTTCTTCTCAAACGTCGTCTCCCACTCTTTTTGAGTGCACTGGGGATGTGTCATCCTTTCGTCGGCGCTGCTATATCAATCGATAGAGGTTTTGGGAGCTTCAAAAGGAGCATGAGGGCCGATCTTGGCCGGCCATCTTCCTTTGCAAGAGATGCTATAGGGCGACAAAGCAACGCAAGCTACTACACGAAACTCCGCGTAATCGTAATGGGAAGCGTTCTCATTCGGCAAAGATTTGGGGATGCGCGTTTATGGGAGTGGCTCGTTTCGAAACGGCCATAGCGCCCTAAAGAAGCAGAAACAAGCTAAGATCAGTTGAAACAACCCCAATCCTATCATCGCGCCACCGCAAATTGACTTCTCCGTCAAGCTTTTTGCATGCGTCGTCATCTCATCTATCTTCCACGCTGGTGGATCCGATATTGAACGGCTTTGACATGCGTGGACCTTTCGGGACCCAGGTTCTTGGGCCACCCGCTTCCGAATTCTGAGCTGCGGGACGCTTCTGGACTATTCTGTGGAATCGGGAAGCTGAGTTGCATCAAGATCCCTGACAAGAGGATGGATAACAGAGATTGAGGACCAGACGGCCCCGCAGTGCCAAAATTCTTGCCCCGCATACATAATGGACAGTCGCTTATTGACAGTTGGAGCCTCTTCATCAACGGTTCCATTCATTCTTTAGGCATTCGCTCTTTCTTGCCTTGAAGGCATTTTCATTCTTTTCTCGGCCGAGCCACCCGTTCTTTTCATACCCTCATGGTCAAGATGACCCGGTCACTCTTTCTTTCTTCCGCTCTGCTGGCACTAAGAGCCGCGGCCCAAGTTGCTTCCCCATACACTGACGAGAAGAGCGGCATCACCTTCAATGGATACATGGACTCGACTGGATACCGCATGGGCATTTCTCTGCCCGAGGACCCAACTACGGACCTCATCGCACAGATTGTCGTACCGGTTTCTAACGATGGAGGATGGGGCGGGTTTGCTTTGGGATCCACCATGGTTGGCAGTCTTCTGATTGTAGCATGGCCCCATGAGGATAAGATTGTGTCGTCTTTCCGAAAGGCTACGTGAGTACCGCCCGCCATTTGCCCCATAGCCAGCTGATTTATGCAGTGGCTATACTTCTCCTTCCGCCACCAATGGCAGCTTCACTATGACGACTATTCCCGATGGCACCTACGTCAACGACACCGCCTTCTCGTACACCTTCCTTTGCTCGAGCTGTATTGGGGACGATGCGCTCGTTCTCTCAGACACCGCGAATGTCTTTGGATGGGCATACTCGGATGACGCACTCACTGACCCCACGTCGGCTTCGTCGGCCTTAACATATCATTCTGCAGGCTTCGCGCTTTTTGGATTCACTGTCGACGACGCAAAGAGCGCCAACTTTGATACCTGGGCCGCACTGGCCACTGGAGGTTCTGGAAACTCAACAACCCCTGGTGGCAACACTACCACCCCCGGTACCGGCGGTGGGTCTACAAACGGTACTACGGGTAGCAACACTACTGCCTCGGTTTCCAATTCGACTTATGACTGCATCGTCGCTGGCGCTGGTGCTGCTGGCATTGTCGTTGCGGAAAGGCTTGCAGAGAGTGGCGCTTCGGTACTCCTACTTGAGCGTGGTGGACCTTCCTTAGGAGCTACAGGCAACAACGGAACCCTCTCATGGAACAGCTCCACGACAATCTATGATGTTCCAGGGCTGGACTACTACCTCAGCCAGGCTGGTAATCCTGCTTTCTGTACTGATACTGCAGATCAAGCTGGATGCCTTCTCGGTGGAGGTACCGTAGTCAATGGTGTGTCATCTTTCTTCCACGAGCTTAAGTAGGATACTAGCCACTGACCGTACGCAGCAATGATGTTCGTCAAGCCCCAGTCGCGCGACTTTGATGACAAATGGCCGGAAGGCTGGAAGTGGTCGGACGTCGCTGAAGCCGCCGATCGCGTCTACGAACGAAACCCAGGCCAAACGTACGGCTCAGAAGATGGTCTCCGCTACAACAATGAGGCATACAACGTACTTTCAGAATTTCTCGCCGCAAATGGCTGGACAGACACTGACTTCATTGACGGAAACCACAATGCTAGGGTCGATGCTTACGGCTACCCGCCCTGGAATCTCGCCAACGGTCTACGCTCTGGTGTCGTGCACACATACCTCCCGGTTGCTCAGACTCTCCCCAACTTCAAGCTCATGCTCAACACCAAGGTCATCCGCGCTGTTCGCAATGGCTCAGCCGTCACTGGTATTGAGACGGAATCGAGCACTGGCGCTCGCGTGATCTACAACGTTAACGCAGGAGGCAGCGTCATTCTTTCATCAGGAACTATGTCCACTCCGCGTATCCTCTTCAACTCGGGTATTGGTCCGTCCGAACAGCTGCAGACCGTCGCCTCAGGCACAAGCGGCGTCACTCTTCCCGCAGAAATCGACTGGATCGATCTCCCCGTTGGTACCGAGATCAAGGACCACGTCATCTTCACATTGAAATTCAATACCTCTGTGCCTTTGTACTCACCCCCTACCAGCGACATCGTCTCTCCCAACCAGACCACTATCGACCTCTTCGCCAAGGGCAATGGCGTCCTTGCGCAGTCAGGCCAGCGATTGAGCTTCTGGACCGCCGTCAACACCACTAGCGGGAAAGAAATGTTCATTCAAGGAACCTGCAACGGCCCTGCGAACGACACCATCCAGATGAAGATATACCTCTCGCATGGTCTTACCTCGGTTGGCAGTCTAGGAATCACTGCCGACGGCGCTACCGAACTTACCTCGACGCCCTGGCTCCAGACTGATGAAGACATTGAAGCCGCATCCCTGTTCATGCAGCGTCTGCTCGACATGACTCGCACACCGAACTCCACGCTCACGTTCCGCTCTGCTGGTACTGTTACAACGGCCACTAGCAACATGACCGGCGCCGACCTCGTTAAATCCGTCATCGCGAACAAGGAATACACGACCGGTGTCCACTACGTTGGAACGGCGAAGATGGGTACCAGGGGCGACTCAGGCGTCGTAGTTGACACAGACACCAAGGTCTACGGGACCGACAATCTGTTCGTGGTTGACGGATCCATGCATCCAGACCTGCCTACTGGGAACACCCAAGCTATCATTATGATTGCTGCCGAGGCCGCCGCAGCTCGCATTCTGGCTTTGAATAGTGGGAGCGCGAACGAAACGAGTACTTCGACCGCTCTTCCTGTTGGCACTGCCACCGGTCTTCCTTTCAATCGGCCAAGTGGAACCGGCGCCGCGACAATCACTACAGGCGTCTCTCCATCCGAGACTCCGGGTCCTGCCCAGCCTTCGCAAAACGCTGGACAACTAGGCGACAATCACCCTTGGTGGCAGCGCCCAAACGGTAAGGGTAACGGCCGCGGCAAGCCATCGCCCACTACGCTCTCAACGCAGATCCCCGCGCCTACTCCCACACCTGCAAAGGCTGGACACCAGCCCGGCCACTACGCGAAGAGGCAGCTTTCTGGACGGATTCCCGTCAGCCCAGATGTCTTAGAAGATGAGGAAGTGCTCGAGGAGAGGAGCCGCATGGAGAGGGCAAGCTTCCTCGACTCGTACGATTACTAAGAGTCGGTGGAGTTAAACGCTTCTTGTATATACTTTCTTCTTTTGCGAAGCGCATTCGCTCGCTTGTGTAAAATTCTTCATTCTTTGTCTTCTTGGCTTTAAGGACCCAATGAATGATGTTACCTTATACAGGACGAAACAAGCTAGCGTTCTAGCGAAAGAACCCTTGGGAGGAGGAGTTCATCATATGCAGCGGAGGTAAGATCGAACAACTAAAGGGTCTACTGACGTCATTCCAGAAAATGCTCGTTCGAAAACCGTCAACCCCTATATCCCCTGTCGCAATCGCCTCCCGCCGTTACGAGGCCGCTTCGCTCTCGACTTCCTCCGTCTATGCCCTGCACCACTCCCTCTCCGCTGCACCGAGCCCATCTACCTGCACACCAAAAACCCCTCGGAGTAGGAGCGCAGAGTTGTATCATCCCCGCAAAGAGAAGGGATGCGCACTGCGCACTACACGCTATATTCAACATCGCGCCGATCCTCGCTGGCAAAAACGCGCCAAATAGCATTCCATCCGCACCCCCCTCAGATATATTACCCCCCGCGTCTTCTGCTTGGCTGCACCCTAACACCAGCCCAATATACACTATATGCCGCGCATTTCGGTATATTCGCGCTGCGTATGCGCGGGAACCCGGCGTATATGAGGGCATGCGAGCCAATCAACGGATATCGCGAGAGGTGCTGGATGCGGCAGTGGAGCCGCTGATCGCGTTTAGTATTTTTTGATTGAAGAGGAGATGGGTGAGAGGGCTGCGGGTGATGTAACCTGGTCCGGAGGGTTGTGGGCGCACGTTGCGTGTTTAAAGAGGCGGCGGTGGGCGTGGACGCTCGCCCTGGAAACGTCGACCCAGAATCCGCTGGAGAAACCCGGATCTACCTACAGGTTCGCCGGCATGATGCGACACCTCCCGCTCCTCGCCTCCCTCTGGGGCGCGCTCAGCAGCGCCATACCCACAGCCGACACCCTCCCGCTCTCCAAACCCATCCTCTCCGAACGCATATCGCCCTCCACCCGCCAGACCGCCGCCCCCAGCTACTGGACACCCCCCATGAAATCGCGCATCCAGTTCATCCTCACGGGGATCCCGGACGTCGACGACGGCTACATCAAGCCGAACTCGGGCGTCTACGAGATCGACATGTTCTGGACGCCGGCGGAGACGATCAAGACGATGAACCAGCTGGGCCAGAAGACCATCTGCTACTTCTCGGCGGCGACGGCGGAGAACTGGCGCGACGACTACGGCGAGTTCCAGCGCCAGGATCTGGGCAAGGAGCTGCCGGACTGGCCAGGGGAGCGGTATCTGGATATCCGGCGGGAGAATGTGTTTAAGGTGATTCAGAAGAGGATTGATCTCGCGGCGGAGAAGGGGTGTAATGCTATTGAGCCGGATAACGTTGGTGTGTTCCCCTCTCTTCCCCTGTCTCCTCTCTTCTGTTCTTCTGTTTCTTTGGGAGGCATTGGCTAATACGGTTGCGAAGACGTCTACTCCAACGACAACGGCTTCACGCCCGAAATCACGCCCGGCGACACGGTGACCTACCTGCACAAAGTGTCCGCCTACGCGCGCAGCAAAGGCATGTCAGTCGGGATCAAGAACTGCATCGAGATCCTCGGCGACATCTTCGACGACGTCGACTTCGCCATCTCGGAGGAGTGCGTGCAGTGGCTCAACTGCACGGCATACGCGAACTTCACGACGGCGCCGCGCGCCGGCACCGTCGGCAAGCCCGTGTTCGAGGTCGAGTACGTCAACTACACGTACACGGGCGCGTGGTCCGACGACGGCGTCGCGCTGGACCCGGCGAAGTTCCGCACGAACAATGTCAACTTCCCCGGGCTGACGGGCGAGAAGCTGAGGCGCAAGCTGTGTAATCTGGACGAGCAGGGCGTCACGCTGGAGAATCCGTATCTGAAGATTAACACGGTGATTAAGACGCTGGAGCTGGATGGGTTTGTGATGTTCTGCGATGGCAGCGCGGAGAAGACGAAGACGAAGGATGTGGAGAATCAGAGGGGGGGTGCGCAGCGCAGGAGTTGGGCGCGGGAGAAGATGTGGAGGAGGATGGGTGGGGTGCCGTATGATCCGTGAGCGTGGGTAGCTTGAAGTGGGAATGGTAGGAGAAGAGACTTTCCTTTCTTGTACTGTACCGGTCGTATCGCATCTTTGTTTTTGCCTTCCTTCTTTGCGACTATACGGACTTCGACTTCTCGCTAGTCCGCCACCTCAAAATGGGCAATGCGAGACGTCCAATAAACGACGCATTCCCCATTCAAGACGTGCACGCGTCGTCGTCCATGTCCGTACTTCCCACAAGGAAGGTCCTCAGCGGCAGAATCAAAAAAGGGGGCAGACCATCGAACGCTTCTCACGCGGCGGACCAGCGTGTTTCGCGTTCGCTGACAAAGCAACCCCGAGTCCGCTCCGCCAAGCCCCTCCTCTCCCACCCTCCCCAGCTCTTATCGCACTGCATTCTTTCTCATGCCACACGCTTCGGCGACCGCTGCAGACCTCTTCTTAACCACTTATCCCGAACACACCGTTTTCTTGTCAACCAGCCCAACGCAACGCCTAGATCGCCAAGCCCACGTGCGGTACGGATGGGTGTGGCTGACGGCGCGCGCTCCACCGGTCAGCATCCTGCCTGCGTTGCAGATCACGCAGGTCCGCGCAAAACTGCACTCCACCCCGAACTCGGGGCCCGCTTATCTTGTATCAGCTGCAAGAGGCAGCCGTTGCCTACTCAACGCCGAGAGCTGCGAGTGTGGGTGAGGGGCTCGTCCTTCGAGGACGGCGGTAGTGGGGGTTTGATGGGAGCTGCACGCGGCGTAGCGTTGGGATTGTAGGGCGTGGGCGTAGGATGCGGTTGTTTGGAACGCGGGACGGACACGTGGAGCGTTGTTATCGCGGTAGGATGCGAGATGGGGCGACGTGTTGCCCTCGTCGCTCGGTCTGCATGCATGCATGCGGCGTAGGAGTAGGCGTCAAGGACAGATAACGCTGTGTTTCTCTAGTGCGTTAGATGGAATCAGTACCTGCCCTCAAAGAATCTCCAATACGTACCTGAATGAGAGAAATGGTAATGAGAGAAATAGTGTTCACCGCAAAATGGCACAAGGGCCTGGAGTAAGAATAATCGTGGTGCTCTCAAATTTCGGTCGCTATGAATACGGAGCTACCTATGGACCCATGACTCCCTCGCGCCCGATGCATTATTGTCCCGAAATCCCAACAGGTATCATATCGAGCCGGCAGAACGCTGCACTAGCGCCCAGGCAAAGAAACATGAAATAGAGGAAAAACCACCCATATCTAATCAGCCGGTCTTCATCTATCCGGCGCTGCTTCCATGGCGCCGTACATGTCTATCGTTTGCTCCCTGAGGTACCCTATGTTTTTTGACAGAAAGGAAAGAAAGGATTGAGTTGAGCATGTAGGATGCTTATGCTGCGCGCTGCATCATCTCGTTGTCGTCTGTGCTGCTCTCCTCATCGATGCTCTTGCGGCTGGCCTTCTTCTTGCCAATGGTGTTGCCGAGGACGGGGAAGCAGTATCCAGGGTGGAAGACGCTGAGGAAGAGGACAGATAGCGTGATCATCACGCCCTCGAGGGCAATGAACTCAGGCTCGTTCCTCATGAGGTGGTTGCCCCAGCCGCCGGTAAGCTCGGGGATACGGTAGACGCATCGGGCGTAAATGCCAAGGTAGCCGACGAGGACGGCAACGACGAAGAGACGGAACCTGGTGTTACCGAGCAGCTTCAGGGACTCTGCAGAGAGCTGGTCGCGGCGGCGGTGCGTCCTGAGGGCGTACTCGGTCAAGAGGTAGCCGAAGACGGAGAGAATGACGACCTGGAAGATGACACCGGCAATCATGAGGTTGGTGCCGAGATCCTGGGTAGAAGAGCCAGGATCACCGGTAGCAGCGAGACCACCGCCGGCACCCTGAAGAACGAGGGAGATGATATCGCCCGTAATGAAGATGTAGGTGTACCAGGCGGGTCGGAGGCGGGACCACGACTCGCCAAAGGTGATGGTGAAGTGCTTAAGCGTGACGTAGATACCGGCGGAGACGAAAGCGGGCGAGATGATGAGAAGGCAGATTTGGAGCTGGAAACCCATGTCGTCGAAGGGGTTGTTGTACATCATGAGGCGGCCAATGTAACCGACACACTCCCCGGCGCAGCCCAAGCACAAGGCAATCTTTCCAGCAGTTAGTCTTGCTCAGTGCCGTCTTTGCAAAAGATGCGACTTACCATGTATGTCCATGTCTTCCACTTGATACCGAATATGAGATTGGTGACGAAACACAGGCCAAAGAAGGCGGCGAAGAAAGCGTTCGCTGAGAGACTAGGGAGGTAGCCATAGAGAGTACCCTCGACCTGGCAGTTCGGATATGGTACTCCAATATCGGTACAATTCGACGGGGCGGGGATGTAGTCGCGACCCATTGTGAGTGTAAATTCCTCGGTCGGGGTTCAAGTGGTAAAGTCGATATGGGCTGGGAGATGCACGATCAAGCGATGGACTGTAGAGAAGGCTGGAAGGGTATCTCAAGAGAGGAATTGGTGACTGGATCTGTGCTGGAAAGAAGAAGCTGACGGGCGCACGCTCCTACCTTATATCCTCCGTCTCAGACTCCAAGCGTCACCGTGTCACGGTCCTCCGCAGCGCATCTGTGCGCTAGGAGCGTCGTCCTATCTTTGTCACATTGTACTACGGGTGTTGTGTCGGAGGGATTCCCAGGCCGTCAGACTCTTGGAAGCGGCTTCAAAGCGTAGTCCCAGCCTTAGAGCCCGGAAGCTTGGCGGGAGGCCTGCGGTTCCCGGCGTTCGCGCAGCAAGCCGACCGTCGCAAGGACTCGCAAGGACTCCCGAAACGGTGCGTAGCATGGCTGAAAGGGGGATTGGTGGCGTCTAACGGGCGTGCTGATTGGAGCGCATGAGGTTGATGCGCGATGCGTCATGGACATGAGGCGAAGCAGCGCTGGCGCCGTTTGTTGTTGAGATTGGCGTGGAGGTGGGCAGAGGGGCGGAGTACAGTATGCCCGACTTTCGCTTTTCGGCCGGAAGCGCTTAGCCCGACTCGAAACCTTGGAAACACTGCCCCCACCAATTGCAATTGCACCTCTGAAGCGCTACGCCCTCACGTCGTCAATACGTCCGTACGACCTCTTCTGTCACTGTGTAACTGTGCCCCAGCTTGCGCTTGGCGCATCGATTGCGCAGAGTACTTGACGCGGCCTGAGGCTGAAAGCTTCGTACGGCCGGCGCTTCCAACGGTCGGTCGGAGCAATTCGCACTCGCCTGTTGTTGCATCCTGCTGAGATCCCGCCATCCCAATCGAGAGCGTATTCACGGCTCTCCTGCCATCTGTCATCCTTTTTGAATCCTTTAAGGCTGCGGTGTGGAGTTAAACGCCTCCCAGCTTGCCTAGTGCGGCATGCGTCGCGACTCGAGAATGTCCTTCCCGCCGTTCGGCCCTCTCTCCGCGTCTTCAGCACTTCTCGATGGCGGCGGCCAGGACTTCAAAATTAGAGTTCCTCGGTATCCGCTTTGCGATTGCCGCTGATTGTATCCCGCGTCACGCATCCTGCCCTTGGCGCCAGACCCGAAGCACGCCGATAGAACGACGTTGTAGCTGCTGCAAAACCTGTCTTCGAACTCTGGTAGAGATAATATGGAGGTGTGCAGCACCTGGAAGCTGGAGACTAAGCTGCAGATGTCCTGCAGGTGTGATGCCCGATAGGTAAGCTTATGTTGCTCGAGATCTCAGGCGTGGAAGCACGGTGTAGAATCCCGAACAAGCCCAGTCACAGTCGAAATTTTCTTCCAGAAGGCCCCGGGGCGTCGTGGGGTAAATGCAATGAGCGCAACGCGGTCTTTCGGGCGTATTCGATGCATGCGCCTTACCGTACACCTGTAGCCACGAGACTGCACGCCCATCCCGCGCCTACCACGTGCTGTTGGACCCTGATATGCAGCGATGGACAGCGAGGCTATTGTTGTCGTTCCCGGTAGGGTGGTGCTGCATATATTAAAGCTGACTTGATGCGCTGACCGCCCAGCCAGGCTGATAGGATAAAAAGAAGCGCGCGCTCTAGACACGTCGTTGGCGAATCGCTCGTCACACGAATTTGTTGGTATAAAACTTGGAGGTCTTGGAATCTGCCTGCTCAGCCTCCGACTCACAGCTCAGTCAGGCCCAATATGGCGATACGACTGTTCCTTATCAGACAAATACGTTCGTCGTCATCGCTACGCTGCACTCGAGACCTGCGTCGCTCTTCGTATTGGATACTTGGTTGTTTACCTGCACATTTGGCACACCGGTTGTTGATACTGGTGGACTGTGGGAGTGATTGAGCGATACCCGCTGTTTCGACCGTGCCGGCCGTAAGAGTGGAGTCGACTACGCCGCCCCGCCCGATAATCCCCCGTTTCCATCAAATTCGTCTCGCTAAAACATATGGCAGACCAACTCTTCCTATTGGTGAAGCCGAAGATACTGGGTACTTCAATGTGCGGTAATCGATAGCGGAAGTGGGACGGCTGAGACATCGAATGCACAGCGGCCTATCGACTGGCTCGAAAGTCGACAACACATAATCCCGCCACACGTACTACGCGCACATGAAAGGCGTCGCTATCTGGACACTCCCGCATATTTGCATGGTATCGTCCAGGGACATTATTCAATGCCACCAGGCGGACGCTCAAAAAGTGTCGTTAGAGAAGGCGATGGTGACGGTCGATGGATGCTTCTGCCCAGCCAGAAGGAATCGTGGACACACCCGTACGAAATTCCGGATAGACAGGAACATTCCGGCAGCTCGAGAGAACGTGGCCTATTTGAGGTAGGGGTGTCGAACGGTCCGCAGCTTCCCTTACTCGATTTATGGATGAGCGACTCCGCACAGCATAGATTGCCCACGATGATCCTACCAAACTCCCACTCTATTCAAGGAATGTCGAGACCAGGTTCATGCTCGCTGCCGCCGGGTGTATGTCCCCAGGCGGCTTTCGCTTCGGTAAATTCACAAAGCGGCGGCTCTGTCTCGTTCTCTCACTCGTCTTCATAGAGCAGATGAATTCGCGCCGCCGTCACTACACTAGTCCCTGCTAGCGACGCTCAAGCGAGTCTGCGACGAGCGAGGATTTGAAGAGACTCGGCCCTATACGTCATGAGTTAACGCCGAGCGTAAAGCCGTGTTAGTCGCGCCGTAAGCTCCAGAATCGGTTGGGATAAGCAGAGCGCTGGTTGGAGGCCTTCTTGCAATGTCAGGAAGCCCATCGTTCCTTGACTTTACCCTCAATGGCGACTTCCAATCGCATCGGTGAGGTTGCCATCGTCGGTGTACGTCAAACCATGCCGGTTGCAGTTTCGGCAATATGTCGTAGACTAACAAGCGTAGGGAGGCGGAAATGTCGGCGGCTTCGTAACTGAAGCCCTGCTTTCGACCGACAAGCACATTGTCACGGCCATCACTCGGGCCAATAGCCAGAGCACATGGCCAGAGCGTATAACAGTTGCGAAGGTCGACTATAGCAAGCCGGGAACGTTGATCGAGGCACGGTGAGGCCAGGACGCGCTCGGCGATGGAGGAAAAGTGGCTTTCCGAAGGTGATGGCAAGACTGTTCTATCCCGATGGATGATTCGATTTTGAGCACAACAGGGGCACGCCCAAAGGGTTGCTCGGCCTACCGAAGGGGGATACTGATGAGGCGATCAAGGCTGGGATCGAACGCTCGAAAGCCGCCGCCGTATAGGTCTAGGGGCCGACGAGAACCGCGCACGTGAACCCGCCTTGTCATGGCGAGCCACTCCATCGTCTTTCATTATGTCCCTGTCTTGTATCGTCTTCTTATCCCAACTGCATCTCTCGCCGTAAAGTGGCGTGCAGCTTGCGATCTCTGTCTCTGGCCTTCCTACTCTCCTTTTCCAAGTCCGATTCCTTTATCCCCATCCCACACTCGCGAGTATCTGCGTCGGTTAGTTATTGAGGGCCGACAGGAACAGGCTATCGTGAGGCCTTGAGCCGTGGATAGACAAAACCTAGTGCTGCGCTCAACCGATAAGAAGTACCGGCGGAGGAAATCCCACAGACCCCACGTGCGAAGTGAGACGGCGGAAATCCATAAATTCGAGTCGCGGCTCCGAACATCGAAGCCAGAGATGCAGATGCAGACCAACAGCCTTCTAGGTTGTGTTGGACGGCGTGAGGTGTAACGTTTATCTCGAGATCGCGCCTGCCGCTTTCCCTGAGCTAGGCCGCTTTCAGCCTAGCTCTGTTGACGATGTGCCCACCAGCGCCTCCACCGTGATTCTTTCCCATCCTTCAACCATCGGCCATAACGAACTTTGCCATCGCAGCGTCATGCCAGAATCCGACCGCACCCTAGCCAAGGTGGCCTCTACTGTGCTCAGGCTGTAGCACGGAAGATCCACAAAAGCTTGGCCCCTCTGGCGCCACGCCCCTATCTATCCCCTCTTTCATCCCGAGGCCGCTGAATCCCAATAGCCCTTACCGCCCACCAGCAGCGCGTGGACGACGTCCCTAGTGACACGATGAAGTACTCTCCCGATTTTTTTCTGGGACATGCCGCGCCCGACTGTGCTGAGGAACCCCGACACCGCCTTTGGGTCCACACTCCAGTTGCATGTGCACATCGTCAATACTATGGTCCCCCAATGTGCGAGCCCATGGCTCTTCGTCGACAAAAGCGGTGACAGGCAGTGGAGTCTAAAACGACCGGAGGACCCTGACTTGGCCTTCAGAGGGAGTCATTGGCGTCTTTTCTTGCTCATTCCTTCTCTCGTTTTGTCCTCCTGGCCTGAAGAATCATGTCTCCCATCTTTCTTCTCCTAGGGGTTTTCACTCTTTCTTTGGCGAAGACGGTCACTTATGATTTTGACATTGGTTGGGTTTCGGTTTGTGTACAACTTAAGCGTCGGGAGAAGAAGCACTGACAACGCGTAGGCTGCCCCAGATGGCTACCTCAGGCCCGTCATTGGCATCAACGGCCAGTGGCCGTAAGTATGCTCCACCGCTCGATGCAATATTTCTGACCACCGCCGAAGTATTCCTACCATCGAAGCAAACGTGAACGACACGGTGACTCTCGCAGCCTCCAGTTATGACCGTATGCTGACTTTGGACAAGATCGTTGTAAACGTGCACAACTCGCTGGGCAATCAATCTACCTCGCTCCATTGGCATGGTTTGTGGCACTACGGCACGAATGCCTACGATGGCCCTGTTGGCGTCACCCAGTGCCCTATTGCTCCTGGGCAATCGTTCACGTACACATTCCAGGCCTATCCAGCCGGTCCACACTGGTACCACTCTCACGACGTACGTTTCCGCTCAAAATTAGTCCCACTGGCGTAGATAGCCCGATTCCTACAACGGTGGAAAATTGCTAACCGTGCACCTTCAACATGCAGAAGGGACAATATTCCGATGGCCTCAGAGGGAAGATGATAATACATGACCCCGATTGGGAGGCCAGTTTAGATGTTGAGGAGCAAATCTATCTTAGCATGTCTGACTGGTAAGCGACCTGCCCCTAAAACCAACTGCCGCTCACCTGTCCAAGGTATCGCACCCAAATGCCCTACCTGATCGAAGAGTACCTGAGCCCCAACAATACCGAGGGTCACATTCCGTCGCCAGATTCCTTCCTCTTCAACGATACCCGTGCCGGGCCGACCTTGAACTTCAAGCCGGGGAAACGATACCTCCTGCGTATCGTTAGTACCGCTTCGGTTGCTTGCGGCGACTTTCATATCGACGGGCACACGCTCACTGTTGTAGCTGTGGACGGGGAGCATGTGCACCCACAGGACGCCGATACGATCATTATCTGCGCCGGCCAGAGTTACGATGTTGTAGTCGTCGGACAATGGAATCCGCTCAGCAGCGTCAGGTACATTGCGAAAATGACTACGGATATGCTAAATCGAGAAATACCCTCCAATACAAACCTTACGGTCATCGGAACACTAGCCTATAACCTTGACGGCAGGGTTCTCGACTCGATATACGGTGGTCCGGACCCGTCTTGGACGCCGACAGCCTTCCTCGACGACACGACGCTCACACCACTCGACGATCAGCCGCTGCTAAGCTGTGTCACGAAGGAGGTCAAATTTGTGACGAATCAGACATACTACGAGGGTATCGGAACTCGTATCGGAATGGGTGCTCAGCCCTGGGTAGCTCCCAAGGTTCCCTCGCTATACACTGCGCTCTCAACCGGACGTTAGTAGATACCCTCCCACATGAGGCGATGACAACTAACCGGTGTATAGCCCTGGCTTCAATCGCTTCTACTTATGGTCCCGGAATAGCCCCTGATATCGTCGAGGCGGGCGATATTGTCCAGATCTACATGGAGAATCCACAACCCTGGGGTCATCCTATGCATTTGCATGTGAGTCCATTGATCCTATAAGGGCTAACAGGTACTTACGCCGCCCAGGGCCATGCATTCCAAGTAGCCGCGCGAGGCATCGGTAGCTGGGACGGCAACGAAGAATCACTGAATCCGGTACCCATGAAGCGGAACAATGGTACGTCGCGCACCCATGCTGCGCTCTCCCTCCCCGGAGGTCTCGAAACTGACCCCGTGCAGTCGTGATACCAGGCGCAGGCTACCTCGTCCTGCGCTTCAAAGCCGACAACCCCGGCGTGTGGTTCTTCCACTGCCACATCGACTTCCACCTCGTCGGCGGCATGGGCGCCGTCTTCATCGAAGCGCCCGACGTCCTCCAGCGCACGCAGTCCATCCCTTTCGCCGGCTCCATGCTCTGCGCCACCAGCGGGGAGTGCACTGAGGGCAATTGCGCGTGCAAATCTGGCGTCATCTCTGCGGCAGAGGCTCACGACGAGTGCAATACGATTTATAATACTGACAACATGGAGTATGGGGCGATGGTGCCGCTCTCGGGAGCTGAATGCCAGGGATTTAATAAAAGATGCTGACGGAGCGGTTTGCGGTGTGGGCGGCGGGCTTTCTCTACGGGGGCTTTCGGAGTATTATAGATGGAACTTTACTCGGTAAGGGCAGGGCGCATGAGGGCGGTATCTCCAATTACTTCTTCATTCTACTTCCTCCCAAGAGCTCCCGTCCATGACGCAGCCATTGCCCTAAACCATCACGCCATCCTGCCCGCCTTTCATTCCCCTCGCCTTGTCCCCTTCCTCCCACCCCAGTGCCTGCTTTTCCCCAGGAAACTAAAACAACGGTGCAACTCAACTAAACCTGCATTCTCGACGGCGAAATACTTCCCCTCCCCGACACGCGCGACCCCCGCAACACGGCTGATTTTAACCCGATCAATAGGCCCAGCGCCGTACATAGGGATCCCAAAAGCAGATTATAGTAGGCCACCCCCATGGCCCCTGAAGCTAAGCGTCTTAGCAAGGCTTAACTGCGGATGGACCGCACGAGCTTAAGCCGCAATGACGGCGATGCTGTTACGTTTTACGGGGGTTTCGGATGCTACGCATAGGTGAGCGTTAGGGTGCTGGGGTGTCGCATCGCGAGGCGCGGGATTCCGAGTCTCGGAAGTTTCTTCTCTGACGTGCATTTTTTGTATGAAGATGGCGGGGAGGAAATGAGAAAAAGATGGTCAATCGATGCATCGTCAAGCATTAGTCATACACACCTTCGCTTTCTATATCGACACACTCAACGCTACGATCTACGATCCTAACATGCTCCCCTCAGCTTTATTCCCTACTAGCCGCGCGGTCTGCCTGCGCTCAACAGCTACTTGCTCTGCGGCATGGCTCATCTCCTTCTCCGTGCCGTACGCGTCGCGCAGCCATGTAGCGCGATAGCGTACGGAGCCTGGACTATGACACGATAACGGCGGGAATGGGGAGGTGTGGTTTGGGCCTGCGGAGGACTTTGGGCTGGAGGTTAGGCGTGTGGATGGTTAGACTGTTAGAAGGGGGGCGGCGTTGTAGGTGGTGCAGAGGGCGATTAGATGGTGGATGGCGCGGTGGGAAGTGGAGGATGGGAAGAGAGGTATGCGAGGGAAAGAAACGCGCGAAGAGACAGCGGATGGATGTAGTAATTGTGATGAATGCCGAGCGACAGTGCGCCATCCACTCGCGACATGAGTGCTCCAATGCCTTTTCAACGCCATAGCAGACTAGATCCCCAACTCCAAATGCCCAATTCCCATCCGTCCAAAACGCCAACAAGATAACACGATCCGTTATGTCCTTCGCATTCGCTCGGCGCTAATGCGTATGCCCGCACGCACACGTACTCCCCTCAAACCTCTGATGCCCCACCCTCTTCTTCCAGCTCCACGTCTGCTCCGGCTCCTGCGCCATCTTCTTCATCGCCAGCACATCGACATCCCTGAACCCCTTATCCAAGGAATTCACCTCCACGCTCAGCCGCGCATACTTAACCGCATTGTGGCGGTCGCCAAAGCTGCTGTACGCCTCGGCGGCGTGCTTGTACACATAGCCCATGCTAGCGAACAGGCGCTCCTGTTCGTACAGCGAGATGAGCAGCTCAGCCATCTCAGGCGTGGCACGGCTCTCCGCGGTCCAGTCGTTGAGCTCCTTGGCGACGTCGTCGAGCTGCTGGATGCGGGCGTCGGACTCGGCGGCGAAGACCGGGTGCGCCGAGCATGCGCTGCAGCTGCAGTCGAAGCCCCAGTTGCGCTTGAGGTTCGCCATGCGCAGGCTGCGCTTGCGCTCGTTGTTGATGTACGTGATGGTGATCTCCTCGCCCGGGTAGATGGTCTGTGTCGCGTGCACGTAGTGGCTCAGCGTCTCCTCGTCCCAGAAGTAGGCCGCGTTGGGCCGGCAGTCGTGGTTCAGCATTGCGATCTCCGGGAGCACGGCGTACTGGCCGACGCCGTCGACTTCTATCTCGAACGCGTTGGTGTTGATGCGGTCGTCGACGGGGTCGCCTTTGAAGTGGTCGAGCAGGGCCCAGAAGAGGGACTGTGAGGCGGGTGGGAGGGTCTCGACGCCGCGGTGGGCGAGGCGGAGGCGCTCCTCTTCGACGAGATGGTAGGAGATGGGGTTGGTGATGACGAGGGGTGTAGAGGCGAAGATTTGGTCGCCTCGATGGAGCGTTTTATTGGCCACGAGGCCTCGGCCTTTGCCGGGGAATTCGTGCTGTACGTAGGGCGGATTTGCGTGCTGGTTTATCCTGTCGAGGGCTCCAGGCCGTGAGAAGGCGGGCTTCTTCAGCATCTGGTATGCGAGCGACGCCGTTGAAACGATGTATATGCCTCTTCCCGAAGCGAACTTTTGGTCGGTGAAGACGCACACGGGCTCGGTGGTGTTCTCGTTGGAGTAGCACTCGGGCCAGAATGTCCACGGGAAGTTGGCCACTTTCTCTGCTGATGCTCGCGAGTCATCAAGACCCAGTGTGCCGTTCTCTGTGAAGGATACATTCTCGGTGCCGGATGAGGAGGGATCGAAGCTTGAGGGCTGGCACTCGCCATTGTGCAGAATCGAATTCGCAGGGCATGCATCCGCAAGGAACGGTCTCTGGGGTATCTGCTCGGCCTTCTCGCCTGTAAAGGCTAGAACGCTGCCGAGCAGGCTGAGACCGACAACGCTCTTCATCTCGAATTACTACTAGGGGAAACAATATAAATGTGGGAAAACTGGGAAAGACGGATAGAACGGACGGTTAAGACAAATCTGAAGGGAAGTTTTGAGGTCCAGATAGACTATTAAACGTCTCCGGATTGCCATCGCGAGGGGCGACGGAATGTGGACCGTGAAACATGGGATGGATTGGAGACGGTTTTGAAGCGAGGGGTGAAACACTTTCAGAAAGGGCCAAGATGCCTCTGCCGCTCGAGAGGCACGCCAAACGTCAGACCATGCGCGAAAATCTAGCTTGTTCACGTCCAAGATGATCAGTTGTGAGCGAGGCGGAAAGGTAGTGACGAGAGAGGTAGAGGAAGTGTGCGAGCGGAAAGGCTATGCATGGCATGGCTCCTCAGCGCCGCCGGGGTTGAAAGACCTGCGGGCATGACTAGCAGGGCAGGAAAGATGCAAATAGATCACAATTTCAGCCGTCAGCTTCTCAAGAATATGGGCGTTATCGCGTTGTGCTGTTGCAGCCCTGGAGGTTTGTGGATTGTGGAGAGGCGGGCGCCATCTCACGCCGGCCAAGTGAGGGGCCGGACGTGGCTCAAACAGGAAGCGACTCGGCTACGCTTGCTTCCTGGCAATCAAGCCCCTGAGTGCATCAAACGAGGGGAAGCGGTGCCTGAGGATCTTGGCTGAGGCGATCTTGCACCTCCCCGTCGCACGCGAGAATCCTGGGAGCACATCTCGAATTGAAAGCATGGCTAGCTAGGCTGATAGGATAAGATGTCCGAAAGCCGCGTCTAAGCATCGCTCGATCAAAGAAAACCAGAACGCTATCAATATAGGTAGTCCCCACAAAATAAGTCCACCAAAAGTCCGCAAAATCCCAGCCCTACAAAAATCCTCCGAAGAACCCATAAAATCCCGCCCAAAATCCCGCCCAAAATCCCGCCTAGAAAACCCTTAGCAGATTCGCCTAGTGTCCATCCGTGCCTACATAGGCTCAACACCGCGGAACAACCTTTCCAGCCTTAGATCCGTAGGATCGGTCCTCCAATCCCTCGCATTGGGCAGGATGACCCTCCACCCTCTCTTCTCCGTCTCATCGAGCAGTATCCCCGCCTTGCGCTCCGCATCCTCTGTATCCGTAGCGCAGATGACGAAGGTCGTGAGGTAGAACATGACGAAGGGGTACTTGGAGTTGATGTAGTGGTGGAGGTAGTATTGCCAGGCGTGCGAGGACCAGGGACGGTCGAATGCTGCCTCACCGTTAGACGAGATGCGAACAAATGAAGAGAGACGAAGACTTACGCATCGCATTCCAGTGGTAAACATGGCCCTCCCAAGTCCCAAAATTGAGCTTGTTCTTCCCGAGCCTCTTGATCGCCGGCATAGGCCAAGCGCTATAATGCGTTAGGATGCTTCCCTTGGCCATGATACCTCCTGGATTATTCTCCTTGAACTTCTTCGCAAAGTCTAGGAGACAGGTCTTGGGCGGTAGTGTAAGGCTGGGCGTAAGCTCTGAGTCCGGTGCAAGTCCTCCAAACTCATACGGAAAGTAGAGATCTAGTGCGCCATCCGTGCCTTGGACGATGACGGGTCGGGTCTGGGGCGTCTCGTAATCCGGGGCCAGACTGATGATACCACAGCGCTCCATGTCCTCGATGACGCGTCGAATAAAGCGGTTCGCATCTCTGGAGCACTCTTCCGATTCCATCTTTTTCTTGTGGGAATGGAGGATCTGCCTGTCTGGATCATGGCACCTTTGCCTGTTGCCTTCGTACTGCACTTCAGGCGGTGCTGGGAACTGCATGTCGATGGAGCTGTCGATGCTCATCTCCTCTAGGAAGATTTCCTGCACCGAGGGTGGGATCACCTCGCGGATGACTCGTTTCGCGACTTGTCGCGGAGAAGGGTCGCCCATGAGCATGAGCAGCGCGTCCTGGATGATGTCGAAGAGCTGGAATGGCTGGCCGGCTTGCTTATCGATGATGATGAACTGCCAGGAGTCGACAACGATGGGGTCGTACATGGACTTCTTGCGGAAACGGAGGTCATTTTTGACGTCTTCCAGGGTGATGTCCGTGGTCCAGTCCACGTCCTTCAATTCTCCGTGCGACTTGGCTGATCGATGGCGCTTGATGAACAAGTCTCCTTCCGACGGGTGGACTGTTGCATCAGCATTCGTGCCTTCGTACACCACAAGGAGAAGCCTTTCTGTCCGCTTTCGCAGCTCGTCCAGGAAATCTTGCGTCAAGGGGTCGCCGATGGCCATCTGACCGCACACGTAGTTGCGAGCCTCTTCTTGTACCACAAAATCTTCTGCCTGTTGTATGGAAGCATTCGCAGTGAAATTTCCTTTACTAGAAGGAATGAACCCGAGATAGACGGCAGCCGTGCACTCTGTGAGGATACTTTGCGGATCGAACCAGTGATCGCGGTATAGCCCAAGCATTAGCAGCTTGCAAATGGTGGTGTAGTCCTCGAAATTGGAGCAGATGCTGGCCAGAGTCCACGGTGTCAGAAGCGTTGGAAACCAGCGGTACCTGAGCGTGGTTTAGCAACAGCAAGCAATATGATGACGGGTGAGCTTACAGTATATCCCAGCATGGCTTGGTCATCTTGAGTCCCTCGGTCGTACTCGGTATCATACCACCAAGCAGACTGATGGTTTTGATGTCGCCGCCGGCGAGTGTCTGAGCGCAGATCGCGGCGCGGAGATACTGAACGGCATGAGGACGCCAGGCCTTTTCGAAGAAGTCGCAATACGTCTCCAGTTGGCTTGCATGGCATCCGGACAAGAACTCGTCGATACCCTTGGATCTAGTCGCATGTTCCAGGGCCTCGGCTTCGCTATCGTTTAGGATCATAATTCGGAACCAGGCGCGGATAATGTCAGTCCCACTGTCCTGAACTGGGTCTTTGACGGGAGAGCCGGATCGTTGTCCAGAGTCGTTGAGATCTGGCACGATGCCGTAGAGTCGACGAACACTTTCGACGCATAGATCCGTGTAAAAGTGCTTCAGAATGAGAATTGTGCCATCATCTGGCATTCCCAGTAACGAGTCGATTGGAATGCGTGGATCCAGAGGTGACTGGAGGATCATGATCTTCTCCGAATTTTGTGTTTCTGGGTGCGGAGTGGTTCCACCTGGGGTTTCCGGTGTAGGACCACGGTCGAGGTTCGACACTGTCATACATGTGAGAAGAGGAGCACTTGAGAGACGGGGACCTTACTCAGAATAGAATCCGCGAGTGCTCTGACGTCCCTCTCCAGTTTCATGATCCATTTGATAAAATCGGCGGTGTCACCGCCTCGAGGATAGAATCTCTCGCGAATCTGGCGCCGAAGATCCACGGCTTGTCGAAGCTTGAGGACTTTTTGTTTCGCCGTATCAGGGCTGACGACTTCAACCCGCTCCGCCTCTTTGAGAGACCTCCCCCACCTTGACTTGAGATCTTTCAGCTCCCTGATATGCCTATGGCACCAGGTTTCGCTATCTGAGAGTAGCTCATGCCGGCACGGCCGTCCATCTGCCTCCAAAGCCTCGCAAGCGCCTCCCTTCAGAGCGGGGGATTCGGGCGGTTCACAAGAGTTAAGGAGAATCCTCGATTTGCCTTTGAAGCTAGGTCTTCGCTCCTGGGCGGTGTGGATGCGCAACTGAAGGTTCATGATGGACAAGAAGGGATAAGAGCTTCAGAAGTGGGAGAGCCAGTAAGCCGGTATGGTAGGCCTGTCTAAATTAAGTCTGTGCATGAGGTTTGGGCACTGAGATGTGCTCGGAGGATAGTTAACGTTAATGAAGGTTGGGAGGACGAAGTTCATTCCGTGCGAGTATCATTCCCAACATGCGGCGCAGCAGCCCCCAACCCCACATCAGGGGGTTGTTCAGCCGTATCTCGTGAATGGCTTAGCGGCCTAAGTCCTGATTGGGTGGCTTGGAGAGACTTTTGGACATAAGCGCCAGCAATTCCTTGATGCGTCTTGATGCTCCTGCGTGCCTTTCCATCCCTTTCGAGTAGGCGTTTCGTATGCAAGAGCGCAACGGCTCGATGTCGCTCTGTTTGGCTGCCGTAGGCAACAGCAACTCGTCCGATCCTGTGACTTAGGCGCAATGTGTCGCCTATAGGTGATGGGCACGCAATGCGAGACATTCACCCTGCAGCAAATAGAGACACCATTGGATGATGCAACGGCACAAACGGTGAAGAATCCATGGTCACGGCGACCTTCTACGCCGCAATCGATATGAGGGTTGTCCCAGTGTGGGGTGGAAATGGGCCGGGGGAGTGGTTCGGCCGCGTCTCATCCTGCCCGTGACGAGGGTAGGTTCTCAGCCGCGCGTGTCAGGTCTTCGTGCATTCGTTTACCGCCGGGCGTAAATGCTTTTGCTCTCGTTCTGAGCTAGGAGTGGAGGAAGAGGCGGTTGATCGGTAAGGTCCGTTGACGTGTCTTTGCTTGTTCCTGGGCGCCTAGTGGACCGGAGAGTGGACCGGAGCGAGTCGGTAAAGCGAGATAAGGCCGGAACTGGACCGTGACACCCCGGTCCTGGCGTTGAGGAAACTGCCCACCATCACGGCAAAAAGTCGCAATTGGCTGAAAAGCGACGTTTCGAGGCACGGAGCCGGAACGAGGAGCACTGATTACCGTTCCCGGAAGTCGGCCCAGCGCTATAAACGCTGAAGGCGTCGCAGTCACCGCTCGCAAATGGCCGGCTTCCGAGCGGATGATTGTGGCCCTTACTCGAGCTATACGCGCCCAAACGCAACAGGGTGGACTGTATCTCTGCTCAGCCCTCTTCATCTACTAGGGTTGATGTTGTCTTGTTTGCATCAGCGCAAACGACGCAGGGTGATACTTGCGGAGGCATGCGCACCTACCAGCCCGCAAGGCGTTCCGCGTCCAGCCCTGTCGTTGGGCGCCTATTGTGGTCCCATTAATGGCTCAGAAGGATCACATTCTCGGGCGACGAAGCCGAGCGCACACCTAGTCAATGTCCGACATTTAGGAGAACGGAGCTCCGACTTTAGGAGAAACTGTGGACGGAGCACACGGATAGAGGATTGAAAGCTAGGGGTCAACGAATTTTCCGCTCGACTGAGGAGGCAGTTGCCATGGACCGCAGCTGACAGTTCCTTCCCGCCCCGGACAGTCCCGCCAGCTAGGCCACCTGGACACGATGGAGTGCCGCAAAGGCTACATGCAACGTGCAGCTATTAATTGAGTAGACGTTGTCCCTGAGAACCCCTACAGCGATATGTGATAATTCCACTATCCAAGCATGTGCGACGGGACGTCCACCACCCCGAGCTTCACCACGCTAACACCTTTTAGGACTAGTATTCCAACGCCTCCTCAAACAGCCCCCTCAACTGCTCCCGCTCCGCCTCGAGGTTCTGCATCTCCAAACTCGGCGCAAGCATCAGCACCCTCGCCTGCGGAATCGTGCCCTCCACCAGCTGATCCACATGCTCCTTCCCAAAGCCCAGAGCCTTCAGCCCCCGTGGCTGATCACCCAACTTGATCAAAAACTCCGCTAATGCCTCGCTCAGCACCTCTCCCGCGCTCTCCTTCTTCACGTTCGAGACATCGACGCCGAAGCATTCCGCAGCTGCCAGGTGCCGCTCCGGGTTTGACGCGCCGGTGAATTTGAATACCGCAGGCGCAGTGACGGCGACGCTGACACCGTGCGGGATGAGGGGGTTTTCGACTTCGTAGCCGGGGTGCTTGTAGCCCGGGTTTTGACCTGAAATGGGATAAGACATGCCGTGGCAGAGATGGACGCCTGCGTTGCCGAAGCCAACACCTGCGAGCGTGGCGGCAAGGAGCATCTGTGACTGCGCCTCGTGGTCTTCGGGGTCTTTGACTGCGCGGGGGAGGTATTTCACAGTGTCGCGGAGGGCTTTCAGGGAGAAGATGTCGGAAATGGGGTTCGCGCCCTGGTACGCCGGCCTGTTGATGGGATTTGTCGGCCGCGGTACCCTCTCGTAGAATGGGATCGCAGTCCAGGATTCCAAAGAATGGCAGAGGACGTCGAGGCCGGAAGATGAATGCACAGCGGAGGGCATAGTGCGCGTATTAAGCGGATCGACTACGCCGAGCGTAGGCTTCAGATTGCGATGGGCGATGCCAGTCTTTGCGCGTTTGGAGACCAGGTCGAAGATGGCGGTACCGGTAGTCTCAGAGCCAGTTCCCGCCGTCGTCGGGACGGCAATCAGAGGGAAGAGCTTGGATGGAATAGGCATGCCTTTGCCCAGGGGGGCATTGACGAAGTCGAGGAAATCAGCCTCTGTATAGTCAGTTAGCGTAGCCCAAATAGCCTTACTTGCAATCGATGGTAGCGATACGTACCTGGAAACGTAGTATACAAGTTCATCAGCTTCGCCGTATCAATCACACTCCCACCGCCGACGGCCAAGAATGCATCTGGCCGATACGGTTTCGCAGCTTCAATGGCCTCCCGTATACTACTATCCTTCGGCTCCACCCGCACCTTGTCGAATATTTCAAACGGCACGCCTTCCCTTTCCAGCCCCTCCACAACCTGCCTCATCGCATCCAGCTTCCGCACGTTGCCATCCGTGACAACCATCACGCGCTTGGCGCCCATGTTCTTAAAGTCCATGCCGACTTCCTTTGTGCAGCCCGGCCCGAAGCGAATCGAGGAAGCTGCCATCTCGAACGCGTATTCCTTTTGCTGGGACATGTCGACAGGCGTTGCGAGGGCGCGTTTTGCTTGGTGGATAGTCTGCGGGCCATGGTGATGGTGTGCGGGGTTTGAATGGCAGGGACAGGACGGCGGGTGCGTGAACTGGACCGTTCGAAGGAGGTTAAGAGCACGGGTCGCGCGCGAGGGCGATATGCGAATTGAGGTGGATATCGACATTTTGCGAAAGGTAGTGGGGCGGGGAAAGGCTTAGTGCTTCTGGATGCTGTTTGTGCTCCGAACCTTCAATTGACGGCGTTAACCCCAGTCTGAGTGTTGAGAAGTGTTCCAGAGGGAGAAATACAACAAAGGAAACGGGAAAAAGGAGACAAAGTCCATGATGTGGGACGGATGTGGGTGCGGAGAAGCGCGACGTTGGAGTCGAGCTCGATCCGAGGTCTGACTAGGATGACGCGCACGGCACTTTGTGGGGAAGAGGGCTCGTGCTTAGCGGAGATGACATGTCCGGGCTGCTGTTCTGGGAAATACCGGGAGAAGTACATTACACCTTGTGGCACGACAAGCCCACGGGACGTCCACCTTAAATGCCATGTTTCATGAATCGCAGTACTATTATCTACGGAAGTGTCTATCGGGCGTATATTCTATCGTCGAGCAAGTACAGCGAGCCGGGTATGCCTAATCCAAGCCCCTCTAACCATGTCCCCCACATCCCGAGCCGCACAGCTCAATGCTTCCTCAAGTACAGCACCAACCAACCAAAAAGCCGATATCCAAGCGTAATCGCTAGCATGTAGCCCACATACTTGCCTACATTGCCAGTGTTGTAGCCATAGCTCGAAAGCACCGCCTTGCCGTCAATCATGCACTGGTCCTGCAGCGCACTCGGATACATGCAATAGCAGCTACCATCCGGCAGCGTCTCGCACGCGTACGACCTCTTTCCAAACTCGTTGACCATCATGCCATGGAAGACGTATGCTTGGTAGTCGATGTAATGGAACACGTACCGCCAGAAGACGTTGAGCGTGCCGGGTTGCACCATGAAGCCGTTGACACTCATCCAGAGCCCATTCGCAAACGCCGTAGCGGCTAATGCGACGACGAAGATTGGGATGAGGGAAGATAGCAGGACGACCAAGGACTCGGCAGCGACAAGATCCAAGAAAAGCCACATTACCCAGACCCAGAAGCCTTCTGCGCTGTCTCGGAAGTTGCCCAGCCAGTATGAGACTACCGAAAACAGGAATGCGATGATGAAGAGATATGGTATGCCGATGATAAAGTTGGCAATCATAAACGCCGTGGGGCCGTAGAGTCCGTTGAGTCTCTCCTTAGTATAGAGATGCAAGTCTTCCAGGTACGCCGGAATGTACGCCACGGCCATGAAGGACATGAACGCACCGCCGAAAAAGATGGCATTGGTAAAGGCGTTGATGTTGGATTGGACGGGATCCAAACGGAGCCAGACTGTTCCCATCATGATCGCAAGACCCATGTACATTGCGATGCGGATACCGTAAGCCACAATATCGCGGTACGATTTGATGAAGGAGCGGTGGATGAGGGTGAGGGGAATAAGAAACTTGTTGGCCGAATCATGGGTAAGGTCCGAGAGAACTGCACAAGCCGAGAGGTCCGAAACACAGCTCCGGATTTCGGAGGTTGCGGCCGCAGCTTTAGTAGATCGTTGCCAGGATGAGTGGAGATGCGCGAGCTTATCATCGGATTCCTCCTGGTCTCTTGAAAAGTCGGTGTTGACGAGTTGAAGGATGTATTCCGCGGGGTTCATGTAGAGAGGCATGCTATGCCCCAGACTCGCAAAGTAGTCTCGGACACCCCTCACCGCACCATTGTAGACAGTCTTGCCCCGAGAGAGGAGCAGCAACTTGTCGAAGAGATCGAACGTGCTCGTTGAAGGCTGGTGGATGGAGGCAATGGCGAGGATCTAGGTGTTCAGTCAACTGAAGCACTCGAAGCGGGACATGCTTCATTCACCTTGTACTGCTTTGCGATATTTCTCACAAAGTTCATGACTTCGAAGCTCGCCGAAGAATCCAAACCACTCGTGGGCTCGTCTAAGAACAAAATCTTCGGGCTAGTAATCAACTGGCTGGCGACACTGACCCTCCTCTTCTGTCCGCCGGACACGCCCTTGCGAATCGGGGTTCCAATGAGCGTCTCTGCTTGTTTCTGCAAGCCAAATGCAGCAAGAAGGGCTTCGATTCGTGCAATCCGTTCCGACTTTGAGACGGAGCTACTGATAATCAGCCGCAAGAGTTCTGCAGGGAATCTTATATGGCTCACCTGGGAAGCGCGAGTCTGGCGGCGAAGTAAAGGGTCTCTCGGACAGTGAGTGAACCGACGAGGGCGTCTTCTTGTTCGACGAAACTGGACAGTTTTCGGAAGGTCTTGAGGTCGGTGACGGCGCCATTCAGGTGGAGCGACTCTTGTACGGAAGCACCTGATGCTTTGCGATGGGCCAGCACATTAAGAAGAGTGGTCTTTCCCGACCCACTATCATCTGTTAGATGCATTCGGCAATGGATAATGTTGACCCATACCTTGGACCCATAAGAGCGAGCATCTCGCCTATCCTCTATGTAAGTAACAAATCTACCGAATCACGGACCAGACGTACCAGCTTTGACGATGCCATTGACTCCGGAGAGAATCTCCAGGGGTTGCTTGGTGTACCGGTCTTTCACTGTGACTGTGATGCCTTCCCAACTAAAGCTGCGGACAGACTCATTGGTTAAGTGGGCATAGTCTGTGCCTGCATCTTTTTCAACGTCGAGCGACTGGGAAGTCGACATGGCGTAGTAAAACTTCAGAACTGATGCTCGAATGAAGGGAATGGGTAGAAAATATTAAAGCGATAAGATGTCCTGGAGGACAAAAGGCAGCAGGACCGGTCATCTTAAACACCCAAAAGCGAAATACAGAGTATCATCCAAGGTGGTGTGGGCGCGTAGCATTGCAACGGATCAAAGGCCAAGGCTAGAGGATGTAAGCGGCGACCTACACCCATCCATTTTTGGTGTCCGACAGTTTGACGTGAATGGAGGCCAAGCGAGATCTGTATAAGCTAGGTCCCTAGTCACCACGCCTGAGGCTGGAAAATCCTTGTAACGCGGTGTAAACGGTCTCAGCTCGAGAACGTGCGGTATAGTGGTGGGCTGAGAGTCGCCGTCCAGCCTGCACGGACCTCACCTCGGCGACCTCGAAATTCTCTAATAGAGCGGTGACAGACTGACAAAGCGTCAAAAGCCTCGAAATAGAGAGCGAGATTAATTGCAGCGAGTCTGGTTGCCTCATGCTTCATGGTCGTATTGGTGAGGCATAGAAGTATCGAGGAGATGTTTGTGGCCTGACGGGGAGAACCCTGTGTGCGGCTCTGCCCCTGCATTCTGTAACCGTTCTCGGGTCTAGATTTTGGTCGTGTTTGGAAGATACGAGGCTTAACTGTTGCAAAAGTGGGCCCTGCTTGCGATACTTCTGTCTCGTCGCTTGACAGCCCGACTGAGATGCATTTCGGCGCAGCCGAGTGCGAATACGAGGTCAAATTCCTAACTAACTGGCGCAACCGAGTGGAAAGGTGAATTTGTGCCTAATGGAATACTTTAACCAAGCTTCAGCAGTCTGAAGCCCTCCAGGAAGCCGGATGCGCAACCAATCTTTTTATTGAAAGCCATATTTCCTAATGATGAAGTTGCAGAGTAGGCGTCGAATTAATCCCACATCTGCCGGACGTTGAGATTCACCCTCTTTCCTTCCATCCAACCTCTCCATTCTTCAAACTCATTCAGCTCGCCGTCCTCGCTCGCGGGCCAGCTCTTCAAGTACGCGGGACACGTCCCCGGAACGATCTGCGGGACGCCATGCCACGCAAAGCGGGATGCACCACTCATGTAGACCGCGCTTCCGGAACGCAGTCTCACCGTGAGGATCGTTTCCTGCACATTTCTAGATGGAGATGGGGCTGCAGATGTGCCGATAACGAAGACGGCGTCGCACCCCAGACTGACGCTGATTAGCCCCGTAGTGCTAGCCTCGGCGACGTCGCGGTGAACGCTGAGGGTGTCGCCTGGCGAGTAAAGATTGACAATGGCGGCTTCGGCTTTTGTGTCCGTGAATATGCCTTCCAGCAGCTGTTTGATATCCAGCGGAAATTCCGGGGGTGCGGTGTCCGGATATCGTTTTTGTGTCCAGTCGTATTGCCCACCGAGCGTCATCCAGCGCATCTTCCTGTTCAGAAGCTGGGATATGCTAAGCGGACGATGAATAGAAGGGTCAATGGGATGAGCAACGGTATTGAGAGTGCTAGGTGGGAGGGAGAAGAAGGATGATTGCGAGGGCGGATAAGAGATGTTGTAATGGGTGTGAATGTTTGTAAGATGTGAGGATTCTGCGAGGTCGCGATGAAGCAGCCGGGAGAGCAAGATGATTTGGATCTCTGGTGGTAGCAAAGAGGGAACGATGTGCAGACCTACCTTTTGTCAGGCTTGCACTTGGAGATCTAGTGGACTGAACTGCGATGAAAGCAAGACTCAAGAACTCCCGAGAAGACAGAAAGCCCACAATCGCGTTTGTAAGTAAATCACCGGTGCCTACCTGGCATGTCGTCGTGCTCGTACACGGGTATCGATGAAGTGGCCATGGACTCGAGGCCGTTCAGCGCAACGTCGCTGCCGGCGAAGGACCGAAAAGTAGCGGTCAGGCCGTCGGCGTCCAACTCCTTGACGATGCGCACTTTAGTTTTCGGATCTGCAGATAGATCTCTTGACAAATCTATGATTTCCGGATCGTGATCCAGATGCTGCAGTTTCATCTTCTGGTATCTTTTGTAGATATATCGGATGCCGTCAGGCGGGCGCCGGTGCGGGTCGAGCGGCTGCATTGGCTCGCCAGCAGTCTGAGGTGAGAGGCCAGAATAATCGCGTGTACTGTATAGATGACTGTTGCCAGGGGAGCAGGGAGTGTTTCGATGGAAACTTGGAGCGGACGGGGCGTGAGACCTGCGGGAGAAAGTCGCGTTTTCGTCGCGCTGCGCTAGCCGTCTTGGCGGCGACTGTTTACTCGCGATTTTCATGCATAACATCGTCTCTCCGCCGCTCCTGATCCCCCGCCTTTGCTGCCACCACGCCGCCGCTACTAACCCACAGGTGCATCTACCGTCGCTCGCTCGCCTGCACACCCGACATTTCCCTTTCTACCGTCCAATCGCTCTCGCCGTAGCGACAAGCGCCCGAATCCGCCCACATTCGAGCTTGACCGCTTCGCTGGACGCAGCGCCTTGCCCTCAATCTCGCAGCTATGGAGAACTACCAGAAGATGGAGAAGATCGGGGAAGGTAAGCAGGTTCTCGCTCTTGCTTTGCATCCCGGGATGCGCATATGCTCACTCCAGACGCCAGGTACCTACGGAGTCGTGTACAAGGCTCGCGACCTCCAGACCAAGGACCACCGCATCGTCGCGTTGAAGAAGATCCGCCTCGAAGCCGAAGACGAGGGCGTTCCCTCCACCGCCATCCGCGAGATCTCGCTCCTCAAGGAGATGAACGACCCCAACATCGTCCGCCTTCTCAACATCGTGCACGCCGACGGCCACAAGCTGTACCTCGTCTGTGAATTCCTCGACCTGGATCTCAAGAAGTACATGGAGGCGCTGCCGGTTAGCCAGGGCGGCCGGGGCAAGCCTCTGCCAGAGGGCACTGGCCCCGCCCTGCAGACGATGGGCCTGGGTCCGGACATGGTCAAGAAGTTCATGCGTCAATTGTGCGAGGGTATACGGTACTGCCATTCTCACCGCGTTCTGCATCGCGACCTGAAGCCGCAGAACCTGCTGATTGATAAGGAGGGCAACCTCAAGCTGGCGGATTTCGGCCTGGCCCGCGCTTTCGGTGTGCCGCTGCGCACATATACCCACGAGGTACGATTGGAAGTCACGGCTACTAAGTACTAGCTAATTCTCTTAGGTCGTGACGCTTTGGTACCGTGCTCCAGAGATTCTTCTCGGTGGTCGGCAGTACTCCACGGGCGTTGACATGTGGTCCGTTGGTTGCATCTTCGCCGAGATGTGCACCCGCAAGCCGCTGTTCCCCGGCGACTCGGAGATTGACGAGATATTCAAGATCTTCCGGTTCGTAGCCCTTGATAGTGACGCTGGGATGTTGCTAATGCACAGCAGAGTCCTCGGAACCCCGACTGAGCAGGACTGGCCCGGCGTCACCTCCTTCCCCGACTTCAAGCCCTCATTTCCCAAGTGGAACCGCACCGACGTCGCCAATACGGTTACGAGTCTAGACGACTTTGGCCTTGACATCCTCGATGCTCTCCTCGTCTATGACCCCGCAGGCCGCATTTCCGCCAAGCAGGCCGTTGTGCATCCATACTTCACGGGCCTCAACGGCAGCTACGGTAACGGCTTCCACTAAAGTGCGCTAGTCCCCAGAGGATGCTATGATGTTATGGAGTTTGGACAGCATGTCGCGGCGTAGACGGGATGGTATCTTAATCGAACTATGGGGTCTAAGCGCAGACCTGTTTCCTTGGTCATGGGTCGGGATGGAACCGCACTGAGCCGAAGTGGACGGCGGGCGGCGTTTCTCGGCATATATCTGTTTTTGGCTTGTGTGCATCCGGCATATATGGAGTAGAGCATCACTTGGGCAGTTAAACCCTGTGCATAACCATGGATCTTCCTTGACGGCCGGGACTGATCTCACGATGAGATCGTGGTGTTGAGCGGGATGACGCAACCGGGCGCGATCGGCCCCACTTCAGCCCTGCGAGGCCCAACCTCCCCTCCGCAAACTCTCCCTTCCGATAAGTGCCCCTCTGCAAGCCACCATAATGCCTCCAACACCCCCGAAGCTTCTCCCTCTGAACCAAGGTCCGCGCCTCATCGTCTATCACCAGACAATCCACGACCCTGCTGGCAATTTCCACTCGTTACTTCCCCTGGTTACCAACAACACGGGCATCACCCATGTAATAGTTGCAGCAATCCATTTGAACGAGGGTCCAGGAAACATTACGCTTAATGACCACAAGCCGGACGACGAGAGATTTAACCAGCTCTGGGGCGAGGTAAAATGGCTGCAGGGGAGCGGAGTAAAGGTGCTGGGCATGCTCGGAGGTGCCGCAAAGGGGAGCTACGAGCGATTAGGCGGGAGTGAGGAGAATGTACGCGCTTCTACGAAATCGGAGGCCCCTATTTGCGCGGATTTTCTGCGTGTATACTAACACGGCGCAGTTCGAAGCCTACTACGCGCCCCTCCACGCCCTCATCACCACCTACACGCTCGACGGCCTAGACCTCGACATCGAAGAAGCAGTCCCCATCCACACAGCAACGCGCCTTATCGCCCGCCTGCGCGCCGACTTCGGCCCCTCCTTCCTCATCACCATGGCCCCCGTCGCTACCGCCCTCATCCCCGATCCAAACATCGCTCCGCATCTGCGCCCGCCGCGGCCCATGCTCGCCAGCGGCCCGACACCCAACCCGCTGCACCCGACCCTCCCACACCTTAGCGGCTTCTCATACCCTGAGCTGGAATGCAGTGTGTTTGGCAAGGAGATTGCATGGTATAATACACAATTCTACTGTGGCTGGGGCGACGCTTCGACAGCGGCGTGGTACGATGCGATAATCTCAGCGGGGTGGTCCCCTTCCAAGATCGTCATGGGCGTCGTGACGAACCCGCACAACGGCGCCGGCCACGTCCCTGTCAGCAGACTCCGCGACGTCTGCGCCGCGATACGCGAAAAGTACAAGAACGTAGGCGGCGGCTTCGGCGGCGTCATGGGCTGGGAGTACTTCAATTCCGGCGACCATGACGAAGACATCGTGCATGTTACAGGCTTAGAATTGAACAACGAGACGGTACAGGCGGGATGGGTCGCTGCGCTGGGAGGGGTGCTCAGGGTCGAAGAGCCTTCGCATCCGCACACAAGTCGGCCACTGCTGGGCGTCACGCCGGACCAGATTCGACAAATGGTCAGCAAGCTGCCCGCGCCCAAGGCCCCGTGGCCGGAGGAGACGGTCGAGAAACTGGTAGTGCTCGGCTTTTCCAACCAGGAAGCTCTTGCTGCTCTCAACGCGACGGACGGCAATGTCGAACTCGCCGCCGGCTTCCTCTTCGAACAGTATCCGCAATAGGCCTCTGGTTTTCTCCCTATGCTTACATGCAACTTCCCTATATCGTATTCCTCGGTGCCCCTCTTCCAAGACCGAGGATCCTACAGGAGCCGAGCATCCTATACGTCCCGATCCGTTCTAGTCACGTGCTCTCTATCTCTCTCTCTCTCTCTCACACTGTAACATTAACAGTAATAACTATGAGGTCGGTTTGGCCTATCAATATTCACTAGCATATCTTTAACGTCTAGAATTGTCCCCTAGGGATTATTAGAGAAGCATAGCCCATAGCGATGATGCAGGGAAACCTGTATCCGGACTCTTGGGGGTAGTATTACCTCATCGTCAATACTTTCAATGATCGTGCTTGTCCTCCCAGCTCGTGCTCTTTTATTGACTGTGCGAAAGTCTCAGCAACGGTATTCTGTCGAAAGACTCCATTTGTCATTTTCTAATAACCTCTAAACGGTCTATGGCTGATCCTCTTCCGTGGTCCTCGTTTGCTAGAGACCAGAATGCTATTCTGGAGTAAGCATGAAAAGCATCGAGAAGTTAAAAGCCTCCTAAACGCTAACGTTGCAAGGTTCGCGGACGATGCATCAAAATGCTTAGCCACCCAGAAGACCGTTTGGTATGATGATCTACCCGCGTGCGTCAAGCCACCTTCCTCAGCTTTGAGGCAAGGCTGAGAGTTTCTGCAGTGGCAGCTTTCAGCCGCATTTACTCCCAACTACCTCAACGAAGCCTTCGACCTCCAAGTCATAATACATAATGAGGAGCAATTTATCCCTATCATGCGGTTCAAACATCTCCACTGAATGATCCTACAACGATGGCATATATCCACCGCGACCGAGATTACGACAATGACTGGGAACAGCGCTATGAATCCTACCAATCGGCCCCGGCAGAAAGAATACACGTCTTCGACACATCGCGACCGCGACCCTCAAGAGATCGGACACGAGGAGAACGACGGGATACGGCCTTCGAACGCAGACGACATGAAGTCCGGTTGAATGAAGAGCAAAATACCGCGGTCCGCTGGGCGTATGTCGTCGACACCCATCGCAGTATGCGAGGTCAAGCAATCCTTGATAGAATCGCACTCATCGGACCCCCTCAGAGACGCGATCCTAAGACAAAGTTGCTGGAGAGCATTATCGTTCCGATGCGCGATATTGAGTTGGACCCGTTGAGTGAGGGCCAGAAGCCGCCGTCGTCGAGGAAACTGATGTACGTGGATCCCGCACTCAGTGCAGAAGACGGCTGCACCTCCCCCCACCTCATTGAGCGTTATGCCTGAGAAGTACCTAGCATATTACCATTCCGGGTGTTCAAAGGAAAAGTCATCTCCGACACGCGCTGGGAGCGCCCCTACAACCGCGACTGGACCGACGGCGAGCTCGCCCGGTTCGTCCTCACCAGCCATCGCCTCTCCCACTCTCTCATATTCTCCTACCTGACCAAAGTCAAGTTCCTCTACTACATCGCCGTGGAATACGTAAGTCCAAGAAAAATTCGTCAAGCTGAAGAAGTCCCGCCAACCTAAGTCTCCGCCCAGGTGCAGCACGAAGGCAAGCGCAAGATCAAAGTCACGTATACGCACGCCCTGGCGTACAGAGGCCCGCGGACGGTCAGCCGCTTCATGTATCTTCTCCACAGCCGGTCGAACAGAGCGCGGGACTGGTCGCTGCGCTTCCACGACGTAGCTGGCAATGCGAGGACCGCGTATGCGGAACCGTACATCATGGTGGAGATCGTGGAAGCGCTGGATACGCTGTACGTGGCCTGCAACCTACATTCATCTATTCAGTCGCATGCCGAACACTAACCCCCCTCCAGGGTCATCCTGCGTCTGTTCCTCCTCCCGATCGCCCTCGCTCTCGGGACGGGCGCGTCATATGCAGCGCCGACGCGCGACTGGGGCGGCGCCTTCACGCTCGCCTCGCTCGCGATCGCGGTTCTCGCTGTGCTGCTGGCGGTTCTGGCGCTGAATCAGTATCTGGGGATGGAGAGGCTGATCGACGACGATGTTGGTGAGGACTTGGGGGGCGTGTATCGCTCGCACTATGCGGATGAAGTTGTGCGCAATAGGGGGAGGTCGGTGTAATTAATGCATTCCCGGGGAAGGCTATACAATGCTGTTTGTTGCAGTGTATACGCGCGACGCATGGTGGTGTCAAACGAGCGGCTGGCTTCCTCTTCGAGCAATAGCTGACATACGCACATGCAATATCCAACCTCCCCTCCCATATCATGTCCCTCGGTCCCGGCCCTCTCTTCCAAACTCGGCATCCTAACACGTACTAAGCATCCTATACATCCCAATCCGTCCAGTCACATGCCCTCCCCCTTCTCTCTCCCCTCTCTTTCCCTCTCACAGATACACAGATCGGACCAACCCAACCCCCCGACCCGCCGGCCGATCCCCCCGAGCACCGACCCGACCCACCGGTTCCAGCCATCTACAGTAGTCAATCCAAGCGGATCCCAGCGGAGCATCTGACCGGGGCGTTGTCAGACCACGTTATCCTGGGTGGCGCATGTATGTACGTATGTATGTATATGTATGTAAGTCTCGTAGGGCTGAGTCAGGAGCTCTCGCTCTACAGTAATTCGCTTAGCTCCAGCTCGCTTATACTAAACACGAACACGACTGGGCGTGGGGTGCTGTACGACCAGCGACTAGCGACCTTAGGATTTCCGATTTTGCGGAGGTTGTGTTACGTGCAGCGTGTCCAGCATTGGATAGACGCCCTTTTTTTTTTCTTTTTTTTTTTTCTTTTGGCTTTTGGGGCGGTGGCTGTGTCCAGCGCAGGCATGTCGCAGATAGAGAACGGATGTTCTTTCAGTGGGTTAGACTATACGAGGAGCAGGGGAACGCGAGCAACCACATGACGGTGCGTGTGATTTTTGCGCTGGCCTCGTCATGCATCACGGTCTATTTTGTCTATCTAGGCTATTGTATTGGATTTGTGTGTGCGTGTGCGTGTTTCGAGTTCGCGATAGCGGGGCACTGGGTAATTCGCTAGCTGGCTGCTAGCATAGCCATAGCAATAGCCGCATACCGCAGTTTGAGTTCGCGCGTTCACGTCATCGCCTCCAAAGTCTGCAAGTTCACATGTCCCATTCTTTCCAGCTCCTCGGTGTGGCCCTCGCACGATAACGCATGTGAAATATGCAATTCTCCTATTCAATTCATTTTCTGTCGCTGAGACAGAACGATGGAGCGGGTATGTCCCTTCCGCAACAGCCCAACAAGCGTTTTGCTCCCGTGGGGTATCCCAAACCTCCAATCCAAGGAGGGCCCTGTACAATCTCCAAAGTGTGCTTCGACTAAAAAATGGGGGGTATGCACTGTACAAAAGGAATGAGAAGAACGGCCACCAGTGCACATATGCTATGCGTAACCCCCGCGTGATGCATGTCCAATCGACCGCCCAAATGCGTCATGCAAGCACCGTCCATCCCCCCTTTTCTCAAAAAATGCAACAATCGTGATCTAAACCGAGCCGAACAGGGGCGGCCGTAATGCTGGCAATCGCCGTCGTAAAAAAAAAACCAAAAAAAAAAAAAGAAGAATTCGGCGTAAAATAAAAGGGTGTCGTAGACGCCGAGAAGCCCAAACTCAGGGATGCGATCTCCGCCAAATGCGGCTCAGCCGACGTGCCGAAGAGCCCGCCGAAAGCCTGCCATTTGGTTTAGCGTCTCGCGAATGCTATTCGACGAGGAAGCGCGGTCTTTGAGGTGCGGACGCGGCACGCCCAGTCCGTGGCAGTGATGATGAGGATGATGATGTGAGGACCGCGTGGGTGAGGAGCTGCGGCTCCAGGTCGAGGAGGGCGGTGAGGAGTTGGAGGACGATGCGGATGAGGATGTGGAGTGGGAGGATGTCGGGGTGAGACTGTGCGTGGGGCTAAGGGGAGGTAATTAAGTATATGGACATGAAAATAACGGATACGTGAGGCTATGGGGGTGGAGAAGGAAATCTATGGGGTATCCGGGGGGTGGGTGATGCTGAAGCTCGGGATGGATGGGTAGTTACCTTCCGTCGTTGCTCGTTCTTGGACTTTGTCTCTGACTATTGATTTCGGTGTTTCGTTGCGTTTCCTCTCTAAGCGTGTCCAGACTGCGCGCTGGACTTGGCGTCGTTCCCCCACTATGAGGAGTTCTGCTAGGGCTCGACGGTCTGGAGGTGGCGATTTCGTACGTCGGCAGGTCTTCTGATATGGGAGTCCGTGTTGGAGTGCGCACAGCTGTGTTATAGGAGGGCGTACGGGCAAGAGCTTCCATGTCAAACACTCCGTCGGGGTTGTAGTAATTCGACGGCGGCGGGTGGCTGGGCTCGTCTAGGACAGAATGTGGAGTACTACCCCCTGATGAATGATGACGAGTGGGCGCAAGCCGAGTAATGCGGTTGTTCTGGTTCACGTTGAGGTTTTGGAGGCGGTTGTGGAGGACCGTTGAGGACGGACCGCCTGCAACGGCATCCATTGATGCAAGATCCTCGACGGAACCAGAACGGCTGTGAGTGTAGAAGGGGGTATTTGCCCCGCTATTGCCTAGGCTCGCATGCCCGCCGGGAGTCATGAATCCGCTGGGGTCAATGTCGTTGTACAGCTCGTCCAGCTGATGGAGGCCGTACGTTGGCGGTGCATTCTGATGAACCTCGTCGCGTATTGCTTGTTGGGATAGCAGGTTGTGATCGACTTCAACACTCTGATCCTCGCGGGGCGGGAGATTGGGGGATATGAACAGGTGGACATGGTTCTTGACCAGGAGTTGGCTCGTATGCCCCTCCGGGTTATGCAGATTGACGTACAAGCGGAGTTTATGCGATATCCGGATGCTGTCCGTGTCCACAGACTGCCTGCACTTTTTCAAGGACTTGGGCAGATCTAGCGTCATGGAGAAGCGGTGACACTCATCGAACAGCTGATCGGCCTCTTCTACTCCGTTGGGAACTACGTGTTCGGAGTTTTCGGGCATGTTTTCGTCCTTGACGGCGACTTGAACATCGGTCTGGTGGCTTATCCGCCGTCCGGCATAGTCGCAGAAGAGCTGACGCGATTCTATGAGCTCTATCTTGATGTTCGCTATCTCCACCCCTTTTCGTAAGGGTATTAGGACGAAGTCGGCCGTTATTGATGTCCCGACAATGTAGTTTTTCTGTGGCACGGTGATTTTGTACGCCAGTTTCGAGGCCCAGATGTCCTCGTTGATCTGCATGCCGTCAGCGTACGCCCCGGATATGCGGGTTCGCCTGTATGCTGGTGTCATACCTGCTCCATGGGGACGGTTTCCATCATATCCCGCCCCAGGGTCCGTATCACTCGAATGTGCGACGAAGCCGTCAATGGCTTGCTCATGTATCCCTTGTCCACGGTCGCTTTCAAGTTGTACACGATCCAGTTGGTGGGGAGGCCCTCAACGCTCTCGTCCAGATGGCTCGGCATCTTGAACTTGAACTCCCACTCGTGCACGCCGGCATTGATCTTGTGCGGCTTGTTCTTGTTTCCGTCGACGGGGAAGAGGTTGAGGTTCTCGAGTAGGAAGTGCTGCTTCTGCATGATGGGCTGCGGCGTCACCGTGTTGGTCGTGTGCCACCTGCGGAAAAAGCAATCAGCATGCGTTCAGCTGCGGCTCTGGCCAGAGGTGGTACCGTACGAGACTTTGCGCACGCCCGTCAATGCCATGCGTATGCTCCGCACCGACATGGACTCTGGGTTGGTGAGGACGAGCTTGCCGGTGAGCTCTGCGTTCTGCGCCTCCGACGGCTCTCCATAGAAGACCACGAACGGGGAATCCGGCCTGGGCTGTTAGCACTACTCTAGGATTCAGAGTTGGGGAATTCATACTTGATCTCTAGGACCGGCGCGGCGGTCCTGCCAAAGACTCCAACGCCTGAGCGCGGCATGGTGCAAAGAGAGACAAGAATCAACAAGGGAACAAGATCATGGCCAGGCGCGGGTCGGGGGAGGCGGGGCCCTAAGTATCGGGGAACGAGCGGCGGGGAGACGAGGGCTGGCGTTCGGGGCTCACGTCTGGCTGGGGGCGCCGGTCAAGCTTGAGGGCTGTACGGGGAGTGTGGTGAGAGTGGCTGAGGGAGCGGGCGTGAGGCGTGGGATCATTCGACGCTGCGCTCAGCTGGACGTGGGAAGAATATAGGGTGGAGCGTGGGATAACGCCTAGGCGCGCAGTTTGGCGTATGCAGCGGGTGACACTAATTGCTGAATGAGGGCGTGTCACGGTCTCGAATTTTCGTGAGAGGCACGACAAAGAAAGGCTACCGACGGCCGGTTCCGCGAACGGCGTGATCATCAGTCGCACATGCAGCGCGAGAGGCAGCGCGAGAGGCAGCGCGCAACAGCATTAGACCGAGGCGTGGTTGCCCTGGTGCGTCTCACACCACGGCCTGCTCGCAAACGGCTCCGCTTGGGTCTGCGAAACTAACACCGACGCGGTGCCAGATGCATGGCTCTGCGCCGTGCAGCGGGGCTTAATTGCGACGGCGCGGTCTGAGAATTTGCTTGGTATCGATATCGACTGCTCGGCCCGAGGAGGCGTCTGATGGAATTTCACTTGTCCCGGCGCACTGATCGCCGTGCCATCACATCGCGGACAGGCATCCTCTCCGACTTCGCGCCGACGGAGTCATTTGTCGCGACGAGCGGAATTCCAGCACATGCAAGAGCGCGATAATGGAAGCGTTTTGTCTCTCTACGGGCCATGTGCCTCCTACATCCGGCCGCGAGACGAGACATGGACGGCTAAAGGCGGATGCGCGCCCCGGACGCAGAAGCAGTTGTTGTACAAGATGCACGCATGCGAGTCAAGGGCGATGCGAGCGCAGGGCTGAATGACGGAAGCGGCGCACATGGCACGGTCGGGACAATCCGGGCCAAACAAAATGCCATGCCAAACACCAGGGGATGGCTGCCCGCTGCGTCAACCCTGTTTCTCCCGGCCACCGCCGGTAAACAACCAAACCCCAAGACACAATCCCCCCTTCGTCCTTGTGCTGCCTCCTACGCATTGCTTGCACCCGCGCTCGCGCTCGCAGACGTCGTCGACGGCGCATCGTCGCTCCCGGCGCCCTCCTTGGGGCGGTCCCACGTTCGGATGTGGCCTGCGCAAATCACCGTTATCAGCTTTATCGCTCCTCAGCAGGGCCCAGCGAGCGGGTCCTGTGCGACTCCAAGCGGCTGTTCCTGCGCCCAAGCTTCGCCGCCGCCACGATAAGCTTATCGATCCAGCACAGAAGCCGCCCCAGCAAAGAAATTTCTGCACTCACCGCTGTTGCACGATGTAATGATACAATCTTCCTCGAATCCGAGCCAGCAGAGCGGGTGCTCGTCCACTGTTTTCGCCTGCGCGAATATCCGTCAGCACCTAACTGGACACCGCGCTCTTCCAAGGTTGACTCACCATGACAGGGGGCAGCATTGCCGTTCGCGCCCGAGGTTCCACCGGATGCACCACCTCTTCCTCGTCCAGCACGCTGCCGGACGTGAGATTGGAATTGGACCGCAGCCGCGTAGTGGAGCCCTCAGTTCGGCTGCGCTGCATCTTGAGCGTGGCTGAGGTAACGCTGTTCCGCTGTCTCACCGATGCCTGCATCCGACGTCAGCACCTCCTTTAACAGTGAGACTGGGCCAACACCGACCGCTCTAGGTCTGTGGAGCATCCCCACGCTAAAGTCCCACAGCAGCAACCGACAATCTTCCCCGACGCTTCCTATCCTGTAGTTGCGCTCGTCGCACCGCCACGGATCGAACTGCACCGCCGTGACCCACGAGTTGTGCCCCTGGCAGCGCGCCACGAGCATGCTGTCCTCCAGCGACCAGATGGAGACGAGATCGTCCTGGCCTCCGGTGACAATGTACCTGCCGTCCGGCGACCAGCAGACGCAGAGCATCCCCCCGTAGTAGCTCATGTACTGATGTAGTAGTCTATGCGCGTAAGCACCATGCCTAGAACGCATCGGGCGACTCACTGTTCCTTAAGAAAGTCAATGATGCGGAAGGACCCGTCCTCAGAAACCACGGCAATGTGCCGGCAATCGGGAGAAAACGCAAACGCATTAATCTTGGAGTTTGACACCTTCCAGTACGCGACCGGGTTCGTTTTTTGGTTCTTGGAGTTGACCGACTTCTTCACCGTGAGAGCCGCCTTCTTCTCCTTTTCGTGCGCCGCCAGGTCCCCCGACTCGGCTTGGTTTTCCGCAACAAACAGCGCATCCTCCTTTTCCTTGTCGTAAACAACCAAGCTGCCGTCCATGTGCACCGCGAGGAAGAGGTTTTCGCTGTTAGGCAGCCACCGGATATCTGAAACCGCGGACCCGTTGATTACTCCCTATATTTGACTTAGTTAGAGTCGCCTTTGAGGGTGTGGTGTACGTACATTCTTGTTGATCCGGACATACTTTTGCGACATGGGCTCATACCAGATGACATCGCCGGTTGAGAATCCCATGACAAAATCAATATGATTCGGAGCTTTGCTGATGTGGTTTACATCGTGGCATAGCGCGTGTGCCTTGGTGAATAATATCTTTGTCAGATGCTCCTCCTGTAGAACAATCAGCGTGCGATTCTTGGAGATATCAGGGGGAAGCAACCTTGGTGGGCGAGGTCAGGTCTAGCCATTGCAGCGCGCGGTTGACGTTCGCAAAGGCATATAGACCGTTGGGGTTGTGCTCCTGCAGCCGCTTCGATAGAGCCTCGTGGGGGATGACTCGCGAAACAAAGGAGGAATTGCTCTTGACAATATTGCTCTTGGGTTTGCGCTTCTTGAGCGGATCCTTGGTGTCTTTTCCATTTAGCACAGCTAGCGACGGATTCTGCGAGCCAAAGGCCGGCGCGTGAAGACCCTCGAGCGGCGTGGGCGCGATGCCATTTGCGCTGTGCGAGCCCGAGTCGCTGGCCTGGCTAGTGCTCTCATGCGGCGATTCTTGGATGCTGGGCGGGACTTGGGAGCGTGTGCTGGTGGAGGTATCGAGTCTGTATAAGCGCGAATTCGACTGCAGGCGGGGCGCGAGCACGACGAGGGAGAGCTTGGTGCCGGCACTGGGCGGCGATATCGTCGTCGCGAGCGGGTTCGGGTTGTGGACGGGCGCTTCTGAGGGATGCGGCGGCGGCGTGGCTAGGTGGAGGTCGTCTCTGAGCACGTAGGTTCCTATCATGGTCCCAGCGTGAGTAGACTGCAAATGAGCATGGGCGCGGCGGCGGGGAGAGTACCTTCTCCCACGACCAATTGGTTCTCGGGCCCAGTGGGGTGCGTGAGGGTGTTGTTGGTCTCGATAAGCTGGGTACCGGGCGCGCCTGGGTAGCCAGCCGCAGGGTATCTCGGCGGCGGAGGGAGCACACTGTGGAGGGCAGAACGAGCGCAGGTTAGCTAAGCTTTGCGCGCATGCAGTCGCATGATCCGGGCGTGATTGGACGTCGACGAGGCGTGTGGGAGAACTCACAACATTGCTGATGCGCTGCAATATGGTCGCAGACGAGGCGCAATCAATCAGCAGTCGTCCGCGTCGTTCTGGGCCAGAGCGCAGGGCCGGATGACAGCACTTCAGAGCATTTGGACCAGGGCAGCGGTGCAGACGAAGGATGAGGGGTGCAGGGCGATATATGGCAATTAGAGACGTGTGCGCTTAGAGCCACAGGCCGTCCGTGTTGGAGACGTGCCGGACCCCGGAATCCGCAACCGATGGGCCTGGAGGAGTGCGGAGGCTAGCTTTGGGGGCGCGGCGCCTCACAGGATGCCCTGTATTCAACCGTTGCAGCGTGTCTAACGGCTTCAGCGAGTTGCGCCCGTGGTGGAGAGACGCGCGGCAGAGCTCTCGGGGTGGCACGCAGGGCAAGGCGTCTCCAACGCTGAGGTATGGCATCACTAGCTCAATTCATCGCGGGGGCAGCTGCGACCCGGATCCCTGTCCCCCACGTGCAGGGTCGTCTCTTGGCAGCCATCGAACGACTAGGCGGACAGCGCATCCATCCTCGTGCACTCCACGGCTCCAAAGCTCCAGCGCCTTGTTTCTCGTTGCCTAACAAGTCGATGCTCGTCGCCTGGCCGGCCATGCAGTAAACATGCAGAGCCGCAATGGCCACCGGTATGCAAAGTCTGTCCGCTCCCATGCTCTTTGCACACTAATCCTCTCCGAGTCCGGATATGCGTTTGCGGAGATGAGGGAGTCGGCAAGAGCTCCATCATCACGTCGCTCGTCAAAGACACCTTCGTCACGGCCAAGATCCAGCCCGTCCTCCCGCAGGTGACGCTGCCGCCCACGCTCGGTTTCGACAACGTCACCACCACCATCGTCGACACCTCTGCCCTGCCGCACGAGCGCCATGCTCTCCGCAAAGAGCTCCGCAAGTCGAACGTCATCCTGCTGGTATACTCCGATCACTACAGCTATGAGCGGGTCGCGCTGTTTTGGATGCCATACTTTCGCTCTTTGGGGGTAAATGTGCCGGTCGTGCTCTGCGCGAACAAGTCCGACCTGACGTCAAATGGAACCACGTCGCAGGTCGTTGCAGAGGAGATGCTGCCGGTGATGAACGAGTTCAAGGAGATTGACTCGTGCATTCGGACAAGCGCAAAGGAACACCACAACATCAACGAGGTCTTCTTTCTGTGCCAAAAGGCCGTCACGCATCCCATTGCGCCGCTCTACGACTCCAAGGAGAATGCGCTGAAGCCCGCCGCGGTGGCCGCCTTGCAGCGGGTGTTCCATTTGTGCGACAAGGATAAAGATGGCTATTGGAATGACCAAGAGATTCACGACTTCCAGATCAAGTGCTTCGACAAGCCACTAGGCGAGGACGATCTGGCGAACATCAAGCGTTCCATCGAGCGATTTGTGCCGGGCTCCACGGGCCCGCATGGGATGGACGAGAAAGGCTTTTTGTTGCTGAATAAGATTTTCGCCGAGAAGGGCCGCCACGAAACCATCTGGATTATCCTCAGGAAGTTCTACTATACGGACAGCCTGAGTCTGCAGGATACCTTCCTACACCCTAAATTTGACGTACCTCAGTACTCGTCCGCCGAGCTGAGTCCGGCGGGATATCGGTTCTTTGTGGATCTGTTCCTAAAGTTCGACAAGGACAACGACGGCGGGTTGAATGACAGGGAGCTTGCCAACTTATTTGCGCCTACGCCGGGCGTTCCGACGTCTTGGGTAGATTCGGCATTTCCATCCTGCACGGTGCGCAACGAAGCCGGACACATCACACTACAAGGATGGCTTGCACAGTGGAGCATGACGACGTTCGAGGAGCCGAAGACGGCCCTCGAGTATCTTGCATATCTAGGATTTGAGAGCACCGATCGAGGAGGAACGACCAACGCGTTAAAGGTGACCAAGGCACGAAAGAGGCGGAACAAGCCTGGGAGAGTCGAACGAAACGTCTTTCTTTGCTATGTGCTCGGCTCGAGCGGCAGCGGAAAGAGCGCTCTATTGTCGGCATTCCTGCAACGACCATTTTCGCACACGTATCATCCCACGATCAAACCCCGTTCGGCGGTAAATAGCGTCGAACTTAAAGGCGGCAAGCAATGCTACCTGATTCTCGAAGAGCTTGGAGAACTGGAGCCGGCCATCCTCGAGAATCAAGCGAAACTGGACGCGTGCGATCTGCTCTGCTACACTTATGATTCAAGCGACCCGGACAGCTTCACCCACATTGTAGAACTCCGGAAGAAGTATCCTCAGCTCGGCAACCTTCCCGCCGTGTACACCGCGCTCAAGGCAGACCAGGACAAGGCAATGCAAAGGTGCGAACAGCAGCCGGACGAGTACACGAGTGCCTTGAACATGGCGGCACCTTTACATGTCAGTGCGACGTGGAGCAGCATATCAGAGCTCTTTGTCCACGTAAGCATTATCCCCGGATCGTATTGCGCAAGTAGCGCTGACTTTGTGTAGCTGGCTGAATGTGCAACATACCCGTCAACTGCCTTCCCCAAACAGGAGGAAGAGCCTTACGATAACATGAATCTCTATCTGGCGCTGGGCGCGGTAGCATGCGCAGCGGCATCTGTAATCTTCATCTGGAGGCGCAACGGAGCCGCTTCTTAGACACCGTTACTTCTCTACTCAACGAGCTGGAACCCATACGAAGAGACGCAATATGCACGTCTTGGGTGCTGATAGTGTGTAATCAATAATCTACCCTCTACGTTGACACAAACAGGTGACTATTCTCCTCCGTATACCCCACTATCCACTCTCGTGGTCTTCTACTTTTCGGCTTGGAAGTCTTTGTACCCTATCCTCTTTACGAATGTCTGCTGCCAAGGGCCCTGCTCCTTCCCCTCAGCGAGCTCAACGTACCACTCCGCAGCCGCCTCTCCGCTAATATTAGAATACACCGGCGAACCATCCTCTTTCCTCTCGTCCGCGTAATAAAACCTAACGACTCGTTAGCCCCATCACCGCCACTCTCAGGCAGCAGGAAAGCTTACTTGAACCCTTTCTCTTTGTACGCTGCGACAGCGGATTGAATCACATGCGCCATCGCCGACTTGCCCACTCCTAGGCTCATGAGCGGCGGGAGAGTCATCGTGTTCAGGGCGTTGCCGGTGTAGATGAAAGTTTTCGACGCGGAGGCGGGCAGCTGGGCGAAGGCGAGCGCGGCCTGTTGCGCGGCGGCAAAGGCGCTAGTCGTGTTGATGCTGAGGTCGCGCGCGAAGTCTTGCACACGAAGAGACAGTGGGTCCATGGGCTCGTTCATGGTCGCGGCGGCGGCTTCATGTCCCGGCGTATCGGTCAGCAAACCTCCCTCCCCATCTCCACCGTAGGGATAACAGCACAACTTACCGTTGTACACAACCACACTCGGCAGCCCCAGCGCCCCCTTGACCTTTTCAAACACGCTGCTGACGGCGCTGGGGTCGGAGAGGTCGCTTGCGATGTGGATTTGGTCTGCCGATGCGCTGGAGCTGTCTTCTGGCTTGCTGCTCCGCGAGGTCAGGGCTACTTTGTAGCCTTTGGCGATGAAGGCGCGGGAGACGTGTTTGCCGATGTTGGGCCCGGCGCCGAGGATCAGGACGATGGGGGATGCGCTGGTGGTGGACATGCTTGGTGACTGGCTGACTGACTGGTGATGAGAAAGATAAAACTATAGACCGTGCGTGTATGAAGAAATGCAAAGAGCAGAGAGTAAAGTAGTTTTGGTGATAATAATAAGACGAAAAGACTGTCCTTCCTCAACCCTTTTAACCCCAACCCTCCGATTCACTGTTCGCAAATCGACACCACAGCTTACCTACCCCTCGCACCCTCCCCAACCCATCCTCCCCATCGCCTTTCCTCTTCCCCTCCCTCCTCTTTCCCCATCGAGCAAGCGGCTCGCCATCACCCAATCGTCGGATACGATTGCTCATCTGCCGCCATTTGTCAGCGACCACGCGCTTATCGATAACGCCCGGCTGGGAGATCTGGGATTGCTCCGAGCGCTCGTGAGACGGCGGCGGAACGGCACCGCGGGAGCATGGCTGCCTGCTGCAAAGTGGACTCGCGGCTTCGGCGGTGGCCTGAGCTAGTAAAATTGGATTGGGGCGAAAGGGGCAGGGGAGATATGAATGTGGCGTGGTGAGAGCGTAGAGGTAGGCAAGTTGACGTGGGTGGTTGTATGCATCCATGGATAGAAAAGTGGAGTGGCGTCTACCGCAGTAGCGACGAGGGGAAGGGGTATGAAAAAGCATGTCCGGTACGGCTGGGGCTAGTCTGCACGCTGGTCGAACGCTATTGTTGAGCGTCCGTTACAACGCAAACTCCTTTCCTTTCCTGGCGCTAACTACAGAACTACTCGTCATGCACTCAAACATTCTTATTACCAGCTAACTCCTTCCCTGGCGACGGTTCCCTAGGGCGTAGCGGACTTTATCTCCTGCAATGTGGTTGGAAAGAGGATATTCATGCAGCGATTCGATTTGAAGAACAAGTTAAGGCGTTGTCGAAATTAGGCGTGTGCTGGGATTGGACTTAGATGACGACAAGAGAATGCGTGTTGCGACATAAGAGTGCGTAGCTTTCTACGCGTGCAAAAGAGCTGGTAAAGGGAACTGGCTGGCTGGCTGGCTAGTTGCTATTGTGGTTTACACTACGAGTTCTATAGATGCGACGTCGGCGCTCTATTCGATCAGCGCTCTGGGTAGGCAGAAGGAAGTCAGCGGGGCAGATACGTCCTCCCTCCACGTACGTACTGTTAGCTTCTTTGCCTCGCAAGCGGTCACTTACTCACCCGAGACAGACGTTCAGACTGAGCGCCTTTGGCCAGAACACGAGCTGGCCCGCTAGAGAGATGAGAGATACTGGCCCAGTGTTCAAAACGGAGAAGCGGCTGGCGGACTCGTTTCTTATTCGAAAGACTGAGTGGCTGTTATCGAGCATGCCAACGCAGGAGAAGTAACCAGCTTTATTCCGATACCGTCTCCAGTCTGTAAGTGTGAGTAGCAGCAGACGCTTTGGTGTCCTTCACGCTAACGGGTGTGGCTAGATGGGAAAGGTAGTGGCGAATGGAACAAGCCGCTGGTAGTGTTTCTCGTCGTGGTGGAGGCGAGTATTTCGAGAAGGATGGTGAACAAATTTCCTGACAACACGGTGAGATTCGGAATCCCCAAGATGCTAACAAATCTGGCAGAGAGTATCCGGTATGCATATTTTAGACCGGAGTGCGCTTTACGGGTGTGTCATCGAGAACGTCCCCGAATAGTCCATGTCGCCGATACTGAGGGGAGGCTTGGGTGGAGGCCGGTGTGGAATACAGAGCGGTCTCTGCACAATATTGACGATGAAATCGATGCCATTTTGGAGGAGGGAAAGGCGAAGAGCAGCCTTGTTGGCTCTTTGTTTGCCTCAGCGAGAGGGTAGCCTGGTTTTGTACGTCGTTCTCTACGTTCGCAGGTTGTCGTGGTAGGGCTAGGAAGCCCTTATGGGGCGGGATGTTTGTACAGTACGATGAGCAATTACATGGCCCGCTGTTCCGGCGGACGTAAAAGGACGCTGTATCCAATCCGAGCTCGCTGTGTGTCGTGGACCTATCGTGACTTTGTCAGCCAACCGGGCCGTATGTGTTCGTGCTCGTCCGAACTCCTGAGCCAAGGCGCTCGTGCTGGCGTCCGTCCACTCAGCGGACCGCCGCCCCTGGCGCTTTTACTGCATCCAGCCTGCTAGCTCTCCTTTTGGGTGGGGCGCTTATTCCTTATAAGTGGCGGCTGTAGGCGACCTTTTGATGGCGCATGTCGTTTAGGTTGAATGATGCGTGGTTGACGTGCCGGTCTCCCATGCGGGAGTCAGCCTGCAACGAGCAGCTGCCATGACGACGTCCAGAAACGCGCAGTGAAGCTATATGCACAGAGGGAGTGATAGAATGAGCGGCTATTTTTGCAGTGGGAGTGCAGCGCGTGGCAGCCAAATGTGGGCGGGTGATGGGGGGATGGGGGCGCATAAGGCAGCCCCAGCATCATCCTCCGCTCGGCGCCGTATTTCTGTAAAAGGAGGGGGTGGCTCCCTTCTCCTGGCACGCCCGACCGCTCGCCGTCAAACAAGCAACTCGCAACTCGCGCCCTGTGGCTGAGGGGGCCGTCGATTTGGGATTGGCCCAGGAAACACGCTCCGCTGAATTCTGGCTGGGCACGATTCCTCGCTCCAAGCGAAAGGCATCCCAGTCCCTGCACCGTCACGACCTCACCTTCTTCGCCAGGCTCGCCGTCCACGGGTCCCAGGTCATGATCGCCTCTATTATTACCCCTACCGCGCCGCTTGACCCTCCGCAGCCCGCCGCCTGCCCAGAGCTTTTCGATGACCGCTCTCCCCGCGGCGTGGCATCCTGAACAGAGCGCCTGCTGCCGTCTCGCCACGCAGTCCTCGCGCAGCCATCATGCAGGTGAGCGCTGTGCCCTGAGCCAGACGACACCGCCGGGAGCCCCGCTGCGCTGTGAGAGAGGCGCCGCTGCTCTCGCGGCCCCGGAGCCCGCCCTTTCCCCTCTGCTGCACCCTCCCGTCGAGCGCCGCGTCGGGCGCCCGATCTGGATATTCGGATGCTAACTGCCCTTCGTGCCCCACAGGCCGCCGAACGTGCCCGCGAGCTCGAGCGCGTCTACCAGAGCCGGCGCGGCCATGCGCCGCAGATATCCATCAGCGACGACAACCACCACGTCACCGAGGCCATTGGCGACATGTACGGCCACGACGACGACTACACCGCGAAGCGCAGCTCGCGGCCCTTGAGCTTCATCAGCTCCCCGCTTGGCGACAACCTCGAGACGCCGCCGTCGCCCTTTGACCCCTTTCCGACCGCACCCCCCAAATCCCCCCTCCGCTCCCAGACGTCGTCGAGCGACAATTCGTCGAACCCTACGAGCCCCAATGGCAACCCAAGCATACCGGCCAGAAGGTCGTCGTTTGGCCGCGGGAGCCCAAACGGCCCGCTGTCACCCCCCTTGACGCGGACAAACTCGGATACTGCTACGCAGCAATTCCCCCTCAACGATCTGGACTACGAATCAAGCCCTGCCGGCTTGGCGCAGGAGTTGAGCAACCTGCAGGCGATACGCCGCATGTCCATGGACGTCAACAACTCGGACCCCGACCTGCCGTCCTTCAAGTCGTTTAACGTGCCCACCATTGCTCCGCAGCACTTCTCCGAGGACGAGGACCCGTCGAAACTCTTCTGGGTTCCTGCACGCCTACACCCCGAACTCGCACCCAAGGAATTCAAGACATTTATAGAGGAAAAGGTTGACTCGATCAGACGACGCTCGGGCGACTCGGACACTTTAGCTCCCGATGGATCTCTTGATCGCCAAAGCTCAGGCGGGGGTCTGCGGCGGAAGAAGTCAATGCTCTCGAGGCAAATTGATAGCGGGAGCGGCTATCGGGACGGCGCTGAACGACTAGAACGGAAACGATCCGGTGCACAGCAAGTCAACGGACTACCCCATTTGCAGGAGCTCGAGCATATCGTCGAGGACCCCGCGGCCCTGGTAAGGCGCATGAGCATAGACTCAGCACGAAGACACTCGGAGACAGACGGTGAAGTACCCATGAACGAGGACATGCCCATCCTCCCTGCGAAGATTGCCGGCCTAGGCACTCTGAAGCGATCCACACGCACCAACTACAGACGAGGCAGTCTTCGCAAGGGAGAGCGGGTGCCCTTTTCGCGCCGGGCGGTAGCAGCGGGCCGAGCTGGGACCGACACTGAGGACTCACCCGCCGCCTCCCCCACCCAGGCCAAAGAGCCTGACTTTGTTAATCTTGGCCTTAGTAGGGTGCAATCTGAGCCAGCCCATCCGCGACCTGAAACTCCCGAGAACTTCTCTCGTCCCACGCGGAAACGATCACCGCCACTCAGCCAGCAGAGACCCGGCTCGTCCGAAGATTTACACACGCCAGATTCTTCCGGCTATGGCGCAGAGGAGCGAAGGACCCCACAACCGGCAAAGCCGTTTCATTCGCGGATCGCATCCAATGGGCGCACGACAGCGCCTCTCCCAGGCTATACGCCTCAGCAGGTGCCTCAGATTATCGAGACCCCGCCGCCAGAATCGCAGCGGAAACCGCAAATGCAGTTACCTGAGCGCAACTCGTCAAGAGGTCTGCCTCCGCCTGGTGCTCACCCGCAACCCCAGGGGCCCCGCCAGCCTCCACAGCCTCATTCTCAACAACGCCCGCCGACATCAGGCCGGCAGAATCGCCACGCTCAGGCCGCCCAATCCTCTCCCATCAAGCCTGCGCAAAGCTTCGACGACCTCATTTCACATCCATCCCCCCTTCCCGGCAATAATACGAGGATAGATTCCCTGTCCATTATTCCAAACCTGTCTGAGGAGAGGAAGCCGGAGAAGAAGTCAAAGGACAAGAAGGAGAGCTCCGAGGACAAGACGAGGAAAACAAGCTGGGGCTGGTTATTAGGTGGTGATGACAAAGAGAAGGAGCGAGACAAGAAAGAGAAGGAGGAGCGGGAAAAAGAACTTGCTAAAAAGGTGAAGAACAAGCTGAGCAAGACACAGGAGAAGAGTCATGACGATACAAGGCTCGACGTCCTGCAGACGTCTATTCAGAGCGGACGTGGTCGGGAAAGTCTGGTCCTGGACCGGGAAAGTATCAAGCTGGAGGAAGAGCGCAAGAAAGAGAGCACGAGGAAATCTGCAGGTGGTGACGCAAAGAAGGAGAAGGAGTCTGGCCTGTTCTCGTCCATATTCGGAGGGGGCAAGAAGAAGGGCGAGAAAGAGTCACGCCGTGAGAAGGGGAGCTCTATGCGCGGACTCTCACCGGAACCGCCGCCTCGGATACTCAAGCCCGACATTGACTACAACTGGACGCGCTTCTCGATCCTGGAGGAGCGTGCCATTTACCGCATGGCCCACATCAAACTTGCTAACCCCCGTCGGGAGTTGTACTCTCAAGTTCTGCTGAGCAACTTTATGTACTCTTATCTCGCCAAGGTCCAGCAAATGCATCCGCAGATTCAAATCGGCACTTCTGCGCAAGCGAAGCAGCAACAGCGCCAGGCGGCGCAACAGAAGAAGGACCAGCCAGAGGAGTTTACTCAGTACCAGCGGTACCAGCAGGTAGATACATCCTTGTGTGCGCAGACTAAACGCCGGGCTAACTTTAGCGGCAGCAACAAGAGCAGACAGAAAAGGGAAGCCAGTCGGGCAACAGCTACCAGCAAGAGAACGCCGGCTCGGAGCCTACGCTCGACGATGACCAGCGACAACAGCAGTATCGCCCAGATTCGCGCGCTAATCAGCGCGACCCCCGAGATTCGCATCATTCGAGCCACGGGAACACAAACGGCGGTTATAGTGTTGCAAACAGTAAGAGCTACATGGGGCATTCAAATAAGGGCTCGCAAGGGTATTATGGATATGAGGATTCGGATCAAAGCAGCAGGGATGATGATATGTGGTAACACGTATGAAGAAAAGCGCTTGTTCGCGATTACAGGATCATGGCGACACGCCGGCGACTGGGATTGTTGGGAATCAAGAGACTGACGATTATCACGCCTCGAGCGCAAGTCTACCCACCTACATTTACCTTGTCACGCTTTCACTCTGTGGGCCGAATGGACATGTCGCCCATCAATTACTTACTGTTTTGTATCATATAATCTCTGTTTCTATACTTTTCCCACTTTGGCGCGCGCTCTATCTTGTTAGGTCAGCTAGGAGTATGCATCCGGGAACTGGGACTTGGGGGTTCGTCGGGCGTATTGTAGCTATGTAGAAGGGCAGGGCGCGCGGAAAAGGAACGTTGATGGGATGATGACTCGGCATTTAATGTAGTTTGCACGCTAGCGGCTCGTACCTGCATATACCAGTCCCTTGGGATGTTTCATGAGGTGCACACTTCGGCATCTTTTGCGCGGGAGGATGGAGCGGAGTTTCACGTTTGCTTGCTTTATCAGCAGTCAGCGGAGTGATGTGCTGCAGGGAAGCTTATCTGCGCTTGTCTGCGCAGCGCGTCCCAGTGGTGTGGGCGGTGCTTACTTCTGACTACGCGGTGAGGTGGGGACGTCGGGAAGAGATTTAAGGTCGCTCTGATCCTCGACCGCGCTTGAGACCAAGCTTGACATCAAGCTTACCTCCCCCTTGTGCCCTAACCCTCCACCCTCCACCAGCCAGTCCCCGCCATGTCCTCAATCGACCCCTCCATCCCCCCTCTAAAGCCCACCTCCACCCCCTCCAGCCCAGCCGCAGAATCCCCCGAAACGCAAACCCTGATCCAAGCCCTCGGCCTCCAGCCGCACATCGAAGGCGGCTACTTCGTCGAACTCGACCGCAACCCCCTCACAGTGCCCAACCTCTTCCCCCCCACCAGCGCGCCCGCACCGGGCCAAACGGCCGCGAAGCCCTTCTCCGGCGACGACAGCGTCCGCAATGCGAGCACCAGCATCTTCTATTTCCTGAGCCCGACGACGCCCGTCGGGCATTTTCATCGCAATAAGGGCCGCACGGTGCATACGCTGATTCGGGGGAGGGGGCGGTATGTGCTTATTCATGCGGATGAAGCGGGTGAGAGGAAGCGCGTGGAGACGTTTGTCGTGGGGAAGGATGTTGGGCGCGGAGAGCGCATGGTGTGGGTTGTTGAAGGGGGGAAGTATAAGGCTAGTTTTTTGTTGGAGGGTGGGGACGCGGAGGGGGAGGGGCTGCTGATTAGTGAGGTGGGTATTGGTGCTCGCTATTTTTCTCTTTCTTTCTTTAGGGGTTTGGGAGACGTGCTGACCTGTGTGTGCACAGACGGTTATCCCGGGCTTCGAGTATTCGGACCACGATTTCTTGACGAGGGAGAGGTTTGAGGAGCTGGTTACGGAGGAGCAGGCGGGGGAGCTGGCGTGGCTTGTGAGGAAGGGCCCGGCGCCCGACGAGAGCGAGTTCTGATGCGTTGGAAGAATAGGAGTAGTCTGGGTACTCTCAGCGCTCCACAAATGACACCGCTAGCGCCGCATATGGCGGTGCAACCTCTAGGCTTTAGGCTGTGGCGCTCTGAAGCAGTCACTCTCCACACCTTGCTCTCAGCTCAATGCCCCCACAGCCTCACGATGCTACATCGAGCAGCGCCTCCCAGAACAGTAGACTATTTCCCACGGCCATCCCTGCACTACACCATCCATCTTATGTACCACCATCGTGCAGATCGCTATCAAAAACAAAGTCGAAGATGCTGCTGCGCCACCGATCTTTCAGCCACTGACGTCGGAGATCCTTGCGCCGATCTCTGCTCGAGTGACGTCGATCGATGGGCTGGATTCTTGCCCAATGCGGCCCAAACCTGGACTTCAGGCGTGCACAGTTAGGGGTCTAGATCTGCGCTATTATTTGCTGGCGAGGAATTTATTACTTCGTGGCTGCCCGCGATATTCTGCCCTGCCGGATACTGCGGCATTGTGATTCAGTTGCGTGAGTGTTGCATGATTTGCTTCAGCGCGTTGACATCATCCGACGACCGACCCCGCCCCTTCTTGAACTTTCGCGAGCCCGCACCTGCGAACTTTCTTCCTAGACCCATCGCACGACAGACGCCATATCAGACATATACAAGCCGGCGAAATGACGACGCCCACTTCGCCGAAGACGACCCGCGCTTTTACGAATGACAGTGCGGACGGGGATGCGATACCGGGCGAAGACACCAGCGAGGTGACGAGGCTGTTTGCAGAGCGGCTGCAGGCCTGGAAGCATGCCGTGGGGTATCTTGAGGACTATGTCACTGCGACGGAGAAGACGCAGCACGCGCACGGGAAAGAGTACGAGAGGGTGCTCAAGGTGAGTGGCGGCCAGGATCAGAGGACCAGAGCGCTGACGGCGTCGAGACTGTAAGGGACCCTCTGAAGCAAGGACAACATTTCGATCAGTCGCTGGGCGGCATCGCGGGCATGTTTGAGAACATTCGGTCGAATACCCAGGTACGCATCGTCTCCGCTCCATGGTCCGACGGGCCTGCTAACGATCCCCAGGGCATCTCCAACCAGCACTACGACACGGCGAAGCAGCTCAAGGGCTCCATCCTCCCCATCTTCGAGCGCCTCCACACCGAAATCAAAAGCAAGACAAAGGAGCTCACAAAAGGGGCCGGCAAGGGAAGCAAGGCGGTCGACAAGGCGCGAAATTCGACTCAGAGGCACATTGAGCTGCTAGGCCAACATACGGCAGCCTTTGACTCCACGGGCGGCAAGATGAGCGCGGCAGAGGACCCCTACATCCTCCAGCGTGGCATCATGCACCGCCTGAACAAGCAGATCCAGGAGGAGAACAACAACCGCCAGGATCTAGTCAGCGTGCAGAACTCATTTGCGCAGTTTGAAGCGCACATCATCCAGACGGTCCAGCACGGCATGGGCCAGTTCATGCAGGTGGTCAACACGCAGGCCGAGCAGACAAAAGCCATGTACGGCGACATGGTCGGCACTGCGCAGCGCATCCCCCTCGATTTCGAATGGAACGGCTTCGTGCAGCGTAACAACACCGTCCTCATCGACCCCTCGCAGCCCGCCCGCTCCGTCTCCAACATCAACTTCCCCAACCAGAACCACCGCGCGACGCAGCCCCTGATTGCCGGCTCCCTCGAGCGCAAGGGCAAGATCATGCGCAGCTACGACACAAACTACTACGTCGTCACGCCCTCCAAGTTCCTGCACGAATTCAAAACCGACGACGACTTCGCCAAGGACCCCCAGCCCGAGTTGTCGCTATACCTCCCTGACTGCATCGTCGGCGGTTGCAACGGCAACAAGTTCAACGTCAAGGGCAAGGACGTCAGCAAGGGGAAGCTCGGTAATTCGTTCAGCATGGCCCACGAACTGCAGTTCAAGGCGCACACCCCGCAGGCCGCCAGCCAGTGGTGGGAGATCATCCGCCAGGCCGCCGGCCAGGTGACGGGTGAGGCGCCCGAGAGCAGCGCGCCGACGAGCCCCGCGACGGGGAAGACTAGCCCTGGCAGCGCGGGCGAGACGCAGAGCCCCGCGACCGCGGAGAGCAGGCAGCCTGCGCCGCTGCAGACGGAGGGCCTGGAGAAGAAGCAGAGTGTGGGCAGTCCGCAGACGGCGAATACCACGGGGACGGCGAACACCCCGGGAACGACGCCGGCTAGTGCGGCTCCAGGGAGTGCGGCACCTACGAGTGGTGTTAGTGGCGAGCCGGGGAAGTACTGAGTTCGACTCAGAAGTAATAGTACAGATGGTGAAGTGGATGCCAAAGTGATGAAGGGGTAATGCTGGATATACGTCGTCTTCCGATCTAACTTTCTCCGCTTAGCACGTAATAATGATACCAAATTGCTTTCTTCCCGCCAGCATGCTCGTCGTTTTGGAAGTATATCAATTTTTTTGATACTGTGATCGCACTAAGTCCTTACTCTGGTCTATCTAACCCCGTAGCATCAAGCGGGGCGGAGACCTGCCTGACGTTCACTCATCCTGCATGCGCTTTCTTTCTTTTTCCCCTGAGAGAACATAGCAGCAGCAGCGGTGAGGTTGCAATTACGCGAGTACACGTCCCGAGTGTCGCGAATTCACACACACGAGTCCTTGGAATCGCGCGGCGGAGATGTGTTAACGACGCAGATATGCGTGGACTTTATTGCAACTAATTAACTACTAACTACACGTTTGCGGACTTGGGGGTGGGGGCTACAAATTGCAAGCGGCTGTTGTAAGAAAGAAAGATCTATTCTTTCTTTTCCCGTGTCGACTCGACGCGATCGTGGGCCGGGCCGAACGGCAGGCAAATACAGGCCGAGCCGGAGGGATAAGACGGGTTGGGTATGTGGGATGTGGAAAGTGTGAGGAAGTTAATAGCATCTGGCGGGGGAGAGGTACGCTGAGCGGGGGCGTGATGCTTGCTGCTGTGTTGCTAGTAAAAGCTACTGTGGCCGAGAAAAGGAGCTTTGTATTGAGAAGTACGGGGGCAGAAGGCTCTATATATATATATATATATACAGGTTAGGAGGGGAGAGGTCTCCCCCTTCTCTGTAGGCAAACTACGGGAAAATAGGTGGCTTTTCTCCGCCAACGGCTACGGTGTTTTCTATTGGCGCTCTCTGGTGGGTGGTGGGCGGGTGATAGTACGGTGGGTGTGTTGAAGGGTTGTGGGGGGTGCTGGTTTGTAGGGCGACAAGGACGGCAATGCTCGCATCTTTTTTATGCTGGGGTCGAGCGGATTGATGACTGCGCTTAGGACGGCGTGAGTTGGGTGTTGAGTGGTTACTGTGGCGCTACGGTGGAGCTGCAGGTAAGGTAAGGGCTTGCTGTTATGGGGATGTAGATACTCTTGCTCGGGGATAAGTCTAGGTGGGAGGGAAGGCTGGTCTCTGAGAGGGAAGAGGGGGAAGCGAGGCAGGAGGGAGAAAGTGAGACAGAAGAGAGAAAGAAACGCTGAAGGGGGGAAAGTGAAGGAGAAGGGGATAACGCGAAGGCGAAAGGGAGTGAAGGATAAAAGGAGAAAGCGATGTCGAAACAGGGAAAATAAAGGAGAAAGGGAGAAAGCGAAGGAAGATCTCCAAGAGATCTAATACGGCCTGGCCCGTTACAAGTAAATAGACGTGGTGGCCTGTCTTGGGGGACAAATCATTGGCGAGACTGATTATAATTGCGACTACAATAGTAATTATGCACCAAAGGCTGCGTTGGACTCTCCGAGGGCGATCGGACCCAAACTTTGACTGTCTAAAGGCCACCCAGCGTTTACCACACATGGCCCTTGGTCTGCTTGATGCCAATGACATTAATGTTCCGCCACATGAGGACCCCAACAGCGCCGAGAACCCAGGCGGCAGTAGCAGCAGCCAACAGCCTCAACATCGCGTCTCCGTAGGCACGCTGGATAGCAAGACGAGTGGGGGAGCCCATCGGATACGACAACTGAGTCGTGAGATCGGCGTAGATCAGGAGAAGATTCGGAAGATCTTCAGCGGGCAGGTATGCCATGAGTTTCTTGGGGATGACATCCTGCCAGATGGCGGCCGCAACCGTATAGCCAATAGCGCCGCCAATGTTGCTGAATATGCCCAGAACAGCAATGCAGACAGCGACGTATTCATGCGAGGCAGCAGCCAGGATGGCAATCTCATCGCAGATGATAACGATGCCAGACGCAATGGCGATGAAAATGTGGCACATGACGATGTAGCCAATGTTCCTGTCGGCGTGGCGGAAGTGGATCATAAGGCCCACACCGAGGATGCTCAACGGAATGCCAACGTAGAGAGCGGCAGGCTTGAACTTCCCCGTGCGGTGGATGAGGTACCCCACGGACACGGCACACAAGACTCCAATCACCGTGTACGACTGGCTGACGTAGCTCGCATGTTCCACGCTGAGGCCCTTGGACACCTGCAGGAACGAGCCGAAATAGCTGTTCCACAACGTAAAACTGAGGAAGAGCGCCGCGGAAAGGAGACACGCGCCGAAGACTGTTCGGTCCAGGAGGAGGGAGTATGGGATGAAGGTGATGGGCGCGAAGAACTTCTCCCATACCACGAAGGAGATCATCAGGACAATGCCAACCACCAGCATGCTGATGACAAGCGGCGAGTTCCAGCCTCTCGCTTGCATGGTGTAGAGATTGAAGGGCAAAAGAAACAGGGCCACGCCGGCAGAGACAAGAAGCAGACCGATGGCATCAAATTGGCGGCAGTAATAGAGCGTAGACTGCAGGGCAGTGCGGTTGCTGTCGCGCTTCGGGACAAGCCCCAGTCGTCTGGCCTTCATGTAGTTGTTCATCAGAAGGCCGAATAGCGGAAGGGTCACGACGGGAACGAGTATGGTGAACATGCCAAAGCACCAGCGCCATCCAGGCCCGTTCAGGAAGCCTTCGGAGACAGGTCCGGCCAGCCAACAGGTGATTAGACTGGCCGAGTTGACGATGGCCTGCATCAGGCCTCGGTTGCGCAGTGACGAGGTGTCGGCCACGAAGACGGATATTGTGTACTGGATGCCGTTGTTGCCGACCGTGTGGAAGACCATGGCGGCGGCGTAGGCCTCGACGCCGTTGCACGCAGCCATCATGATCAGGCCGACGACAGCGAGGCAGACGCAGAACAGATAGCCCTGAGGGCGGCCGAAGACGTCGAGGATCTTGGCGAGCGTGAGGTTGGTGACGCCCCCGATGACGCTGCTCAGGATACTGACGGTCGGCGTAAGAGAATGCAGCGCGAACGCCGACGTAACATAGGGCGTCAGCGCGCCCGTCACGCCGTTGAGCATCGTCTCGACAAAGTAGATGATCCAGAGCATCACATAGGCGATCGTGAGCACCGTCTTCGTCCATGCTACCGTCGTGGCTTCGATGTCTTGGACACCGGCCTGGGCGTCGGCATCGGGGAGCTCGTCTTGGGCCGGTGAAGACACTGAGCGTTCAGAGTGGGCGACATCGGTGCCGGATTTGGCCTCGAGGTTCGTGTCGGCGGGCGTCATAGTCGCTGGGGAGGGCAGTGAAGCGGAAAGTGAACGGAGAGAAGCTGAAGAGCGAGAGACGAGGTAATGTAGAAGCACTGTATCGCAAACGCACACAGAGACACTGGGGTGGTGGTGACTACTGGGGGTCTAAATGGTTGCAGGCGCGGACCGCCCTCGCCGCAGTGGCGCGAGAGACGGCCGGAGCATGATGCTTGTAGGGGAATTGGACCTTGCAGTGTGATTGCAGATGGGACTATCGTAGTCGCGAGTATGACAAGGCTGAGCGAATTGATGACCGCGTAGTCGCAAGGGGCAGGCGGGACCTGCGCTACGCCGCTGTACTCAGGGCAACACCGCGAAGCGACCGCCACAACAATCGCAAACGTGCTCTCGCTACTCCCGTCATCGGTCTGGCCCCGCGCAGCAGCGTCAAAGGCAGTTAGACAGCGCGTCTCGCGGAGGACAAGCACAATTTTTGTGCTCACCCGCAGGCTACTACTGCATGGATCCCTCGTCAGATTAACTTGCTCATTCTGCACGCCTCCTCGTGCACCGAACGCACGCCCCCCGTGCGCCGCCGGGGCGGGACGTCCCCACGGTGGCTGCGTTCCTTCGCCTGCCAAGGGCACTACAATAGTCTACTCGGATTGCTAGCGTCCAAGGCTTGCATGTGCCAAAAGTAGGTCTTGTATAGGAAGGAGCCTCGGTTTACCGCGCTAGCAATCCGAGCATGGGGTCAAGGGGTTGCAATACGAGTGAGCACCTTTGCGCAATTTGAGCGGCACAGCAAGGCGAGAAAGAAAGACTACAATGGTTCCTTCGGTTGCGCATAACCCGGCAACACCGCGATGGTGGAGATTTGAAGCAAAATTTCTCAAGAAGCCAATTATCTCAACAAGAACGAGTTTAACCAGTTCAACGTTTGAAGCGGCCTAGCGGCTCGACCGCTCCATCCGACGGGCCAGGGCGCTGAGCGCCATCACGACCGCTGCACCCTGGTGTGCACGTGGAAGCAATCTGGACGCATCCTCTGAAGACCGGTACCGAGACGGACATCTGCAACGCGGAGCATGCAAGGAGAAGCAGCAATTTGGATAAATACCATGATACGTACAACATGAATAGACTATGCATACAGCAATCAATTTTTGAGACGGTGCATATGCAATGAACCGTCGGGACATAAGAACCTCACACTCCCAGCTCGAGCTCAGCAGATATCCACATCCACAAGCTCCGCATACTTCATGAACTCTTCGTCCCGCTCGAGCATGTCCCGCTCCTCAGGGAAGGTGCCCAGTACCAGCTCAACACCCCCATCAGGCTTCATCGGGAATATGACCAAGAACCGGAACCGGCCGCTGGCTCGTTCGAGCTGCGGGCGCATCGTCTCAGGGGAGCCCCCGTTCGCGAAGAAGGCGTCGCCAAAGCAGATCTCGCTCGTCTGGAAGAGGATCATGTTTGAGATCATGGCGTGCATGTGCTCGAGGCCCATGTTGGCCGTCGAGAACCTGCTGTGGTCGGGCAACGACTGAAGCAGCGTGAACGCGTCGTGTACGAGCGAGGGCGTAATGCGCGCAGCAGACCCGCGCAGCAGATATGCAATGTGCCCGATGCTAGTATCGGGCGCGCAGAGCTCCTCGGCGGGCATGCTGGACCGGTTCAGGATGAGCATGCTGCCCATATACGTCGACGGCAGCATCGACGAGAAGTAGGGGCGGCCATCGATCGGCAGCTCGAGAATGGACGTATCCTCAGGCCCAAACACCTCACCCCGGAGCTCCTTGGCAACATGGTAGCGTGCCCTGAGGGCTGACCTCCAGAAGAAGGCCTGCACAATGTCGCTGACGGATGTGATAGCACCTTTGGCTTCCGGGTCGGCCACGACTTCCTGCTTGAGCTGCTGCACCTTCTCGGGAGGGATCAAGAACAAGGTCGTATCCAGTTTCCTCTCGGCGGGAGGCAGCGGCCAGACGGAGTGCAGAGGGAAGACAGGCGGCCGCCCGAGAGGCCCTTCCTTGACCGCGCCGTTAGTTGAGGGGTTCTTCGCTGCATCCTGCTCCGATGGAACGAACGGCAGGAACCCCCAGATGTCCGGATCGACCTCATGCACAGGCCGTGCATGCCCTTCCAGTTCGTGGAGGATCTCGGGCAGGCTGTGGTTGAAACTCTCAGGATCGTACCAGTCGCACGTCGCCGATTTGTCGCCCTGCAGATATCTGCAGTTCTCGGCCCATGCCTTGAGGGCGATCATGAAACCGACGCCGTCAAGGCAACAGTGGTTGAGATCCACAGCGAGGATGCAACCGCCCTCGACAAAGTTGACCTGCCCGACAAATATATCCGCGGGGAGCTGGGGGAACGTGTCTTGTCGCAGGACAAGCTCGTCCTTGAAGGCTGAGGGCACGAACCCTCCATTGCGCAGCTGTTCGAATGGGGGAAGGACGCGCGAGAGGTCCTTGTAAACCAGGCGGTTGCGCGTCGGTGCAGAGATGGGTGGAACAGCGACGCAGAGTTCGCCCTTAGAAAACCCAATCTCGTGTTCGGAGCAGCGTATCATCTTGCCTCCGAGAGCTGGAATGAGTTCGAAGGTGCGGTTGAGCCCCTCCTGCATATTCGCGAAGGTGTCTTCGAAGCTAACGCCTGCGCGTAGAGGAAAGTAGAAGACCAACCCCATGTAATGGTTTGGGTTGACATAGTCGAACGCATTGAGCCGGAACGATTGGTGTGCCCTGTGCCGCGCCATCATCCGTTGCATCTTGGACTCATTGTCATCCGCGGAACGCTTGCCCTTCTTTGCATCAGTCACTAAGCCTGAGACAGCAGTAGAAAACTTGGCGAGGGTAGGATTGGCGTAGAGGTGACGAGGAGCAAGCTGGTCCAAGCCTTCGATGGCCGCACGGATGGCCTTGATGGCCGCGAACACACCGAGCGAGTCCAATCCGAATTCAAATAGATCGTCGTCAGGCGTGGCTTGCTGGATCTCCGGCGCCGAAGAGGCGAGAATCTCGCGGATCGACTCCCGGATTGACTCCGTCGACGTGGTGTCTACGGCAAACGATATTTCATCGCTTCGCGAGCCGTAGAAACGCTCAATGTAGTCAGCATAGAGTGTCAAAGTGGCCCGTCGCTTGACAGTCCCCTTGTCCGTACGGATGAAAGGCTTGTCCGGCTCTGCGAAGGTGATGAAGTCCCGCAGCAGCTGGTCCGTGTGCCGGGACATCGAGTTGGCCTTTTCGACTGTGGCCCAGATGCTCTCGAAGAGCTCATCGGACTTCGATGACGGATCCTTCAGTTCAATGAGCAGCCCCGCCTGAGGCTTGTTGCTCCCGATGACAAGGCACCCGTCGATTGCCGGGTGGGTAGAGATGAAGGCCTCCGTTTCCAGAGGCAGGATCTTGTATCCGTTGGACAGGACGATAAGATCATCGTTTCGCCCTTTAAAGGCCCAGAGATTCGGCTTAGTGGGATGCCGCATGTACAGGTCCTTGAAGTTGATCGACTGCTCGTTCGGGAACGTGTGGAAGATGCCTTGGAACAAGGATGCGTGCTCATTGCGATGCACCCAATGCTCATACGTATCTGGCTCCACTTCCTTGAACTCAAACCCAGAGTAGGGGTGGAACGCAAACCAGAACCAGTCTTCTCTCTGCACCACAAGGTTGCCGATGAATAGGCCTTCTGTAGTGCCGGTCAAGTTCAGGACCCTGATCACCTCGTTCGCTTTGCCGGCACTGACTGGGCTAACGGGGCCTGGGCAACATCAGTCGAGGTCTAATACGAAATGGAAAGAACCTGCTTACCTCCGGATGCACATATGAATTTCGAGGACCTGAACTTCGCCAGGACTTCGGGAGTCTCGCCAAGCTCATCAACGAGTGATGGGACCATGCTCCAGATGTCGACCTTCGCATGATCGGCGAGGGTCTCTATCAGGTTGATATTGGGCATGACATTCGATGGGCCTAAAATGCAGTGTAGGCCGAATAGCGCCGGCAGGAGAATGTTCATGATGATACCGGCACCCTGGTATCACGCAATCAGCCCGTGTAATTTTCGCAGAGATGTTAAAAGATTACTTACATGGCACATAGGGAAAGACGAATAGATTCTATAGCCTTCCTTCCACAGTGACGTCCATGGCGCCAGGACTTCATCGCCCTTGGTGGGCGGGAGCAGGCGCACCGCATCCATCGTGCCGATCAATCCATGGGACCACGGGATAGGCTTCGGCACGCCGGTGGACCCAGACGTATGTAAGAAGCAGAATGGATCCGTAGTAGCTTCTTCAAATGTCTTAGTGTACGGGAAGGGCTCGGTAGTCTCAGCGTCGAGAAGCTCGTCAAGGAGAGGAAGCTCCAGCAATCTCATTGACCGTTTCTGCAGGATCTCCTTCACCAGCGGGACAGCAGCCACTTCGCAGGCTTTGACCCAGATGTCGCATTTGGTTGCCTCTAGGACCGCCAAAGCTCCTTCCGTGCTGTTCTTGGGCGAAAGGTACAGCGCGGCGTAGCCGGCCTTGACACAAGCGTAGGTCAGTAGGATGTGTCGGAGATCGTGCGGTCCAATGTAGCCCATTGGCCGGATTGACGCTGGCTTTCCAACTTGGTTATGAAGCCACCAAGCCGTTTTGTCGACTGCTTTCATGAATGCTCGAGCCGATATATCCCGGAATTCAAGAGAATTACCGGAGACTTTCGCTACTGAAAATACGGTGCGATTTGGCTCGGCGGCCGCCAGGCTCTCCATGATCTGAGGGATGAGCCTGCGGCCGTATGCCGTTGAAGTTGTGCCATTCATGTGTGGGCTGTCTGCTTTCTTGACAGCGGCTTCTACTACGGATGAGACATTGGGCGACTGCCCAAAGTAGGACGTGGCTGGGGTTTGCGCAACGGGCGTCGAGTATCTGCTGATTGCCGAGGCCACACTGGGCGAGGAGTATCCACTGGCGGTCCCGCTGAAACGCTTGGGTGCTTGCAGATAGCTTGCTGACGTCTCGCTGATACTAGGCGTACCGGGCTCACGTGGCTTTTCCTTGAAATAACTTGGTCGGTCATTCTCGTACACGAGCTCTAGCCGAGAGTCTTTTTGGAAGTCTCCCATGGGAGCGCTAACCCACTCTCCATCCGCCAGTAAGGCGACGCTGCAATGCCATGGAGTTGTGTATCCGGTCTTGGTGTTTAGAAGGCTCATCGACACCTTGTGCTCGCCTATCGATTCGTGGATGGAGAGCCGCAGATGGTTGGGAAAGGCATGTTTGACAGCCCCAGCAAAGGCCTATCGCGGCGGTTAGCGGAGACCCTACCAAAGGTATCGTGTGGGTAGTGGGTTTAGACTTACATATCCTCGGAGGAGCATCTGTTTCGCAAGATACTTCACGTCTCTCTTGTAGGCGTTGCTGCCCCGGTTCTCGCTGAGCGTGAAGATATGCCTCAAATCCGACTCCAAGAATTTCCGGTAGCCGAGATATGTCAGCTTCGTATCTGGATTGTTGACAATCTCTTGGTCGATGTCGATGTCGGGTCTGCCGTACTTATTGAGAAGTAATCGCCGGAAGTTGGTGCAGTTGGCAACGTAAGTGATTTCTCGTAGCTTGTCCGGCAGCGGAAACTCGAGTAGGTCTTTCATTCGGGAGAAGTCAATATAGTTGAATTTCTTCTCCGCAGCCATCTTGCGCAGGGCTTCTCCGTAAGCCCAGGTATCGCGATCTGATATTGACAGCAGGTCTGGGTAATGTGGTTAGTGTGCGAATGCATCTCGAAGAAGTAGCCGTGGACATACCATTGTATGTAATGCCGTCCGAAATGATAGTGACCCTGGCGCCGGGTTTGTACACTTCCTTGATGCGCGTGCACATGGAATTCAGCCGTTCAAGAGCCAGCTCTTCGGCCTTATCGGGGAGAGTACCGAGCACCTTGTAGACCTTGTTGGCGGACTTGAATGGGAATGCTGGGAGACAGGTCTCCACTCGTCTCCCTGCCATGACGAACTGGTCAATGACTGATAAGAACTTGGCTGCGCCCGCAGCGAGCCGATCTTTCGAATCATCGAATTTGTTGAGAGCGTACTCAAAAATTATGTCCAGGATCTGGTGGGAAACATCTCTCACCTCCAGCGAAGGAGGCCTGGGTAGGGACGATTTCTCATCCGCCAGAGAAAGTCCAAGCCCGGTAGGAAGCCCGTTTCTGGAACTCCTCACATTCATGGTGGAACTTGAAGAGCCGGAGGACCGTGAGGAGTCGGAGGAGCTGTCGTCGGCTACCTTCACCTCGACGATGGTATGTGAATCATCGGAGGCTTTCTGGTCTATCACCACAACCGAACCTTTCCTTTGAGGGTGGAGATTCAACATCATGGAGAAAGTAAACTTGAAAGCTAAAGGTTGTCAGGAGAGGGGGTTGAAAGAATCGAAACGGAGCGTGTGGTACATGTGTAAAGGACGCGAGAGCAACTACCGGAGCTCGCCTAGTGTCTATGTATTCGCTGACAAGACGCCTCGCTGCCGAGTATTTGCCTTGCCGCCTGCCCCTAGAGTCCATACCGTATATGTGAGGTGACATGAGCATGAATGAGACAACGCGGGCCTCAGCTCAGCAAGGCAATACGGTCCATGTCAACTCCGTCAACGCCACCACCTCAGTCGCAACGAGCGCTTACTGTAGTATCAGCCATGAGTTTGTCAATTCTCCACTTTGAGCGCACGGTCACGCAAGGCCTTAGACAGCTAGCTTACAGCATAATTGGTTAAAGCAGCCCTTCGCGAGGGTTGTGGCTTCCTTCGCATGGGGTGGCGAATTAACAACACTTATCCCTGATACTACACAGTAGCATAGAGCCAACCATATGAGAGGATCATACCTATTATTAATGGTTGGTTACGCCTATATCCAGAGCTCCAACTCCTGAAGGATGGAGCGTCTGGCCACGAGAAGAGTGAGACTGAAAAGTACATATGGATATAAAATTGGACAGAGCTGAGCCTATGCCATCACGGAGCATGTGGCCGACATCCCTGCTGTGTGCGGACCCTGTACACAACTTATGCATGATGCCGCAGTAGTCGAGCACGTTCATGGAACCGCATCCTACTATAGAACACGGAGCTTTGGCGCCTTCCTTCGAGTCATGAAGTCATGAGGAGAGTAGCTTCGCGAGTGCCGAGCTCTGCGACTGATAGGTACAGAGAATTACGTCTCTAGCTGGGATTGGAGGTTCCGGGGTGGGGGGTATACGGTCTGGGCCGCTCCTGCAAGTAGGTTCTTCGATCTCGGTTCACGTATTCGGCCTCGTGGGCGGGCCTTCTACGCTCCTTCGCGGGATTTTTTTCCACTAGCACTACCCCGGTCGAGCAGCATGCTGACGGGCGATCGGTAGTACAGTGTCCTCGTTTTTGTACACCCCGAACCCGGTCATCACGAACGATGGATGGGACGGGGTGGATGCGGTCTAGCCGAGGGACCGTCAGCCGGGATGGCAGCTGCGGCGGTGTGACCACAACCACAGACACAGTCAGCCACTTATGAAACGTGCGCACCTGGCCGTCCCGTTCCACCCGCCAAGCAGCTAAGCAGCCACCGCCGAACGGTCGCTAGGACCGCGGTCCCTGCGTGCATTCGCGTCGGAACGGGCTGAATGCAGGCGGTAAATGGCGCGCGAGTGTGCGCCCGTCCGCTTCCACACAGTCAGCAGCCGCCCCCAGGGGAGGTCGGCGCTCTCGACGTTTGGAGTTGGGATATCGATGGATTGAATTTTTCTTGGGTTGAGTTACTACCCTGCGTCGATTGACTCCGCTACCACCACATCCTCTTCCAATTCCCGTTTCGCATCGTCCACTGGTTGAGATGGCAAAAGAACCGATAGTCGAGCTCGCAAGAAGCCTCTCACTCCGCAGCGTCAGAGACGAGAAAGGAGAGCTCGTCAACCCATTCCTTACCCCGGAGAATTCGTTGCTGGACCCAAGCTCGGCCCAGTTTAGCTCAAAGACATGGCTTCGGACACTCATGAGCATTAAGTCGGGGGATCTTGAGCGGTATCCCAAGAGAGTTGCTGGCGTGGCCTACCGGAACCTGTCTGCGCATGGCTTTGGCCAGCCGACCGACTACCAGAAGACGTTCGGCAACTACCCGCTAGCAGTACTGAACGCCTTCAAGAAGCTTGTCAGGAAGACGCAGAAGACCAGGATTCAGATATTGAAAGGCTTCGATGGTTTAGTCAAAAGTGGGGAGATGCTCGTTGTAGTGGGCAGACCAGGCAGGCAAGTTATGCTATGAAAGAGCCGCGAGACTATCATAGCTGACCGTTGCAGTGGCTGCTCGACGCTGTTGAAGACTCTTGCTGGAGAGACAGATGGCTTCTTCGTCGCTCAGGAGTCCTATATCAACTACCAAGGCATCCCGAAAGAGACCATGCACAGAGACTTCCGGGGAGAGTGCGTTTACCAGGCTGAGGTTGATGAGCACTTCCCCCAGTTGACCGTGGGCCAGACTATCGACTTTGCCGCTCGCGCGACGGTACGTGAGTGAGAATATAGGAGCTTGGTTTTCGACTGACTTTTGCAAGGCTCCTCGTAACCGCCTCCCCGGCGTGAGTCGAGATGTGAGTGCCCGAAGTCTACCAGCCTGCACAATACCCTTCGCAAAGAACGCCAATAATCTGATTGATATGTAGGTGTATGCGGCGCATCTACGAGATGTTACTATGGCCGTTTTTGGTCTTAGCCACACGGTCAATACAATAGTCGGCAATGATTTCGTTCGAGGTGTCTCCGGAGGTGAACGGAAACGAGTCAGCATTGCGGAAGCGTAAGCAAGATCCCTAATTGCACGGCAATCCATTTACTCACTCATTATCTGTATAGTGCCATCGCCGGCAGCCCTCTACAATGCTGGGATAACAGTACCCGTGGGCTCGACAGTGCTACGGCTCTCGACTTTGTGCGCACACTCAGGACGTCAACCGAACTCACTGGAGCGACGGCGATCGTGACACTCTACCAAGCCTCACAGTCTATCTACGACGTAGGTGATCCTTACCCAAAAGTCGTTGCAATTGGCTAACATGCGAAGGTTTTCGACAAAGTCGCTGTGTTATATGAGGGTCGGCAGATCTACTTTGGCAATATTCATGCAGCTAAAACATTCTTCATCAATCTAGGCTTTGAATGTCCACCACGGCAGACAACGAGCGATTTCCTTACGTCCTTGACCAATCCCGCGGAACGAGTTGTCCGCGATGGCCTTGAGGGGAAGACGCCCAACACACCGGACGAGTTCGCTGCTGTGTGGCACGCAAGCGAGGATCGCGCACGCCTACTGAAGGAGATTGAAGAGTTTAATGCGCAGCATCCAATTGGAGGGCCATCGCTCGACCAGTTTAGGCGATCGCGGAAAGCCCTCCAAGCATCAACACAGTAAGTCAAGGCTCCGACTGTTGATTGGCACCTTTGCTGACAATGATAGGCGGAAAGGCTCGCCTTACACCCTTTCAGTGCCAATGCAGATCAAATTGTGTATGCGACGAGGCTACCAGAGGCTGAAAGGAGACATGAGTGTCACAATCACTGGCATCATTTTCAACGCGATTATGGCGCTTGTCATAGGCAGTGTATTTTACAACTTGCCTGACGAGACTGGTGCACTTTACAGTCGTGGCGCGTTGCTATTCTTCGCCATATTGTTGGCAGCGGTTGCCAGTGCAATGGAGGTTCGTCTTGTTTCCAGCGCCCATTGAGCGGCACTAAATCAAGCAGATCTTGACGCTATACGCACAACGCCCGATTGTAGAGAAGCAAGCGAAGTATGCCTTCTACCATCCCTTTGCAGAAGCAATTGGTGAGTTGCATACCCGGCCTCTATCTACGCAAGCTGACCCATCGAAGCTTCGATGATCTGCGACCTGCCAAACAAGATCGGCACAGCAATTGCCTTCAACCTTGCTCTTTACTTCATGACCAACCTACGCCGCACGCCAGGGCATTTTTTTGTGTTTCTGCTCTTCAACTTTGCGTGCACTCTGACCATGTCAATGTACATCCGCTGCATTGGCGCGCTGTCTCGCACTTTCCCGCAAGTAAGGACGCCTTCGCCCTAACTGCGCTTGCATGCTGACAGCACAGGCCATGGCACCAGCGTCCATCTTCAGTCTTGCGTTTGTGATCTACACAGGATTCACAATTCCTACCAAGGACATGCATCCTTGGTTTCGATGGCTTAACTATCTCAATCCTGTTGGCTATGCTTTCGAATCACTAATAATCAATGAGGTACCAACACTATTCCCCAATATGACTGCCGGATCTGACAACATTAGTTTCATAATCGCACCATTCCTTGTTCGCGATATGTTCCCAACGGCCCGAACTATGACAATGCGCTCCCAGATGAGAGGATCTGTGCAACCACCGGAGCTACTACCGGAGCAAACTTCGTCGATGGAGATACCTACTTGGCAGTCAACTTCCACTACGAGGCTAGTCATCTTTGGAGGAATTTGGGTATCATCATTGCGCTGATGGTCTTCGGCTGTGCTGGATACCTTGTCGCTACAGAGTACATCTCAGCAAAGAAATCCAAGGGAGAAGTCCTGCTCTTCCAAAGGAGCCGGGTACCAGCTGTCCGGTCAAAGCTCGACGAAGAAGCCAATAGCGACGCTAGGCTTGACGCACGAACGCTCACTCGCGAGAAAACGGTACCTGATGCTCCTGCCAGTATCCAGAAGCAGACTGCAGTCTTCCATTGGGATGGTGTCTGCTACGACATCAAGATCAAGAAGGAGGAGCGACGATTGCTAGAAGAGGTCGATGGCTGGGTGAAGCCTGGCACCTTGACGGCTTTGATGGCACGTCCGATCCCTAAATAGCATAGTACAGAAAGATGGGCTGACTAGTATATTTAGGGTGTGACCGGCGCCGGCAAGACCACGCTACTCGATGTGCTTGCCAACCGTGTGACTATGGGCGTCGTAAGCGGCCAAATGCTGGTCGACGGACGGCTTCGGGATACAGGTTTTCAGCGCAAGACTGGATACGTGCAACAGCAGGATTTGCATCTAGCTACGGCTACTGTTCGCGAGGCGTTGGTCTTCAGTGCCATCTTACGACAGCCTATGGCTACGCCGCATGCAGAGAAGGTCGCATATGTGGACGAGGTCATCAAGGTCCTCGAAATGGAGGCATATGCCGACGCTGTTATCGGGGTACCCGGGGAAGGTGCGTAATTGGTCTATTCCCTAGTGTGACGAGTGCGGCGTTGCGTGCTAATGTTTTTCAAGGTTTGAACGTTGAACAGCGAAAGCGCCTAACCATTGGAGTCGAGTTGGTTGCCAAACCCGCCCTGTTGCTCTTCCTGGACGAACCTACTTCTGGTAAGCTGACCTAAGGCGTCCAAGATGTTTTTAGCCGTGACTAGGCCATGCTAACTGGTGCGAAGGACTCGATAGCCAAACCGCTTGGTCCATTTGCGCCCTGCTCCGAAAACTCGCCGACAACGGCCAGGCTATCCTTTGCACAATTCATCAGCCTTCAGCAATTTTGTTTCAGCAGTTTGATCGCTTACTATTCCTGGCCAAGGGAGGTAAGACTCTTTATTTTGGTGAAATCGGCGAATCTTCCAAGACGTTCACAAGCTACTTTGAACGCAACGGGGCTAGGCCGTGTGGCCAAGACGAGAACCCCGCCGAATGGATGCTCGATATCACCGGCGCAGCTCCTGGGTCGCAATGCACTCAGGACTGGTCGGCTATATGGAACGATTCAGATGAGCGCAAAGCTGTCAAAGCTGAACTGGCTCATATGAAGGAGACGTTGATTGAGAAGGAGACGTCTCCACCATCGCTGTCGGTCAATGACGCTGATGCTCTCCGACCGTTTGCTGTTAGCTTTAGCACACAGCTCTGGACTGTGCTCGTCCGAGTCTTTCAGCAATATTGGCGCACTCCCTCGTATCTATACTCTAAGCTCGCCCTTTGTCTCCTCAGTGTAAGTCCAGTCCCGTTCGAACGTACAAAGCAAGACGCCTTAATCTCGCACAGGCTTTATTCATCGGATTCTCCTTCTGGAAAACACCCAACTCGCTCCAGGGACTGCAGAATCAACTCTACGCCGTCTTCATGCTGCTCAGTATCTTCACCAACTTCTGCACACAGATCATACCTCATTTTGTGGCGCAACGAGCACTCTACGAAGTACGAGAGCGGCGATCCAAGACGTACTGTTGGCAAGTATTTATCTTGTCAAACATCCTAGTCGAGATTCCTTGGAACTCGCTGATGGCGTTACTGGTCTTTGTCAGTTGGTACTATCCCATCGGACTACGCCAGAACGCCGTTGAGGCAGACCAAATCGTCGAAAGAGGAGCACTTATGTTCTTGTTTATCCTAGCGTTCATGCTATTTGCCGGCACATTTACACATATGGTCATTGCGGGGATTGAAACGGCTGAAGGGGCGGGAGCCATCATCAACTTGTTGTTCTCGCTGTCACTAATCTTCTGCGGGTATGTCAAGTCCTCCCTTTTATATGTTCCCTCCCATAAGAACTGACTGACCATTTCTAGTGTTCTTGCAACACCTGAAGTTCTGCCCGGCTTCTGGATATTCATGTACCGCGTTTCTCCCCTCACGTATTTTGTATCCGGCGTCCTATCCGTTGGTCTTGCCAACGCACACATCTCATGCTCCGCAGAAGAGCTGCTGCGTTTCTCGCCGCCCTCTATGTCCAGCTGCTCCGAGTATCTCGCAGACTACATCGACTCACATGGCGGTTATCTCCTACCGTACAGCAACAATTCAACCACGGAATGTGTGTTCTGTACCGGTAGTGAGACGAATATATTCTTGAAGAGCGTGAGTTCGGAATATAAGGATCGGTGGAGAAATTTTGGGATTGTTTTCGTTTATGTGGTATTCAATATTGCGGCGGCTATAGGGCTCTTTTGGCTAGCCAGAGTCCCAAAGGCCCAGAAAGAAAGGGACCAAAACGTTACCAAAGGTGCAGGTGGTGAGGATGTCGAAAAGAGTTCAGACGGTACCCTGGAGAGCGCTTCGAGAGCTCCCTCATCAGAGTAGAGAATGGCGATGGACACTTGGAAGCAAGAAAAGGAGGAGGTTTTTCATCACTTCCTGTTAAGTGGTTTCCATCATCATCCGCCTCTGCAGGGCGATTGTAGAATAGTTGCATGGCTTTCAAGTCCAGGTCAATTCTATGGTTTCAATAACAACAACTTCGAAGAAATAATCTCAACCTGCGGGTTCAGCCGTGCAAACAGCAGCGTTTCCTGATCTAACTTTGAGTGTGAAAAAGTCTCATCAACACTATAACCTAGATTGCCATCTCTTCACGGCCAACATCGTTGCGCCCCACTGGCTCTATCAGAGCGGGCTTGGAATCAACCGCCGGTCATACCGGAGTCCGTACATGCAGCCAATGGGGCACGGATGGATCATTGTGACTAGGGCTTAATTTTGGATTTGGAGGACCACACAGTGCATGTCGATCGTTACTCTACTCTATGCCTAAACGAAATACGGTGAGCTAAACCTGAGTGCCTTGAGCACTTGTCATAGAAAGTGCGGTGCGGCCTAGAGCTGAAGTCTACATGGGTTCACCTGTGGTGTAACAATGCAAGCTGCCCGCACAAAGCTGCAGTCAGACACCACACCGGTGAACGCCTTTCGTCAGCCACCATCATGTACGCGCACGCACGCTGTCAGCACCAAAAGCGATTCCCGGCTGAACTCGCGGAAGGGGGATTGGAAGTCAGCTTGGCCTTCAACGTTCTATGCATCATCTAGACGTTCGATGCATCATCTGGAACAATGCGCTGGGATCGTTTCACCGGGATAGCTGGCTAAATATTGATTTCTGTGGAGATCGACATCTACTCTCTCAATGATTGGCAGCCTCGAAATATTGCCTAACTCCTCCAACAAGTCTGTCCACCACAGCATTCTCCACAACGCCCTCCTGCCAACTAAAGCCAATCGTCAAGCCTCCATCCCCGCCTGAAACAATGCTCATTGTCACGGCACTTCCGGAAACCACTGAGCTCCGGCTAAATGTCGCTCTTCCCACCTGCCACTGGAAATTGGCCCCGGACTTTGCAGAACCTGCGAACGCCCCCAGATTCGACACTTCAAACGCTGCGTCACGGTCCTTTCCAAGCGTGGAATTGAACACGATAGAGACATCAGGGATGGATTTGAAGATGGCAACGGCGGTGTAAGGCTCGCCGGAAGGTGAGAGGTTGCCAGTGAGATATTTTGTTATCTCTTTCGAAGTCTCCCAGGCTGCAGGCAGCACGAGCGTTGGATTTTGATCATCGATGCTGTGGTCGGTGCGGCGCAACTGCACTTTGAATGCATCGATAAAAGTTCCGATTGCGTCGTCGGCGACGCTACGAGGCAGCTTGAGCCATGGCCGTAGATTGACCGGAACAATACACGTAAGTGCTTCGACGGTAGGAGGCAGGATATTGAATAGGACTGCGGCGATGACAGACGGAAGGACCGCAGTCAGTGATAGACTGTTCTTCTTGCATTCCTGGACGAAAGCTTTGGATGAGCTCGGCGAGAGGTACAGCGACCGGTAGTGGGTTATGCAGGGAGCGCGAATTGGATTGCCTGTCCACTCTTTGAGCCCCACTGTTGGCGGATTTGCGGGGTTCTCATTGATTGGCAGGGGATGTAGCTCCTCCAGAGGGGGTAGAAGCGTGATGTCGTTTGGTGTAGCGACCTCTGTGGTGCTGGGACCACGTGATACAGACGACGAGGAGGCAGTCTCGAGAGCAGTGTGGAACTCTTTGTGGAAGATCAGGCCGGCGACCCCATCGCCGATGGAATGATGGAAAATGAAGGAGGCCGTGAAATCCTTTTCCACGCCAGGGTCTTGCAGAACGAGCAGGCGCCAGAAAGGCAAAGTCCCGTATTCGGACTTGAAGTTGGTGTTGTGTTGTTCCTGAAGGATGGCATCGAGTTCAGGGTCTTCTCCACCTACGGTCGCAGGCTGTGACCGCGTAATGAAGAAGACACTGCGCGTGAGATCAATGGAGGGAAGACGGGCAAAGTAAGCATCCGGAGAGTCTTCATCGACGGGAATAGCGGATAGAATGCTATGTTTGCGAATCACGTCGGTTAAGGCAGCATATATGAGGCTGCGCACGTCGGACACAGAAGAGGAGTCGGAGAGGTGATAGTGAGCAGACAGCCCCACGTTGTGATAGAAGCCCAGGTGGTGGCAAGCTCCTGAGAGTTGCTCGAGCTTCCCTGTGGTGGTTGAGCAATGAGGAACAGTGCAACTCGCTTCGTGGGTGCCACATACCTAGTGGTCGCAGCTTCTGGAGCTGCCGGACGTCGCTCATGATGCTGCGGGGTGCAAGCGTCAGGAGCAGAGAGGGATTTTAGTCAGGGCTTGAAGACGCGGAATGCGAAGCACAGCTATGAAGGGCTGCTCTCGGAAGATCCTGCACGGGCATGGCGGACGTGATGTGGTAGGGTAGAGTCTGGATCTGGATGCTGATGCATGTGCAGCGCGGGCGGTATGTTCCCAGGTTGCAGACCCGCGTGGCTTGCACCGGCGGGCTAGCGTGCATGTGCATACACGAGGCGTGGGCTTACAGTTCCTCTCGGATTGCTAGCGCCCAAGACCTGCACGTGCCAATGCTAAGTCTTTTACACGGCAGGGGAACTGTACGGGCGTGTGCTTACGGGCTTACGGGCGGGCGGGCGGGGTGGGCCGCTTGGAGACATCCATGTCGATAAGTATTACCCCTGCACCGGCCAAGCGGTGGCTTTACACCACAATCCACGCACATCTTACAAACCACGCATATGAGCGCATACACGCGCACGTCCACGTTCCTTTGCAGCCTGCTTCCACGAGGTGCTCAAGTGCTCGCCTGAATCCTCAGCAGTCTTAACGTCAGCAGCTGTCCAGATTCGCCATGCCGACCAGTTCCACGCCCTATCCGCACCCCTATTCGCAGGCCGCCCAGCTCGACTCGCGCATCACGATCCCGCGCCCCGTAATTGATCCCGTGCTCGCCCCCATTGTCGACGCCTTTTTACTCCCGGAGGAGCTGGAAGTCAGCTTTCTCCGCGGCCTCGCCGGCGGCGGCGGCGACGATGCCTTCGTCACCAATGCTGACTCCATTTTAAAGGCGAAACCTCATCTGACGCATGTGGAGCACTCGATTTCCGGTCCCGATGGCAACACAGTTGTGTTGTCTGTATTTGCCCCCAAGGCACCGGCTGCGGCACTTCCCGCCCTCTATTACATCCACGGCGGCGGTATGATTTCTGGTGACCGCTTCAGTGCCATCCCGCCGCTTATGGACCTCCTTGAGGATATCGCATGCGTCATCGTGTCGGTCGAGTACCGCCTCGCACCCGAGACGCGTGCGCCTGGGCCAGCTGAGGACTGCTACGCCGGGTTGGTCTGGACATCTGCGAACGCCGCGAGTCTGGGAATCGATCCAGCAGAGATCGTCGTGTGTGCAGTATCTGGCGGTGCGCCGCTGGCCGCAGCGGCTTGCCTCATGGCCCGCGACAGGAAGCTCCCCACGGTGCCCATCAAGGCGCAGATGCTGCTGTCGCCCATGCTGGACGACCGGTGCGAAAGCGTCTCAGACAAACAGTTCGAGTACGGTGCTCCATGGAGCGGGGTCACGAACCGCAGGGCGTGGGGGCATGTACTCGGAGATACTCGGGGGACCGACAAGGTCACAATGTATCAGGCGCCCTCTCGGGCGACGGATCTATCCAACCTGCCACAGGCATTCATTGACGCGGCCGAGTGCGAGGTGTTCCGCGATCCCGCAGTCACATACGCCATGAACATGTGGCGGTGTGCATCTACATGCGAGTTGCATGTCTGGCCAGGAGCCGTCCACTTGTTTGATGCAGTCGACAATCCGGATGTCCCGCTCGTTGGGGCAGCCATCTCTGCGAAGCGTGCTTGGCTCAAGAGGATGATGATGCCCCAAGGGAAGCTGTCGGTAACCTCGATGTCATAGTCGATGTGCTTGGCAGCCTTCTGATGAGTATCCAGTACTCTCACGCCTTCTCAAGAGAAGCTTGGTATTGGGCGCAAGTTTCCTCAATAATCGCGTTGAGCGTCATCAGTTATTCACTTGGAAAAGAAGTTTCAATAATTCATGCCTGGCTTTCCCATCTGAATCTGAGCTAGTGTCGAGAGCGTAATCTATGAAATCGCCCTTGGAGTAAGTTCAAATTGTTCCTAGGGCACAGAGACGAATAATCGACGGTGCAACGACCCCGCACGTGATTCACGCAATCCACTCGCGCCTTTTACTCAAACTCCACAATAAACGAATCCACGAAAAGATGACGAAGAAGCCCCAGATTATGACCAAGCTAAATTGTGTAACAAACGTACGCGGTGTGTGATGAACGAACTGGATAAAGCAAAGGCGCCGCGTCATGTAAGACTGGAGCCCGATTTTGGGACAATAGCAGCAGTTATTACTACGATAAGAGCGGCAAGCTCTGAGCCTGGCTCTCGGGTGGCACTGCATGCATATAACAGCTGCCACGTGCGGCGGCTTGCATAATGGGGTCCGAATGCGATCCCGCTCACCGCACATTTGATAGGTTCCTCTCGGCAGGAGTCCTTTCACGCTTACCGCGCACGAAAGTGATGACGCACTCTGATTCATGATAGGATTTTCTTAACTCGTATTACAGAGATAGAGACGAATCATCAGGACGCTCTAACAGAGGAGGTGGGGAAATTGTGATCACATGGCTCTTGTCAATGGTTACAAGATAGTCCGAGCGCTATGCTGACACTTGATGCCGTCTGGATACTGACGGGTTTGGTTAATAGAAGGATTGCTTAACTCAAAGCTAAGAGTTGGCACGAACCACTAGCAAGGCTTGGTGTTGGATACGGGCGAATGTGCACCCTCAGTTCGTCATGGCTAGCATCATGGGCCTTGTCTGTGCTTACAGAGGATGTCTTTCGCTCACTGACCGGTTCAGTTGATGGAAAATAAGGAATGGTGGAATGGTTGCCTACTTCCTAGGATTCGAAGCGGTTGAAGCGGTTACTTACGAGATACTAGTGATGGTGAGCTGATGATAATTATCAGCGCTACTGCGGTTATCCTAGTACCGGAACATCCTCATAGCGGGTGGCGTCTCGTACGCAAGGCTGGAAGCCATAGAGGAGGTCCAGATACTCTGCTCCTCTTGATCGCTGATGATGCACTATCCTGTTCCCTTTGCAGCTAGATCCTCCGACTGTTCGCCTACATAGCTGTAGAATCGTCCTTCCGCAATGCACTAGAGTTCTCCTAATCTGCTTGCTCCGGCACTCTTTCACGCTGTCTTTTAGTCCCGTCGCGTTTAGTTTACTTGCTGTAATTGTCAGTCAAGATGCGGTCGGTTAACTTGTGCCTCACTATCTCAGCAGTGTCATTGGCTGCAGCCCAGTCCGTGCCCTTCTTTTTAGGGAGAAGTGGAGGCATGTATGGACTCGAACGCAGACAATCTTCTACCATCACATGGCCATATCAAACATTCGTCTCGGAGCCCGACTTTCTACCACCAATTCCCGAAGTGAACAAGACGAAGGCCACGGCACCAGGATACCAATTTCTTGCGCAGCAGGGCACGGACTGTGCCCAACAAGCCGCAATGATCATGACTGACGACGGCGAGCTCGTCTGGCAGTCCAATCCCAAGTCACCATTTCCGGCCACCAATTTCGGCCCGCAGACTTTGAACGGCAAACCTGTGCTTGTGTACAACATGGCGGTAGGGGTGCCAATTGTTGACAGCGGCGCTCTTACGTACAGCATCGTCCAAATATTCGATGATACCTACACGCTACTGCACAACGTGTCGGTGGAAGATCCTACCTTTGTGTTCGCAGCTGGCAACTGGAGCTCTCTCATCGACTCGCATGAGGCGTACATTACGGCTCGCAACACGCTCGTTGTTCCCGCCTACAACATCACGCCCTGGGACTTGTCTCCGGTCGGTGGTCCCACGGACGGATGGCTGATGGACTCTGTCTTCTACGAAGTTACCATTCCAGAGGGCGACATCCTTTATACCTGGCGGTCAAGCGACTGGATTGCCATCACCGATACCTTTGTGGACTTGGACGCGGTATATGGCTTTGGGAACGCGACTGGGTGGGCGTGGGACTATTTCCACATCAACAGTATTCAAGCATGGGGAGAAGATGGCTTTATCCTATCCGCGCGGAATACGTTCGATGTCCTGTTCGTCAATAAGACAACCAACTCGATTGAATGGCGGTTGCGCGGCAACGATGGCGGAGACTTCGCTCTCGATGAAGAGGGCCAGTTCAGCTGGCAGCACGACGTTCGCCTGCACGAGTACGACGGCGAGCTTCTCCTCACTATGTTTGACAACAAGAACACCCTCACGCCACCGTTCGTCCCGTCCGAGGGTCACCTTCTGGCTCTCGACCTTACGGCTATGACGGCCAGGATCAGGGGCGTGTATTTCGATCGCAACGCTATCGTGGCAGCCCAGTTCGCTGGTTCCATGCAAGTGGACTTTACGGGCGAGGAGGAGAAGTACGTCGTTGTCGGTCACGGCAGCCAGCCCGTCACTGAGGAGTACGACCTCGATGGTACGCTGCGCATGAGTTGGCGCTTCGGGCCCGCGGACCCTAACGCCGTTGCCCCTGGTATCGCAAACTATAGGGCTTTCAAGAGCTTCTGGAAGGGCTATCCTACCACGTCGCCTGCAGTCAAGGCATGCAAGACAGGGAACGGGACCGACATTTTCGTGAGTTGGAACGGCGCGACCGAGGTTACGAGCTGGACGGTGTATGCTGGGCAGAGCGAATATGATATGGCAGAGAGCATATCGGCCCCGAAGACTGGTTTCGAGACTAAAATTAGCCTCGATGCAGTGGCAACGATGGTGAAGGTCCAAGCTAAGGGTGACGTGCATGATGAACGCTTTACGGCGAAAACGTCTATGCCCGTGACTGCGCAGGATTGTTAGAAAATCTGCTCCTGTAGCTATGACCACAGTACATGATGTAAGTAGCTGCCGAATGCAACTGCCTCTTAAAACGCCCATACATTGTGTATTCGGCCATCTGTGCAGGCCTTCCCAGACGACCTTGCACTGCCGAAGAAACGATGTCAAAGGATTGGGGTACTACTAGCCTAGGTTTTTGGGCCTTAGACTCGTTACAGCGTCTTTCGTCGTCCTTTTTGCCTCCTGAATCAGGTGTTTTGCCATCAGTTCACATCCGCACGCGATTCCAGTCGAACGAGCGCTGAACGGGCTGCACTTTGAGTCATTCTCGTGCGCGTCAATCGTCCCCCGTGCAAACTCGAACTATTCTTTTTTGGTTTCAGATGCTAGCCTTGTGCTGTTTCTGTTGGCATTCAAGGAGAATCTCCACCGCGCCAAGTCACGTGCTTCCTCACGTGATATTTTGTACACAGATCGCCCGCACCAGTGGGTGTAATCGATGAAACCTGTGGCTCATATTTAAAGAGCTTCGCCGCAAAAAATGCCACTTAAGCATTCTTACAAGACCACAGATGAGTGCTTCGCCGGATTGACTTCAGAAGAGCACCATTGCTGCGATGGACTGGGGCTCTTTTTCTTTCATTTGAACGAGGAATGTCGATGTTGTTCCATTGTCCAGCTTCAGTAGCGAAATGGCACCTGTAATCGTAGGGATGAACATCATTCCAGCATGTGTAGAACATGTATATTTTCAGGTGGAACGCTGATAAGTGGACAAAATATAGCTGGGAAGAATTTTCAAACATCACGTGACTGAGTAATATCCGGCATTCCCGACAGAATACAACGTGGCCATTTTTGCCATCCCTTTCACAACACCAGAAAAGCAGTGAAAGTCGATCGCTGTCAAAGAATGCGCATGACAACAAACTAAGCATATATGAGTGCTTTTGAGCTAGTATCCGTCTATTAGCTGCATTAGCGATCTGCAGTTTCATTGCAATTTTCGCAAATTTCAACCGTCAACCCGGTCGCGACTGTGCCGCAATTAGGTGTTTTGAACACCAAAACGCCCTCTCTTATATTGTTCCCTCAGCATTCTAGTTGCTAAAGTCGTTTTCTGTGGCTCCATTGTGAGACGCTCATCTGGCTAATATAGTATATATAATATAGCATATTACCTGCTCATCTGCCTCTCCCGAGATCTTGCTCACATTGCGGGGTCGGTCCCTTACACGGTCACACGTTCCACAATGTTTGAAGATGATGGACTATTAAACACCAAGAGATTTGCACCATGGCAGTACGAAGCAATTTTGTGCTCTCTTGTCGATATCGTCTCCACAGGCTGGCGCTTGCTCTTCTCCAGGCAAGGAAAGACACGATGCAGCTTTCGTTCCTGCTTCTTGCCTGGTGCACCCAGCTCATTAGCAGCCGACCGACCGTGGAATCACAGGCAGGAGCCACACTTTCTTCAGGCTCGGTAATCACCGGAGTCGTTGATGCCAACTACTCGTCCGTCCGCCAGTTCCTGGGCATACCTTATGCCGAACCTCCACTCGGGGACCTGCGCTGGGAGCCACCACGCGCGAACCAATTGCCCGCAACACTGAACGCAACTACTCTTGGAAGATCATGCACGCAGTTTGTTACCAAGATACCCAATGCGCACAACACCGTTGTTCCAGAGCATACCATTGCAGATGCCAACAGTACCGGAGAAGACTGCCTGACGCTGAGTGTCTGGACGCCGGAAAACGCGACAAATCTGCCGGTCCTCATCTTCTTCTACGGCGGAGGCTGGTACATGGGTGGCCAGAATACGCCGTATCAGATTCCTACACAATGGGTGCAGCGTACGAAGGACTTGATCGTAGTCGTCCCAAAGTGAGTTGGCAGGAAGGCCCCGTCCATGCTGAGTTAAAGTCACTAAGCCGGAATTAGCACGCGCGGGAACATCTTTGGCTTCCCGAATGCTCGAGGTGTAAAGGACCAGAACCTAGGACTTCTGGACCAGCGGCTTGCGTAAGAGTTTGATCTTCCTGTCCTCGGCATCACGTTGACTGGCGGATCCCTTAGTGTCGAATGGGTAAGAGACCATATCGGAGCGTTTGGCGGAGATTCCAAGAAGATTACCATTTGGGGCCAATCCTCGGGTGCGGAAGCCGTCGACCTGTACAGCATCGCTTGGCACCAAGATCCTATAGTGAACGGCTTGATTATGGACTCTGGTACGGCGCTCATTGAAGATGGAAAGGGCCCGAGATACTCGAACTTTTCGTATGTGGCGGCTCAGGTGGGCTGCGGCAACGCTACCACTGCAGCAGACGAGTTGGTGTGCATGAAAAAAGTCGACGCAGCCAAACTAGAGGCAGTTCTCCAGAAAAACTTAGATGAAAACGGAATGCATCATGGAAACGGAAGTATGGGCAACACCCTTGGATTTGGGGCTTCGGCAGATGAGAGGACGTACTTCTCCAACTATGCGGAGAGGATTCAGCAGGGCAAGGTTGCAAAAGTGGTAAGTGCCCCTCGACCTGCGGGTGAAGAAAGCGAACAAGCAGGCTGACTGAGCGATTAGCCCGCCATTATCGGCATCAATAAGGACGACGGCAATACCCTAGCACCATTTTCCCTTAGTGGACCGGACCAAGCGATTTGTGATATGTATTTCCAGATGGTGTTCTTGTGCCCATCGTACATGACATCCAAGTAGGTGGCATTCCAGCTTGCGCTTTCACAACTAACCGGAATCCGCAGGATACGAGCATCTGCAGGCATCCCAACATACCGATTCTTCTATTCAGGCAACTTCAGCAACATATCGCCACTGCCATGGATGGGAGCTGCCCACAGCAGTGAGCTCCCAATGTTATTCGGGACCCACGGCAATTACCGAGGGGTATCAACGCCGTACCAGATCGCTGTGAGCGAAGCAATGCAGGATGCTTGGCGAGCATTTGCGAACGACCCAGAGAGCGGACTTGTGGGACAGAATTGGCCTGCGTACACTCCGGATTATGATGTTGTGAGAGTGTTTGGGGAGACTGGAACGGTGGCGCGGAACGCGGCTGATCTTCTGAAGGCGTCAGAGGACCAGTGCTCGAATTCGATGGTGTGGTAATACTAAGACATAGCGTGAAGTGTCGTAGGTATTCATTCAGCGTCCTGGTTCGGATACCGGTCTGCGACATCAATAGTCGCTACAGGTCTCCCATCCAAAAGTCAGAGTCTGATTCATCAGCACCCCGTGCTGCTCTAGGGCAGCTCTTTTGCCAACAGTGTGAGTCACGTAAGGAGGCGGTATCCACCTCCATGGTTGTGAAGGTGGTGGAGGACCGAGGGATGTGCCGACGGAGGTGTTGAAATTAGGTTAGAGGTAGTTCTAGCCCTGATTGGTAACTATTAAAAGGGTCGTGTGCAACTTTCTTGCACTTACAACAATACTACTTAGTGCAAACCCGAAAGGTGCAGAGCTGCTAAAGACATAAGTTCGGTATAGTGAGAATTTAGAGAAGACAGACGGGCATAGCCTTCGATGCACTGTGCGAAAGTTACGCGAGCGAAGGTAACTCTAGAATTGAGTCGAATAAGCCACATGTATCAAGGGAAACATCAGAAAAAAAACCTTAAAGGCTACAATGTGATTAAGTCGTACTAACGTAGTTCTTCTCTGCCGTGCAGGGCTACGGCACACTGAAACTGTACGCCGATGCCCGCTCGTAGGAGACTGCGGATTTTCTGCGCCAGCAGACAGGCGATTTGACGAGGCATGGCGAGGAGTGCTTGATGGGTTTCCAGGCGGAGGAGAGCTGGAGCGTTGATGATGTGCCGGAGAGCTTTGTGATGCAGCTTAGCAAGGCGATTGTGGGGATTGAGATTAGTATTACTAGGATTGAGGGGAAGAGTAAGGTGGGGCAGGAGTTGGCGCCGCTGGATCAGGTGGGTTGTATACGCGGGTTTAGGGCGATGGGGACGGAGGCGGTGCGGGAGTTGGCGGGGCAGATTGAGGAGGGTATGCGAAAGGATATGATGGGAAAGAATGGGAGCAAGTCTCGTGCGGATGTGCTTGAGGAGGAGAGCAAGAAGGGGCTTGTGCTGGGAAAGGAGGTTAAAGGACGGTTTGGGTGGTACTACACTGCAGTGCCTTCTGTGCGTATGCGACCCTGGGGAGAGCTGGTGGTAATTGCGCTGTGTATGGCGATTGGCTTGGGGATGGTGTGGAAAGCGTACGAGTTGGCTTTTGCGACACAGTAACCACCTATCTCTTAACAGAGCGATCAGCGGTTTTAACATCTCCTAAAGGCGAAGAATGAGAATAGAGAACAATTGATATGATAAAACTACTATAACTAGAATGTTTTGTGAAGTTGAAGTGTGGGACTTTCCATGCACCTTACCTCTTGCAATTTTTTTTCGATATCTGAAATGGGTGTACCGAAACGCCTAGTAGCGCAAGAGAAGAGAAGAAAAGAAAAGAAAAGGCGGGAGGTTCCACTTCCCGTGTAACTCAATACCTTAAAACCGATTATGGCGCGCGCCGTAGAGAATAACCTAGCCGTGACTGCCCTAGGAAGAGAACTGCTGGTGAAAGAATAACCAGTTTTCTTGGCCGAACTGAGACTGCTACCGAATTCCGCTACCGTCCCAGAATGAGTATGCCCAGATACCGCGGTGGCTGAACTCTTTTTCCAATCTGTGGTCGTATCCTGGAGCTGGAAAACATCCCCCGGTACCAATACTGAGCTGCATGAGGCTGGGAAAGACTGTACCAGCAGTTCCGACCATATCAGAAAGCGGTCCGTCGAAGGACATGAGGTTTTCGAATAGGTCATACCACGTGTGGCGTATGCATAGCTGCTTGATACCGGATGGTAGTATGCACGATAACTTGGGAAAAGGTGATTCGGCGGTAAATATCAAGGCAGCATCCAGGTGGATCGTTTCTAGGCGAGGGAAGTCCCGGAAGTGATGGGCGATCATTGTGCAATTGTCGTAAAAGGCGCTGATCATCGTATGATGAAAGATCAGTTTTCGCAGGGACAATTTGCTTGCTTGGAGTGCTCTCGAGATGGGGTTGAGATCGATGACCCCGGAAGCAGGCCGGTATTTGCCTGTCAAGTAATGGCTCGGCTCATAGCAGAATTCCTCAAGAGCCCTACAAGCTGAGACCATGAGCCCCTGGGCTTCAGGCTCAATGCCACAATCGTCCAACTTCAGGACTTTTATATTGGACATGCCTTTGCCAAAGGCTGATGAAGGCCAGGCCCAAGCGTTTTCGGTGCGCAGCTCTACAAGGGCGGAAACTCTCAGATACTGGAGAGATTGCAGCTGAAATATCGGAATAATGTCCTCGACATAAATGGAGTTCTCGATGATGGAGATGCTCTTCAGCTGATGATATTTCGGTATCGGTGGCTGAGGGGCCGCGTAGAAATTTCGGTGGAATGCTGCGGCCCAGTAGAAACAGGGCTCATCCAAGAATACGGGGAAGTTGTCTCTGTCATAAGGGGCTCCAAGAACCGTGATATTCGGCGCATGAAGAAGAAGCACCGCTGTATAGACAGTCGCACACGCCCAATCGTCCTCCAGGTGAAGGATCCAACTTTTCTCGTTCTCGGCCGTAAGAGCTAGTTTCTCAATGTGTTCAGCGACGAGGTCGAGGTCTCCCTTGGTAGGGGAGATATCCGACGCGGTTTCCCATCCCAAGTCCAACACTCGGATTAGCGCAGCTAGTTCGGGGTGAAGAAGCACAGTGTGCAAGAGCTTCACCAATCCAACCCCGAGGTGATCGATGCGGTAGTAGAGAAACTCCGTCGCAACTCGTCTGAATGGTTTAACCAAGCAGAGATTATAATAATTCTTCCGAACTGCCTTTCGGTCCCACGAATATGAGTCCTTAGTATTCTTGACGATCTCGAGCAAGATCTCCTCCGGGAAATCGTTAATCGTCGTACACGACAGCTGTTGAGCACTCGGAGGATCGGCCATATTTGCTGACATCGTAGGTTGGCGCGGTGGTGGTGGTGAGGCGGCGGTAACAACGGAGCCCAGGAGAGAGCAAGTGCTTATAAAAAGCACGAGACTTGCGTAGCTGATGCGGCGCTGCAAGTCGAAGTGAGAGAAGATTAGATCAGAGGTGAAGGTTGGAAGCGTGGCTTTGAAAGCGAGGTGAAGGTAAAAAGGTAGGTAGTTCATCAATCTATCCTACGACTCAAGCCGCCAGCATCCATATGGGTAAGTCGATGTCACAAATAAATGGAAGAGCGGAATCGGGTCGGTGAAAGAACGCCGATGCACTTGGTGAATTGAATAGGAAAGCAGGACGGCGGAGAAAACTTCGATTTTCAGCGGTTCCAGAGGACGACCTAATAATGGCTATCAATCCGAGCTATAGAGTATGACAGCACCGCCGAGAAGAGAGAATCATGGAAGAATGTGCATACCAAGTCCCCATCCGCAGCCACGACCTCCAGCACGCCTATCCAAGGACGTGTAAGCCTCGCCAAGTTGAGCGTGGTTTAGTGAAGGCGACCGTAATAGGAGATTCGAATGGTGAATTCTCACGGATCGCAACTGTTGCCGAAGGCTTTCAGAGGCCGGGCTCGTCTCATTGCAAGTAACGACCGTCAAACCTGATGGACCTTGACAAGTCAGTCTATCACATCCCAATAGTAGTCTTCCAAATAGTAGTCTTCCTCAATGTCGATCACGTCGTCCTCGAAATCAACCATCACTCCACGGCCCTCAAGTCCCTCCGTTATGTCCAATTTAGAAAAGGCTTCTACGTCCTTGTAATCTAAATCCAAAACCCTAAGACTGAGATGTCGGAGGCGAGGCAGGCAGACGTCCTTGTGCTCAACGAGGGTGGAAAAGGGACCATGTCGATCAAGAAGTTGCCCCATAAACCCCGAATCTGGGAATTTGAGTGTGTCGAGCCGGAGCCGTTGTAGATTTGGCGGCATGATGGACGCTAACTTCGGCCAATCCAATCCTCGGTAGAGAGTACTCGCGTAGACCCACAAAGTCTCCAATTTCTCGAAGGGCGTCCACGTGCCGGCGGCCACGGGGACCATGTTGAGCAACGCTAGTTCGCGCAGGCAGTGCTTGTGCTTCACCAGCGCTTCATTAAGCAAAGCCGAGTCGAAGCCAATACCGTAGCCGTTAGGATACGAGAGCGCACAGGAGAGTCTCGTCAAGCTCCTGCAGGAGTCAAGCATCAACACGAGAACATCAGGGTAAATTGAAGTTCTCAAGCATAGTGACTTGATATTGGATGTGCCGGCCTCAAAGAGCTGTCGTTCGGACTCGGAGATAGTAGTCAATTGTTTGTACAACGTAATCGACAGTCCTTCCAGCGAAGGTAATCTGAATAGAGATGCTATTTGCGCAGTACTCAGGTCTACCTTGGAGAGTTCGAGGGACTTGAGGTTGCAATAAGTCTGGAACGACCATGAAGAGAACGCAATACAGTCTTGGTCGAACATCAATGTCTCTAAGAAACCCCAGTCCATGGTCAAGTGGGTGATGTTCGGGGCATGAAGGAGCAGGAGAGCAGCTATTCCATCGCTTTCGGGTCCGCAATCGTGAGGGTTTTGCTGCAATCGGGCGATCCATCGAACCTCATCATTGGGTTGCAGTCCAAGGGCTTGAATGGCTTGGTTGAACAGCGCCATGTCCTCTGGAGTCGGCAAGGACTGGCAGCTCTTTTCGTAACACGGACGTAATGTCAAATCGCGAATGAGAGCCGCAAGCTCGGGATGCTGGAGCACGGTCCGGAGTAGAAGGACATCGCTGTAACTATAGCACCAGGAATATAGATATTCCGTTGCCGCGGGCTTGAAGGGCTTGACGAGGCAGAGATTGTAATATTCCTGTTGAGACCGGAAGCGTGACGGTGGATCGATACTCTTGACGATGTGGAGGAGAATTTCCTGCGGAAGATTGTGGATAGTAGGCGCTTCAGCCATGGTTAAGGGTTTCGAAACGGGCCGCTGTTCTGCGGAAGTTGTAGTTGTGAGGCCGCTTGACTTTCGGATGTAGAGTAGTAATGGCAGAGAACAATCTTGCTTGTTGAGGAATAACGTCAGGACCCTTTCTTATGTACTGTGCCAAGCCAAAAGTTTAGTTACCTCACAACGCAATCACGCCTACCTAAAAAAGGCACTACTTTGTAACACTACTCTACAATGCTATAATAACGTTGCGCGCTTTAAGAAATTATTAGAAATATAAGAATATAATACTATTTAACTCTAAATAAGTATAGTTATACCTATATAATAACTACGTTAAAAGCTATACTTAATTAAAGAACAACGTTAAGGTGCCTACACCTCGTATTTAGTTGTAGGGTAACTGAACTTTTGGCCTAGTACTGTAGGATGAGTCATCCGACGCCTTCGTGTGAAAGGAGAGCCGCGAAGAATTAACCGAATATGAAAGGTCAGGAATTCGTCTCCGCCCGGTGCCGGAAGTCGCACCCGCCGTCTCAGACTCTCCTACCTTCACCATCCCTTTCTTCTGCCCAAGCCCTCAACCCACTCTTCAAACCCTCCAGCACACCCTTCCACCCACAATCCTCCTCATACACCACCTTATGCGTCCTCCACTCCAGCCACTCCTCCGCCCTCGCCCCGCTCCCCGCATCCAACAAGCCCACTCCCACATCGACCATCTGGGGACGGTCATCGCAAGAGTAAGTGACCAACGCGCCACAAGTGCCGCAGAACGTTCTCAGCACCCCAGGTGAGCTCGCGTACGTCTTGATAGTCCCAAACACCGGCTTGTACGGTGAGCCATCTGGGAGGCTGATGTGCGAGATCTCTGGGAACATCCAGGAGACGATCGCGCAGCCGGAGAGCAGGCGGCAGGATGTGCAGACGTCGTGGGCGGCGTACCATTTGGTCTTGTCCTTGGGTGTGAGGGTCTCGGGCATGTGCGTAAAGGCTTCGTCGGCCCGCGGTCGGGAGATGTAGAATTGCACGCCGCCGCAGTGGCATCGTGCCTTCAGCTTCTCCTCCCTTGCCGTACTTTCCGGCTGCGCGGGCGGGGACGGCTTCCAGTCCCCAGTCTCAGTACACCCCGTATCATAAACCGCCTTCTCGGTCCACATCTTAAGCTTCTTCCCGCCAACGTCTCTCAACCATGTCGCCAACCCACCATCCCCGGTACCCTCTAAATTGAAATGGGAATGGAAATCCCAAATCTCTTCCGGCGCATCCACCATGCTAGCCGCAACATACCATTTCTCCTCGTCCAACTCCGGCTCTTTCGCTCTATCAAACATATGCGCGCCGCATGTCGAGCAGAAATATCGCGTCGCGACGTCCGAGGACGCGTAGGCTGTGTACGCGCTGAGATCGACGACGGGTGGCGGAATCGGTGCGTGGATGCTGCACAGCGTGCCATGCGTGTGCCGACAGACGCTGCAGTTGCAGAAGTGCGTAGGGAGGGGCAGCGAGCGAGTTGGCACTGTGAATGAGAGCTTGGAGGCCTTGCAGTGGCAGGCGGCGTGGAAGGTGGATTCGCCAGACATTGTAAGTCGGTGGATTGTAATGCAAACCCCGTAGTGCGAGCGAAAGGAGGAGCGCGGGGATGATTTCTTCGTGGGATGAAGTCAGCGATCGAGGAAAGCGCGAAGCGGAGCGGGGTTGCTTTATCAACGCGAACTCGCGTGACTATACCGGCAAGGGTGCAAAACCCATCGCGCTAGCCCTGGAAATGGTTAAGAATACGAGGATTGCGAGATGCATCGTGACATCAGGAATTGACAGCAATGGCAGAATCAAGAGATATAGGGTAGGAGGAAGGATGTGTATAGATTCCAACAAGGCCAAAGGCCGGGTATAGTGACAGTACAGGGGTATAGTGCCAGCGGGAAGACGCGCCAACCAAAAGCCTTCAAGAACCTACGTCCATTAAAAAGTGTGAGAAGAAGTGTGCAGAGAAAATGAAGCAGAGTAATGATGTTACTGGGGACCCGACTCATATACCCGCCGGTATAAATGCCGAACCTCACGCGCCCTATCAGGAACTGTCTCCGCCAGTCTTGTCGTTCACAGCTACCCAGTCCTCCTCGGTGAGCTTCTGAGCTGTCCTAGAGCTCTCGGCGATGGCTTCGTTGTTGAGATCAGAAAGCTGGGACAGTGTTTCTTGCATAGCCGCCAACTGCTAGCGGTACGTCAGCAATCGTGAAGCTCTGGAAGGGGACGGCTCAGCTCACAGTTCCCAACACTTCTCGGGGAGGCGGCGACTGCTGCGACGACTGCGCGCCGGACGTAACCTGTTCCTCTTCTTCTTCGTCTTCCTCTTCCAGGGTATTGATCTCGCGCTTCTCGCCCATGCTGGCAGCAGCCCGGGCCACCCTATCGCCTGCTCTAAGAATAGCCTGTAGGCGCTCAACCTTGTCCTTGAGTTGCTCATTCTCTCTTTCAAGTGGCTCGACCCGGGCGAGATGCTTCTGCACGACGTCGGCTTTCATCCTCTCGATCCGATCCTCAGCATCCTCCGTGGCATGCAGGGCTTGGTCACGCTCGGCCTCGAGCTTGCGAATGGCCTCCTGGAAACGCTGGACGACTTGGGCGTGGGTTTCAGCCTCCGAGGCGGCTCTGGAGGAAAGCGTCTCATGCTGCAGCTGCAGATCCTGGAGTAGCGTCTGATGCTCGAGACTGCCCTTCTTCGCTGCCTCGAGCTCCGTGGCATGACTAGCCTGCGCCGCTTCCAGTTGGGCAGAGAGTGCCTCATACTTTTTCTGGAGTTGTTGCACTGCGTCCGACTGGCTAGCCTCCATGCCCATCATGAGCTCCGAGATGGCATCCTCATGCGCTTTCTCCATGGACAGTTTCTGCTCCGTGAGTTCATTGTGCGTTTGCTGCAACTCTTCCAAACTCTTCTGCAGAGCAATCATGTCGTTCGAATGGCCATCCTTAAGCTCCTCCCTGAGAAGAGCAATGGCATCGCCGTGTTCCTGGTCCGCCTTGGCAAGCTTCGCCTGGAGAGTGTCGCATTGGTCTTGCAGCTCGGCAACGGCATTATCATGCTCTTCCTTTAGAGAATCCTTTAGTAGTCGAACAGCGGCTTCGTGTTCCTGGCCGGCGGTGACCTTCTCAGCAACGAGCTCCTCGTACTTCGCGGTTAGCTCTGCAAGAACCACCTGGCCTGACTCTTCCTTGGCCTGGAGATCCTTCAGCAAGCGAATAGCAACCTCGTGTTCCTGATCGGCGGCAGCCTTCTCGGCAGCAAGCTCTTCATACTTCGCAGTTAGCTCTGCGAGACCTGCCTGGCCAGACTGCTCCTTGGTCTCAAGATCCTTCTTCAGAGCAGTGAGTTCCTCAAGAGCAGACTGTTTCTCTTCGACAGCAGCTTTCTTCTCCTGTTCCGAGGTGGCAAGCTCGGCCTGAAGAGCGTCGAGGAGAGTGGCGAATTTCTGCTCGATCTCGACTTGCTGTGATTCTAGTGCTTTGGCATGCACTTCTTGGGCAGCCAGCTTTTCAGCGAGGGCATCACCGTGTGTGTTCTCCAGTTCTGAAAGTTGGGTAGTAAGAGCGTCGCGCTGGCTCTTGAAGTTTTCGAGCTCATTTTGGTGCGCTCCTTCAATACTTCTCTTCTCGTCCAAAAGCGCGTCGTACTTGGTTTGAATTTCGCCGAGGAGTCGTTTCGAACTGGCGTCCGAATCTTCTTTCAGAGCCTCAATGGCTCGGCTATGCGCATCCTCGGCTGCCGTCTTCTCTTCCAGAAGACTATCATGGCGCGCTTGGAGATCGGTGATGAGCTTCTGAGAGGTCGCATGGGCTTCTTCCGCAGCGCTCTTCTCTTCCACGAGCGCGTCGAGGCGTGCTTGCAGATCAGCAAGCAACTTTTGTGAAGTAACATGAGCCTCCTCAATGGCGGACTTCTCATCCTCAAGCTGCTGGTGCTTCGCAAGCGCGTCGGTCAGGCTTTGAGATGCGGACCCGGATGTCTCCCTGAGCATGGCTAGCTCCTCGTTCATTGCTTCAAGCGCCTGAGCCTTCTCGGCTAGCACCTTCTGATGTTCTTCCAACGAGGCATTCTTATCGGCGACGAGGGCATCGTATTTGGCCTGCAACTCGTCCAAACGGTTTTTGGCGTCGCCTTCGAGGTCTGCTCGAAGAGATTCAATTTCGGCGTCGTGATCTTCGCCAAGGGTGAGCAAATCTTGCCGGTGCCTTTCTTGCGTCGCGTCAAGCTCGGTCTTCAGCGCGTCGGCCTTCTTTTTCGCCTCATCAAGCTCAGATTGGCCCTTGCTGAGTGCGGCGGTGTGTTGTTCGCCTTCCTGTTGCGAGACTTGCTCGAGCGTGTGGAGGGTTTTCCTAAGCCCTTCGCTTTCGTCCTTCAATTGCTCAATCTCGACTGCGTCGTTGGTGAGCTGGTCATTGATGGCATCCAGTTGCTTCATAAGCTCCTCGTTTTCGTCGTTTTTGAGCCTGAGTGCCTCATCATGAGACTGCTTGAGCTCGTCGATTTGCTGATTGAGCTCTGCCGCAATTCTGGCACCGTCGCTTTCGCCCTGCTGCAGTGTCTTGAGCTGCTCCTGGAGACCGTCTATCGCTTCAAGGTTACGAGCAATCTCAGTCTCCTTCTCTTGCAGATCGTCTTCTTTGCTCTTCTGCATCTCCGCAATTTTCTCGCGGATGCTTTCAGCATGTGCATCGCGCTCATTTTCGAGGTCGGCGGAAGTCTGATCGGCCCGCTCCTGGAGCCTGTCGGCCAACTCGCGCAACTCCTTGGTCGCGTTGACGTGGGATTCAATAGTCTCATCCTTGAGGCGCAATTCGTCCGCGTGTTGCTGCATCAACATCTCGACCTTGGCTTGGAGCTCTTCCACGACCTTAGAGGATTCTGAAGATTTCGACTCGAGTGATCGGCTAGCTTCATCCAAGGCTTCCGCATGTCGCTGTTCAGCAGCGGTAGTCTCAGCTTGCAACTCTTCGACCGCTTTGGAAAGCTCGCTAATCTTCTCGTCGCGCGACCTCAGATCTTCACTATGGCTCTGCTCGAGCTCGGCCTGTTTCGTCTGTAGCGCTTCCAGTGCCACCTTGGCCTCTTCCACCTGCTGTGTCAGCGCATCTCGTTCCTGCATCAGTGTAGCGACCTGACTGGTCAGCGTCTCGATCTGCGCCTGCTGCTCGACGATGACTTTCTTTTCCGCGTCCCATTCTCGGCCCTGCTTCTCAAGATCCTCGTTGAGCTGGCTCAGAACCTGCTGAAGCTCGGCTGCTCGCTGCGCCTCCTCTGCTTCTTTAGCCTGAGCGGTGGCTTTTTCTTCGCGAAGCCTCTGACTTTGCTCTTCCAGCTCCTTGGTCTCCTGCGCAAACTTTTTTTCCATCTCTCCCACGAGTGCAGTGTGGGCGGTCTCGTCCGTCTCCGTAGATTTAGCGGCATCTACAATCGCCTTGTCCTTCTCCGCGACGGCCGCCTGCGCGTCAGCCAACTGGTTCTTCAGCTTCGTCCGCTCCGCGTGCAGGTTGTCCACTTCTCGACTAAGGTCATCGCACTGCTCCTGCAGCTTCTCGCGGAGGTTTGTCTCCTTGAAGAAGTCCTGCATGACCTGGGCGCTCCGCCTCTTTGTATCCAGGTCACTATCTGTCACGGCGCCGCTAGGGGCGGTATCCGGGCGCGCAGGCTCTTCTCCCAGCTTGGCCAGCGCGGCCTTGACGGGGCCGAGGGCGGTCTTGCGGAGCTCAACTTCGGCGTCGGAGGCGGCCTTGTCTTTGAGCGGGGTCTTGGGGGGCACCTCGATCGTGCTAGTTCTAGACGGGTCAGTCCCGAGATCAGGTCTCCAGGTGGAGGAACTCACTCTTCTTCCGGGATAGCATCGTGGGGTTTAGGGGCTGGTGGAGCAGCTGAGGGCACCGAAGGCTTCTTGGCATGAGCGAGGGGGGCCCTCGTTGCGGCGCTTGGTGTTGCCCTAGTCGAGGCCGACGGACGGGCGGTGGTGGTGGTGGTGGTTCTCGTCGCAGAAGACAGCGACGTGCGTGGAGTCCGCGCCGTAGTGCCGTCTGTGCCGGGGCGAGTGGTCGGGGGCCGCTTCGCTGCGGCGGTGGTAGAGGCAGCGCTGGGTCTCGCTGCGGTGGTCTTCCCGGGGGACGCTCTCGTGCCTGCGATTGAGGACAAGGTGGTCCTGCGTGCTGCCGGCTTCTTGTTCTCGTCGCCCGACGTCACAGAGGGCAATTCCGGCTCGGCGTCTGAGGCAGCAGACTTGGAGGCTAAGCCCGGCTTCCTGGCGACTGTGCCTGGCGCTGGACGCGTCGGCGGCTTGTTCAGACTGGATCCCGCCGTCGACGTCCGCGTTGCCGATTTCGACGCGGTCGTGGGAGCTCTCGCAGTGGTGGATGATGCAGTCGGCCGGCGCGCCGCAGCAGTCCCGCTCGTCATAGCTGTGGGCCGGCGCGGCGGCACGGGGTCCTTGGACGTGGACGAGGACGCGTTCGAAGCCATCTTGCGTCGCGCTGTCGATGAGGGAGTCGTGGGCGCGCGGGGGCTCTTTTGTGTACTGGGAGCTTCGGCGGCTGCGGCTGGAGCGACAGCTTCGCCAGTCGCCTCGCTTGGGGCATCGGCCATGGCTAGTCTCGGGGCGCACAACGAGCGCAAACTCAGTTACGGATTGTGATAAAGTCTGTTGGCTTGTCGAATGAAGCCGCTCGCGAAGGTCGAAGAGAAACACTCTGCGCAGTCGCAGCTCCTCCATGCGGTGGTTCAACGTGGGGTGCTGTCCTGATTCGTAGCGGACAGGGGTGCGGAGAGACAGCGAACGCCAGCGCCAATGCCAGCACACACTCATCCGACCTCCTTCTGCTCCTCTTAGCCGCCCATCGGCGACGCGATCCATTGAGGACGGCACACGTTGGGCGCTGTCTCTGCGTGCAGCACAATTGCCATCTGTCTTGCAGCATTGCGTCTTGTATGGCCGTCCCATCCCCACGCCCGCACCTCTCCTACTGTGTACCCCGACTCAGACGCCAGCGCTTTGCCCATCCCAGAAGACCCTGCAGCCGTCTCGGATCATATGTCATGTCAAATCGCAATTGACAGGTTCAGACCATGGCAACAAAATTTGACATCAATTAGCGGCGAAGCCACTCTTAAACCAGGAGTGACGGCTTTCCCCGCTTCCCCGTCTTCCGCTCTCCCCTGTCGGTATCTGGCGCGAAGGGGTTTTACTTCGAGAGACTACGACGAAGCCGTGCAAAAGCCTTGCATAGGAATCCATCAGTTTGAGCGAAATATCCACCATGATGAGCTCTACTCGTCCGGCATACGACAGCGACGAATTCTCATTCCAATCTGATCATCGCCGAGCCAAATGAGCGCGGTGAGAAGCCTAGTGCTACAAATGCACCACGGTGCGGATTGTTGCCTACAGTTCATGTAGCCACCTTCTACTCAAGAACTCCCTTCCTTGATCGGTCCGGTTGCCTCAAAGCATGTTGCATCGTTGGGGCTAATTCCTCAAATACCGCCTCCGCTCTTCTCGTCCAGCCCTATCCAGGCTTCGAGAACGGTATCGGGAGTTCGCGAGCACAATTGCCAGCATGACCTGCATGCAAATGCCGAAAGTATTTCGAATATCGAAGCAAATGTTGGGGACCCCACAATGCGAGCCTGGGCTGAAACCCGCTTACGACACGAACCACCTCAAATGCACACACGAACTCTCCGGCTTCTGTTATTTCCTCATGCACCGAAGAATCGCATAGTCTTCAGCTTTCTGGGCAATGGTGCCAGCAACCGAGTACTTGAGCCTGAATCCGGGACCTCTCTTTCGCCCATGTACATGTTTTCGAATATCCATCCGTTAGTTCCGCGGCTACCATAGCCTCAACTCCATCGCCATGGCCAGCGCGGTCGACGACAACTCTTCGGGTCCAGCACTCGTCGGTACCGGCATCTTCCTCCAGATCCTCACCGCCTGTCTTGTAGCGGCACGGATCACGACCCGATTGAGCTCCGGCAAGCCGCTCCAATGGCACGATCGAGCAATTCTGCTGGCAGAGGTAGTAGCCACGGCTGCTCTGACAACGAATCTTGCTTACTTTTCCAAGCTTCTCTCTCTCCCGCAGCTCATTTTTGTCATAAACGCAACCTCCTACGGATTTGGAAGCCATCAACAAGTTGTTTCGCTCCCGAACAGAACCGCAGCCCAGCGCAGCATCTTCATAGCGCAAGTAATTTGGTACTTCAGCACCACACTCGCCAAAGTCAGCGTCGTATGCCTCTTACTCTCTCTGAAGCGGACGTCGCGCGCCTGGATCATCTTCTCGTACATCGCTATATCAATTCTGCTCTGCGCACTGATTCCTATTACCCTGACCCAGTTCTTGGCCTGTCGACCATTCTCCGTCTACTGGGATCCCGCCGTCCGGTTCCAGGCAGTCTGCTGGACACGCCGTGCCATCGCGGCCAACGTGATCGCCTTTTCCGTCATCCAAGCACTCTCTGACGTGGTCTTGTCGCTCATCCCGCTCACCTTCCTTCTAAAACTCAACTTGCCATTGCGCGAAAGGATCGTCATCTCCATACTGATGGGCCTCGGGCTCCTCGCGTCCGCAACAGCAATCGCAAGGACCGTCATTGGCGTTAAACCCGGACCGGATATGTTCCGAACGGACGCTGATATCACTCTCCTTGCATTGATTGACCTGCACGTGGGGATCATCGCGGCTACGCTTCCGACGTTGAAGGCGTTCTTTGAGGGTTGCCTTGTGAGCATCATCAACTGGTCCAGGGAAGAACGTACAGAAGAGGAGGTCAGAGCGACCCTTTGCAAATTAGGCTTGCTAGACCAAGGGTATGACCCAAAGACCATTGGAATCCAGGTGAGAGAGACGGGTAAGAGCAGCGGCGGTTAGTAATCGCGGGGAACTCCACCTTCCGTCCCTCTCTTCCTCCACCTTCTTTTCTCCACCCTCACACTCCACTTCTCCGAGTCTCCTTACGGACGGGACCGCATCAACAGACGGCTGTGAGACTATGACGGGGGTCACAAACGCTCTACAGAGCCTGCATATGTATGTTCTCATTTTCTTCATCGTGGCGCGGCTGCTAACATTCGGTCGACAGTACCGTCAAGGGAAACACGAGTTCACGAAGCAATGCCGCCTCCGCACCCAAGATCAGCTCCAAGCTTACGCGAAGCCCAGTACCACGCGTTTTGCCAACAGCTTCAGCTCTTGTTACCGCGGCAGCTTCGCGACATGATATATGGGCACATTATTGGCGGACCAGATACCTTTGTCAAGATTCGTGAGCTAGCGATCGGTCCTTAAAAGACCATCAACAGAAAGCTCGAGTGCGCTCGCCGTGATTGGCATTGTTGGGCTATTGAGCCCCTTTGTGCCGAATTTCTCACGGAGTTCGGAGAATTGTGTCGCACAGTGCGGTTCGACTTTCCCTGCGACCCCGAAATGAAACTGGAGTTTCTGTGAAGGATGTGCCGGACGTCTCATTAAGCCCTGCAGTCCTAATGCGTCACCCGGAGGTTTCTGAGAGGGTATGTGAAAACCGATGACACGAAAGCGAACTCAAGGGACTCGAGATTTTGCTTGACATTAGGGCGCCTGTCAAGAACAATGTGAAGCTACCATCCTTTGACGAGAGAAGCAAAATGCAAATTATAGCTTTCGCGAAGAAGCCGGCCAGGCTTTTGCCCATATTTGATCGCCTGCATGATTCCAGTCACGTTATTTTACTTTGTCCGGTCCAACGTGGCCGCGCAAGTAGGCTAGGAGTAATTCTCCATAAAGAGGTGTGTCTTCCCCAAGAGTTAGCTACTTTGATAAGGAAACATGCCGAGGTAAAGCGATCAAGTATTCTGATATGCAGGCTGCTTCGAAGGCGCTAATCACAAAGGCAGGGGGAACGAGGAACTTCGAGTCGAGTCGGCCAGCCCCCCTACGGTTCTCGAGAAGGAACACGAAGAATGGCAATTCAGCACTCTTTGAGGGATAACGTCTTTGATTATGCAGGATCAAGGGTATTAAAAGCTTAAGTGGAGGGAGGACTGACAAGGCTAAGAGCGAGGTCTCTTACAGGTGAAAGATAAAGAGGTGCTTTCACCTCGAGTGGTATGACCCCCGCTCTAGTCTAGGCATAAAGAGTGAATGAATGTCTGCTGACTCATACCTAAACGTTAGTAGCTTTATAACAACTACGGAACCTCCATCCCTGCCTCACCACTCTGCCCCACCCACAACCCCCTCAACCTATCTCATGGAGTGGGCATCATCACCAGAAGGCCGTTCTGCCCTCGCCGACGCCGAACGCCTTCGAAAGAAACTCAACTCCCTGTTCTTCTACCCGCCCACGTTTACGAAAGGAACCACGAAACAGCAGGATGAGGACGCCAAGAATGCAGAGCTCGAACACTACGCTAAGCTCTCGTGCCGAGCCTTGTGCGAACAGATGTGGGCCACGTTGCCCCGAGAACTTCGGGACGCCGTGTACGAGGACATTGTTGGTCCATCATTGATCCACAAGCCGGCCTTTTGGAGGCGTAAAATGCGTACGCTAGGTCGTGATGCACATTGGTGGAACGGCGAGTATGTTGGCAATGAAGTGCTTCGGGAACTTGCCGAGACCTGGTATCGCACACAGCGGTTCCGCTTCTCATTACCGGAGGCCATTCCGAAGTACCTGGATACAGACGAATTCGGACTCGGAATCGATCCCACAGAATTCATCGCACACGTCGAGCTTGTTCGTGTTCAAAAAGGGGGTTTTCAGCTGCGCCGCTCAAAATTACGACGACAGCCCGAGTGTTTCGCCACGCTCAAGCGCGATGAGAGACTCGCAGGCATCAAGTGCTTAGAGCGTCTCAAACGTCGGGCCGATATCCATATCCGCATGAACCTTGAGCGATTTCTGGAAAAGAAGAATCCGATTGCTGACTCGATCGAGGAGTTTACGCCACTGTTTCCGGTGCTGCGTCTGCTTCAAGATGCCGGCTGTAAAGTCTATGCTCACTTCCACGCGGAATGGTCTTGGAGCGTGCGGTGTCTTTGTGTAGGGCCGTTTGTCGAAGCATGGACGAAACGGATTCCGGGAGGGCAAGTAGGTAAGATACATGGAAATTTCTGAGGATGTCGCAGGATCGTCTGACAGTTGAAGCAGTATACGAAGGTCAATTAAGCTCCCTATATGGTGAGCAAGGCGACGACAATGGGCTTCGGATGAGCTGATTCATGACGAGTGTAGTACTATAGCGTCATGCATAGGGATTCAAATCGTAAACCGAATTCAGCTTTAATACAACTTTCTACAGGCCAAGACTACTTCCTAGTGCTGGGGTGAATGAAACGGCACGTGATCTTATGTCGTTCCTTCCAAGGGTGCACATCCGCCTTGTGCAATTTGTGTCCTTGCCTCCTTCCTTGTTTCACTACCCCGCTTGCCCTCAGTGCGCAAACCGCCCCACGCTCCTGCGCCGAATTCTCTACCTTCATCGTGCTGTCCTCAAATCTCTGCCTCAACTATCATCTTCCATACGCATTAGGAAAATGCCTGCCTCTACGTCGCTCGGATTCGCAGTGGCCACCGCTCCATATAGGCTTGAACGCTGTCGCCTCCAGCTAAAGGCGTGAGTCCCTACGAGAGCTCGTATATTTTGTGTCACCGACCTGAGTAGTCAGTGCGCCAACACCGGTGACTCAAAACATAGAAGCTCCTCGTACCTACCTTATAAATTCCCACTCGCTGTGACTGACTCTACGAAGCGCTATCTACGAGCACCACGAGCTAGCAACTGCCATTATATATCTCGCACTCAAAGTCAGCGATCTCGAAAGCCGAATCCGCCGTTTCATACTTTGTCAAGGCGGCGCACCCCCCTGCCGGCGCGAAGCCCTCGCCACGAAGCTCGAAACCATGCAGAGCGAAAGCGCCAACCGCAAGCGCGACTTATCGGACAAAGTCAAAGAGCAGGAGCTAGCCAGGAAGACAGTGCAGCGTCTCAGCGCGCAATACTTCAAGCTACCATGTCTGGCGCTGTGCGGGACCGTGTCGACAAAGCTGCCTCGCGAGCTCCGGGAGCTCGTGTACAAGGGCATAATCGGGCCCGAAGCCGTCGTCCCCATCAGCCAAACGATTCTGGAAAGCGGCGAAGCCGTCCTGACGCCCGATGAATGCCTCCTAGAGCACAAACACGTCCTGGATCGCGAGGCCGTCGGCAAGGACTTCCTGGCCGAGCTGACGGAGACGTGCTACCGGATCTCTGCATTTCGGTTCACTGACTATTCGCATATCAAGCGTTTCTTCGACGAGAATAGGCGGATATGCGGGCTAGAGCCAACGCAGATTGTTTCGAAAGTGCACGTTCCGATCGGGAGACCTGCGTTGGATTCGTACGGAGACAACTACGAAATCGACGAAATCTGCCAGGCGCTGCGAGAATTAGCCCGCCTAAAGAGCGGCGCAACGATCCGTGTGCGGCTCGAAACGCGCCCCTGGCGCGATGTGTGGCCCCCCGTTCATCGGCCCATCCCGCACAGGCCAGTGATCAACATCTTCCCCGTGCTCGTGGAGTTGCAGGAGCTCGGGTATAAAATCGAGGCATCCTTGGACAAGGATGATTGCTATGTTATTACGACGGAAAATACGGACTTCTCTGTTCAAGGCTGGATTCAGAGAATCGACACGTGGAGCGGGCCACAATTTCCGGGAGGACTTGAGGGCAGGGTGGTGGCGAGGGCATGGGATCTAACGGCTTATCGGATCCGTTGAGTGGAGTTGAGCACTGTGTAGAGGAAAGTAGTATGGGATATGTCATACTTCAGTCATGTTAATCGGAGAGGGCTTTGTGGGACTCGGTGCCCAAGGACCTCAGGAACCATACCTAGATAGGGAATAGACCAACACGTGCTCACGCGTTAGTGGTGAGCCTTAAGGTGATTCGCCTCACTTCTCCCAGGTGCAACACCAACCACTTCATTTACCTTTTAGCAATGAATTCTTGGGCTTGACCTGGCATATTCTCCAGCCTCAAAGTCCCTGCAACGGTGCCTAGCCGTCGTAGCTAGTATGCCCCTCCGCCCGTCGTTCAAGGAACAATCTCCCTCGGTATATGAAAGGCGTACTTCGGGTTAGTCGATCTCTAGGAGCACTACTAGCGGATGGCTCAGGGACCCTTTGAGCGGGCCCAGGAGGACGCAGGCCAAGAGCAGCGTCCGGGAGAGAGGGATGAGGAGACCCGGAGGAAGCCCCACACGACGCTTGCAGTGTTGATACAGACTAGCTGGGCGAAGCTCGGACGAGGAGGTCGAAAAGATCGTGAAAAGGTACTCTGCTCAGCGGAAGGAGTCCAACGCTCTGTTTACCTTATTTCTCCATGAGAGTTCTGACGAATCGACGAGCCGACGGCACAACTAACCTGTATGTAGCGCTTCCAGCCTTAGCTGCAGCTTAGCCTGCTGCAAAAAGCTTATAAAATGTAAGTATCGGCATCTCTTGTTCAACGGAGAGAGGCGCCAAGAGCGATCAAGATTCCAGGAAAACACAAGCAGGAGGGCGGGCAGCGGAAAGGAACTTTTGAATTTCGTCTTGGTTTTTCAAGGCTGATTAATTCTAAGACTTGATTCGTCTTCCGTTTTTGAAGGCGGGTTAAGTCGAATAATTGCTCGCTTTGGACTTGATAGAGGGGTGAAGGAGCATCCTTAGTAATATGTAGACCGCCAAGCTTCACATGCTTCTTTGAATACTGGCGTGAGGAGAAGCCGATAAGTATCCTTTGTGCAATGCCAATATTTGGATTGAGCGCGAGAGTCGAAGAAACGGCAAGGCGGAAAATTCGAAGTCCGATCGAAGCAGCACGACCAGCGAAGCAGACGTCGATGCCAGAGGCAGCGTGAGCAGAAGCCGCCAACCTCCATCCTTTTCACAGGTCAAGTAACGAGGCAAATGCAGAGGTACACACACCTAAGACATTTCCACTATTCTTCAAGACACCGTGGCGATCATGTGCCCTTGCTCGGAAGTCGGCTCGTTAAGCTCATGCCACGAAGACGCTAAGACGCCATCTTCTCCGGCGCACACTACCACACCATATTCCACCATGACATCACACGACCAAACCTGGCGCCAGGACTACAAAAATGGGAGAATCCAAGACGCGAGATGAATTCCGCGCTTCGAAATATCGACTTTTGACATGCGCTTCACCGAGAAGGCGCATGCGGATGGTGTCAAGGGCGCGCCCCCGCATACCGCGGGGCTGAGGGATAGGATCGCGCACTTCACGTGGTGAGTCGAAGGACATGGCTTTGTGCATCTTGGACAAAATTGCTAACATGCACGCAGGCCATGGTGAGCTCACGTCCCGTATCCACCGGAAGGAAAACAAAGCAAAGCACACACAGGCTGACTCTCCGCCTCGGCTTCCAGGTTCGCAGCAACCATGTCAACAGGCTCTCTCGCCGTCGTCCTAGCCAACACACCGAACCGCTTCCCCGGCCTGCAAACCATCGGCAAGCTCTTCTTCATCCTCGACCTCGTGCTCTTCACGCTCTTCAACCTGCTCATGACCACGCGCTTCATCCTCGTCCCGCAGAAGCTGATCGCGTCGCTGCACCACCCCGTCGAAGGCCTCTTCTACGGCACGTACTGGGTGTCCATCGCGCTGATCCTGAACTGCACGCAGGCGTACGGCGTGCCGGCGACGGGGCCCTGGCTCGTCAAGGCGCTCGAGGTGTGCTTCTGGATGTACTGCGGGACGGTGTTTATCGTGTCTGTAGCGCAGTACTATTTCTTCTTCCATACCGAGCGCTTGAAGGTTACGGATGCGGTGCCGGCGTGGATTTTTCCGATCTATCCGCTGCTGGTTGTCGGCACGATGGCGGGGACGATGATTCCTAGTCAGCCGGCGCTGCAGGGCTGGTATATGTGTAAGGAAGAACCCCCCAGTCTTGGCTAGGCCAGGCTAGGCAACAGGAGGATAACGCGCTGACTGTGGAGAAAGGGGTTGGAGCCGTCTGCCTCCAGGGCCTCGCGTGGATCGTTTCGCTCATGATGTACGCGCTCTACATGCAGCGCCTGATGACGAGCGCACTGCCCGCGCCGCCAACAAGACCCGGCATGTACGTTTCCGTCGGGCCCGCAGGTACATATTCCCACCCCTTCAGATCTCCTCTACACACTCACTAAACTCGCCCAGGCTACACCGCCGCAGGCCTCATCTCGCTCGCCACGCAAGCCCCCAGCGTCGTCCCCGGCTCCAACTGGACGCGCGGCGCGCTGCCCAACGGCGTGCTGGTCCAAGGCATAGGCATCGTGTCCGGCTTCTTCATCATCCTGTTCGCCTTCTGGTTCTTCTGCATCACGACCATCGCGGTGTTGTTCGGGCTGCGCCGCATGACGTTTACGCTGAATTGGTGGGCGTTTATCTTCCCGAATGCGGGGCTTTGCTTGGCCGCTATTCAGATGGGAAGGGCGCTGGATAGTTCCGGGATTAATGGCTTTTGTAGTGGGCTAACACTGCTGCTGGTTGTTATGTGGTTGCTTACAGCGGGCTTTTGCGTGAGGGCGCTGTGGAGGGGCGATATTATGTGGCCGGGGAAGGATGAGGATAGGACGATGAAGGGGATTCGGTGGGGGAGAAGGGGGACGTTGCCGGAGGGTGAGGCGGAGAAAGGGGATTGATGGGGGTGAGTGATGGTGTGGTGCTGTAATGTGTATTGTGGTGACTGTGCAACGCAGGAGTTCCGCGTATTTAGAATCTAGAACAACCCCTTATAATGCAAAAAGTTCCCCTGAATGCCGCTACATTTCGGATTTCCACGTATGCACCTGCACTCATCCACCGTTCGCATCGTCCACATCCAGCGTCCCGGCGTCCCCCAACTCCTATTCCCTCATCCGCCAGCCCGCTCAAAACCCCGCCTCATCCCCTCCTCATCCCGTAGCCCTGCCAGTCTCCTCTCCAATAACACCAGCTTAGCGATCCACTCCCGCGCCCCTGCTCGCCTCTCATACGCCTCCGCCCTACTATCAAGCGCATCCGCTTTCAGCTCACTGAACCTCGCCATCGCCTCCGCATGCGTATTCAAGGTCGCGCATCTCCCTAGTGCGAAGCATGCGACGTCGCTCGGGCGTGGCGTTGGCTGGACTCTCTGGGCTGGAGGACATCGCTGGTGTGAGTGGGAGGCAACACTGACGCCCTGCTGAGGCCGTGGCTGTAGCTGTGGCTGTAGCCGTGTGGCTTGATAGCAGTGCCCGCCCGGTGCTTAGCTAAGCGCCGTATTCTGTTTAACACCAACCTTGGAACGCTCTCAAACAGCAACCTTATGATCACCATCACCATCATCATCCGGAGCACGTCGTTTCCTCCCCACCGGACTCTTACTACTGCGCGCATTCCCTGCAGGGCCGTATGCCGCAGGGGAGCTGCGATTGCGTCCAACCCCCCCGTATCTGCGTCTTCTTCCCCGCGCCCGCACCCGGTCGTTTCCCCACCGGCGGCGACACGCATGAAAACGATCAACGGGCTCAGTCGTGCTTCGCCTTAAAGAACCAATGAGAAGGACATCTTTAATATGTATAGTCTGAATGCTACAACACTGAACGGTGTGCTCACCGGTCTTCATGCAAGCGCCGGAATTGGTATGATCGCCATGCAGGGCTCCAGAACCAGTCGAACCGTTGCCTACCGAGCCTTGGGCAGAGCTTCTAAGAATCGTTGTTATATACTCGCACCTCCACAATCGCTCAAAAGATCAACCAAACTTGCATCTCTGCAGCCTGTCTGACCCTTCTCACAAACTCACTAAGATGGGTATCAGTCAGCCGCCTTACGAATACGCTTCCTTGAAACCTGCGGATGCTATTCGCATCCTTATCCTTCTGCCTGCCTCCACCTATTCAGAAAGCCTGCAGGTGCGGTTGATACATACGCATGGTCTCCAGACACTTGGTCAATACGACGACCTATCTCCACCACCGTACGAGGCTATATCCTACACGTGGGGTGAGCCGATCCTTTCGCACCAATTGGAGTGTGAGGGCCAGATCATAGAGGTCACGGCCTCCGTCGACAATCTTCTCCGCCGATTACGCAAATCTACTAGTCCTCGGTCGCTTTGGGTTGACTCCGTCTGCATCAACCAGAAGGATAACGAAGAGAAGAACATCCAAGTCCAAATGATGGGCCAGATATACAGTCGAGCTCACAAAGTGCATGTGTGGCTCGGTGAAACTCTGCCTCATGATCGAATTGAATGGCTTTTCAGCTTCTTCAGAGAGATGGCCGTCGCTGGACACGATGACGGCAAGATCATGGAATGGCGTGCTCTCCTGAGCAATCCGTGGCAGAAGGACGCCGAGACAACGGTCGACCGCTTTCTCGCAAGGCCTTGGTTCCGACGCAGATGGATCTTGCAAGAGGTGGCCTTGGCGGTTGACATGACCGTCAGGTGCGGCAGGTTCAAAATACCCTGGCAGTGGTTTGCTCGGGGCTCTAGAATGCTTCATTCCTATCTACCGGGGCGGGAATCCTTGAGAATCAGCTCTGCACGCTCCCTAGAAACATCCCTAGCAACAATCGCATCTCTCAGCACACCGTCGCACCAACTGCTGGACATGATTTTCGAATTCGACATGTCCGAATGCTCTGACCCAAGAGACCGAATTTTCGCGCTTTACGGCATGGCAAACGAACTCAAAGATCTGCCTGTAAACTACGGGATTCACTGGACTGGCATATACTCTGGCTTTGCAGGCATTTGCATAAAAGCCGGCCATTTCCTGACCCTTTTGCAACATGTGACCGCTTTTGGTTCACTCTCTCAGGGGAATTCTGGCATACCATCCTGGGTCCCGAAATGGAACAGCGCACGCTTCTCAGCAAAACGATTCTCCCTCAGTGACACCAGACACCCATCTCAGAACTGTGAACTGTCATCCGAAGCACCCAACCAAGTGCACAGCCGAGATATTTTGCGCCATGTGTTTCAAGATTTCCGGAGGCCGGACAAGCAGGGCGATCCTGAGCAACAGTCGCATATGTCTAATGGTACAAGTTATGGGAGTCAGACCGCATCACCCACTACTTGTAAGGACATTGCAATGATGTTTTCCCATTGCCGGAAATCCGTCGAAGTCGAAGAGGGTTCTGCTTCTCAACGCCTTTTGGCACAAATCCTGAGTGCTGCGATCATGGATATGCGCCTCTGCTTTGATACACGCGACGCAATGCTGGAGTTCGTGAAGAAATTTTTCCTCATAATTCTTCCAGATGTCGATGCACCCAATCTCACCCCCGAACACCGACGATACAGCGAGTTGCTTGGGATATTCGAGGACGCCATCGACGAAGCCATCCAAGAAGCTCACCAGGCCTCAGAAAACCCGACGGAGGCGGAACTCCAGGAGAACTTCCAAAACCAATGGAGGATCAAGCAAGTGGCCGAGCTCCTAAAACACCACAGTCTCTTCTACACACGGATCGACACCCAAGGGGGCCCTGTGTACATACCAGGAGTCACCTCCTGCTCGATCCAAGATGGAGATTTCGTCATGAAGCCGCGATCGAGGCCGGGTGAAATAACTCCGGCGGCTACTGCATTCCTGTTGCGCCCTGTCGGCAATGATCCTATCGACAGGAACAGCGCCGATCCGCACCTCAGTATTGTTGGGCTATGCTTCGTTGCCGAAGCCGAGAGTTTCGATGAGGTGGAGGATTCGAGAGGTAGAGGTCCGAATAACTTCGTGATCGTGTAATGTTCAGGGACCGTCATCCGTTTTTAAGAGCCCAGGTTAATGTGTATTTATCAGAAGCGAACCAAATACAAAATCTAACATTCCTTCCGCGACCTAAGAAACGCTAACGAATGCACCTGAAAACGCGAGACTACGACTAAAAACAAAAGCACCAAAGCACGAAACAAACCTACAGAAACACCTACCTCTGCTAATTTATTTACATTTCCTCCAAAATGCCTCCTACTCTCGGTCAGCGGTGATGATGAGAGACTCTCCCGGCCCGAGCCTGATATGCCGTGTGCTCCCGCTCCCCCGCGAAGGAGCGGACCCCGCGGCAGAGGACCCGGGGCTAGGGGCCTCGAAATGCTCAGGCGGCTCGTATTCCTCTTCTTCCTCCTCTACCTCCGCCTCCTTCTCCTCTTGCTCCTCCTCTACCCCTTCTTCTTCTTCTTTCTCGTCCTCCTCGTCCTCTTCTTCTTCGAAAATACAGCCAAAGTCATCATACGAAACTCTCCCCTGCATGCGGCGCGTCTCCTCTCCGCCCACACCCTCAGAGCCAGGCCTTTCTTCCTCCTCGCCCCCGTCGAGTTCCTCAGCATCTCCAAGCTCTTCCCTATCCAACCCCTCCTCGTCAGCCTCCGCTCCCTCATCTCCAGACTCGAGCGCGGCGTCCCCTATCTCTTCATCATGATCGACCATGTGCTCTGAACTCGCGGAGTCGGCGTAGTCGGATCGCCACTGCCTGACTGGATCGCGGACGGCCTCGTCGGGGTACACTACGTATTCCTCGTCGTACTCTTCATCCGAAGGATCGGAGAGCTGCGTCTCGGATAGATCGTCCGCGGCGTCTGCGAGATCTTCGTCGCTGTTGCTCGCTTCGGATAGGTCTTGGGCTGGATCGGGATCGAGAGCGCTGGCATCTGGTAGCTCTTCGTCTGTATCCGCGGGTTCTTGATTTCCGCCCTCCCCTTGATGCATCTCTGCATCGTCTTCACTCGTTGTCGCATCTTGCATCTCCTCTTCACCCTCTTCATCGTCTTCATCCTGCCCCTCCTCTTCGTCCTCATCCTCGTCCTCCTCCTCTTCCAAAATCTCACTCGGCACCCCAGGCCACGCCCTAGTAGGCACCCTCCTCACCCCCCTAACAAGCGTCAGCTCCGACGGACTCGCATCCACATCGGACAAGCTCTCTTCCTCAGGCACATAATCCCCATCTGAAGCCCGATCATTCCGGCTGGGGGGAGATATCCACGACCAGAACGAGTCCGCACTCCTAGTAGTGCCGCTAGTACTAGAACGGATGCGGGTGGAGGACGGGGTAGATATGGTACGCGCTGATGAGAGGGTTGAAGTGCTAGCTTTACGTCGCGAACGGTATGAGGACGGGGTAGGAATCGTGCGCGCTGATGATAGGGTTGAGATGCTGGAATTGCTGCGGGTAGATGTGGAAGGAGGAGTAGGCTTCGATTTCTTGCTGGGCGGCGGGTTGGGTTTGAATGCGCGGTCGGCCCAGTCCTTGCGCTTGCGTTTTCGGGAGGAAGACGTGCTCGACGGGGTCTTCGATGGCGATGCTGACTTCTCGGTAGAAGGCGGGCCAGCATTAGGACTCGATGTGCTCTGTCCGGGAGGCGAGCGACGAGGGCTTCTCTCAGGAGCCGGCGGCGGAGTTGGATCTTTGTAAAGGTCGTAGTCGGGATCATTCGGATCTAATCCACCGCTGCTAGACTTGCTCCTGCTGCGTGGCGAGCGACGAGGGCTTCTCCTTGGAAGTGGAGGCGGCGTTGGGTCTTTGTAAAGATCGTAGTCCGGATCGTTGGGGTCTAATTCAGGGCTCTGACCGACCGCACCTCCATCCTTTCCGTCATCGCCCTTTCCATCGCTCTTTTGAGAGCTTGATTTGCTTCGGCGGGGTGGCGAACGTGGAGGAGTTTTCCCTGTGGATGGTTGAGGGAGATGTGGGTCATCGTGGCCGCGATTGCTCCTTCGAGAGCTCGATCTAGTCTGGCGGGGTGATGAACGGGGAGGAGTTCGCTCTGGAGGCGGCGGTGGGGTTGGATCCTTCTTGGAGGTTGCCTTCGACTGACCCTTGTGCGGACCGCTAGCTTTACCGATCCTACCGCCTCCTTTGCCGTCATCGCCACGACCATCGTCCTTATCATCATCGTCTCTACGGTCGCCCCTACTTGGAGATCGTATAGGAGAACGTTCCTTTTGTTTTCCCTTCCCCTTTCCTCCTCCATTCATCCTGTCCAGGGCATTCTGCGCATACCCCACATCTGCCAACTGCAGGTAGTAATTGTCCTCGTTTTCTGCTCCAGCCTCTCGATCCACCGTCCTCCTATACTCAATACCCTCATTTATCAATTTGATAGCTTCTTCACACTGACTAAGGGACGATTCGGAAAGCCTCTCCAGCGCCTTCAGCAGACCCCAGCGCCAATTGCGCAAATCAGTCGGATCCAGCACACGAGCAGCTTCCGGCACCACTTGTATAGGGACGAAGTGCGCGAGGCGGAAAGCCTCGACTGCTGCGAGCAGATACCAATTTGCGGCGATATTCTGGAGCATAACACGGAGTTGCTGCTGTTCTCGTACTGGGCGTTTGGAGAACGGGTACAGTGGCGAAGCTTCGAGATCCACTTTGTCGAACGCCTGCATGCAAAGCAGGAGACGAGGCCGCAGCCGCTGCTCAGGGTGGTCGAAGTCTGAATATCTCTCGAGCAGACTGGTGATGTAATCTCGTAGTGCTTGACGGTTATCCATATCTTCACGGTACATTTTTGGGACGTCCTCTGCTCCATCGGCCCAGTCGCGGTCCACCCTGTCGAGCTTTTCGAGCGTGTCGCCCTCGTTGGCCGGACTCACAAGGAGTCCGATCTGTTCGCGGATCTCAAGTCGCTTGCAAACATCGTTCTTGTATAATTCTATCAGCTCATTGATCTCTGCTTCAGTGAAGGAATCCAGCAAAGACTGAACGGCATTGCGGAGAGACCGGTTGTCGAGATCTCCAGCCCTTTGGCCAATAACGGATATGTATTCCCGCAATTGCTCGCGTGTCTCTAGGTCGTACTCAGGATAATCTTGGCGGTATGTTTCTGCTTCACGACCGGTGGCATACAGGAAGTCGACCGAGTCGAATACCTCGATAATACTGGTGAAGAAGTCATCTATAGCTCCCAGTGGCTCGATTCGTTTTCGAATCCCTACTCGCTTCCCCAAGGTGTTTTTGTACTCCACGATCCAGCCCACAATACAGTCCATGTTTAGCTTGGCTTCCTGGACATCCACCGTGTAGTAGAACTGCTCTTGAGCTTGGAAAGATTCTAGCATCGGCCTTACGTACTCCTTCGTGATCGCCTCGTTGATCATCCGTTCGATGCGGTGTCGGAGGCCCGTTCGTTCCTGAGGCTCCGTCTTATACTTCTGTCTGTGCCTTTCTAGTAATTCATCATACTTCTGCCGCTGCTGTATCTCGTGGGCCACTTCTGGGGCGGGATTTGAGGTTGGAGCAGGACTTGGCTTAGGGGGAGTAGGCTCACGTTCGCGAGCCAATCGCTCACGCTCCTCAATCTGAACGAAGTGCCTCAACTGCTCCGTGTCGGGAGGATCCGTTTTCATCAGCTTTACGCGGAGGTAGTGCCTCAAAGCCGGCAGGTCACTAGATTGCTCATATAGATCTCGCTCTGCTGTCCTCTCCTCTTCGTCCGACATATTTTTGCAACGTTCTTCGAATTGACCGAGCTTCTCCCTCACATCAACCTCGTCAAATCGCCTTAATCGACTCTCTCCTGTTCCCGGGACAGGGTCAATCTCGCGGAGAGCTGCGCGGGCGTTTGGATGCGCCTCATACAACTCTAGCTCGTGGTCGAAATAGTTCAAGGGATCCCTCGCGAGTTTGTCGCTCAGGTCTCTAAGTAGCCGCTGCAATTCTGACTCTGCCATTTCGATAGATCCGGGATGGGTATCAAATTGCGTGGTATTTCGTCAATGTTGCGCTAGACAAACAGCCGCCTGAGGAGTTCGATGGACGGTGTCCGGGATTGTTGATTGTGTTTCCCATCGATCGGTATGGGGATGGGGTAACTTTGAGCCACCCGTATCATATCTAGTTCTTTGATGAAGAAAACAATGGCTTGTCTCGATCTAAAATGGATTTACAGGGACAAAGACATTTATGGCGGGCCTTTGTCTAGAGTTCGAACGAACAATACTTTGAAAGACTGCCCGGGATAAGTTCATGAACAGCACGCTAGGAGAGATGAAGGAGAGGAAATAGAAAATGAGACGTAAGAGTATAAGTGGGTAGTCATTATGGTATCCAAAAGGACGGCATTACCTACATGCCTTTCCAGCCCAGTGAAGGGCATATGTAAAGGTATAAACAGCAAAAGAGGTATAAATCGAGTGAACTTGACAGGAATATGACTCCAAAGCGCCAAACAAGAAATATGATGACCGAAAAAAAGGTGCCAAGGAAGACATGGGCCAAATGCTAGACACATGCGCGGTCTAAGTGGTATGTGTAATGCAAAAGAAACGCCAAACGCTATGATAGAAGCAGTATAAAGCTCAGTTGTGAGTGTGTGAACGGAAAAGCATCTTCAAAGGAGAGGGCTCCTTCTTCTTAGTCTTCTCCTTCACGGTCTTGCTGCGGGAAGCGGTCTTGGTGGGTTTCGAGCTGCGGACGGATTTTGCGCGATGGGACTTTGATCCACGCTCTCCGTCTTCTCGCATTCTGGTACTTCTTCGAGACTTGAGGTCGTCTTCGTCGAGAACACCAGCGGCAACCAGCTGGCGGGACGCGCCAGGTGTGATGAATTCGCCGTCGACGGTGGTGCCGGCGCTCTCGGCTTCAACCTCTGCGATGCCGCGACGCCACATCTCAATGCGACTCAGCTCCGGGGGCTCTAGCTCGTCTAGTTGTAAGGGCTCTTCCATGGCGCGCTCTCCGTCTTTCTGCGCCTGCAGCTTCTTGATAATCTTATAGCCACCAAGGGCGACGATAGTGACACCGACGCCAACTCCGGCTGCAATCATAAACTGCGGGCTGGCAAGCAGAGCAACGACGGCTGGAAAGCTGCCCTTGAGCACGGTTAGGACGCCGGGTCCCATCTTACCAACGATGTTGCTGATCTCGGCAAGGGTAAGCGCGACCGCAGCAAGGGCATCAGGGTTCTTCTGCAGGTTGTCGATCATGGCGGTGACGGAGTGCTGTAAACAATTGGCCTCGTCGAGGAGCATGGTGAGCTTCGACGCCTTTTCCCGCAGCTCTCCGTCATCGTATCGCCTCGACGGCAGCGGCGGGGGCAGCTCGCCGTACGCCAGGTCCATGTCAATGTGGGGCTCCGAATGCGAGCGTGTTGTCTTTACTTGCGGGGCCGGAATATGCATGTCGGTGTGTCTCCTTATCAATTCCTTGTGATGTCCCTCCCGTGCTTCCCCCGCGAGGTCCTGCTCGTAGCGGTGACGGCTGCGTCGAGGGCTCTCGTCGTTGGCATAGAAGCTGTCGGTGAAGCCCCGCTCGAGCGGCGGCTTGGGGTGACGGTGCGATTTCGAACGGTGGGTAGCTTTGGAATGCTTCGAATGACGGGAGGATGCTCGCGATCGCACGTCGTCGTCGAGTCGGAGGGACTTGATGCCTTCGCGAAGCTTCTTCTCCTGCAGGGCAGCATTGCGTTCGGCCTTGATCTCGGCCTTGCGCTCGCGGTAGGCCGACTTGGCCTCCTTGAAGACATTGACGAGGTGCTTGCTCTGAAAGAGGTCAGTACGTGGGGACTGAGTAGAAGGCCATCGGCGCACTCACGCTGCTCACCACCTTGCCCGAGCGGTTGATGACGGTGATGGTCTCTCCAACACCCATGACGAGTTATTACAATATGTTCCAGCAAACGATGCGCAGCTCGTGGGGGTGTCGTGGAACGTTCGACAGCGTCGAAAGGTGGTACTTGGTCAACAAGTAGAAGGCGGTCAGTAGTGATCAGTGCTCGGAACGATGGCGCACGGCTCCCTGCTTTATCCACCTCGCTGAGACGGCGCGCCAGACAAATCTTTATTTTAGGCCAAAGCCAGCGGCCAAATTATCGGTTGTTGTAAGTGTGTAAGTGAGGCAAATCTAGGAATGGAATTGAGCGGGCATGATGGCAACGGCGCACAGGGCGTGAGAAGACTGGTCAGGTGCGAGGTCGGGGGTCGGCGGGCATCAATGGACTTCGCCAGTCAATGCCCTGCCCGCAGTCACTCTATCGTGACTATGAGACGTCTCGCGCTGGCATTCGCGGGCGCAATGAAGGGGTCGGGGGGACGGGAGGAGAGAGGAAAGGTTGACTGGCGTGTCGCCTTGTAACTCGACATGACGGGCTCGCTAAGCCGAGAGCGGCCGCATATGCGGGCAGCGTAGCGCCGTGCAGCCTGCATCGCTGGGATAGCTGCTATTGGCGCGGCGTCCTGGAGCAGAAGTTATTGCTGCAGCAGCTGGGAACGTGTCGCTGCTGCGAGTGGACGATTGCTTTCCAACAACGCCAGATATCTCACATCCTGGCGCCGTCATACAGCCAGATCTGGCGCAGAAGCAATGCGCGCTGCATGCGAAAACTCTGCCGGATTGCTGCCCAAGTACCGATACAACGTAGCATGGATATGGGCGGACGGCACACGTCTTTCAGCTGCCATGATCCACGCAGGGTCGGGATCCAGCTTCCCCAAGCTTCGCATGCCAGCACTTGTGGCGCCATCTGTGGCGCGGGTGGCTGTGCGTCGTACGCATCTACACCAAACAGCCAGTCATTCTGCCGGCCATGGCGGGGTAGACGCGGATTGATGAGGACACGCGTACGCGCTCGAGGTGGCGATGTGTATTTGAGATGCTGTGGCTCTGGTGTATGTCGCTGCCTGGAGTTGACCCAGTAGAACGAGCGGCCCACCCTCCCACGCATTTTCGCTGAGGCTTTCGTGCTTTTTGGGCAGGAAAATTCGGACGACGAGTGCTTTCCCTAGGCTCTGGTGACCGGGTTATAGCCTTTTGCGAAGCGTTGGTGAGCCTTCGACCATCCCCTGCTCGATGGCCATGTGCCTACGGGTTGGACAATCGGAAGGCCTTCGGAACGTTGGATGACGATCGCAGCCTCAAACGGCGTCTGCATCTGCGAGCGCATCTGCAAGCCGAGAGAAGGTTCCATGCATGTCCCGGCGAGCGTCGTCCGGGCCGAAACAGGACGAATAGAGAAGGCGATAGGAGAACAAGGCTTGGGTGGAGCAGATTTCATTTCCGTAACTCGAACGACAAGACTGGCTGATGGGATACTCACTCGATCCGTCGTTGCGCTGTCGCAGCACATGATGTCTGGGTGCAGGCGGCGAACACGTATGTGAAGCTGCAAACCGTACCCATGGCACCAGTGGCCAGTGAGGCAAGAACAAACAGTGCCGACTTCCATTCGTGGAAGGAACCATCCAATGGGGAAGGATGCGGCGCGTCTATAGGCCAGGACCGGAAAGAGCGGTCTCGCTATGCGTTCGCTGCATGCTTTGCATCGTACTCTGTGAGACAGGACGAGGACGAACGGAGACGATAAGAGCACTGCGGTTGCTTCAAATGGGCGTGATGCTGGCTGATCTCGCAATCCGCAAGAGAAAGCTCGCCATCGCAGAATTTCGCGCACGGTCAGGGCTGTCTGAAGCGGTGAGATGCCATGGCCAAGCATGAATATACTCTCGACTCATCATTCAGCTCTCCCGACTGTTCTCTCAACCATACCTCCCACCGTCATGCTGCCAACGCCAAAGCATGGCCCGCCGCAGGGCCATACTCGGTAACGGAACCCGCCCACGGAAACATATCCTCCACTTTCTTTCCAGTTCACCTGCTTTCGGCTTGCAGCGCAGCCGGTAGAAACATGTGTCAGTTTTCAAGATCGATAACTTCGAGAGAGATCAAAGGGACAACGCAAGGTACGTCGGAGCTTTCCAGTGTATCTTGCACGCGGCGCAGTCCACCAGGGTCTGCAGAGTCTTCTATCATAGCCTCGAATGTCGAAGCAGTAAATATTCGCTCGAAAAGGTGCTGGAAGGATGAGGTTCTTCAAGTAATCCACAGTCAACAAGGAACCCCACGCCTCGGTGTTCGGCTCGCTCGCGCTAGCTAGGGTCCGGAATCGTCACCAGTGGGGAACGGAAACCGCAATTCGCGACACGCGACCATGCCGCGGCCCATGTACACAGCAGCCTCACTGACGAATGCTAACATACGTTGATGGCAGAGCCTCCGCAGCGTGGCGGCGCCATGGACAGCACCGGCCTCGAGAACGGCCCGCGAAAGACGAACCGGGCGCCGGCGCTCTCCCACCGCATGAAGCACGACAAATCCATTCTCGCACTCGCCGTCTCCTCGAAATACATATTCGCCGGAACACAGGGCGGAGAGATACTAGTATGTCGTGGGAAAGGAAAATGGTTCGGGCCGCGATGCTGAGCGGTCCAGGTGTATAGTCTCGACACGTACGAGCGGCGCAGAGTCATCGAGGGCCACAGAGGAAGCGTGCTGGGACTCTGTCTCTCAGAAGACCAGTCGCTTCTGTTCTCCAGTGCGACCGATCCGATTGTAAATGTGCGCGGCTGCCCTCGCTAAGGTAGCAGCATCGGCTGACTTCCTAGGTCTGGTGTACTTCCGCCTTCCGCCGCCTATATGCGCTCTGGTCGCCGTACGATGTCGGTGATATTTTCTGCGTCGCGTACTCGTCCTACCACCAAATCCTCTACCTCGGCGCGCAAAATACAAGCATACAGGTAGGAGTGGCCAGACTAGCAATCGAGTACGCGCTGACAGGACAAGTGGTACGATCTGAAAGAGAAAGACCTCCGACCGCCGCCAACGCTTGCATCCCATCCCTCGGAACGGAAGAATAGGTTCTTCGATTCGACAGGCCCTGGCGGAGTACAAACACCCAGACCGCACGGCGCAGAAGCCAGCTTGAAAGATGCCGTGGGCGGACAATATCTCGAAATCGACAAGAAGGATATCCGGCAATTCGCACATTTTGGCTACGTGTACTGCATGCTGCTCGGAAAGGGCATACTTCCCGACGCTCCATCCGAGGAGATACTGGTATCGGGCGGCGGAGACGGCCGAATAGTCCTATGGCGGATAGATGCCGAGCAAGGAGGTGCCATCTCAAGCATCTGCACGCTGGAGGACGGTAGAGAAGAAGGGGAGTCTATTCTATCTCTTGCCCAGGATGGCTCTTTCCTCTACAGCGGACGCTTTGACGGCGAGGTCAATGTCTGGGATCTCGAAACGAGGCAGCTTGTTCGAAGCCTGAAGGCCGAGACAGGCGATGTTCTTACTCTGAGCTTAGGCGGTGGTTATCTCTTCGCAGGAGGGATAACCGGTCTTATCCAGGTGGGAGGATCATTCGATATCTTCTGGTCCAGGCTAATGCCCCTCAGAAATACAATCAACACTACGAGACAGTGTCGACGTTCAGAGCGCATGACGGGCTCATCCTCGCATCCGCCTTCACCACGAACAATGGGAAACCAACATTCGTCACTGGTGGAAATGACAACACTATCGTCATCTGGGACGTGCAAGACTGTGCGGAGCCAAGTGCAAGCACGCGAAGAAGCAACAATGGTAGGTTTGCAATTACTAGGCCCTCATATATCGCTAATGTTGCCCAGATCTCATGGTTGAATCACTCAACCAATTCATCTCCTTTCGGACAGTGTCATCCCTACCAAAGTACCGCGCCGATTGTCGAAGAGGTGCATCGTTTCTTCGATCAGTTTTCCAGAATTTTGGCGCAGTGACTGAGATGCTCAACACCACCGAGCCATACAATCCCATCGTTTTCGCCAAGTTCAGGGGTAACCCTGCAACCGCAGCGTCGAGAAAGAAAATACTCTTCTATGGACACTACGACGTCATTGCTGCAGAAAACGAACACGGCAAGTGGAAACACGATCCATTTACTCTCACCGGAGAAGGGGGTTATCTGTACGGTCGTGGCATCTCCGACAACAAAGGGCCAATCATGGCCGCAATCTATGCGGCTCATGAGCTTGCCAACGAACAGAATCTGACTTCGGACATAATATTCCTAATTGAAGGAGAGGAGGAGTGCGGCTCGCGCGGCTTTGCACAGGCGATCAAGACAAGGAAGGAGCTCATTGGTGATGTCGATTGGATTCTGTTGGCGAACAGCTACTGGCTCGACGATCACGTCCCATGTCTGACGTATGGCCTGCGAGGTGTCATCCACGCTACAGTCCAGATCGAGAGCAAACACCCGGATCTCCACAGCGGCGTTGACGGGAGTGCGCTGCTCGACGAGCCACTCAAGGACCTGGTGATGCTTTTGTCGAAGCTGACTGGACCACATGGCAAGGTCCAGATTCCTGGCTTCTACGATCCTATTCTACCCCTCACCGATGAGGAACGGAAACTCTATTCCGAGATTACAGACACGCTCCTCCGCGGCAATCCAGACCTTGGAGACCCGGAAGAACTCGCGCAGTCTCTCATGCGCCGGTGGCGGGAAGCCTCGCTCACCATCCATCGCTTTCAGACTTCCGGACCCGACAACTCCACCATTATTCCGCGCTTGGCGAAGGCTTCGCTGTCCCTGCGTCTTGTGCCCAACCAGGAAGCTTCTGAAGTCGCACGGGCATTAACCTCATTCCTCCAATCCGAGTTCGAACAGCTCGATTCGAAGAATTCTTTGACCGTTACCATTGACCATCAAGCCGAGCCTTGGCTTGGTGACTTCACCAACGAGATTTTCCAAACCCTCGAAAGCGCCATCATGTCCGTCTGGGGCCCCACGATAGGTCGCCGCCGCTCCTCCGTTCACCCTTTGAAAACCCATCTCGACTACTTCACCACAGCATCTCCATCTTCTGAAACCCGTCCTTCGCCTACTACGTCCAACACTCTGGCCAATGGCTTCGTTGAAGCCGATGCCGCGCCCCCTTCTCCAACTATGGTGGCCCCGAAACCCTTGTATATACGAGAAGGAGGGTCGATTCCTAGCATACGTTTCCTAGAAAAGGAGTTCAGCGCTCCAGCCGCGCATTTACCTTGCGGTCAGGCAAGCGATTCGGCGCATTTAGATAACGAGCGCTTGAGACTCGTGAACTTGTACAACAGTAAGAATATCTTCAAGAAGGTGTTTAGCGAACTGCCTTTGAGATAGGGGTCTGTTGTTTGGGCGTTTGGAAAGAGGGCTACACGGGGTGAGCTGGGGCTTTTAGAAGGCGCGCAAGTTCGGTTAACATGTACGTGTACGTATACCCGCGTTATTTGTCTTTCATGCCACATCCTTTGTTCTTTCCGTTCACCGATCGTGAGTGACTACGACGTCCGTGAAGGTATCTGTGGCAGTGGAGTCCGGTTCGCTATCAGCATGCTTTCACCCCAGCTGCCCAACTAGGCAGCGTACCCCAAGCACTCCTTTTATAACTCTAACCTCTCTCCTACTCTTCCTACTACATCCGCTCAACACACCACGCCACACCACAACCCGCAACCCCGACAGCCACCAAGCACCCATCACATCCAATTTCGAACCCTCCCTCCCTCCCTCTACTACCCCCATCCCTCCTACCACAAACAAACAAGCAAACCATGCCCTACCCCACACCCCTCGAAGCCGCCCGCGCAAAACTCGCCCGCGTCCGCGCAAAATGCGAGCAGATGCTGCGCGACAAGACCACACAGATGAACACTGAGCTGGCGAGCTTGCCCGACGGGGAGGAGAAGCAGGACCGCGTTGCTCATTTTAAGGACGTGCGGCGCAGGTTGGAAAAGCAGGTTAAGTTGAAGATTGAACAGTATCAGAAGCTGGTTTGGGAGGAGGAGGTGGCAGTTGAGCGGCAAGGGGAAGGGGGGCAGAGGGTGGATGGCGGGGAGGGAGGGGAGGAGGGGGTGGGGATGGAGCTCGTTGGCACGACATTATCGTCACCAGTCGGCCACCGCAATAGCCCGCTCGACGCTGAAGACCGCTTCTCAGGGGGCGGCGATCCACGATCCATATCCCCGGCGCAGCGTAGCCATGAAGCGTCGCGGGCGGCTGGCAAGCTCCCCGTTGGCCGTCGACATAGCCCGTTTTCGGAGGAAGACCGTGTTCCTTCGCGGTCTCCGACCGCAATTCAGCCTGCAGAAAAGGGTTCGTCGGCACCTGGCAAACGCCCCGCGGGTCGCTCTGAGGGCCCTCCAGGGCGGGAAGAGTATGTGAGCCAGCCTCGCGCTTCGCGAGCCCCTTCGCCGGTCCAGCGCGGCGGTAGGACATCCTCGACGTCTAGCAAAGCCCCAGTAGACAATCGCGCCAATCCGCCTGAGGAAGAGGAACGAGACGTTCAGAAAAGCGCTCCACGAGCTCCTTCTACAGTCTCCTATGTCTCAAGAGCATCGCCCGCACCAAGCAAACAGCCAGCTCCCCACATCAGCAGTCCCTCTCCCACGCGAGCGAGTTCGCCGCACACAAAACCCCCCTCCCCAGGGGACACGAGCCCCGAACCAAAGCACAACAATCCCCCATCCATCCGCTCCCAGCTCCGCAGCCTCGCCGACGCTCTTCCGAGCTTGCGCACTCATGACCGAGAACCCGATGAGGAGCTTGACACTGCATCCTGCGCCCACAGTCGTCGCGCAGGTTCCTCCGTTATTGCTCAGCGCGGATATTCGTCGGAAGTTAACAACACTCCATCTCAACGGGCAAAGCCCCGAGAGAGCCCAGACAGCGCGGCATCGTCCGGAAACGACGACCGACATCCAGCATTCCCAACACCCACTTCCCAATTCAACCTCCTCATATCCCACCTCCTCGCCGCCTCGAAGCTAGACTGGCACACTCTGTCTCGCTTCAGCGCGCAACTGGAGCAACAAGTCAACGCCACGGCTGCCGGGATGCAGGACTCGCTCGCGGAGCTGGAGGGCGAGAAGGAGGCAAGGACGAGGGAAATGCGGGGCGTTCTTGGGCGGATTGAGAGCGCTTGTGGAGATGCGCTGGGGGAGTTGGAGAGGAGGGTCGAGGGGGAGGAGGCGTGGGATGCGGTAGGGGGCGGAGAGGAAGAGGGGTGGGAGGATGGAGGGGAGGGCGATGGGGAGAGTGGAGAGGGGGATGGGGATTCGGTGCAGAGTGTAACTCCTGCGGAGCAGAACGAGGCGCAGGATAAAATGGATCGACGTGGTAGCGCTGGTCGGCAGAACGGAAACACATCACCACCACCGCCAGAGAATTCTCCTCCACAAACCTCCCACGATCCGATTGCCACGTCAACAAACTCTTCCCTCCCACCGACAAAGCTCCATTTCCATTCCCAACGCCCCATAACTAGCGACCAACTCCTCCACAACTCTCCCCCAACCCCAGCCAAACCCCCGCTCAACAGCCCAACCATACCACCCACCATCCCATCAGCAGAAGCAAAGCCCATCCCGCCCCCCACTGCGCTCGGACGCAAGCGCAAGCTCCGGATGCTAGAGTACGAGCTGGAAGAAGAGGAAGCAGTTACACGGGCGGAAGAAGCTAGAGCGAGGGCCGCGCGGGTCAAGCGAAGGATTGTGGAATTAGATGGGAGTTGGGAGTGAGGAGGGAGGAATAGTGAGGAAGAGGGCGGGTTTGAATGAAGCGAGTCATCGCTTAAGCTCTCCCGATCGTCATTAATATGTAGTAGAAGTTCGAACGGAAGCGCGTCGAGTAGTCGGTTCTAATTCCAGGAGCATTTGCCACCCTAATTCCTTGCCCATGACATATTACAGGTTCGCACAATTCTCACGTGTTAGTTAGAATCTGCCCGCTTTGTCAATCTACGCATCAATAAAGGTATTCAGACAAAGGGTGAAGAGCCTGGACAGCCCTCAAGCCTCCGGTTGCAAGACAAAGGAGAGGAACACGTGTCCTCTCTCCTTTGTCCGCCATAACCCCTTCACTCCCACTGGCACCCGTAATTCGGGAGCTGACCTATACAACCCACCCCCAGCACCTCCTAATTAGTCCAAAGCAGAACCAGAAAAATGCAGATTCACATACCAGAAGGATCCCAAGATCAACGCGAAGATGACCTGGCTGCTATCCAGCAGAACTGGGGTCTCACGCCTACCGAAACGTACTTAGCGGTCCCAGACGGACTGCGGCCATACTTTTTGCCCTCGGCCTGGCCACCGCAGCTCGTCGAGGCTCTCCGTCGTCTCTCTGAGCTCACTGTCGACCAGAAAGAGAGAGCGCACACACTCCTCGAAACGTATTTCCGCGCCAGGATCAGGACGGGCCTTGACAAAGGCCAGCAGACGAGCATATATGCCGCGCTCGAAGTAGTGGACGTCGAGGATGCGATACGCAGTCTCGAATGCATGATCAGGGGCCAGGCTCTCGAGGGTTATAATAGACCCAGTTCGACGCCGTCCACTCCCTCTACCACAACGGCGACACTGGATCTCTTCGGTAGCCCGGTAACGAAGCGAAAATTCAGTATCAGAGATGAGCAAGCAGAGGAGCCGGAATCCCGTCCTGCGCAGATTCGCCGCCTGTCCCAGGATACCAGTTTCGAAGAGGAGCCGACCTCCGCCGCATCGCAGCCCAGCGTCCACAATCATAACGACACGTCAGAGGCCGAGTGGCCCGCTTGGCTCTCCGATCATCCGATCGCAACAGAAGAGGAGCTTCGCATGCTTGCTCGCGACTCCATCAAGCCGGAGCCTCTCCACCTTGGATTAAGTCCCGGCAGCGCACCTCCTCCCTATTCCCCGCCCACGCAAACGAGCATCTCAAAGCCCTCCTGGATCCCGCTCCTCCAGACCTCCAGACCCTCGGCAAGCGCACCGGCCCTGCACTCACCCTCCCGCTTCCCCCCTCGCAGTCCCATATCTGCGCTTCTCACGACGCCAAAATCTCCCGTGCACTCACCAGCACGTCTCCCGCCGGTATCGGCGCTTATCCAAGAAACTCAGTGGCCGAGGGAATGCCCGTCTCACTGGAATGCGCATCCCGTAACGTGTCGCGAAGCGGCGCGACTGGACCACCATGAACTCAAGCTGCAGAAGCTGTTGCTGGAAGAGGCTGAAGCTGCGCTGGAGGTCGCGAAACAGGAGCATGTGGTTGCGGCGAAGAGGGCGGCGGTGGCGCGCTTGGAGATAGAGGAGTGTAGTTGGGTGCCCCGGCGGCCGAGGTCGTCGTGTGGAAGGATGGGGTAACTATGGCGGAAGAGGTGGATGCGGGAGTAGTACAAATGCGATAACTAGCGAAGCTCTAAAACGGTCACCTCCCGAGTTGGAGATCACACCTGGAAACAATTTTATTTCTTTTATTACATTGTCATATGTATCAAACAAACATGTATGTAAAGAGTGTAGATGCTAGGAGTTTCGCCAGCCAGAAGAGAAGACCCTTAAAAGCCCCCCATAAGATGCTCTAACTATATTAAGGTGCTAACATCACACACTATCAGATCGTAACAAATTTCAGCGCTATCCCTACCTCAGAACAGCATCCAAAAATAACTGTGGCGCATGACGTAGATTCCTAGAATGTGTTCTTTGTTGCCGCACTGCCAGTGCCCCACGCTGCCTGATTGCCTGAATGCTGCCTCTCAGTCGCTCCCTTCCTGACGTTATTCTCTGCTTCCCTATCAGCCAGCGCACCTCTTTGTGGATTCGCTACCTCACAACCCTATGACCAGAGCGGGTGTGATGCCCTCCCTGCAGGTTGTGGTGACATTTCGTGCCGACTTCTTTTACAGTTTTGCATTAGTGGTAAGCGTGCACACTTAGCTGAGCTGATCTATATCTGTATTACTTTCTGCTTACTACATAATGTCTTTTAGGATACGCACAGGAGACTTACCAGTAGATGACGCACAAGATAAAGTCGCCCTATAAGACTTTCACGCCAGTTAGCCACGCAAGTTACGAAGGAGCATTCTAGGCGTACGGAAATGGATCGAATCGCCGTTGATTGATATAGAAGATATGGCTGGCAGGGTCTCTTCATTCACCAGACTTCAATAGTCTTTATCGTGCAACATTGTATCCAACTCTTGTCCACGATCCTGCCAACCCCAACTCGTTCATAAGTCCAGGGTTTTTCATCGCGTTCTTTCAATGCCAGTACATCCATGAACTCCTCACCCATGTAATCGAAACCCCGAACTAGACCCGAAGATGGGGTTGGCGGAATTGTCCTTCGCCAACGCCTGATCACTACACAAAAGAACGGCTCTTCTATGGGTATGCGGCCATCCATATCCAGGAGTACCCAACCAACGACGCTTCCTTTCTCATCCTTCATCACTTCCGCTCTGTCTGGGATACTTAGCTTTCGAGGAGTTTCTGCGTATATGCCCTGAACAACGCGCAATGTCGGTCGTGGCTCCCAGTGCACGGCGGAGCCAAGGATTTTGATAAGATCCTTATCATCGGAAAGATTCAAAGCACGTAAGGTGGATGATCGGATTGCAGTACCGATTATTCCTACCCATCTTACACTTCCGGTGACACATGTGCGCGACCTGTTCAGGCATGTGTTCGGGCAGCCGTACGTGATATCGAAGGCGGGCTCTGAAATCTCGCAAATGGATTCGTTCATTCCCATGTTGCGCCCAAGATCATACGTAATAGCGCCCTTGTACGCAGCCCAAGTCCATGAGGGTGCGTGGAACGAGTTCAATTGCGTCATGGGGTCGTTGGAATATGACCGCCACATCAACCCATTTCCGTTGGCATCTTGGAAAATCCCTGCAGAGTATCGTCTATTGCTTCTCTTTCCTAATCGCTCGGCGAGTCCTGATATAGCAGCCAACTTATCAGACTCAAAGGTGAGTAAGCAATTTGTGTAATCCTCCGTGAGTGACTGCCAACACTGAATGTCGCTCTCGAAATTGGGTGCACGAAGAGGTGGTGCGGCAAAACCAAGCGATTCTTCCTCGCCCGAGGTGGTAAGGCAGTCCCAGGAGAGTTTAGTTGAGGAGAAATAGATCATTCGCCTAGAAAGAATACGTTCCTGGTGGATCCAGCCTCTCCAGTTCCATTTCGAGCGCATAATCTGCCATGGTGATCCCAGAAGTCTGGGTTTTGCAATCAGTCGATGTTGCTTTAGGAGATTCGCATAGGTCATGTCGTCATCCTCTTCTGGATTCGAATAGAAGGTATACTTCCAGCAGTACGGTTGACCATCTTTCGATCGAAATCTCTCAGGTTGCACAGGGTCTTTTTGTGGAGCGCAGTGGAAGCGGACTGTAAGGGGGTCTTCTTCTCGAGGAAGGAAGAGTCCTCTATCCATGCCCGTGCTGTCATCAACTGCGTCAACTGCGGCGATAGTGCAGTATGCTCGTTCGAAAATCCTCCCCATTTGAGTCGCTTCAAAAGCCCAGTCATCCCCGTTATCTTGAATGATGCAAAGGGAATCTATCCATAAGTATTGGGCACCGAGGTCGCGGGTGACTTCGACTGCATCCTTGAATGTTTGGGATAAGTCTTCCACATTGATTTTAACGAGATGCTCCGCCAAGTTTTCGTTCAGAGTTCGAAGATTCTTTTGAGCTCCCCATCGATGACTTAAGGCGATGTACACGCCCTTTTTGCCAGCGGTTGAGACCAACTTGATATGATCGTTACCTGGACCAACTTCAACCACTCTAGTTGGGAGAGGTTGGATTTCATCCATGTTTTCGTCAAGTTCGAACATATCGCTGGAGAATGATTGCCGACATTTGGGGTGCTCCTCAACGCAATTGCGAAGCCAAGTATACAAGAGTGATTTATTCCGAATTGAATTGGCCGGTTCGATTTCTTGAGAGCTGAAGCCACAGCTCTTGATGATTGATGCCTCTTCGGTGAAAAAGCCGTGGTTGTTGTATATTGAACCTACGCTCTTGGTATCAGCAAAATATGAGAAGAAATCCACTAGCTTCTTACCTTTAGGGGCCCAAATCTGAATGGTCTTGCCGTCATTAAAGTCTCCATTTATGTATCTTTGCGATATTGTCACACTTCTCTTCCAGGAAACACGCCGAGGAGGAGACTCCACTCTTTCATGGAGAAGTGGAGGGCCATTTTCTTGAAAGACAGCGGCTGGATCTCGGACTACGTAAGGAAGTCCGGGGAGAGTCAAGGCCCAGGCGTAATAGTCCCGGTTCACTTCGTACCGACCCGCTGATGTCTGAAGATGGCAGGTAGAACATACTATTAGTCGGCAGAGCATGCATGTCTTTCCCATCTCGACAATCTGTGGATAGTTCAGTGGATGTTCAAAACCGTCCATGAACATTTCTAACGTGATGCTTTGGCAAGCAGCACAAAGTTGGGAACCCCATTGGTTAGGGGTCATATCGAACTTGGTTTTTAATGTAGATACGAAAATTAATACGGGCGTGCTAATTATAGCCGAATCAAGCTGTTAAAGACCGTGAAAAGAGATTATCGATATAGCCAGCGGCGTGGGTGACTTGAGAACGAGGGTTCCTGCGAGATTTCTACGAAACAATTTATTGCTGCCTAGAATCTCGTGACTAACGTTACTCATCGAAAGATGCGGGCTTTGAAAGCAAGGCTAAAAATCCGGTGAGACATGTGATTGATGGATTCTTCCCGATTGGGCTAGATCCGAGACGGTGGATGACATTGAACCCAATGACTTGGACCTCATGTACCTAGTTTCTAGATGCGGGCCATCCAAAGTGGACATCCCATTGCAAAGTTGCTCGTGTATGGAATGTCGCCACCACAACCGAGGAGGGCGGCCGACTCGCTCCAGCCATAGGGTTGTGAGGTGGCGGATTCTGGAGGTTTTTCGCATTGAGTTGGTTGACTCTTAGAGCCGAGGTCTAAGTTGGATTGCAAAGCTGGGCTAGAGTCAGCACAACCTGTAACTCTCTACACAGCCACAGGCCCAACCTCCACTGTAAGTAAATTACACCCTCATAATTACAAGAGACGTGCAGGGCCCTTTTGCGACCAACTAAGGCGGAAACGCTCTAGAGTAGACAGTAATATTACTAACATAAAGTTACGGGAAGATTTAATGCGCTTAGGGAGTTAAAGTAGCCTTAATTTAAAGTACCTATAGTTCGTCTCGTAGCCGGGTGCGTCTCTCGACGTAGGGACGGACATTAGTTTGTTTGTTTTTATTCAATCTCATATTCGACCGTATCCGGCGACTGCTTCCAAAATGATATCACATCTTGCTGCTTTACCCTTTACTCATGACCTCGACGCCGGAATGAGTCAACCTATCGATATCGGTCTACTCTTAACGATCACCACCTGCACGGCGGTCCTCCTCTCCCTTTCCCTCCACATCTTGCCCTTCCATTTTCCCGATCTGCTGCTTCAGTTCAGCGATGCGACCCACAGCCTCCGCGTACTGGCGGTTTGCTTTTGTCATCAACTCCATGAACTCCGCCGTCGCGGTCGCTCTGACACGACCCAGTTCATCCTTGAGCTCTTCAATGTTTCGCGGCTGCGGACGGTCCTGCTTATTCACCAGAGAACTGTTTGCTTGGCCTTCTCCACGCGCCTCCTGCTGAGGTACATTCCCGCTCCCAAAGGAGAAGCTGATCCCGCCTGGAAGTCCCTGTGGCAAGCCTCCCGCGGCATTAGGCGAAGAGATGTGGAAGTTGAAGATTTGTTTCCTCGGAGTGCCGTTGAAGTGGTAGAAGTAGTTCTGCACATTTCCGTTTATTTGCTGCTTTGGGAACGGAGAGGGCCCGTTGGTATTGTTGAATGGCCGGTCGACACGGATATCGTCCTGGTATGGCGGTGTTTGTCCGCAGTCTTCGTCATTGTTGCGATGGGCATACCCGTGATCAGGCGGGGGGCCGGGACTGTATCCGTTATAACCATCATTTCGCGGAGGCTCGCGCTCGTCGTCGTTGTCGTATTCGGAGTCGAAGTAACTACCTGAGGAAGAGCCGCGGTCGCTATCGTTGGGGCCCTGATCCGGCTCATCCTGTGGGTACACAGGTTGCAGCACAGGTTTCGGAGCTCCGTGGTCTCGCTGATCATCGTAATGCCGTCGATCGTCATGGTAGCGCCGGCCGTCATCGTACCGCCGGTCGTCGAAATCCCGGTCATCAGCTGGATATGATCCTTCTCCATAGTACGGCCGTGGCGGGTTGAATCGTTCTTGTCTATAGTCCGGAGACGTCGGAGAATACTCCTTATCAAGCGGTGGCGTACCATATGCTCGTCGCATATCTTCCAGAAACGTCGGCGGGTACCCGTGAAAGGGAAAGTATGGCTGACCATATCGATCTTGTTCAACTCCATACTCACGGGGCCGGAAGTCGCGCTGAGGAGGCGAAGTTGGCGAGTATTCTGGACTATATTGGCATTCGTCCATTGCATATCGCCTCGGACGCTTGTTGGGCTGCGGAGCGGGAGCTGGCATTTCTGGGATGTCTTGCTCTCCTCGTTCCTCTAGGCGGTGTTTTCCGGGACGGTGCGTCGCATTTGAAGGGGTCTGATCGGGCATAATTTGGGGGTTGTGGTTGCGGGTGTTATTGTTTGGTTTGATGTGCGCCTGGTTGTGGAGAGAACGAGGAGGGATTATGTGGTCGAAGAGAGGATATGCAATGAAGAATGTGAAAGGTGTTGAAGGGACAAGGTGAGTTTTTCCTCCGGGCGTGCAACCGCGAATGGTTATTCTGCTGAATTAATTTGCATAATGCTATTGCTTCCTGGAAGTGATTCGTTACCTATTGTTTCCCTATTGGGCTTTTCGCGTGGTCGTAAGACAATACTGAAGCTCCCTGCTTCACCGCACGATTAACGGGATTCCGACGCGCGTTATTCCATTTTCCGAAGAATAGTATCGGGCGGCTCGTGATTCCCTATTGTTTCCTATTGTTCCTTGGTCAGAACAATACGGTGTGTGCACTCACCGCTTTCACTCCTGATCTTTCTTGGCACATCATCGCACCTGTGCTCCATAGCTTCAGCCATAAACTCCTCTTCTTCGCTGATACAGTATCCTGCAATTCCGCTCCTACTCTCTTAACGAATCGTCGACATATACCAACCCTCATCGCTTCGTGCTGCAGGTAGCATTTGTCGCCATCGTTTCCAGCCACTTCACCACCGACCTCAGAATCTTCTTCTCCTGACCTACTGCTCTCAGCACATTCTTCAGAAATGGAGCCATACCACCAACTCTCAGCCGCCGACCAAGCCCTCGTCGATCAGTACCTCTCGAACATCCAGAGCTGCTGGCAGCTCACCAACGTCCTAGACTGCCTTCCCGCCAAACTCCAACCGAAGCGCAATGGCGCGGTTGAGACGAACGCGCGAAACCTAGATATCAGTCTTCTCCGCCATCTCAGCGAAGTAGCTTCCCTGACGCCCGGCCCGCAAGGCTATGAAGCGCTCAGCGCAGATTGGGCAAGACACGTGAAGAACAGGCGGAAGAGAGTCTGGGGAAAGGGCAAGAACTGGCTCCAATTCGATGATGTAATGAAGACCCAATTGGAGCTGGAGAAGGAAATGCCGGCGAAGAAGCTCGAGCAAGGGGAGATAGTCGAGGAGGCGGAATCGCAAGGAAAGGGGAAGAGAAAGCGAGACGAAGAAGAGGAACTTCCGCAGGCGGAAGATGCTTCACACCGCTCCAAACGCTCACGCCATTCCGGCAACCAGAAATCTGTCGCCTTCGACAACGCCTCGCTCATCGAGCCGCAGTCACCGCCACGTAGCGCACCAGGAGACATCAACCACGAGCGCTTCCCAGAAGCCAGCGGGGGCTCCGCTCCAGTCTTCGCCCAGCGGCGCCATGCGCCCGTCGCCCGCCCAGCGCGTCTTCCCGCTGGTCTCTCAGCACGCATCCAGGAGATGCAGACAGGCCAGGAAGTCCGGGTGTTGCTGGAGCGCACCGCGCAGGTAGAAGTCGCTCGCGCGCGGACCGCCACCCAGCAGCGCATCATCCGGCCGCAGTTCCTCGTCGAGCAGCAGAAGCAGCCTCAGCCCGTACCAGCACCTGAGCCCGCGAGGCAGCAGCAGCAGCCAGACATGGCGCTCCTCCAGGCCCAGCAGAAAGCGCCGGTAGACGTCTCCGCGCGCCTCCACCCGCGAGACATCCCCGGCATCTCGCCGGCGAGCAGAATCCGTCTCTGCAAGATCCGGCTGGCGCAGGAAGAAGCGAAAGCCGCCGTACTCTCGTGGCAGTACGACATCGCGTTGCTGGAAGCGCTGGCCGAGCGCGATGAGGAAGAGGTTTAGGGGTCCCCGCGGTTTCCGCCCCCAAACACCCTCAACCCACACACGACCACCACAACGCATCAGCCTCGTATCAACCCCTTGTATCAACGCCGCAAAGGCGCACCTATCCAATCAGCTTGACTCCCCACCCGTCCCAGAACGCTTGTGCTATCGCGCCTCGTACAACACGCCGAGGACCGCCAGGCTGAGCTATTAGTAGTTGGCGGCCTCGCGCGCTCCCGGTGAACATGTTCGCTCTCCGCCGTACCTCTACGCGGATGAGACATGAGGCTGTCGACGCGGTGAACATCCTTCAAAACCGCGCGCATATCATGCATACTGATAGCTAGCTATCAAACCCAAGCAGTCCTAGAAAATGGACTTCTACAACTCCGTCCTCGCCGGCCTGCCGGAGAATACCTGGAACACGCGGTGTATCGCGCAGCTCCCCATCGCGCAGGATACCAACTTCACCAACGGGCTTATTCATCTGGTGGACGCGAATGGTAGGCCGATGAGCAGCTTCACGAGCGATACGTGGGGCGTTGCGATCGGGGATTGCTACGAGTACTGTAACATGGCGCGGGTTCCATACGTACGCCTCTCCTCTTCTCTGCAGCACTGCATTAGAAAGGAGTAGTCTTCTAACCTCCGGCCCAGTCGTTCGACTTCCAAGTCTTCGCCGCAGCATTCACAAACTTCCTGCTTCCCTGGCTCGCCCTGACCGCGCAACTGCCCTACGAAACCAGCAGCCCCTGGGACAACCTGCTCTCGCTGTGCCTCTCGGTCGGCTCCCCTGCGCTGATAACCTACTCGCTCGCCCTCACTATCCTGAACCGCTACAGTCTGCGCACGCGCTGGCACACGCTCCAGCAAACAGCCCTCTCCCGCGCCGTCCACGACAAGTACTCCGACTTCAGCGTGCGCATCAAAGCAATCCAGTACCTCTTGCAAGAAGCGCAGCAAGTGCCGCTCCGAGCGAGCCAGGAGCGCGGTTGGCTGAGTAGTCTGATCGTCGGACCGAAGAATCAGGCATGGTGGCGGAATGTGCAGCGCAGACTCATCCGAACGCGTCGCGGTGTTACGTTCTCTCTCGTTGCGCAGATTCTGGCCGCGGGTATTGCATGGCTGTTTACGGTGACGAGTGCGTTCATAGAGAGTCGCGGGGATAGAGTGGTGGCGAATCAACTGAGTAGCGGGACGCTGTGGCTTTGGTTGATTCCAGTTATTTGGGGATGGGTGACGGTGGGGACGCAGATTGGGAGCGACACTATTGATGAGGCGCTGAGGGCGGATATTGCGTACCGGGCGAAGGAACCTCCGATTGCGAGCGAGTCGTCTGTCACCGAGAAAGGGGAGCAGCGGGGTATCATGGTCCGATCCGGTCTCGCGGTGCAACCGCATCGCGTGCAGACGAACGAGGCGGCTTTCGAAGTTCCACCGGTAACGAACCTAGAGCTGCCAGGATGGATGGGGGCCGACATCATGGGCGACGAGAAACACGAAGGGCCCATCTTCAACTATGCCAGGGTGTTCACCTGGTGGCAGCTAGCCCGGACCATCGAATTGGCCCTAACTACGTCCGTAAACAGCATTGCCGCCGGACAGACTTGCAAGCCATCACAGGAAAAAGTGGTCAGCAAGCCCTGGAACTACGACCGCCGACCCGAGGAAAATCTAGCTGGCGACTCCTACACTACGGCTCAGTATTGTGGGCTCGATTTGAGCCGTGGTCAGATTCTGGCATATCCGGAGTGGGACGAAATCACAGCGAACGTCTGGAAACGGATCGCCATTGCTAGTTTCGTTGCGATATTCGTCCAGTGGGGTACGACTGGCCCCGGGATCCTGATAGCGTACTTTACACCCACGAAGGGCGTTGGATGTCGAACCGCCGGGTATCTTGTATATGGTGGTCTGGCGACACTCGTCTGGATATTGCTGGCCGCATCGATGATGTTTTCCCATGCCGCGCTTCTGCGATACCAGCGAGAACACCGCCTAGCGCCCTCGATGGACTTCCGCAGACCGTCTATAACTCCAACGGCGGAGCAAAGCCAAGCACCGCAAGGCTACGAGCGCACAAAGACTCATTCACTCCTTTGCGGATTGGCCGTCATTACCCGCTTGCTTGGCAAGACCATCGCGATCGGAAATACGATCTGGCTGGTGCTCACTGCTTTGCTGGAATACACGGGTGTCTATGATCGGTGCTACTGCCGAGGGAACCAGACGGGGCTTGGGATAGATAAGGGTTGGCTGGTGCTGTTCAAGACGGAGAATGACCTGAGTGCCATGGCGACGTCGCCCTGGGCTGGAGGCGTTGCTATGAGTATGCTTGTTTGCATTGGAAGTTATCTCTTCTTTTGGCTGGGAAGTCGGAGGAGCACGAGGGAGACTTGATTGCTTCGCTGACCCTAGAGACACGGTTGAGGGGTAGCTTGGAGGGTCGTTACTGAGCATTCTCCTTCCGCGGCGATTTTGAGCATGGGCTCTCATTTCTGTTAAATAGGCGGGGCCATTGTTCAGTCGGCAGGACGGAGCTTGAATGTCTTGTCTTGGTCGAGTAATCTTCGATCGAGCTTTCGAAGTAAGCTAGCGCTGCCTGTTCAGAGACTCAGCTGCCGGAATCGACGTTGACGATGTCTCTTTGTCAGGTCTAGTCGTGTGTTAATGGAGTCCTGTGTGATAAGTCCCAGAAGAGTTGCGGAAATAGTCCCCTCACGAAGATGTGAACGCGTGTGAAAGTTGATGAAGGGTCATCCCTCAAGCGCCCAGCGCTTCCTGCTGCTGCAAGGGATCAAATATGCAGCCACGCAGAAGTGAGGCCTGCCATGCCTCTCTTTCTACCCCACCTCTCCAACATCTGCTGCGCACGCTTCTGCTGTTCCATCCGAGGTGCGACAAGCGCGACCACGGCAAGCGGAAAGACACTGCGCATGAAATCAAATCCAATTGGATGTGTGGATTCCAGATACGAAGTGATCTCCAGGATCGAGTTCGCGCACATGCTTGCGGTGTCGATTAGTGTGGGTACATTTGCTTCTGGCGGAGTGTTTGGATCCACAGAGCTGACAGATGGTTCTCGCGGAGAGACCTTGTCCAGGAGCAGCGAGAGGATCAAGCGAATAGATTCGTAGGTTGCTGCTGTCAAGGCGATGAAGCCCTCCGGTAGTATGAGCGTGGATTTCGTTGGTGCGTCTGCGGATGCTCCGGACGTTGCGGGACTCCCCATGTCGGCGGTGACGACCTGTGGACCAGTTGCTACTTTCAGAAGGTGAGGGTTTTTGGCAACCCAATCATCAAGCTGCTGGAGCAGTTGTTTCGCACGCTCCTGGACCGGCTTGAGGTCGACGTGCGAAGGAATAGGTCGAGAAAGGAAGCTCCTCATGCTGCCGCTTATTTTACACAGACCCATGCAATCCGGAATCACGAGGAGAATATCGGTGAGGTACTGATGCGCATTCTTTAGCTGGCCTTCGAATGGGACAGTCATCCATTCAGGGGTGGAGAAGACCGAGGGTTGATTGAATACCATCGCTTTGTGTGCCTGCAAGAAGTGTGAGGTCAACCATGTTTCTTCCCTTGGGCCTAGGATTGAGACTTACATCAGATATTCGCATTGATTTGAACAGAGGAAACGCAAGGCCTTTACAGTTGGATGGTCCTCTCATCTCCAAGATTTTCGTGGATGCGGCGAGATGATGGAAAACGCTCGTTTGCGTGGTCCCGGCATATACTTCGTACAGCGCTAGGATAATGGGTACCAGAATCTCTTCCTCACTTGGCATAGAGTTGGACGTCAGCCGGGCGAGGGTCTGTCTTTGACAATTCAGACTCATCGTGTACCATCTATAAGAATCGACTAGGATCGCTGGGTCTTTGTGCACTGTGGCGTAAAACGCCATTGACGCTGACCGTATAGACAGTCGTAGGGCGGGTTTCGATGCTTGTACATGCATTTCAGGAAGATGCGTTATCCATGGTATCTCCGGGCTGTATGATCGGATGCCTTTGTTGAGCTGGACAAAGTGGGAGATGAAGGCTACGTCCAAGGCTTCGGGCACGGCCTTGGGCGGTTGGTACATGGTTGGGAACTTGTACTGATATCGTATTGCCGCAATAGCCTCGTCCGCTTCCAGCTCGGTCCATTCGTCAAATACTGGTTTCCGGCCCGGCGAGTGAGCCACTTGCAGGGCTGATGATGTCGCTGTTGGGTCGGATGTGGCCCCCGCCAACGTCGGCTCCTTAGCAGGCGATTCCTGGGAATTATCATCGGGGATAACGATCGGGCCTTTAGTCTCTCGTTTCTTTCGCTGTCGAGGCTTCGATATCCGATCCGTCATATCGATTATGACGGACCCTTGAACCGGCCCAGAGCACAAGAGCCCTAGCCGACGGCATTGCTGGCAAAATTCGGGCGTCTCATCGCACTAAACGAGGGCTATATTAACGGGCTGTCTATATAATACGTCGCTGCCGAGGACGTACCTTGACCCTGCGTTCCCTGCACTGCTTACAGGCTCTACTACGCTGCGCTTTCGGCATCTCGCATGCCAGAGGTTGCACAGATAATGCGGGGAGATGGACGGGAGGGTTGCAAAGAGGAAATTTGGACGACACGGGCTGCTTGGAGGGTTGACTGGGCAGCGCACGCCCCTTTAGGAGGCGTGCTTGGCTGCGGGCCTGATGTGTGATGGGTGGAGACGTCGGAGTTCTTTCCATGACGGGCTGCTTGCTACGGCGCTAGTGCTGAAACGGCCCTGGGCGCAGATCAACACTTGCGGGCCAAACCCCTCAGCCTTAAGCGTCGCCTTTGTAGCCGTTTTGGGAAAATTGGACGATTGAAGCTTCAGAAAAGGATGTTGACAGTGAGGAGCATAGATCCCTAGGAGTGCATAGATACATTAGAATTATATAGTCCTCGGTGTCCTCTTGAGTGTCGACCTATCTTTTCCTTGACCTGCCTCTTTGATCGCGATTTCCTGGGCGACCCCAGAGCTCATTGTTGTTGCAAGTCTTGTAATTTCAACATGACCAATATCTATACCCTCTTTCACGCCCACACCCCTTTCGATCCACATCACCGCTTCTCCACCTCCTGGCTCCTCTCACCCCTCTCGTTGGCCCTCACCCGCCTCCTCATAGCTATCTACGGCATCATCGGTATAGTCATCAAGCTCGCCATCGCCAAAGACGAGTCCGCAGGGGCATCCCTCTCGTACTTCAGCAACATTACATGGTGGGGGTTGACCTTCTACTTCCTTTTCGCTGGACTACACTCCGCCTCCTACGCCGTGCGCGGACAAGCTTGGCTAGGGCAGTGGCCCGCGTTGTTTCAACTGCTGCATGGGTTGCTGTACTCCACGATTGTGACATTTCCCTTGTTGGTGACGACGGTGTTTTGGGCTGTCCAATTCCGATCGGAGAAGTTCGATAGCCGCTTCGATACGTGGTCGAATATTACACGGCATGCACTGAATTCGGTATTTGCGCTGTTCGAGATAGTGGTGCCGCGGACGGAGATGCCCCCGTGGATGTAAGTGCTCCTTCCCTTTGCAAAGTAACCACTAATGGAAAAGTTAGTCACTTGCCTTGCGTCCTGCTTCTGCTTGGAGGATATGCTTGCATCGCATACATTACCTACGAAACCGAGGACTTCTATACGTATGGCTTTCTCGATTCGAGCAAGTTCTCTGCTGGGGCGCTAGCTGGCCACTTGATTGGTATCGGTGCCGGATGTGGTGGGTTCTTTGTCCTCGTGCGCCTGGCGATATACGCACGGCTTTTGCTTGTGGAAAAAAAGCTGGGAAAACACGGAAAGCGTTCAAAAAGAGATTCCGAGGTCGCCACTAGACCGTGGATTGAAATGGAGGTACAAGAGCGCAGAGTTGAAGAATCGAAGGAGTAATCGCTCAGATTAGAGGTGCCATACTAGTAGCTATGCAATAATCATATACATAAGGCAGCAGGAATTTGTATGCGCAAGCTTGTCCGAAGTTTCAGGTTCACTGCACAAGTTAGCCTGACACAATGTCCTTTCCATTGGGACACGTACCTCGAGCTCTCCTTTCTCACCCTTCTTTGCGGTTTGTTTCTGAAGCTCATTCATGTGTTCATCGTGATCCTCCACGTGCTTCTCCTGCCTGTCTGCCGCGATGTCACTCTCCGTGCGACTTGCCAGCTCCTCATGCCAGTGGCCCTCGCCGCGTTCCTGCTTCTTCAATTGCTCCTGCTTCTTCATCTCTATTTGTTCAGGCGAGCGATCGGCGTCCTCCTTTAAGCGCAAACTGGGAGTCGACGCGAGCGCGCGACGCGTTGTTATCGAGGGCAGTGCGGGAGCTCGGCGGAAGAGCAGCGTGGCGGTGCGAAAGGGCATTGTGGAAGCGTTGTGGATCGTACACGTTTCGAGGAGACTGAGGGAGCTCAATGGTCTCTGCGGAGGCCAAACGGGATGGTAATTGGGATTTGTGACGGATATAGTTTGTGTAACGGTTCGCTGGAAGACGATGCGCGCATTAGAAAGTCGAGGTTGCCATGTTCTTGTGACGTCATAATGCGAAACCCATTTCCCCACCAAGACGGAACGCGAATCCGATAGCCTGGCATCGAGATCTACTGCTACACGCCATCGGTCCGATAATCTTACGCCTTCGTCTTCCGTCCCAGTCTACCACAACCTACTCGTCCTCCGCACAAAAGGAACTGATGGACTCTACCTCCTGGATTCCACAACCGCTTCCAGCTTCTCGATCTCGGCGTGGTGATTTCTCGCATCTCGACGATGTGTAGCAAGTCGCGCAAGATGCTCTCCGGCCAGACGACGGTGTCCATCTTCTTCCGCCCGTAGCTCTCGAAGTCGAGTTGCTAATCGCTTCTTCCTGGAGTCTTGCTGTACACCCTCCACAGTTCTTTTGGCGTAGGGAGTCTCGAGAGCCATTCTGTGTCGTCTGTGAGACTGGCGTTGAGCGTAGATCTGGCTTGAAGCGGTTACAGAATCCGCTTCAGCATTTGATCTAATATCCATACCGCGTGCAGGCTCTCCTGCGGGAGGAGACGGTATGAATGAAAGATGCTTTGGGCGAATCCTTGGTATGGTGCTAGAAGGAGATGGTATTCGTGGCGTCTCTGGTATGGCCCTCTCACCATCCTCATCGGAGCCGCTGTTCTCTTGTTCGGTGGTCGCTCCTCCGCTTGCGGCGTCTGGTATTATTATTACGCTCCCGCTTCGCTCCTGTGATTGCGGGTTCAGCCTTGCGCTTCTCCTCACTCCTTGTCCGCCCGCCGGACTGGCCACTTTCGTTGCCTTTTTCCTCCTCACGGTATCTTTCTGTGAGAGCCTACTCTCGGTCGGATTGTTCTGGAACCACCTCTGCGCAATCTTTACATCTTCTAGTGTCACCTCGATCTTTTCTACCCTCTTGCTTCGCCTAAGGCGCTGTTGTATAGCTCTGCATAACTGCTTACGCACCTCTTGCACTCGCCCCATGGAAGTCTTGGAAATATCGTGGAGGGCTGGTATGAGGACCGGTTTCATAGATTCCCTTCCTCGAAAACGAAGCTGTGGAGGGAGGGCATGTTTGATGTCGGTTATATTCCAATTTGCAGCCGCCTTTGCGGACAGGGTTCGGTCTTTTAGGTGCGCCATTGGATTTTGCCGAATGCTAGTAGCGCGAATAGGTGCGGGTCGAAGATGGTTGGGAATTGAATATCAGAACGGCGAGAGCTTAGTTGGGCGATCAACCACCTCATTGGACTCGATAGGACCGAGCTAAGTACATTCCTATTGTGTTTCTACAAGCACTTGCTGTACCCGACTCCAGCCGCTACCTAATTCACCACAGCAACAGGCCATCAAGAGGTCGTTAGCTTAACCAACCACCCATCATGATCTGTGTACGACAAACCGTACTTCTTTGTACTACCAAACTTCAAATCGCTCGAAAAGACCACATGCTGCACCGAACCGTCACCCTTCCTCGTCCACCCGCTGGGGACGCAATTCTGTGCATTCTCCGCATCATCCGGATCATACTCAAGATTGAAGTCTCCTCCCACAACAGCCTTGTGGTTCCAGCCGCTCTCCTTCTGAAGGTACGGCACCGCATCGAACATAAGCGCCTTGCACTGCGCCAAAGCCATCGGCTCGGAGGACGACGAAAGGTGCGTAGCGCAGGCGAAGTGGTCGTCCGTTGCAGCCGCGCATGCGAAGATGCGCTGCTCGTTGCTGCTATCCTGCGATGTGTATTTCCCGCCATAGGCAGTTACGCCGCTCCATTTGGCCGCCTCTACCCTGCCCAATACCGCACTGCCGTACTGGAACCCATTCTTGCACTTGTACGCCGCGTTGGTCCTCTTGTCGATCGCGGGCATGAAGACGCTGTACGTGTAATCGGTTGGCCAGGCTTCGCCCAAGTACGACTGCAACTCCGACACATCGTTGCTGCAGATCTCGTTCACGGTGATGGTATTCGGGCCCGTCGCGTAGATGAGTTCGCCGCCTTCTGGGATGGAGTCGCCGTTTGCGTAGCAGCCTGCGAAGCCCGAGTTGCAGAGATTGAGTTGGAGTTCGACGAATGAAGTCGCAGAGGTGCTACCCGTGCGGCCACGACCGCTGGATCCATAGGGACCCAGGGTCGTCTTAATAACGTTGTCAGGCAGAAGTTGGACGGTCGAAGGTGGCGCGCATGTTGAGAGGATTGGAAAGAGGGAGATTGCAAGGAGCGAGGTCACTGTAGTAAGTCGCATTTTCGCCATCAACGTAGGTACGTACCTATACAACAGCATTCCCAGGCAGGGCTGGGGCATTTATACTCTACTGTCGTGTTACTGGTGAGGACTAATAACAACCATCGAGGCGAAAACGTGCTTGCACTCTAATTACGTATGTGGAGCTCGTGTTCGGGCAGTAATAGCAAACACGAGGTTTCAGATCGCGAAGAATGCGGGCGACAGATCTACGGACATTCGTGCATCTTTGCCGTTGTTGGCCCCTGCCAAGGAGACGCCCGTATTTTCAGCTCCTAATTTTGGGACAGCCTCGTGTAACGAGGGTACGACAGATTGGAGGGAGGCGACGAAGACATTTAGGTAGCGTATTTCGTTATTCATCTAGTGTTCCTTGTAATGAGCCATACGAGCAATGGTGAGGAGCGATGGATGCGATAATGCTTGACGGCATCCGGCAGTGCTACAAAAGTCGGCAGCTCTTCGGCGTATTTCTGAGAACGACATGTACACCACATCCCGGGTATCCCGCCCGACATACCCCTAAGCCATCAAGAGTGCGTCGACGAGCCTCACAAGTGTTCCCGTGGTTTTAAGAAGCATGTCCAACGTCAAGGTAAGTAGATGGGGCGGCCGTTGTTGTATAACAAGAGATGGTATCGCGATTCTGCCGCTCTTGTCCTGGTGGACAGTTCGTCAATGAGCAAAACACAGCATTAAAATCTCAAAATTCTAAAACGAGCGTCTAAAGACGTATACAGAGATGTGCTGCCGTCGCGGCTATAGATGCGCCAGGGACCTTATGTGGTTAGCCATACTAACCCAGTATCACATGGTTGTCCCTAGGGTAGCGCTTTGTCTACGGACCTTAATCCCCGAATAATTGCCTTTTCTTGGAAGATCCTTTATTACTTCACGCTAGATCCATGGAATGTATTCTTGCCATTCCCCATCCCCTCGCGCCTGCAGCTCATCAGCTGATGTGACTTTGTGCTCCACCACTTCGACGCACAAGCACCACACAACCTCCAAACAGCAAACCATACTTCCATCAATCTCCCTCGACATAAGTCAACTGCAGCTGCGCTTGTCCGGGCTGGTAAGTGTTCTCTAGTCTTTTATATAGTTCGCCCTCCTTATTGGTAACAAGATTTAAGTCTTAAGTATATCGCGGCGCCCTAAAACCCCGGAAGGAGCCAGCATCATAAAAGAGCAGGAAGAGTATTCAGCGCACACCATGGCCGGACCGCAAGGAAGTGTAGCACTGCTCGCATCAATGTGACCCTCAACCGAATCAAGCGCAGCTGATCTCTAGCCAACGCAGCCGACGCCTTGCCGCGAGCGATCCGACCCCTGAAAGCACATGGTCAAGAGAAAGAAGATGATCCCACACAGTGGAGTGCAACCTTCGTCGACCTGCTTCTCAACCTTTCTGTAGTGTGCGATGAGCCCGCAGACGCACACAAGCAGATTCAAGGCATAATTCGGAAGCGCAAGAGGCTTGGTAAGAAGACTGGTGCTACGGCTTCAGGTCTGCGGAAAGTCATTGCGTACTTTGAGAATAAGAGAGATCGGGGTGAGGATGAGGTTGAGGGCGAAGAAGCACCGCGAGAAGAAGAGAGACAGATGCGAGATGAAGAAGTGGCCCAAGAGGAAGCTGAAGTTGAGGTTACTGAACGCATTGGCTAAGATCAAGAGCTACTGGAGAATGCCCAGGACGAAGAATACCAAGATGGCTCGTCGAATATATCCCGCTCCGAAGGCGCACAGACACCTCAGCGCAAGCGTCGCAGGTCCTTGGAAGAGGAGGACGACGAGGAGATCAGTCAGCGCCGCTCCAAGCGCATTCGCGCAAAAGGCGGAGTGACGAGTGCCACTTTGGAACTAGAAGGTGCTAGTGGAATCGCTGAGGATGACAATGAACTACCTCCAATTGTTTTGGACGATTGGGCCTGGGTCTTCGATGACTTAGACATAGGACCGAGCGTCCAGGCCAGAGTTGCAACTTCACCACAACCGCCGGTCTTCCCCACAATCCCTTCTACCGTCGACCAAGGCACTCAGACCGGAGGCAAGCTTCTGATGGGTCCCAATTCCCACCACCCCAAAGCGGTAGTTCCAGGATACGACAAGACCGAGGACCCATTGAGTGTCTTTCACTTCGGCGACCTACGCCCCATCCCCGAAAATTTGAGCTTAGATGAAGAAATCGAGCTTATGTCCATCCGCATGGCCATGGCCCAGGCCAGCGAGAATCGGTACATTTCTAGGGGCATAAAGCATCAACTCCATAACATCAGGGTCTTGCAGAAGCTGAAGTCAGACCAGGATGCAGCTGACAATGGAGGTGATGAGGATAACGCAGGAAGCAACAGGGGAAAGCAATCGGCCGAGCAACGGAGAGGGTAATCGACCGAGCAACGGGCAGCGCAGTGGTGAGCAGGACCAGTACGAGTATGAGTTCTGGGAGCGGGAAGGGTCAACGTATTGTGGAAATTATGCGTAACTCCTGGGGGCAGAGGCTTTGATTGGTTGGGAATAGAATAGAGATACGAATTGGGCGGCTTGAGAACGCCACTGCTGTCTTTTCCGAATGCTACCATAGTTGGTCGGGTGTCGAAAACTGTGTGCGTGATCCAAGCCGTAGGTGTCGTAGACTTAGCTTCGGCCAAGTTACGATAACGTATGTTTGAGAGACTAAATGTTATTTCGCAGAGCTCTTCTAAGAAAATGACGATTTCGATAAACGCTTTACCGAGGATGAGACACCGGGAGCATAATCCCAGAAGGAAAGCGATGTGAGCAGTATGAGTTCTTATTTTAAACCGGTCGGAACCTGATTCTGCCCACGTACTTCTTGAACTCGTCTGTCAGCCCCACCAATGTCCACCTAATTTGCCTGACTGACGATTCTAAAGAAATTTAGGCTCGCGAGTCTGCTTGTTTCTTTATTTGGTCTTCTTTGTTCAAAGAAGCCTAGTTGGCTCGAGTATTTCTTTGATGCAGACCCTCAAGATCCCATTGACAATTTTAGCATTCACCAGCGGGCCGCATACAAACATACCCCTAGGCAGACATTTTAGGCAAGCTCGGACCAATTCTTTCTCCGCTTTCGAAACAAAAAGGCGTGGAAAAAGGTCACTCCAGCGCAATACGTTCTCATCAACCAACTCTTCAAAACGAAATCACTCAAAAGCGTGTTTTCTCGGTCAGCCACGCATATTCGTTCCTTAGAACTGGCCCACGAAGCGTTAAGTACCAATTCCAGAACGAGGAGATGTCCTCCCAAACCCCCGATGAGATTTGCGCAGAGATCGCCCAAAACTGGAGTTTGCAGGACGCTGCGGATGCGCTACCAGGCCGACTGCAGCCGTCCAGAACGAAAGATGCAACCGCATGGCCACTTAGCCTACTTGAAAACCTTCAAGAGCTTTCCCGCCTCGCGCCAGATAAGTTGAAGGAAGTGCAAATCAAGTTGGGCGACCGGATAGATTTCCGACGTGCGCATCGGACCAGCAGAGAACAATGGGTGATAGCCTCCGATATTCCGCATGTCATTAGGCAGTATCGACCTCCACAGCCTCGATTGCGGGACAATGCAGCATTGCTGATAGCAGATCCGGCCGCTGTACGTCGTTCAGGTCGCCTTGCTAAGAAGAACAATCCCGATTCGTCGGTGGGGCCCGTTCCACTCGCTCAGGCTCCGTCAGGTCCGCATGGCAGTTCTCGAAAGCGCAGACGAGGGGAAGAGGACGAAAGCCATGTCGATGCATCGAGTCCCCGTAAGCGAACACGCAAACAACATAAAGCGGCCGTCGACACTCCAGACTACCCGAGCAATGACGCAAGTACGGGCATGGAAAACGGCAATGAAGTAACCGGAGTTCGAAGAAGCGACGCAGACGATGCTCCCGAAGCAGACCAAGACCTCACGCCAGATGATTCGCTCTCACAGGCCGGACCGGGGACCGTCGACCAGATAGCGGAGGGGATCAGCGTCCTAAGCTTCGGGAAACGGTATCCCATCCCGGCGAATGCAACGATTGATGAGGAAATCGAGCTGTTGGAGATTCAACAGAAGATGGAGCGCGATCATGCAGCGGCACGTGATGGGAAACTCGAATACAAGATTAAAGTCGCTCGTATTCGGAAGAGACTGCTTGAGGAGCCTACCAGCGCTGGCGTAAAGGGTGTGAATGGCGACCCATTGCGAAAGTGTGTTTAGGAAGTGCGAGGTTCAACAATGCTGTCCCAACGGGGGAGGCGGGAATTGACGGCGAGGAAAGGTTGAAATCATTTTGTGCTATGTGACGCGATCAGGACGGTCGTGGCATATGGGCATTGCATACCGTGGGGCTTAGTATGACAATGATGGGAGTAGTTGGTGGTCCTGGGATGTAATTGCGACAGTAGCCATGTCAGAATCCGCAATGCTGACTCAGCAGAGCACAACACCAACGACGCGGGACCCCAACTTCCCGCCTTTCTTCTCCAACACTCCGACTCTCTCAGATTTCTGTATCTAACGGATCTGCCAGTGGCAAATGAATCCTCCGCTAATGTCCACCGCACTTGGGCACATTAGGACTCCCCTTGAACTGCTGTATCTACTGCCTAGGACTGGGCCGCATAAGCGCTAAGCAGAAGAGGCATCGCTCCTATTCATTCGTGCGAGTCGTTAGTACATTTGCTTCGTTTGGGCATCTGCGCCGTGAGTACTGCTCTTACCCTAGCCACCACAGCTTCGAGATTTTCGTTCCGCAATCACTCCGTCTCTTCCTTATCTGCCCCTCACACCTCTCCCAATGTCCGCAGCGAGCCGACTCGCAACCACGGCTGCGGCCAATGTGATGGGGGTCGACCAGGCTTACCAAGACGAAGGCGTTCCTGGAGTCGACGCGCTACAGGTTGGGAAGCGCTATGGCGAAGAGCGCGCGAAGCGACTCCGTGACGACGGCAACGACCAGTTCATCGACATCTCCCTCTCCGACAAATTCCAGTCCTTCCTAGAGGATCCATGGGTCGACAGGGCCGCGGTCAAAGACGCAAGGTCAATGTTTCCCAGCAACCGCTGTCAAATGCTCATCCTCGGCGCTGGCTGGGGTGGCTTGTTGTATGCAGTGCGGATGATCGAAGCCGGGATTCGCCCCGAAGACATCCGTATCATCGACACTGCGGGCGGCTTCGGTGGGACCTGGTACTGGAACCGCTACCCAGGGATCTCGTGCGATATTGAGAGCTACTGCTACTTGCCATTGCTGGAGGAGACGGGCTACGTGCCACGACACCGGTACTCTCATGGAGAAGAAATCCGCCACTATGCCAATCTCGCCGCCCAGAAATGGGGAATGGCTGACAGCGCCGTTTTCCAGACCAAGGCCCAGAAGCTGGTATGGGATGAAGAAGCAAAAGAGTGGCGGGTGGAACTCGTACAGCAGCGCAAAGGAGAGCAGCCACAGACGCTGAATATCCGCGCGCCGTTCGTGGCGACTGTGAACGGCGCCCTCAACTGGCCGAAGTTGCCTGGAATACCGGGAATTCTAGATTACCAGGGCGATATCTTTCACTCGTCGCGCTGGAACTATGCGCTCACTGGCGGATCGCCGGCGGACCCGTCCCTCACGAAGCTGCAAGGAAAGCGGGTGGCCATTATAGGCACGGGGGCAACTGCAGTCCAGATCGTCCCACATCTTGCGCACTGGGCAAAGCATCTGTACGTCGTCCAGCGCACCCCATCGGCGGTAGGCCATCGTGATCAGCGGGAGACGGACTCCAAATGGTTTCGCAAAGACATGGCTACGTCGGCGGGCTGGCAACGCGAGCGCATGAGGAATTTCCACCAACACTTCACCACCGAGAAACAGCCCGCAGTCAACATGGTAGATGACGAGTGGACCAGCGCAGTTAGTATGGTCGCAATTTCCGGTAACGCTGCAGGACCCAAGACGATGGACGAGCTGCCGGCATACATACAGAAGCTCCATGCCATCGACCTCCCACGGCAGGAGAGAATTCGCAGGCGAGTGGAGCAGGAGGTCAAAGATCCGCTCGTCGCGAAGAAGCTGCAGGCTTGGTACCCTACCTGGTGCAAGCGCCCCGCCTTCCACGATGAATACCTATCGACGTTCAATCGCGAAAACGTAACTCTCATTGACACGGACGGCAGGGGCCCCGATCAGCTTACCGCCAACTCCATCGTCGTAGGCGACCAGTCTTACCCCGTGGACGTAATCATCTGTGCCACCGGCTTCCGTGCTCCGTTCACCGGGTCTCCGGCGGCGAAGGCCAACGCGACCATCATCGGCCGTAACGGCGTGTTGATGAGCGAAGAGTGGGCGCGCAGCGGGCCATTGACGCAACATGGCGTTCTTGATCACAACTTCCCCAACCTCTTCCTTTCTGGGCCGTGGCAAGCCTCGCTCAGCCCGAACAACTTGTTCAACGTGGACACTCTCGCAAAGCTCTCGGCATACATTCTAGCGGAGGCGAAGCGCAAAGCTGGCGGGAGCCCCTTCGCTGTAGCGCCAACCAGCGCTGCAGCAGAGAACTGGGGCATGCAGGTGATGATGAACTCGATACCAATGGCTGCCATAGCCCGCTGTACGCCGGGCTACTTCAATGTTGAGGGCGGAATTGACCGCGCGCCGCCCGAGGTTCAGATGATTATGGCGCGCTCTGGTCTCTGGGGCCATGGTATTGAAGACTTCGTTCGGATCGTGGAAGCGTGGCGTGAAGAAGGCAGGATGCAAGGCATCGAGGTGCGGACATAGAACCGGTATGGCGCAACAGAGGCATACACGATGTAATGTTAACCCTGTTTCAGGAAATACTACTAGCCTACCTACATTCTCACCTTTACATGCCACCAACCCTCGGATTGCTCATGATGGAGTTCTTTACCTGCACCTTCAGCTGCTGGATGCGTATCTGTTCTGTGTTCGAGCTAGGTCTCCATAGCGCAGTGTACGTAGCATTGGCTGTGTCGTCTCCCCATCCGGCCGCACCACAGCCCGGAGCGGTGGTACAAGATCCCGTAAGAGGAACAATCTAGACCGCTCTATCCATGTATTCCTCGTGCTTAATCCTCCATGTTACGCTACTACTTCTTCTAATCTAAGCTGTGGTAAGCCTCTAAGCCTCACTTGCGAAAAAGCTTACAGCCATGGCAGTGTTCTTCTCACGCACGGTAACAGAGGCAGCAGGCAAATGCTAACACAAGTCAGGGCTTGCATCCATTCTGCTCTCAGCATGCACTATAGGATGTAGATTAACACTGGCGGGGACCTGACTTACCTGGCTGCTGCTATCACTATCGCAGAGTAGGTCATTGCCCAGCCATAGGTCATGAAAACTGGTCGGCAGCGCTTTCGGTAACGCGGGGATAGTTATTGAAATCACCTGCACATGTATGTTTTTCGTGGCATACACTTCCCTCGAGGCACTTAGGTGGTGTTTTTGAAGGAGCTTGGGCAAAAATATCCCCCCCTCCCCCCTCCAAATTTCCCACACATGCAGAGAAATTTCGCAACGGTGCAAGTGTGCGACGCAATGTATCCTACCGTCAGCAAAATGGCGATTGATGTGTCGAACTAGCCTTGGAACGCGGTACGACACATCCCTCGCTCCTGTCCTCATGCCTCTCCCTTCATCCCCGCGAGAGATCTCCGACACATCGCCCAGGCCGCTCCTCCACAACGGCCTAAATTACGGCACTCGCCGCCGAGCCCTCGGTAGTTATCCCGCAATCAACGCAGCCTTCCCCGGATCTTGGCATGCTCCAGTGATGCGCAGCGTAAAATATACCCGGCAGCTTGGCCCTCGCTTGGCGGGCACTTCACCCGTTACGCATGATTGGAAGCAGGCCGAATCGGAAAGTATGGGAAACATGGCACCCGCAAAATATATGAGGGTAGAGTAGGGCCAAGATGGCGCTGCGCGATAGGAAAGTTCCTCCAATGGAAGAGTGTTTAGACGTGGCACGAAAGGAGATTGCGAAGAGCATAAATACTAAGGATTACACGGGGGTGAGAACAGCTTCACGAGTAGCTTCTCAACCCCTCCTACCCATCACCAAGCTCTTTAGCAACTTCGTTGCCCCTTGCGCGAAACACCATGAAGGCCCTCACTCTCGCGGCCTTGCTCGCGGCCGCAACGCCCCTCGTCCAAGCGCACTACATCTTCAACCGGCTGATCGTCAACGGGCAAAACGTGGGCGGCGAATACGCCTACACGCGCAAGAACTCGAACTCGTACATGCCAGCCTTCACCAGCGAGCTAATGAGCTCGAACGACCTACGCTGCAACAAAGGCGCCACACCCGGCTCGACACCGACCTACGCCGTCAAGGCCGGCGACAAGCTCGGCTTCAAGCTCTTCAACAACGAGTTCATCGAGCACCCGGGCCCGGGCTTCGTGTACGTCTCCAAGGCGCCCGGCGCGGTCAAGGAGTACGACGGCAGCGGCGACTGGGTCAAGGTTATGGAGACGGGGCTGTGCAGCGCGAATCCTGGGAGTGATGGCAGCTGGTGCAGTTGGCAGAAGGATCGGCTTGAGTGGACGATCCAGAAGAATATTCCGCCTGGCGAGTACCTTGTCCGTGTCGAGCATATTGGGCTGCACCAGGCGCATGAGGGGAAGGCGCAGTTCTACATCGAGTGCTATCAGCTGAAGATCGAGGGTGCTGGAGGAGGAAACCCGGGCCCGCTGAATAAGATTCCTGGGATTTATAAGGCTAACGATCCAGGAATCGCATTCAACAAGTGGAATAACCCCAAGTCTTACGTCATGCCGGGACCGAAGATGTGGGATGGAAACTGAACTTGGGCTTCGGGAGCTTTGTAGATGTTAGCGCATGACTGCATGCTGTACTAGCAATACTCAATCGATGCATCTTGTGGTAGAGCACGTCTGGTCGTCATCGCAGCTGCGTGGTGGTTTTTTCGTCTCGCGTACTGTTAGTCGTTCTCATTGCTGAGGTGGTTAGACAAGGGAGAAGCAAGCAATGATACCCTTAGGGTGTTATGCTCCATGGACGTAAGTCGCAAAAGGCGCGTGGATGCAGTTGAGGAGAGGGATTCCAGTGAAATGAGAAACAGCAGTGATGAGCAATGCGACTAGAAGTGATGGCGTGTAATTTAGGTCTAAAGAAAGTCCGCGAGCGAAACGCCTTCTTTGACTACCACCCAAAAGTCTCTGTGTGCAGGGCGATCTCATCGGCGTCTCCGCACCACACTCGAGATTGGACTCTTGCGGCTGCGTTGGCCAAATCGGCCTTTAAGCTCTCTGGTCCACATCCTGAAATATGGCCGTTAGTAAATGGGTAGTAGCAAGACCGTGAAGGCATGAATCGGGGAAGCACAAACCAAATACCATGATCCGCCTCCCCATAAGTATACTCGGAAGAATGTCGAGTAGGAACGGCCGCTCATAACGAACTGAACCAACTTCCAGAGGAGAAGCAGGAGATGCAGCAACGCTAATGTCCTTTGAGAGATCCTTATCGAGCTCTGTCTTCGTGGCATTGGGGCTTTCACGTCTGGATGAGGCGTCCGTAACGAAGAAGTGCGGAACAAAGGCCCCGTCTCCCACCGCCTTAACCAGCTCGGTGAGATCATCGCGAACCCATTGCAGATGACACTCCTCCCTGACCATCCAGACCAGGTGTATGCATTTGGTGAATGCCGCGCCCTTGGCCATTCGCATTCCAGTCTCGAGCATGAAGGGCAGACACGCAGAGATTCCGCCACCACCTGCGACGAAAATTAGCTGATCGTGCCTCTGCGCTAGGTTCATCACCAGCCCGCCATATGGGCCGTCGACGTGGACAGTGCGTTGCCGGTCCAGAGCCTGGTCTGTTCTCACGGTGGACGCAGCCAGCTCTTTTGTCAAGCCTCGGTATGTTCGGACGTAGAAACGAAGGATCTCTTCCCTGCTGCTCTTTTCGGTTTGACTGCTCGCCCCGTGCGGCAAGCTCGCAATGGTAAATGGGTGGTTGTGCAATAGGGAAAGGTGCGGGAATCTTAGCCAGCAATGCTGACCAGCCTTCCACTTGAAGTCATCTGGAACAGTGACATCAACTCTTGTCATCCCTCCTTCGAGCGGGGTTAGCTGGGCTGGAAACCCTTGGACCCACGGACGGAAGATGTTGAATGTTTGCCATTTGTAGAATGCGCGAGCGGCGGCAGAGGTAAGGTAAACGGCAAGAGTCGCCCAAAGATAGTCCCACGAGTCGAGCTCTTGGGCACAGTGCCAGAACATCAGGCCCAGATAGACGACGTATAGGGGGATGTGTAGGCGATAGAAGAACGAGTAGGACTTGTTCCGGATCCAAGGAATGGAAAGAACGCAAATACCAACGAGGATACCGAGGGGTGGCGTTCCAGTGTACTGAGTAGTCTAGTCAGCGCAATTCTTGAGATGTATAAGTATGGGACATACCTCCATGCCACCGACTTTGTAATACTGTTTGTGCAATTGCTTGGCCCCGCCATCCTTAAGAGGCGCAACAATGAACGGAACCGTGTGGACAATACTGAGGAAGAGGCACATGTAGCTCGTGTAGCGATGGAGGATGTTCAGCTTTTCATGGCTAATGCCGGTGAGTATCGTGATGAGGTTGACTTTCCCAGCCAATGCCACGATGATGGGCGTCAGGGCTGTCGCCATAAGCCCAGTCCGAACAGCGAGTGGAGGAGATCCATAGCCACGATGGCCTCGATAATACGGTCTCTGAACGAAGGTGAGGAGGAGTAGGTAAAGGCTTGTAAAGAGAACGAAGAAAAGCAGTCCGAAGGATGGAAGTCCGAAAGCGTCTGCGTAGCGGCCGCGAATGCGCCTGTAGCTGATGTATCGTAACAGTGCAACCGCTTTCTTCGGCAAACCGGTCCTTCCGGCTTGGGAGCTAGATACTGGGCGACGGTAACGAAAGAGCTTGAAGGCGTAATAAAGCATTGCCAGGAAGATCGCGACAAGGTAGTACCAGGTGGTATAGTGCCCGTAGAGGAACTGTGACGCCCACGAGATCTGTGCTTGCGAAGCTGCGTGTGCGGCCTTGAACGCAAGGCATGTGTCGCTGTTGCATCTCGGATCGGAGAGAGGAAGGTTGGTGATGTTGGAGGCTGAGGAACCAGACCCCATGTCCATGGCAACGGTAAGCCCGGCGGTTACGCTGCAAAGGAAGAGTCTGGTAGACATGGCGACGGCAAGCTGTACGGATTACTTTTCAGATCATCCCCATAAGCTCGTTTTGTAGTGCCAGGCCAGGGGCGCGCAATCGAGCAAGTTTCGAGGCGCTATTTAAGCTCATGCGCGAAGGACTTCTGGCGACGCCTTATTATATGAAGGCCCTGATTCCCATAGTCGGAAGAAGCTTTGCCGTGTAGATAGGCATACATTGGCTCGCGTGGTACGGGACGGGTGTAAGGCGGCTCTGGGAAAATGCAGGGATCGGCGGAGAGCGCTCATTGGACCCGGCGTCGAAACCTGCGCAAACATGCTCAGCAACCTGCAACAGCTCGAGAAGCGTGCTTTCTAGTTCCCTGTCGGGGGTTGACGGCACTCAATCTAGAAGATGCCTGGTGGAAGTTGGTTTGTCGGAGGGTGCTCCTCCTATGAAAGTTCTTTTTTTTTCTGCATGGATCTGCATTGTGGTGCGACACGACGAGGTTTCCGCCAGTCCCTCATCCTCGTGTGTCCCGTGGCTCTAATATGCGATTTTGGCTTACCTAGGTACTAGGCTGTGGATGTGGTAGAGGCTCTCAAAAGCTTGGACGCATAAGCTTCTCTTGTCCGCATGTTGCTTAGCTATAACTCCTGGGTCCCCAAAGTCTGGTATAAGGTCGCAAGCCCAAAGTCGTGAGGATTGACCCGAGGAAACCGTGGGGTTAGTGAATCGATCGATTAGCCGATGTGACGGCCACGCCAGCACGGTGATCCGGCCGATTCATGAGATGGGAGAGAAGGCTTCTGACAATTTTATGGATCTCTGGAATTCACTGGATGGCCGTAGGGGTCCTGCTTTGCAGGTCCCCGGGCTGTACTAAAAAAGGTGCATCACGTGACGTAACGTTGCTTTAGCTACAGTAATCTCTTAGAAATACTAAATATTGCTTAGTTACGTAGAACTAAACTCTCTGTAAAGTTATTACAGAATAGTACTACTGGCATTATTGGTAACATTATCGAACCTGTCCAGGACATTTGCTCGATCGTTATCGTCTCCTTTATGTAGTGTGGAATCGATGTCTTCTTCTCAAACTTCTCGTTCCTAACCCAATCTATCAGAACATAACAGAAGTTGCGCAGTTCCCATCATACGTAGCCTTTAGAGCTTTAGACTTCCAATTGAAATTTGGCAGCTCTGGTTGGTTTCCTGAGTAGACGGAGGAACATCGATTGCTGGGTTCATATTGAAGAAATTGACCGGGCGCAGGTGAACCTTGATGATCTCCACTGGCATGACTGGGAAGCCTTCAATTCTGGGAACATGGTTAATACCACATTGGACCCAAACAACGATATCCTCGTCGGCGACGTTGTCACCGGATTTTGACCAAGTCCGAGCACCATGCCCACAGCGAGATTGATTCGTGTACTGGCCGGCGGCATAGAGCTGATTGGGCCGGTACTTGGTGACGTAGATATTGTGATCCGCAAATTCGGCACGCTTGTTGTGGAACGAGCCCTCCTCTGCCACCATCTTCTGGAAGTCCGGGACCATGATCTTGTAACCCACCGGGCATTTGTTGGTCTCGTTCAAGATGGCGGAGTTTTGAATCTTGAAGACACGATTCTTCGAGATGTCCAAGCCATAACCCCCTGACTTTTGACAACTGTCGATTGCGTGTAATATCCAGTGCCGTAAGGGTTGAGGACTGGATCTCGATCCATTGGACGTGCTTCCTCATAGATGACTCTGTTTTTGTAACCATCGAGCATAGGGTCGAGGCGGAGGGAGAAGATATGCTGATGGTGAGCAGCAAGTACGCCAGGATGCACGACAGTTCCCCATGGAACTTGCAGGCCTTCGTCAATGGGCTGGGTTGACAGTATGCCGGTAGCGCGAACTTCGTAATTAACGTCGCCAGCTTGAGTAAAATGGAATGCCAAAATGTACTCGTAATTGGCCACAGTCATAATAGACTGGAGTACGAGCTCACGAGCACGCGTGACGAAGGCATTGTCGGTTCGATAGTTTGTGTGCTTCCAGCCGATACCACTATCCTACAGCACCACTTTCGTGTTAGCATACCAGAGAACGACTCCTAAATAGAAACTGTTTTGGGTTACTGACGTGCTCGTGGATACAGACGCAGTTTGGTTTTTCAATGACACCACCAGTTGAACTGCTCAGGACAGCGGACAAGTAGAAAATCGATCCAAGGCAGTCGCACCCAAGTTTCAGATTGTTAGCGGTGAGGCCTGTGCCAGCATCACCCAAGTCGAAAGCAGCCTTTCTATGGAAGGGCGCGCGAGGATCCGCATAGGGGATGTTCATGTCAGACAGCGATATGCGGTAAAAAAGAGGCCGACCGTCGTAACGAACCTGATCGAAACGGTCAGCGGACACCATCGCCACCTTTCAAAAGCTACCTACGTCGTACAAGACCATACCTTCGCGACTGTTGAAGGCGACCCGGAAGCGCCACTTTTGCCACGTCACCAGATGAATGCCTGGGAAATCCTGGACAATCTGGAAGCTAGCGCCTTGGGGCTGGAGAACCCGAAGGGGCTTGAGGTCTTGCCGCAGCTTGTGATATTTGGGAATATATTCATTTGCGGGCTGTGCCTTGAACGGCTTTGGAGGTGACGCTTTGTGATCTGATCCAGTGGGCAAATAATCTACGCGGATAACACGGCCAGCCATGACGTCCACCACTGGAGAGATGGGTAGAGGGTGAGCGTAGTGGTTGCTATCTTGTTCGGAGGGGTTGTTCACGTCTCGGCTGAACATGTAGCATTGGTATTGTCGGCGTTCGTCATTTTTGCCGTCCGATCCTGATAGGCAAATGGCTTAGTATTCAAAGCTATGCCAAAGGCGCTCGATGCAGAGAGACTCGTACCATATATCCATAGTTCGATGACAACTAAGTCAGGGTCGGGAATCTGCAAATTCTCCAGCTCTCTTCGGACTTGTTCATCTTTCTTCACGGCCACTTCGATCATGACCCCCTCCTCCAAGTCACCGGGACCGTGAAGGAGCCTGTCGAGGGCCTTATTCGAAACTGGCTGCTTGGTAGATAGATCGACTAGAGCCTCGTGCAAGATGTCCTGAACAGGGTCAGCTCCACTCGCTAAATGACCACATCGACAAATTGTAATCCTCACATGGCCCTTCTTGTAGTAGGCAACGAAACTGCAGCGATCTACATTTGGTCGCGTCTCAAGGCCCCGATGCTCGGCCTCAAGGTAGCGGAGTGTTGCAGCCTTGGCGGACTCGGCGAGCGTAATGCTCTTAAATATCAGATTGGCATCGGGATGTAATTTGGAGACGATTGCGGCGGTGGTGCGGATCTCTTCTACCGAAAGCTGGGAGAAAGGATGGGTAGTATCCGCCATGGCGTGCAATTGATGAGGAAAAAGTGTTGGAAGAAGAGCGAAACGACTGCGTGGGCGGCAGGACAAGGGGAGGCGTGCGGGCCTCCTAAACATGTGCTGAGCATCGTCCCGTCTCTCTCTCTGTGTTCCGTGTCGTGAGTGCAACGAACATTTCGGCCTTGAGATGGCCGCGGTGTCACAATGCCGCCGAATGTGCTGCCGGCTTTTCGCCAGATGCGATGGCGGTCTGCTTTAATCTTTAATTCTAGAGTATAATTCTCCACTCTTTTTTCTAGAGTAGAGAATCGCGACTATATGTAAGAAAGGCGAGCAGGGTAAGCTAACACCGCGCTAGGCTAATCTAGCCAAGTCTCGGCCCTGTCGGAGCAGCCTGGGTGCTGCTCGTGACACAAACTGTGCGTCAGGTGGGGTCTGTGCGTCAGGTGTGCGTCAGGTGGGGAAATACGGTAAGCGAGCGACCACGGTTCGATTAAAAGAATGTCCGAGATGAATATCCGCCTCTTTCAACAATCAAGAAGTCCTCTTAGCTCCGCAAACAACCCTATCCGGTTCTCCCTACTAGCAGTGGCAACATCTGGTATCTCGATATTTGCACCGATAGCTATTTATCCTTCGTAAGCATCATTGCGATACATAACCGAAGCACGTACTATGCCCTTTATGCCAATAGCGCACCTGACGCTCGGCCACCTCGCACTTGCTCGCTCTCTTTCTGCGGTGGAATACGTCTAACAGCGCTCAATACTCTTTCCAGGCTCATACTTACGGAACCTACTCCGAAAATCATCGCCATGCCATACCTGGCCCACATCTCCCTCCTCGTAAGCGATTACGACGAAGCCATTGCTTTCTACTCCCGCTTGGGGTTCGAAATAGTGGAGGACACCCTCATACTGGAGCAACAGAAGAGGTGGGTTACCATCCGACCTCCGCCTCCCCAACCTTTGTCCAGCGGCACTTCAGCGGAACAACAGACCGAGTCTCCTGGTGAGAAGGTCAAGCAGGAACCAACGCCTCCGTCTGCACTGGCTTCGTCGCAGTGTGCGACTATTCTCCTTGCCCGTCCCAGCAACGCAGAGCAGGAAGCGTTTATAGGAAACCAGACCGGAGGACGGGTGTTTTTGTTCCTTGCGACGGATGATTTTGAAAGGGACTTCAAGCGGTTTTCAGAAGCGGGCGTAGAGTGGGTTCGAGCACCGAAGATGGAGGCATACGGGAAGGTAGCGGTGTGGAAGGATCTATATGGCAATTTGTGGGATTTAATTCAGTACCATTGACCCGGAAGCCGTGGGGTCGGCAAGGCCCAGGACTTATAGGGACCACCTTGGCGGTGAGTTTATGAAAGATAAGCTCAGTCCATGTTGCATTCCCTTGCAAGTTCGTCTGGGACAATATTTAGTATTTGTCAAAGCAGTGGATCAAAGGATGGCCGAGGTAGGGTCTCCTAACAACGGCCTTAGCTTTCTATATCAACTTATATGACAGAAGGGCAATTAGCTTCACGGATACTCGCACGGCATTAGCGCATCCCGAATGGCTAGTAACTCGCAATTTCACTTGTCTCTCTCTAAGTTAGATAGTCTTCTATTCCGTCGTGCTTCGTAGTAGTACCAGACCTCCACTTTCGAACCGCTCCATGACTGTATTTCTAAGCAAATTTACACAACCATGAGCAAAAGAAATGCTTTTTTTTTCTCTTCCCTCTGCTTTATAGTTCGAATATCAAATTTTGTGTTAGAAGAGACGAGGAGTGGCTTTCACAAAAGTAGATTCACTAGTTATTGGGGGTTCCTGGCTCGTCTGATGGTGCACATTTTCTTCTAACCTTCTTGGAAACCCCCCTGTTCTAGCTCTCCCATCCTTGTAATTCTTGTTTAGCCCTCTGAATTTCATCCTCTTTATCTTTGCAGATAATCTGTAATGACCTGACCTGTGTGGCGAGGCCATCTATCTGATTCTCCAGCGAACGAGCGCGGTGGCCGCTTGTCGCAATGCGTCTAGCCAGTTTGCTGTTGACATCAACCATGAATTTACCGCCTTCGCCAACTAACGCATTCAGCTCTTCTCCTATGATGTCTATGTAATTTAATGCAACGTATTGTGACAACAATCTCCTGGCAGGGTTATCTTGAGTTTCACGCAGAGGTGTTGTATTATAAACGTGACGAATAGCATCCGCAAGGTACGGAAATAGAGAACTGTGTTTCCATGGCGCAAGAATGAGTATTTAAGTGAGACGCTGTAATGCAAACTTTGCCAAGTCGGAGAAGAAATGACAATGGGCAAACGAGTACACCTTTACGTGTACAAGGACCGACATTCCGACGGTATGGCCGTCACCCCTGTATTCCTGTTCAGCAACGACACTGGCAACCGTTCGCAAACGCTCTTCTGGGAACTCGACCTCGAGGCACTTGCTTATGGGGGTAAGCGGTCGTCCGAGCGCACTTGGGTCTGGTGATGGAGTCTGAGATGGTGAAGACGTTTCGTTCGTCGGTAGTTGCTCTTCAGTACAGATGGTACCTGGGTACTCAGTTGAGATCACCCCGCTACACCACAATTTGACTCACCTTCCGGCTGCTCTAGACAGATTTCTTCACCTTCTCTGTTTGAGGTTGGCGTCTCGTCGACCGATTTGGGCACATGGTAGTCCCCAGTGTAAGGATAGTGCAAGACACATTCAATCGTTTGCATGTCAAAATTCGTCCAGTTAATAGCGCCGTCCCCAGTGGATTTCCACGGTCCGTTCATGCGAACATCAGCGCTAGATGATTTGCATGACGATAAGATATAAAGGTGGACGTAGTACGCCTTCCTATCTTCCCCAACTAAGACCTTAGTCGGGGGTTCCGTCAAGAACCTGTTCTTCTTAGCTCATAGCCTTGCCCGTAATCAGGCATACTTACATGCTAAATTAATCAGTCATATACCGTGGAGACATTGTTGTTCCTACAAGCGATGGTATAGGTGATGGGTCCTGAAATCATGCTAGACGCAGAAGACGAAAGAGAAGGATTATGGAAGCTCAAAGGCGTATGTTGGTGATGATAGTAGGGCAAGGGGGCAGTACAAAGTGGCTGGCGTGGCTGAGTAATCGCGCTCATGCACAGGGTCGAACAGCATTGGAGAATGGTTTGGCACTTAATGTCGCTACAACTAGCAAGGGGGTCGGCCGACCCGCTCCGGTTATAGGGTTGCGGAGCTGGAGCAGTTTGTTAGTACGCATGAAGGGGGCTCGGGACATGCTGGTATTGACTTACGGTGTTAGCGGAGCTCGCTCCAGCGGTCGCTCCGGAGTTGCGCAGATCTGGGCTAGGTCCCTTCTAGGGACAAAAAAGGCTCCACAGCGGGAATCAGAACAGGACCCAGGGGGCTAAATCTGGCCCGGCCAAGGTGCGGGAGCGGGAACTTGTTTTGGCTTGGTGTTGAGGGCTCGCCCGCGGAGCAGCACCAGCCACATGTACGTCATATCTCCTAGCGAATATGTGGCGTTGCTGCTAAGCCCGATCCTTAGCAGAAAAGTAACAGTTCGTCGCGCTTACTGTAGAGCCGCACAGCCACTCTATAAGCGCTGCGATAAGAGAGATAGCTACTAAAAATTTAGCTAAGAAAAACTACTTACTATAACGTACTTTATAAGCGAAAGCTCTATATAAGTAAATACTCTAAAAATACTAAGCCTAAGAATTAATAAGTCTTTCTTAAATAACTAACGTACTTTATAAATAAACTCTCTATATAAATAAATTCTATAGAATTTCTTAGTAAGAAAAATTAACGAAAATTAATAAGCTTTTCTTAAATAACTAAGTAAAACCTTAATATTTTTCTATAAAGATTTATATATAATATACTTTACTATTAAACTAGTTACTCTATTAAATAACCTAAAAATACTAAGCCTCTACTAAAAAGCTACTATCTTATTTAGATTTCTCTAACTCTAAGCTACTTAAGATAAATCTAGATAAGCTATCTAACTTATCTATATTATCTTTAACTACCTAGTACGTTTACGCGTTATACTCTAGCTTACTATAGCGTCTATAGCGTTACTAAGCTAGCTAGCTATCGCGTGCTACTACCTTTTCGCGCTACTTTTTACTCTTATTCTAATCTATAGCCTCTCTTTAAGCGACTAGCTATAAGCTAGCTTTAATTATAAGAGTATTCTCTTTCTAAATTTACTTTCTTTTATATAAATTACACTTCTTTTTCTATACGTTAGCTACTTAAAGCTAGGTAACTTTAGACTCTATAAGTACTAGCTAATACGCTATTAGCTTATTACCTTTTTTAAGCTAATTAAGTAACTTAATAATATAAGTTAGCGATAAATTAAGGTGCTATATAATCTTTAATTAAATTAGAGTTAATTAGAACCTTACTTTAACAAGATTACTAGGTGTTTTATACTTCTAGATAGTAGTATTATTAGTAGAGAGTATTAGCGTGTATAATTAAACTTTAAGCTTTAATACTACTAAATCTAGATTAAATAGAACTAAGCTAGCACCTCTAAATTCTACTCTAATATTATTATCTATAATTAACGCGTAAAAAGCTATATAAAACGTAAGTAAAAACTTAGTTTTTATAACGTAGTTAATATAGCTACGTATTAGAATCTTAACTTAGTAGCTATATACTACCTTTAATAGTAAGAAGTAGCTAATATTAAGTAGCTATAAAAGGTATAATAAATATACTAGTATATAGAGAGCTATAATTTTATTCTTCTTATAGTACTACTAGAATTTAATAAAGCTATAGCTTTTATAGCTATCTAAAATTAGTAGGTAATATATACCTATAACGTAACTCTTAGTATACGCGTTAAAGTACTTTAACTATATAATACTAACTTTATTTATTATTTAGCTACTTTTAGAGATAGCTATAACCTAGTTACATAGTAGCTAGCTACCTTTATACTACGCTAAAAGGTAGTTCTTATCTATAATAATAAGAAATAGTAGAACCTATATATTA